GTGCTGGAGAAGAGACCGCGGGTTCTGGGCGAGGAGCATCCTGACACGATCTCAGCGATGAATAACCTCGCGAATACACTGGGGGATCAAGGTCATCTCGAGGAGGCGGGGACGATTATGAAGGAGGTGCTGGAGAAGATGCGGCGCATTCTAGGCGAGGAGCATCCTGACACGATCACGGCGATGAATAACCTCGCGTCCACGCTCGGGGAGCAAGGTCATCTCGACGAGGCGATATCTTTATTGGATATTGCTGTGCAGCAGATGCAACGTATAAAAGGGATAGACCACCCTCATACGAGAATCGCCTCTGATAATCTAGCACGGTTGCGTGCTACACCACCTATACAGAAGCAAAAGGAGAGAGGTGGCCGAAAAGGCAGTTCCCTCTCAAGACGGGTCAGGGAGATGTTTCGTAAGAAAAGCAGCAAAAGGTAGCGGCGGTGTTATATCATATCGTCCCTGTGCGGATGGCGGATACAGTCAGTCAACATATAGTTAGGATTATTACCGAGATCTTACAATACGGACGAGTAAAGCAGGAGAAGCTCCTCGCCGATCATTCGTCAGGGAAAGATCACGGACTATTACAGATAGAGTAAAGCGTGACCCGCTTATACCTGGGCCGTTTGCGAGAGAAAGTTGCCATGTGTCTGCAAAGGGGAGGGCGGTTTCGGGAAACGCTGTAACTGTATATATATATACACACTTATTCCAGGTATGGCGCATTTGGCTCATTGGCCTGTGGCACTGGACCGACTCTATATGGTTTTTGTCAAGGTTCATGCCTTCTTCGTGGTCGATGTCTGTTTTCTAGTGTGACGTCGCGGCTTTTTCTTCTCCGTTTTGTTCACCTCGCTAATTCCCGTCTTTCTGGTTTTTGACTTTGTGGCTACCGTTGTCTTGTTTAGAATTTGAGTGGGCTTTGAGACTCGAAGTCAGAGTGTGATTCTAGGCTGGCTGACTCGTAGTCGAAGGCGAGGGCCATTACCAACGCGGCATACTACCTCTTGAGGCCGAATTGGCTCCTTTCCCTGCGTGGCTTCTGTCGCCGTGCTCTTGCATGCTTCTAGGGTCCCATCAACGGGACTAAGAACGCCGTCGAGTGTCGCTCCACTAATTTGACTAGCTGCATAGCGAAATGGAGAAGGAGAAGGTGGACCAGGTGAGGGTGGCGGCAACCGAATATACTGACCAAATCGGGCATCGAGACTTGAATCATCTTCGATACCTTCTGAGGGGTGGATGATGCCCCAGGCCTGCTTAGAGGTCTCCTTACGGCGATAGGCCTCTAGCGTGGCGGAGGACGAGATTGACGCCGAGCGTGAACGGACGAGCGGCAAAATTGCGTCGTGAGCGAGACGAGCGCTGTCACGCGAGGTTGAGCCGCAGTCCGTAAATAGATCGTCGTGAAACTGACATTTCGGTCCCTGAAGTTCAAAAAAACCTGGAATCTCCGAGCTTTCCAACGCAGACTCCGAGTCTGGATACTCGGATCTTGGAGTTTGTAGCTCTGTGTCGAGAGATGACTCCCGTTCGGGCTCGACCAATGTTGTCTCGCTCGCTTCGCTGGTGATGTCGTTCTGCAAAAGGTGGGGCGAAGGAGAGCGAATGTATTGATCAAACCAGGTGTCAGATGCTAGGTCATTCTCGACGTCCGTGACCTCGAGGGAGTGACGGGTCTCGTCGATGGCAGAATATGAGGAGCCGTACGGAATGAGTATGCCCCGTCCTTGTTGAGGCTAAGTGTAGTAAGTGTGATGGGCCCGAAGTCTTCGTAACGGTACAATCATTAGACATATCTTGGTCGATCAAGATGACCTCAGGACATGCGGTCGGCGTGGGAGTAACGTGTCATCTTCGCTTACGGGGACGATCGGACAGTTGTTCCCCTCCAACTGTGTTGGAGCCGAGCGATGGCGGTGGTACCCATACAAAGGCCCCAGGAGCACTCGGCGACATTCGCTTCCGACAAAAGCGAACGCCGTCAACATCCTCGTTGGGTGATCCTGCTTCGTCCGGTGGGTCCTGTTGGACAGAATCAGGTCCGCGTGCGGGCCGTGACCGACTGAATCTGTGCGGATCGATGAGATGGAATTCGAATGAGGTCGAATCGCTGTAAGAAGAGTTACATGAGGGGCAAACTAGGGGCCACTGGCAGTTGATGAGATGCTTTTTGACGTGTTTCCACAAGAAATGATCTCGCGACCAAGAGTTCAGTCGCTCGGAAGCCGGTAATGAATCGTTGGCGACACAGAGCGGACAATAGGCTGGGCGGATCAGCGTGTGGCAGTGAGTAACGGTTCCGCATCGTTGAGGGGTGAACGAGTCCAGGTGCGCTTGACAGTGTGGTTCCCATTCCTCTCCGACGAGCCAGTCGAAACAAAGATAGCAATATTTTATGTCCGATAAGAGGCGGCCCTGGCGGGTTGCCATGTCCTGGCGGACGCAAGCTTGAATGTATTGATTACGCTGGCACTTAGGAAGACTGTGACACCGTCAACCAAAATACGTAAGTGGCAGCATGTTGGAAACGTACCTTTTCATCCTCCGTTGACAAATGGGGCAGAGACCGTCAACAGGACGCGAGCCGGGGAGGTACACAGTGTCCATGTCTCGACGGCAGAGAGTGACAAGATCCTGTAAGGCGGCCCACATCTCCTCTACCGGTAGCGCGTGGGTCGATGCCATTGCCCGCGCCAGCCGTCCCCGTTCGGGGAACAGATTGTAAATGCTCGGGGCCAACACCGTCTTGGATCCGTCTTTGGCCTTCTGCCTTCCACGGCTCTGAACAATCCAGTCTCGGCGCTCCTGGATCCAGCATTCCTGGTAGAGATCCAGTGCAGCTTTCTTGAGTCTCGTAGAATGTGTCGTTAAACGACGCTGGGCAACGGTGAAGTCTTGATTCTTTCCCTCGGTTCTGAGTCGTTGGACCTCGGCCTTAAGAGTACAAAGCTCAGGGTCTCGTTCCACCTCTTTCTCGAGGTGGGCAGGGAGTCGAGTAGGCAGACCATTCTCGCGAAATTTTTCGAGGCCTTGGAAATACTCGACGTGCCGGTGGTCACTCTCCTCCTCTCGAAAAGCGGCCTGGCCGTCGACCGAAGAGCAGTTCGCCACTTAGCTTTGGCCGAAGACTCTGGTATCGTTCTGTAGTAGATGCTGGGAGCGTTCGACTTGGGTATATCGCCCTAGAAAGAGTGGACAATTAGTATAGATAGTGGGATTCGTCCAAGAGGCTAAACGCGAGCAGAGGGACCCGCACGAGAGGCTGCGCAAGGTAGGCCACTTACTGTCCAATCCCTTCCCCACTTGACGTCGAATAGCATGGATCTGGAGTCTCCAATGGTACCCGGCATTAACAAGACTGCTCTGAGAAATGGTGCGGAATTGGTTCTGGGACATTGGATCGTTGGTCACGCCGTCCTTCTTGGTACATTTGCGAGCAATGGGCAAATCTAACACTTCGTCCTTGAACCGAAGCGGGATCTCATCCCGGTCCGGAGGGATGACCTGTTGGCGAAGGTCGGCGAAGGTGTCGTACCCGTACAGAGCGCCGTCCGCAAAAGCCAGCGCGAGGAGGAAACCGGCGTCGTTATAGAATAGCCGTCCATCCTCCTTTGCCGCGGCTCCAAAGCTGTGAATACGTCATTAGTACCTTAGGAAGGACGAAACGGAGAGCCAGAAACGGCAGAACTTACGCCACGTCTTCAGGGTCGCGGTTGTTTTTCACGAAGCGCTGGTCAAGCTTATACATGACCCTCCAATCGCGGCTGTCTTTGGGACCCTTGACGCGTTGTAATACAAGATCGACGTCCTGGTCCAATTAGATCACGACGTCGGGAATGGCTCAACCCTAGGTACACCTTGTATCGTATCCCACCTTTGAAGAATGTATCGATCCGGGCTCCTGTCCAACAATAGACATGTCGGAGCCACGTGCATTGTACCCGGCTCCGCGGATGAATGTAGATCAAGTCGTCGCAGGTCCTTTCAGCGAGGTTGACACGATTCAGGTCTTTGAACCCGAAATCATATTTCGGTCGGTGCTTATTGACGACGATACCTTCACGAACCAGAGTTCGTCGCACCCACTGAGAAAGATCAGTTGATTCGCCTTGAAGCTCAAGTTGGGAGGATATCTCATCTTACATAGTACACCTCGCTCCGGTCCTCCCCTGTAGTCGCGGCCCCCGTGACACGAGCATGACCAGCAAAAAGCCATTCGCCAACAGTACAAAGAGTATCGGCGGTCGGCTTGTTCGACTTCTTGTCAATTTTCCCCTTGCTCGTCGCGGCGTAGAAGCGCAGAAAGTCTTTCACTGTCGCTAGGTCGGGGGCCGGAGCTCCTTCACCTAAATAATGACGACGAGCGGTGGTTTCGTCTGGAGGAGGAAGCCCTTTTCTTTCATGATCGTCTCGTAGTTGTTTTAATTGCCATCTTTCATGTTTTCGTCAGAGATAAGCGGAACTTGGAGAATGGAGGAAGCGCAGAGTTCGGCATTCTTACCGTAGTAATATTCCACAGTACGATCGTGGTGCGCTTTTGTTGTGGAAATGTACTTGTCTACGTCGCGTACTTTATCTTCCTCAACATGTGCACCTCTCTTGTAACCGTTGGCTTCGGCTCGAGCCCATCGTTCGTCCTCCGTCTCCTTTCGCCGGCCCATGGCTGTAGGAGGCTCAAGCTGTCACGAATCGGGAAGTCCTCGAAGACGACCGGGGGAGCCAGCGAGGCGCGAGGAAACGGCAGCTGGAAGGGAGAAGGGATCCCATCAAGGCCAGGAGGCCAGGATCCGGATTTGAGTCCCATTTTGTACCCGGTGCGAGGAACGGTCGAGAGTGGGAACTTCGCGAGAGTGAGGGTCCCGCGAACTGGGTCCCTGGCTCCGAAGGAAGGAGGCGCTACAGAACGGCAGCCGTCAATGGGGCCCATTCAGGTCGGACCTAAGTTGGCGGGTGAGTAGAAGAGTGCGAAGGGTGCGCAGAAGGGTGCGCAGAGGTGAGAGGAGGGTGGCAGAAGGGTGCGCAGAGGTGAGAGGAGGGTGGCAGAAGGGTGCGCAGAGGTGAGAGGAGGGTGGCAGAAGGGTGAGTCGTGGGGAGTGCGCTTCTAAAAGCGGCACGCTCTGGGTGAGCCGCACGTGAGCTCGCTGCAGACCACCTTTATCTCCGCCATTTGGCATGATCCACCACATACGCTCAGGTTAAGTTATTACTACTACGGCGGAGGTTTGCGCTCGCGCCCGTCATCCTCCAAGACTGCGGCCTTGGCAAGAAAAGACGAGTCAAAATCATTTCCTCGCTGCAGAGAACAATCGGCGCAGGGTGCACCTCCGATTGAGAATGAGCGTTTGTTGCATCGACGGCTCCAGCTTATTCTGACAACCGCTGCTCGTTGCGTCAGAATGCCTCGTTCACGTGTCCCTCCTACGCTTCTCACGAAGCTGAGGCATCCGCGCGAAGCCACTGATGGGCCGCGACTATGGAACGCCAAAAGAAGAATAAAGACCAGCAAGGGACTCAGTCCGGAGCAGTTTCAGCAATTCAAACAGACGCCGCCGCACGTCTGGTACAATGCATATATCAGTTTACAACAAGACCCCAGTCGAACGGGACTGTCCTCGCATCAGAAATTCGCGCCAGCGGAGCTGTATGCTATTGACAGAACAGTCAACGACAGAGGCGAGTTAGAATGGTGGAAGCTGGATCGGGAGCATCTCGACAAGTTCATGGACGCACATCCACAGCTCAGCAACGTCTCCGGCGACGTTCGGACCTTCATCGCGGAAAACGGCCATACGTTGAGCAAGTCCAAGATTCTCCAGCTTCTACGAAGTCCAGTACAGTACTTCTCCGCCTCTTCGAATGTACCCCTGGAGCAACGAAAACAGATATATTTGTAGGTGTTCCTTGAACTGTCGCTGCTGATTCGCATGTTGGTTGCTAACAAGTCCGCAGTCCCGACGTCAAGGACGCCGTTGTACTTATGCGGACGCCCCATCTTGGCCCACGATACGCCGCTTTCGACGTCCCGCTCCATTTCAGCAAGCTGGACATGAAGGCATACCTGAAAGACGTCTACAATGTGGATGTGCTTCACATTCGAAGTGTTGTGATTCAGTCGAAAGTGCAAAGAAAAGACGCTACCTCTCCGTACACGCAAGGCGCATTGTTCCGACCTCCGAGTCAGAAGAAGATGACGGTGCAGCTCGCAAAGCCATTCGTGTATCCCGCCGAGATCAAGGATTTGTCACCGTGCGTTATACCCTGAGCATCCCGAGATAACCTTCGGCACTTGTACTAACTGCAATATAGGTGGGAGTACGACACCTATTGGAACACAATGAAGGCTTATGTAGCCGAACAACGAGAGAATTCCATATGGGGAAGCACACAACCGAACCTCGAGCATCGGAAATCCATTGCCCAACAAGCACAACAACTACTGAAAGGAAAAGACAAGTGGGCACCAACATGGCAGGCGTTTGCGGATACCACGAGGGCCATGCAAGGTGTAGCCACTCAACTCCCTAAATCGCTGCCGACGAGGACCGCTCCCCCGGCGAGCACGAGTGTAAAATGATATATTACTATTTCTCTGTCACACAGTCATGAAAGCCCGCCAACCCCGTCTATAACCCGGCATAGGATGACATGCGATACTCATGGTCTTCCGGTTCGATTCGATATTCTTGACCATGGCCAGATCAAGGGACCGTCACAGCCACAACTGTTGGGGACGATACTTTCACGTTCTGGACATAGCATCAATCGCCTTTCTTGGAACGAGTGCAAAGATGCACAGTTTTACCATCGGAAGAAACTAAGGACAAGAGAATACATGGCAGCTTTAAATTTGTGACAGAGTTATGTATAATACCGCTGGCTAAAAAGATAGATACCCAACCGGCAAGATTATAGTCTAGCCTCGACTTCCGCGAAATGGCTGTCGGTTGCCCAAGCTGATTCAGGCCAGATGTGCCGCAGGGCTTCGTAGACGTGTCTGCAAAAGTGTGGAGTTAGCAATTGCAGTATGAGGCTACAAAAAAAGGGGTACAGAAAACACTCACTTGACATATATGATCTGCAGATCCCGCTTGACCTCCTCAGGGACGTCCTTGACATCCTTGCGATTATGCGCGGGGAGCAGCACTGTCTTGACGCCCGCACGATGAGCGCCGATGAGCTTCTCCTTGATCCCGCCCACGGGCATGACTCTGCCTCTGAGACTGACTTCGCCAGTCATCGCGATTTGTGGCGGGACAGCCTTGCCCGAGAACAAGGAGATGAGGGCAACTGTGTGGGCAAGACCAGCGCTAGGGCCGTCCTTTGGCACAGCACCCGCAGGACAATGAACATGGATCGCTCGCTTTTCCATGATATCTTCGTTGGGATCGTGCGTGAGGCCAAGATCGTAACTATGAGCTTTCACCCAGGTCAAAGCCACTTCGACAGACTCCTTGAGCACATCGCCCAGCTTGCCGGTAAGCTGGACGCGGCCTTTGCCCGGCATATCAGCAACTTCGATGAATAGGATGCTGCCTTGTCCACCGGACGAGTATGCGACCAATCCAGTAACGACACCGGGTCGCGAGGACTTCTCGGCAATCTCTTCTTCGAATCGCTCAATGCCGAGAATGTCTTCGAGTTCGTCGACAGTGACGGTGGGGTTATATTTCGACAAGTCATTGGCATCTCGTGCGTCCGCATATTGGACTGCTTTGTACCGGCACACGGAGCCGATTTCGCGCTCTAGATTGCGCACGCCCGACTCGCGAGTGTATGCTGTGATGATTGTATCTAGTACATCGTCGGGAATGATAACTTCGCCGTCGGAGAGCCCGTTGGTCCGGATCTGCTTGGGGATTAAGTGCTGCTTTGCAATATGGCGTTTCTCAATTGTCGTGTAGCCCGAAAGTTGTATGGTTTCCATGCGATCCAACAGCGGCGGAGGAATAGTGTCCAAAGTGTTCGCTGTCGCAATGAACAAAACCTTGCTGAGGTCGATTGGAATGTTTACATAGTGGTCGTTGAAACTGTGGTTCTGTTCAGGGTCAAGGACTTCGAGCATAGCCGCCGACGGGTCGCCATGGAAATTGTTCGTGCTCACTTTGTCGATTTCGTCGAGCAGAAATACCGGATTCGCCACTCCTACTTTCTTCAGACCACTGACTATCAGACCGGGCATGGCAGCAACATAAGTTCTCCGGTGACCTCGAATTTCAGCTTCATCCCTGACTCCACCGAGAGATATCCGGTGGAATTTGCGTCCCAAAGACAAAGCAACAGATTTGGCAAGCGACGTCTTACCCACGCCCGGCGGCCCCACGAGCAGCAGGATTGGGGACTTGTCAATCATCCGTTTGGACTTGAGAACATGTAGCTTGGCGGTCGCCGCATCTCGTTCGTCGTCCGGAATCTGCTCGACTTCTTTTTCCTCGCCCTCTTGGACAGGTGTGAGTTGCTTGGTGAGCCTCGCAATTTGCTGATCAATGTCAGCATTGACCGACTGCTTCAGCTTCAAGACTGCCAGATATTCCAAAAGCCTCTTTTTGATCTTCTCGAGGCCATAGTGATCATCGTCTAGCTGTTTGCGAGCTCGCGTCAAAGTGTCAGCACCGAGATGGTCATCCGTGACTTTCGTCCACGGGATCTCGGCAAGGTTCTCGATATAGGTGCGAATAACACCATATTCTGCATTGGCTGGATTCATTTTCTTGAGCCGCCGCAGCTCACGCTCCGCAACATTCTGCGCCTCGGGTGACAGACCAGCCTCGGCCACTTTCTTTCTGAGCTCTTCAACTTCGTTTACTTCGTTGTCTTCGTCGGGATCTCCACGGCGCTGGCCCGGCATTCCCGGTGGGGCCATTCCATTGAGCCCAGACATGGCCCGTCGTGCGAGGGCTTCTCGTTGGCTTTGGTTCAGATCAGAAATGTCCACGCCCAGGTTGGGCGGGAGGCCCGTGGACGTGATTGATGTGATCTTGATGTTTCCATTGATGCCTGCTATTTGTTTGTTGAGCAAGGCCAGAACACGCTCTAGTCTTTCATGCAGGTCCAGAGTACTCAAGATTCGAAGCTTCTCCTCAAAACTCGCCTCGACAATGTCGGTCATGAAGTCGGCCAACTGACCAGCCTGGGAAAGATCTTTCTTCGCAATGTATAGTTCAAACCGGCGGACAATCAACGGAGATAGTACCATGGACGCTGGACGGAAGAGGGAGGAGAGACGAAGTAATGTAAGAAGCTCGCGTGATCGTTGTTGGAGCCGCGTGAAACTGGCTCGGAGGTCACCATCGTTCAGCTCCGGAACTTCATCCTCGTAGAACGTGACCTCCGCCTCAAAGTATGGTTTCTCGTGCCTAATCCGGTCAATCTTAAACCTCTGCACGCCCTCCACGACCAGAAATGGATCCGCATTTGAGTTGCCTTGGACCCCGATTATCTTTGCGAGCGTTCCATAACCAAACAGGTCTTCTTTGCTGGCGTTCCATGGGGCTATATCTGCATCCTCGACGTGCTGGCTGCTCTCTTTCTCGGAACTATCCAGCAACTCTTTACCATCGGGGTTGAGGAAGGGCGAGTTTAATGGGACGCAGCCGACCGGGAGTTGTGCTGTTCCCGTCCTCGATTTCGTTGCGCGCTGAAAGGCCGATGACAGAAGTAGTGGTATGTCGGCACGATTGACTACTGAGATGCGTAGGGTGACGCCAGGCAGAAGGACGGAGTCCTTTGCCAGCGGGATGAGTGGGATGGTGGCCTTCGCGGTGAACCCCATGACAAGATCTGTGTGTGGACCGACCGGAGGAGTGAAGGGAGAGAGGCGGGGAACAGCAGGAACTTGTATATGAATTATGAGAGTCCGGGGTCTGCAGCACCGGATGAGATGCGCCGTCAACCTGTCATACTAGTATCATGAGATGGAAGATGCTCGATGCTGAATCCGCGTTTCGGGGCTCATCATCGTCTCGCGCCGCAGGCAGCCGAGGTACGGAGTACGTCAGACGCACGGTCACGTAGAAGAGGGAGGTCAGTCACGTGTGCTAGCAAATGCCTCTCCATTCTGCAGAAGGATTCTCTCATATCATGAATGATTCAGGACAACCGACACGTTCCCCATAGTAATTGGAATCATGATAGTACTGCTACCTCACCATCTGCTAGTCTGTAGTAGAACCATTCAAGTTGGCCCGTCCATAGGAGATTTGTAGTACTAGTAGTCCTACTACTATACTAGTACTAGGGGAGCACATCGCCGCGTGCCAAGGTTTGTAAAAGACGTTAACATGCACGGAAAGGATTTGTCCGCTCATCCGAGTCGTACTAGTACAACTTCGAATCGATATTGAACCCGAGTCAGACGAGTACATGAGTAGGACAAGTCTTCCGCGAAATCACACCTCCAGTCATTGAAGTCGGCGATATTTCGACTTCGTCCTGAGCTACGCCACCATATCTCCACACAGCCGTGATGACGACCATTTCAGTAGTACAGGGGGAAAACACCTCGGTGGAAATTGGGAGCCAGAGCCCTGAAACCATTTTCAATATCGGTACGAGGAAGTCCCCGCTGGCCCTGGCTCAGACAGATTTGGTCGTCAAAGGCCTTGCGTCCGCATTCCCCGACCAAGTATTCGTGACCAAAGCTCGGGATACTGCTGCGGGTGATGTCGACACAACCACAGCCGTCAAGGACATGGCTGTCAAGAATATCTGGAGTCACGAGCTTGAATCTCTACTGGTTGAAGGCAAATATGACTTGATAGTCCATTCGCTCAAAGGTTTGTTGTCGCTGCAAATACAGTCAGAAGCAGAACTAATAGGTCTCATGCTAGATGTGCCTACAAACTTACCCGAGGGGTGTGAAATAGGGGCAGTGCTGGCTCGTGAAGACCCAAGGGACGCCTTTGTCATTAAAGCTGGCAGGACTCCATGCAAGATTGAAGACTTGCCTGCCGGGTCTGTCATCGGCACGTCTTCTGTTCGTCGGACGGCTCAGATTGCATCACTATATCCTCATCTGCGAGTGGAAAACATGAGAGGCAGTCTGCACACTCGTTTAGCAAAACTTGACAAGGAAGACAGCCCTTTTGCCGGCTTGATTCTTGCGGCTGCTGGTCTCATTCGCATAAACCTTGACCATCGGATCACTCAATTCCTCGAATCCAAGAGCGGAGGAATGCTTTATGCTGTCTCACAGGGAGCCATCGGGGTCGAGAACAGATCACCAGATGAGCGGGTACAGAAAATGCTTAGTGCGATTGACCACCGGGAAACTCATCTCGCCACGGCCACGGAACGGAGTCTCCTGAGAGTCTTGGAAGGAGGGTGCAGTGCCCCGTTGGGAGTCGAGACCAGTTGGGTCAAAGATGAGGCGGGCCAGACGGTTCTGCGACTGAAGTCTAACGTCATCAGCACGGATGGGAAACAGAAGTCGGAAGTTGACATGACTGAAGTGGTAACAAGCAAAGATGATGCTGTTGCCTTTGGGACCAAGGCAGCGGAAGAACTACTTCGCAGAGGTGCTGACAAGATCTTGGCGCAGATCAAGGCGAAGGTGCCCACCACTGCGGCTGATCTCGGAGAATAGAGCACATACGTCGAGGTGGAAAAGCTGATCATACATCCACGACAGGACTTCAGTCAGTGACGCAGGAGCGGGTGAAGAGGGGGGTCGAGAACTATGTCAAAGCGTGTTGAGAGAAGCCTTGTGTTTCAAGATACCCCAAGCCTATATACCTCAGCCGCGGTTGATCGTATTCCCGGCACCCTTCGGATTCGCCTCAACGAACTCATCCCATTCACGTGCCTTCATCGTGGCAGCGTCGGCTTGCTCCATATTGTCTTCATCTGGTTCTGGCTGGGGTGCATCCGCATTACCGCCTCCTTCAATTATGCCTCCTCTCCGTCGCTCTTCTTCAAGGTAGTCGTCGATACTCATGGTAGGGAGGTTATGGCCGGGCCTGAACACGCCCTGTCGCAGTTGAGTACGCTTGTCTGTCAGGGTGAATGGCTGAAGTGGTTTGCCTTTGGGATCGAGCAATGGCCCTCCTCGTTTCCCCAGACCGGACATAGTCAGTTGGCCATCAAGCCGCTCCGAGAAGCCATCGTCTCTAATCCGCTCTCTGTGGTCATTTTGTGGTGGTTCTCGTGTGACTGGTTCAGCCTGCCTGATCTGGGATAAAATCTCTAGTTCTTGGGTGATCATGTCCAATGAGGAAAATGTCTTGGTAACACAAAGTGCAATTTCTGCCAGATAGAGGTTTCGAATGGTTTCATCATCGACATTCGACTTGCGTGACTCATTTCTTAGGTACTGTCTCGGTTAACAAGGGCTCGCAAACGTCAAGCGGACAGGCTTCTCTCCACCTACCTCGAGTTTTTGATTGAGGGACTTCTCTTCTTGAAACCGCCCTATCTTGATTTTCCGTCTCTCTTCAGGATTGCTCGAGGAGATTAACCTAAACGAACCCCGCTGTTCAAGAAATCGTTCGTAAAGCTGCCTATCCGGCGGACTAAGGAGGCCGTAGTGATCCAACCGGCTCAAGAAGCTTTCAAACAAGTCGGATGCTTCTCGTAAGGAGGCCTCTCTATCATTTCCATAGAACTTGACTTTCATCTCCGCTAATAAGTAGTCCACAGTGAAGTATCTAAACCCTATGTTTAGCATGAGGATCCTAGCGTAGAAACATGGCTAGTAACATACTGCAGATCTTGTGTTGTGATATCCTCCACTTCCTCGTTCGTACTGAAGAGTGAGAGTTTTCGAATGAGCTGTCGACATTGTTGGAGGTTGTCTATGATCGTCTGCAAGGCCTCCTTGAAAGTTGCCTCTCGAGGGTCGAGAACATCCAACTCGTTCTGACGAGCCTTTGCCTCGTTGAACAGTTCTCTCAGAGATGGTTCGGGGTTGTCCATCGTAAACGCCGTGTTGTCGACGAGGTGTTCACGTCTGTCAGAGAGTTTGGTAAGATGTTCAGCTGTATATCCTTAATCCCACAATTCGTAAAACTGGCCGACAACGAAAGGTTTGGTCATCACTTCGAGGCAGAGAAGTTGAGCCGTCGTCTGCAACGGCCAATCAACGGCTGATTACATCATTTCGAGCCAAGCGTTTCTGCTTACATAACGTCACTTTCCCCAGACCGGTAAATGACTGGAAACTTTTCGAAGAGACAGCCTCGTCCTCAGTGTTTCGCTGTGACTCATCCAATCCCATATTCACCCTCTGGCGCTACTTAAGTCTCGCCACCGCCTACTTGCCTCAGGCGGCGAATGTAACCAATATGGCCTCTCCAATGCCTCTCCGCCACGTCGGCATGGACGACGAGATGGCCTTGGAAAAGAATGCCGGCCTGATCATGGGGGTACGTCACACCGGGTTTTGCACAGATGCCTTACCAACCGGTATCTAATAAGCCTTTCCAGACAAACAACAGCAGCATAGTATCCAAGAGGAGTGTGGAAAGGCTTTACCTGCCTCAGCCACATTTCTACCGCTATTTCGTCAAAAAGCCCCAAAGGCGAGCCCCGACCATTAACCGTGGATATTGGCTTCGCATGAGAGCCATTGACTGGGTGGTAAGACAGTTTTTGGAAAGGTCTTCAGAGCAGAAGAAAGTCATCATCAATCTGGGCTGTGGCTAGTGAGTAAGGATGTCATTAGCCGTTGTCACGGTCCCGGCCCAACTTACACTGTTAGTGACCCTCTTCCTTTCCAATGGATGGCCCAAGACAGAGACCTGTGCGGCAACACCAAATTTATCGATGTCGACTTCGACGAGCTTATGGTCAGCAAGCGAGAGATCATCTTAAACACCCCTAAGATGAAGGATATGCTTTCTTTGACTCCCGATCGACCGACGGAAAAAGGGGTCGTGCTGGATACCGAGGAGTATACCGCACTCGGCTGTGACCTTCGAAACCTGCGACGGCTAGAGCGATTGGTCAGATCTGTTGTTGACATTGACCAATGTCTTGTGCTATGTGTTGCGGAGGTCAGCATCACTTATATGTCTCCCGATGATTCAGATCCTCTTATTGCGTGGACAACCACTCTGTCCCCCGGTATGCTCATGTCGTCTCACCTTGACTTGGGTCTGGCTGATGGTTCTAGATGTGACCTTCTGCTTGTTGGAGCAGCAATGTCCGGATCGACCTGATAATCCATTTGCGGCGGCCATGTTGAAACACTTTGCCAAGTTGGGAACACCTCTGCGTTCGCTGCTCAAGTACCCTGGGAACCATACTCAAACACTACGCTTTCAGGACGCAGGGTACTCTCAAATCGAGATACAAAGTCTATGGGAATTATGGGCTGATCCTAGATTCCTGTCTCCATCGCAAAGAATGTCTCTGGATGAGGTCGAGCCTTTCGACGAATGGTGAGTTGCGTCGATCTTCTGTGTGTATTTCGGTACTGCTACTAATGGCTGGTTCAGGGAAGAATTCGCTTTGTTTGCATCTCATTACTGTCTAATAGTGGCGCAGACTGGTCCTGAGCCGTTGATACCGGAACAACCTAGGTCGAGGCGAGCTTCCGTCGACAGCTTCGCCTCGGATCTTTCGACAAGAACAGTTTCCCCGTACAGAGGACAGACGCAATGGTTTGCATACAAGTTCTCACCCAACCCCAATCAAGAAGGACGAACTCACCACGGCTCGGCATTCTCCATTCCCGGTCGAGATGCCATTGGCCTTCATGGTGGGATAGGCCCTCAGGGCCGTCAGTCGACCACATCAGTCTATGCGCCTGCAGATTCCAACCTGCCATTTCCTCCAGTTCCCCCGGAAGAGATCGGCGCAAGATGTTGTCACACTATAACTTCGCTTGAGAGCGGACAGAATGTGCTAGTAGGTGGGCGTCTGTCACCTTCTGCGCCGTTGAAGGATTGCTGGTTACAAACGGGGTCCAAGTGGGAAAGGATCCAGGACCTTCCCGAACCACGCTTTCGACATCGAGCCGCTGCTGTGACCCTGTCCGACAATCATTATGGTGTTCTGGTGTTTGGAGGCAAGACATCCGCCACCAAGGTCGCGCTAGACTGTCTTCTCTGGGACCAGAAAAATGGGTGGCAGAAATTGAGGTCTCTGCGATCAGACCCTATGCCACGATTTGGGGCGAGTTTTGTCAGGCTAGGCTTCAACCATGGTCTACTATTCGGCGGAATGCGGCACGATGGAGTCATCTGCCAGGGACTATGGAGGTGGAGGCTGATCATCCGAGACAACGTCGTTGCCGGCATCAGTTTCAAGACCTCTACCGCACTGGATGCGTCGGCGGGGAGCTTCCCCTGGTTGTCTCGTCTCGGAGCCTCATACAGCGTGATTCGGAACGAATTGCTTGTTATCGGAGGCGTGGCCAAACACGGGTGTATTCCCAAGGACTACGAGGTTCTTTCTATTCTTGGAAGCTTCTCCGCGTTCAGCGAGTTTGAGAAGGAAATGGAGCTGCGAGTCGCCTGCGTCACACCAAAGAACGACCCGAACGTCCCACGACCTTTTCTCGTCGGCCATTCGTCGCACCGTACCGCGAAAGAGACCACGCTGCTCGTGGGCGGCGGGGCAACATGTTTTAGCTTTGGCTCGTACTGGAATCCTGGGTGTTGGCTGCTCTACTACCAAGAACCAGGCGTGAGTTCACCCTGGGCTCTCGTGAAGCCAACACCGTCTGAACTGTCGCCTAGCCCTATTCCGGCGTCAAAAGAAGGCCCATCGCACCCACCCATCTCAGTTGAGGCCATTCGCCTGTGCAATGAGCAAGACTTCGCCCACGTCCTTCGCGAAGGCACGCCGAAAATCTTGACGTCTCTTGACATTGGTTCCTGCGTGTCAGTGTGGACTCCGACGTACCTTGTCTCCAAGGTTCCCGCCTCGAAATCCGTTGTGGTCCATTCTGCGTCAAGCCGAACCATGAGTTTCCAGCGCAAAGACTTCCTTTACAAAACGCTGCCCTTCCACGAGTTCGTCACTAGTCTCACAAGGGACCCCAATGCGCATATGTACTTGCGCTCGATCTCCAGCACCAACCCGACACAGCTGCCCGCCGACTTGTCGACTGACTGGCCGGAGTTGGCGAAGGACTTTGTCCTGCCGCCCGCCCTGAGCTTCGTGAGAGAAACGCAGCATAGCAGCCCACTGCGTATCAGTGCCAATGTCAACATGTGGCTACATTACGACGTCATGGCCAACGTGCTCTTTCAAGTCCGGGGCGCACGCAAACTCATCTTGTTCCCGCCCGAAGATATCAAGCATTTGTCTTTTCCACCGGGCTCCACGACTTCGACGTTCGACATTTTCGAACCCACGGCCGACGGCCAAAAGAACCACCTCGGTGAACCAGACCGACTAATCTCCATTCCAAACACCCATCCGCATGTCGCAATCCTGCGGCCAGGAGAAGCACTTTATATACCTCCTTTATGGGCACATGCCGGCACACCGATGCCCGCGCCAACAACAAGACTAACACCCACCCCCAAGCAAAAGTCACCATCTCCACACCATCAGTCTACTCCCCAGGCTCAACCGGACACTAATCAGTTTCAACACATACCTAGTCCTCACAGCAAGTCAATCGAGGCATCGAAGTCACCAGCCGACGCCGAATCCTCACACATCAACATCTCTCTAAACATCTTTTTCCGCTCCCTCTCTCCGTCACGCTACGCGGCTGGCCGCGACGTATACGGCAACCGCGATCTCGCCGCCTACGAAGACGGCCGACGAGACGTCGACAAGATCGTGCGCCGGTTTCTCTCCACCAGTAACAATAACCCCAAAAGCGACGCTTCACACTCTGCAGAAACACATTCTGCAAGCCGTAACGGAAATGGAGATACCGACGACCGTCAATGCGAGATACCTGAGGGTATTCCGAAGGCCATTGCCAAAGCCTATCTCGAACGACTCGCTGACGAGTTGAGAGACCGTGCGAAGAAACTGTAGTTGTAGACCATGGACCTGGGCAGCAAAATTCATGTCCATATGCATATTCGAAAGGTTCTCTTTGCATGATACCAGCGGTGGGAGGATTGGAAAAAAAAGAAAAGGATGATCATCATCTGGTACTATACTTTGATATATTAAAAACAGAAAAACAAGATGAGACAAAACGGAAAATAGTAGCTCTGCTACCTTGATATAGCACAAAGTATATAATATATTATCCCCTGCAATGCTACATTCTACTTACAAACCTGATATATTTGAATGTAATCGCTTAAACTGCTTTCTCTCTAGATCAATATAAGTAATGGACTACAGCAACCTCACCTGCTTACGGACAGATATGCTCAAGAGTATATCCTCCTTAGGTAGAAGTAACCTACATCAGCTACAACCAAAACATATACAGTACCTGATAGGTATAGGTATATCTTTGCATGGTCGACACAAACGGGAGGCCGCTGTTCGCTCGACTTTGGCGTTGACAGGTCTCGCCTAGGACACCGAAGACTATAATTATTCCCCCCTATAACTTCCCAGCAGGCGCCATTCGTTCCCCCGTCATGGCCTGCCTGGCCTTAAATTAAGAGCCAAAAGAGCCTAAGGCGCGCACTGCGTTGCCTAGCCAGCTAGCAAACCCCACCTCCAAAAATCTAACATCATAAAATAAACCGTCGAAAAATTCTCCTAATTTCATCAGGGAGGATGGCCGAGGTAAATAGCAACCCGCTCTACAATTTCCCTTTTGTTCCACGACTCTAACATGCATTTGTCTCGCAGTGGTTTAAGGCGGCAGATTTAAGTCGATTATCATATCATGAAAACTTAAAGTTCTCTGCTTTCCGTAAGGAAGCGTGGGTTCGAACCCCACTCCTCTCAATGTTTTTTTTTATGGTCGTTTTGGACCATGGTTGGTGTGTCTGCGTTTTTGCCCCGGAGTCGGAATATCATACCTAACGAGAAGCAGGGGGTGCTAATAACCCCCCGGTTCCAGATCCGGAGCGAAAGAAGGAGAGGATAAGACTTCTAGAGCAAATCATTTTACGCCGGTATATGCTTACAGATCTTGTCAGAAGTCGTTGTCAACCTCGATGTAGCAGATGAAAACGAAGATGAAGATGTACAGTCTAGTCGTCTCGCCGCATTGTTGTTCAACAAGGCTTGTCTTTGCCTTCTACGCTGTCGACTACAGTACTATGAAACGTATCTATTGACCGCTGGTGGACATGTGTATACTATCCCGGTAGTTTCAGACGCCCGTCTAGCAGCTTCTTCCACAACTCTTGTCTATCTCTTTTGCCGTGCCTGGGGGTTTATGCTTCGTCAAGCTAATAAAGTCTCCCCTTCGATGACCTGGATCGTATCACTATCCCGTGCGCGGTCTGCCAGGCTCAGAGTTTCTTCGATTTCAGCCGGCAATATCCTCGACTTTCTTTCCTCCATCTGCCCCTATCGTCCCTTGATGTCTCTCGCCCACGATATCATGAACATGACTCTGAGAGGTCTTCTGGTTCCTGTCCTCCCCATGGCCTCCTTCTTGTCCTTCTCCTTCAAGCCGTAGGTCCAAATCCTCCGCGAACAACTTACTGACCGCCTTCATGGTAGTATTTCCACCACTAAAGACGATCCCGACGTTCCAAACAGCATCTTCATTGTTCTGCTTCTTCTTCTCATTTCCATCCCCAGTCCCAGTCCCCTTCACCTGCGTCCTCTGAGCCTCGGCGACTCGAGCCCGAAACCCTCCATTGAACAAAACCACCGCCAGGCCGACCGCAGCACTAGGCTCCACGACAACCTTGAGCCTCTCATAGACCAGTCGCATCGCAGCCTTGATCTGGTCCTCAGTGACAGCATACAAGGCCTCAAGCTTGGTCGGATCGCTCAGAATCTCGAAATTCAGTACCCCCACCGGCGTGCGCAATCCATCCGCAATAGTCAGGGTTTTGACATGTTCGACGCGCTTCCCCGCCTGCAATCCGCGACGGCCATCGTCTCCGCCTTCAAAGGACGGTTCTGCACCAAACACCCTTGTCTCAGGCTTGTCCGAGAACCAGGTCGCCGTCCCCCCCAGTAGTCCGCCGCCGCCGAGGGGCGTGATGACTGCGTCGAAAGCACTGTCACGGAACGAGGCGGATTGCTCGATATCGGATAGTCTCTTCTGCAGGAGTTGCTCTTCCATTTCGAGGCCTACAGTGCCTTGGCCAATAATGATGTCTGGGTGATCGTAGGGAGGGACTAGGATGGCGTTCTTCTCGGCGATCACTTCGGCCACTACGGCTTCGCGTTCGTCTGACGTCGAGCCGCTGAAGATGACGTTGGGGGTGTACAGTCTCGTCCCGGCGATTTTGGAAGGCGTGCTGATCTTCGGCATGACGATGTAGCTTGGGATGGAGAATGTTGAGGCGGCGAGAGCGAGCGCCTGAGCGTGGTTTCCTGGACATACAGAAAGACAGGGCAATTGTCAGTGTCTGAGTCTCTGAAAATAAGAATAAAAGAGGCATTGAGGAGGTGTATGTGTTGTTTCATCAACTGAAAACGGGGTTGATGCTGCACTATAGGTAAGTATAGCTTGACAGGCGTTGGGAGAATGTGCACATGTATGAGGCAGCCTTCATAGCTTTGCGGTCTTGAAAGGGGGTAAGAGAAATCGAACCCCTGTATAGCCCACACTGCGAGGAAAATGAACTTCCATGGTCTCAGAAGACTTCTCAGAAGACCTGATAACGCCACTGAAGAAGCGTCAACACATCTGGAGATACTGCTTCTCGCTACCTTCCAGGGTGAGCACGACGTAGTGAAGAAGAAGGGGAGGGAGAAGGGGGTGAGATTGAAACATGCAAAACTCGAACCGTAGAACTGAAGTCCATATGGCGGGCGCCCCTGAGTATGCCAGACACCACACAGTAACAAACCATCCACGACCAAGCCCAGCTGACCGCCTCCTAGCAGCAGGAGGCCCCAGAATTGACTGGGAGTGCGTGGCTTGCGACAAACCTAGGATCCAAAGAACCAATATCAAGGCCTAAGACGAAACCAACACCCATGGAAAGCGCCCAGCAAAGAGACTAATACCATCCAAAGCCAGAAAAGACTAAACCCGTCACCTCAAACCTCAAGATCAAGAGTTCAAAAGACCAGAACCAGAAAGAGAGAGAGAGAAGAAAAAGATACCGAATCGACTTTGACTCACCACTACTGTGCGTAACCACCCCTCTCCTCCTCACCTCCTCGACGCCCAATTCCTCAATCAACCTGACCACGGCATGAAACGCGCCTCGGGCCTTGAACGCCCCGATCTTCTGGAAATTCTCACATTTGAAGAACAACCGAAAATTCGGGCCCGTGTGCAAGTTGTCGTTGTCGTTGTCGTTGTTTGACATCCCGGTCTTCTCACTACATCCAAAGCTGGTGGGGGGATCATCAGACAAGAACACCCTCGGATCCACGGCCGAGGCTATCGCGTCCAGACTGTGGCTGGTCAGGAGCGGCGTTGTGTGGACATATGGGCGGATCTTGGAGTAGGCGGTGCGGATTGACGACGGGGTTAATGGGGGACATGTTGACGGGTCTGCCATTCTTTTCTTCGCTTCGGTCGTTCGATAGGTACACTCTCATCAGGAATGCCTACGTAGCTTAGCTAGCCAGGATGTCAGAGCAGATCGGATGGCGGTTGACAAGGGCTGCGATGGAGCGATGGGGTGTGTGGTGTCCAGCAGTGATTGATGCTTGCTGTACAAAGGGGTTTACAACACACAAGGTTATATGATGGTATCAAAGTAGATAACGATAACTAGGTAATTAGGTCATTTGTCTAAGCCGAAATAAGATATCGAATAGGGTCGGGTTGGAGTTGAAATGAACTGGGTCAAGACCTTTACAAAGGCGCGGGCGGGTACAATAATGGTGTGATTGTCGTCTTGTCGATGCCACTAGGAACCGATATATCGAACGTTGCACTATAGTAGGGAGTTAATTCAAGCGACGAAAAGACCTGACCTCGAATAGTGACCAGTCTTTTTATTCTCGAGATAGACACTGCTTCCAGGCGAGCAGAGTTGATATCTGTCATGATTTACAATAGCTCATACGCAAACATGTTATTCATGTCATCGACCAGGACATCCAAGTCACTGGCGTTTCACAAGTGTTCGACCCCGGCGTTGGCAAGACTTTAAGCCCCAGGGAAAGTAGAAGAGAAGACATTCCGACACGGTTTGATGACGAATTTTCATTCAAAGCTGTGGGACGCAGAAGACAGCAACATCGAGCCGCAATAGACAGTCACGCAGTATCCTGCTGGAGAATCCATGGATTCAAGCCTCCCTCCATTTCCATATGTAAAGAGTCACTTTTGCAAAACGCCGTTCCTCTCCTCTTGGTATATCAAGTCACGTCACAGATATTCAGATTGTTTGTGAGTACCAAATTTACTGGTTCTCTGGTCGCAAAGAGCTGCATTTGACATTAGTACTGACCGAGAACTGCGATCGCAAACATTGTGTGACTTACCGAACAGCCTTGCCCGCACGCCAGATCTCCAAGTTGCGGATCTCCTCCATCTCCTTCTCGTACTTCTCCCGGTAGTCGGGTTGGCTGTTGAACTCCAAGCTGCGCTTGGTCTCCTTGCCGGTCTTGACGCTGTCATAGAGCTCATTGAACACTGGCTTCAAGGTGTCCTTGAACTTGCCGGACCAGTCAATGGCACCACGACGGGCCGTGGTGGAGCAAGCGGCATACATCCAGTCCATACCGTTGGCGCCGATCAGAGGATACAGTGATTGAGTGGCTTCTTCAACAGTCTCGTTGAAGGCCTCGGATGGAGAGTGGCCACGTTCTCGGAGAACTTCGTACTGGGCGAGGAACATGCCATGGATACCACCCATCAAGCAACCTCGCTCGCCGTACAGGTCAGAGTACACCTCCTTCTCGAAGGTGGTCTTGTAGAGGTAACCGCTGCCAATGGCGACGCCCAGAGCAACAGCCTTCTCTTCGGCCTTGCCAGTGACATCTTGGTAGACGGCAAGGGAGGAGTTGATACCACGACCCTCTCGGAATAGAGATCGGACGGTTCGGCCGGATCCCTTGGGCGCGACAAGGATGACATCAATGTCTTTGGGCACATCGACCTTCGTCAACTCTTTGAAAACGGGAGAGAAACCGTGGGAGAAGTACAGGGTCTAAACAACAGATCAGCAGGGGTCTTGGGTAGCAGGCAAGCTTGTCACACCTTTCCCTTGGTCAACTGAGGCTTGATCGCTGGCCAGGTTTCACTCTGCGCGGCATCACTGAGCAAGTTCATGACGATGGTGCCGCGAGAGATGGCATCGTCCATCTCAAACAGGTTCTTGCCCGGAATCCAGCCATCTTGTTCTGCCTCTTTCCAGGATGCGCCGTTCTTTCGGACGCCGATAATGACGTTCAGCCCGTTGTCACGGAGGTTAAGGCCTTGACCGTGACCTTGGGAGCCATAGCCGATAAGGGCGAGGGTGTCGTCCTTGAAGTATTCCTGTTCCGCTGTCAGCCACAGGCACTCTCGAAGATGGTAAGCAGGGTGTAAGCATACCAGAAGCTTTTCACGGGGCCAGTCCTCTCGTTCTACACAGAAATGTCAGCAATGTCCGAGGACAGATGGCAACGCCAGGTACGCACCGTAAACCTGCTCCTTGGTGCCGGCAAAGTCAATTGTCTTGACACCTCTTGTCTGCTGCTGACCTGGAGCCGCAAAGACAGAACGCTGGGAAGCTGCAACGATCGGTCTGGTCGACGGAGCAGAAACGAACGAGCGTTTGGGCATCGATGGGGTGCTAATTTTCTGCTTCGACGCAGTGCGTAACGTTCTCGCGAAGGTCTTGGAGGCCATGATGTCTGACTCTTTGTAACGGCAAGAAGGGAGATTGAACGATTGTGAGTCGGAAAGAGTCTGGGGGAATTTTTGGGCGATTCGACCGTTGCCAAAGTTATCCTCGAGTTATTATGTACTTTTTAGTGAGCTCCAATTGCTACAGATTTCACCCGCAGTCAGCATTTCGTCTTGGCTCCGACAACGGGCTCTTTTCGGAGATGTGTTTGTCTCCCCGGCCGGCCACCACTGCACTGCGTCTGGACCCACGACTGTTGGGTCATCAGTATTCAGTTACACATCGCTTGCTCTCAAAGACTAAAGACCCGGGATATGAAGTGTTCAAGTCCGTCCAAGATAGTGTCTTACGCATCGACCTCTGTAATCCCTGCATGTCGCAAGAACCTCTTCGATATGGGACTCGGTTATGCCACAGATTTCTGCCTCTAGGCCTATTCGCTCCAAGATCGCAATGCTTCGAATTCTGTGATGTAGTTGTATGTCCTTGAGTCGTTCATCTCGTCACAGTCCTAAGGTAGATAGGATGTCGTGGCTATCATCGCAAGACTCGGTCATAGCTTACGCCTCTAACCGTTCCACCGCTCATGGCTGTTCTCGCATTCCTTCTGAAACCCTCTCTGTTATTTCTAAGGTCTTCCGCGGCCTCCTTGTTGAGCGGATCGGATGCATTAGGTTCGAGGAAGAGGAACTTGGACTCTAGTCAGCAAGTGGGAAACCATTGTCAGTGAGATCGCCTCGCCTACCTGCATGCCTACGATCACCGCATTCAGATTCAATACTGGTTTCCAATCTTCTCTCAGGATGTTCAAGCAAACATTTCCTTCCAGGTCGATGTTGGGGTGGTATATCTTCTGCGTGCACTTGACCTTGGGCGGATCGTGCGGGAAGTTCTGGTTGATAGAGAAATTGAACACAAAACTTCCCCCTTTGTACATTCCCTCGTCCGGTTCGATTGTGAGAGTGAAATTGAGGATGTCATCTGGGTTCGGAAACGTCGTCTTCATCGTCGATCCCAAGGATAGTTCGCTCAGATCTGAGGTGGTTAGTAATATCATGACTCTGGGTGTCCTGCCAGTTCAGCTCACCTTTCTGGACACGCAGTTGTGCCGCAGTGACCTTCTTCTTTTTTTGAGTGGCTCCTTGTGCTTGTTCATCTTTCTGTTGTTGTTGCTTCTGTAGATTGCCATCAGCCGCTGTTGAGACTGCGTGCCGACTTTCCTACCATGGACCATATTTTCATCATCTTGACGGCTAGACTACGCCACCCCGGCGCGCAATTGACTGTGGACTGCGGCTGGATCGATGCGGCGATGAGGAAAGAGGGATCTTATGTCGTAATTACGCCGGAATTTATGTGCGTATCGGTCAGGGAGAGTGAAAGCTGTGAAGAGGCTTGGGTACGGTGTTGTTGCACAAGTGGCGTCGTGGAAGGGATATGCTAGGTGGCTCACGCGGTGGTGGAAGATGGCCTTAGGAGATGAAGGGAAGCGCAGCGCGATTTAGGTGTACGGATGGCAATCAGTGAATTGTAGGTGTATCTAGGAGCGCAGACTCGATGACCGTCAACTTGCCGGTCCAATACTTGGGGAATATCGCCTTTGGCTCACATGACGCAGCATCGGAACTCTTTACAAGATTATCCCGATTAGGTCGGCCTTTGATTTTACTGACTACGTACTGATTGTGGTCCTTCCTTGAAACCACTTTGTATGGCAGTGACCGTTTTTCGACATTTCGGACATTTCGGTAGATACACCACACAATGCGCCCTATTGTGAGCGCCCTATGCATAGCCATTCCGGCCAACGCTCCATCCTATGATCAGCCTTTACGACCCACGCTTTGCAATGCAGAAACCCTGTCCAGCCTGACTATCGTCTATTGAAACAGCATAACAACCCGGTTCTTCCGAGGAACCAACAGCAGCCGATGAAGCGAACCAGAGACAATGATGCGGTAGTCCACAGGAGGGCTTGGAAGAAGTGGCTCGTCCTGCTAGTGGCCCGAGACTGTCATAGAGGTCAGTAAGTGACTAAAATTCAGTGAGGGCGACAGTCTTACCGAAAACCCGAAGTCGTCAATACTGTCGCTTGTTATTGCAACAGCAAGCAAGGCGTTCGAGAAGATCCATGTCGCAACCAGTCGAGTTCGGAAGTTCTTGTAAGAGTCCTCCAAAGTCTTCTCTTCCTTTTCTGCCGGTGGCTTGTAGGGGGCCAGAGCACGTCGAACAGTCGCCTCAAATTGACTGTCAATATCTGCTTGTGGCTTGTCGACTTCTTCGACAACTGCAGTCTTGCTCTTCTCGTCCTTCTTTGTTTGCGCGGAAGGGAGGACATCAGCCTTGTCTGCACCCTTGGTTCCCCAAGAGACGTCATGCCAATTGCTGAAAGCATAAATCATCAGAATGTTGATGAAAGACGGCATGAGGAGCAGGTATTGAATGAAGGACGTGAACATGTGCCATGGGTCCATGTATAGGAACGAGGCGACAAAGTACAGCCCGAACGTGGCGGCGAGTGCGATGATGACAATTCCAGGTCCGGTTGAGGCGAAGAAGGACTTGACAAATTCATTCGCTCCCTCGTTCGTAACAATATCAGTGCCATCTTTGCTGGTGAAGGCCCGCACCACCAGATACATGGATAAAACGATGACATAGAGTTGAATGAGGCCAAAGAGGCAGAACGAGATGATGTATGCCACTTTGGAGCCCTTGGGTCGATTTCCCAATGCCAGGATGAATTGGAGCAGCAGAAAAGCCAAGTACAGGTATTCCAGGATTGTGTTGACGATCGGGGTAGCAGTGTTACCGAACGGAAAGGCCGAATTGTTGTTGCTGGAGCTGGGTTGGCCCACCAGGTCCATCATGACCTTGGTGGTCAGCCAGAACGAAGCGAGCGAAAACCATGACAGGATGACGGAGACGATGTTGTAAACCATTTGGATGTGGAGAAAGAACATTCGGATGATGTTGTGTCCGGACTTGTACATGCGGGAGAAATGCATCAACGAATAGATGGAGGCGGCAAAGGAGCCGTTGAGCCAACGTCGACGCTGTCCGATGAACTCAGGCGCACCTTCGGGCACATCCGTTTCGGCTTTGGAGGCTTTGACGTAGGTAAGATGCCACTTCGACCCGGCTTTGGCGACCAGTTCAAAGCACAGAATACGATCTTCGGCCAGAAACATGTTCTTTTTGAAGATGTTCATGCCTTCGATACCTTTCTTGCCCAATCTCTTGGATAGAGTGTGGTCGCCGTGAAAATACTGCTCGAGAGGACGACCCATGATGGCTCGGAACCGGTATGCCGAAAATGCGCCGGGCAAGACACTCACGTAGCCGAACGAACTCTCCAAGGGTTTGTCAAGAATGTTGCTGATCTTGTATTCGAAGTTTTGAGCAGCGACCAGGGGATTCAAGAGTTTTCTTCCAAAGACTCCGCCGGGGCCCAACATGGCATGGATTTCACCACAAGCGCCACCCAGGTCTTTGTCATTGTAGAAAGCTTGCCAAAGCGCCATCAACGACTTGGAACCGGGCTTCGTCCCAGCATCGAGCAGGATACAGACTTCCGGGTTTAGGATGCGGCCAAACCCATTGAACAACCATCTGTGAGAATTGATCTTCTTGCTGTTCTTCTGCTTCAGACAGAAAATCATCTGTACAGGCGGCAGGGAAGTCGCGTCGTTGTCATTAGGTCGGATCAATTGTTGATTCGCGGTTACCGAAAGTTGTGTCGTGTATTCGAAGATATGAGCCACCGTCTCCTTGCCATCCACGTCCTTCTTCATGACGCCGTCTTGGTAGACGCCGACAGTGGCTAGCAAGTCGAGAGTGTTCTTGTCGCAGGGGTCAATTCCGTCGAACACGAGACAGACAACGATCTTTTGCCATGCCGGGCCGCCCTTATTCCAGAATTCGGACTTCTTCAGGTTGACGATGTCGCGAATATTTTGCATGACACCATGGAGAGTGCGAGCCGTCAAAACCTTGTCCTCGTTGTAATAGGTAATAGCAATGAGCAGTTCAGTATGCCGGTTGTACATTGCTGGGCGTAGATTGTACCCATTCTTCAAGGTGAAATCATCAGGATCGCAAGTTGCTGCCGTGTACCGCATGTGTGTGAACTCCTCACTGCCGCCTTCAAGGTCATTTCGGTACTTTGACTGAATCGCATTCTGTATGGCACTGGGAACTGGGTAGTCAATACTCAGAACGCTGCCCTGGACTAGTTTGACCTTTCTGGTCGCGTAACGCTTGATTGTCCCGAACCCAGGCGCTTGCCGCTCTCGCCATGCTTCAGTTGAATCGGTTCGGTCAATGGGATCGGGCGGGCCTGCCGGGGGGAAGCCTGCCTGCGCATTGCTCAGCCCATAACCTGGGCCGTATGGTTGAGTATGTTGTGGATTGTAAGTCGTCACTGGCACTTTTGAAGCGTCCCCTCCCACGTAGGATTCATTCAAGGTGTAGACCGACTCTTGTCCCGGGGTCAGAGGTCGAGAGTGAGGATCGTCATATTGCGATTGATATGTGGCGGTTGGATGGAGTAAGGAATGTTCTGCTTCGTCTTCTGAACGGTGGGCGGGAGGTCTGTAAACCTGTACAACATCAGCGTCCAACTCCTCTCACCTTCCTCGCAGTTGCTCTTCACATACATTCATGGGTGGGATGTCATTCAGCTGATGACCTGGGTATGGATTTGCCATATCTCTAGATGCGATGGTTGACACTCCGTCAAAGACGACGATCTGGGGCCACCCAGTACGGGGCAAGGATAGTGATGGACTTCAGCCGGTATGACAATCGAAAGTCAATGATGCTGAGGGATACTAGGGAGTCTGTGTGAAGATGACAGCCGCCAGGGCCGGGTATTAGTTTATGGGATAGCGCTCAGCTGCAAGGTACGAGGGTGATTGATGTGATATCTGTAGATCTTAGATCCGAGGGAGTGAGAATCAGGGGAAGGGCGAGACGAGTGCGGAGGGAAGTGAAGAGTAGATGCGAACAGAGACAAAGAATTCACAACAAGGAGAACAGCATGCACTGTAGTATGAGGGTCCCGTCGATCAGACAAGGAGCATGAGCGACAGAGATGTTTCAGGTTTTCTTTACTACACCCTTGCGAGCCGGTTGCGTACAGTTCTCTGCATGTTTGGGTCTGTCGTCTCCAAGCGACCCATCATCCCCTGAGTGTGCGCAGCCCAGGCGAACATGCAGAAAATAGCTGCGACAACTGAACGCTGACGCTGACGCTGACGACAGGCCCATTTGGCGGTCTCAGCCATCAAGTGGTTCGCCATCATCCAGATGTCACCACCAACGCCGATGGTCTGAAACGCAAAATGATTCGTGCACCTCTCTACTGTCGTCCTTCGAGAACCCGGATGCAGGCTGTGCACGACTTTGTTGGAGGGGATTCGCTTGTTGCGGATCTCGTGGCTGGCGGCTCCTCAGCGGCCGCAACCGGCCACTAGAATTCATTCTCGGGTCGGGCAACGGGTCGCGTTCGCGTTCGCGTCTGCAGCACGACTACAACTGCTTTTGCACCTAGATACCCGATATGCAAGCAGAGTTCAAGCAAGAGTGATGATGTTTGATACAGAGACCTACTACTACCTTGGTACCTAGGTAGGTATCTACAGCTCCCCGTGTCTGAAATTATCAATCTGCAATGCCTTCCTCAACTCTTCTTGCTCAAGAACATGTTGTGAAACATTAAAGCCGATTCCCCCGAGTCCCTGACTCTCGCTGGACCCGCTTGTCGTCTGATGGCGCCGCGGAAGGAAGCGGTTTAGGGCAATGTACTAGTACTGGTAGTACTTGTATACTAGATCCAAGGGGCCCGATTCACCGCGAACAAGTACGTAGTACGTACCTACGTACTACATTTTAAATGGCGGTGCCGAACAGGCCCTAACACAAGACGTGGCAGTGTACGTACTCCATTCCAGCGTTAATTCTCCACTATGCCCTTGAAGTCGTGGGGAGTACAGTATATATGGGGGTTCAAGGAGGATAATCTGCATTGAACTGCTCAACAGCCTTCTCCCAATAATGGCGAGGATTTTGGTGTGACAGAAATGTCGCTTCATAGCAAAGTCTGTACTACCGTGCCAGCGTGCTTGCACTCGTCGACAACTTATTATACCTTGCAGGGGCCACAACAACACGCAGTACTGTCCACAGCCGGGAGGTAAGCAGCGCATATTTTTAGATCAAGGCAGTGCTGGCCCTGGTAGGCGCCGCATGTGCAAACGGTTGATGCATGTCCCAGGACTTGGCCAGCCTCATGGTAGTTAGTATATCAATCACCAGCCACTGCACTTCTCAACTCGATCTAAAACATGCATGAAATCACAAAAAAACATGAATACGCTAGGTGGACTGAAACGTCCTTCATATATCACGATTGGGTGTATTGCAACCAAGCCAGCATCTGCATGTTGATTACATGACTGCCTGCCTCTGTACACAGCACCCAGAACGTGGTTGCGCCAAAAGGAGTACGTAGTAAATGAGGAATGTATGGCCATGGGCCATGTTGCGGTAATTTATATAACAGTGTCGAATGTTTTCTATATGCACATGTCGCAAGTGCTCCCTCATCTTGCACCATTAGGTGTCAAGACTGCGATTGACAGCCTCATCGTAACACTGAAGCCACGTACGAAGAAAGTCAACCAATCTGTGAAGTGCTGTCAAAATGCCCCATCACTCAATATTCCTCGACGAGACAGCTTGGCCTCCCTAACCATTTATCGAGAGACTTGAAGAGATAGGTTTTTAACCAACAATGGTATAACATTCCGCATACGTTGATGATGAAGGGAATCGACATCGCATCTCTGAGGCCATACAGTTTACCCATATATGTGTGCAGTGATAGATTCACCCATCGGCTAAGAAGTCTAGGAGATTCGAGGCTCAAACTCCCCTTGCAAAGAAAAGTGTTTGAGCGCAGCTGGCGCGTTTCCCTAAGGGCGTTAATGGGGCTCTTGGAAGGCTTTAGGGTGCCGCGCGTTGCGGCTGTCCACCAACAGCAGGCCCTGTATCTGTGGTGCGGGCTCCTCGGGCTTGTTGGACGAAGCCTAAGGGTGCCCCTTCATCTCCCTCAGATCCTTTGGCGCATTGGTAGGCCGGCAGTTAAGACCAGGTTATCCCAGTACTAGTGGATGCCTGTGGATGGTTGCCCTTCTGCTCTGTGCTTCGTGAGTCGTCAGCAGCCATGTTGTCAAGTAGAGATGCCTCCTCTGCCCAATAATGCTCACTTCTACTGCCCACTACCACCGTCCTTGTGCCCTTGTTAGGTGGCATTCCCCCAGTCACTTTAGGTCGAGAACGCGAGATCTGCTCCCTCTAATGAGACATTGGCATCGACCACCTTCACCTTCACCTTCCTCTTTCTCGACATACACGAATTGACTTTATTCCTCCAATTGACCTACCAACTTCCATTCAATCTTTCAATTCGACGTTTTTCGATTCTCTATCGGCCTTGTTGTTATTGTTGCCGGCACCCGACCGTCCCACATTCTTTCGTCTGTTTTCGGTCACCAGAGCTACCGCGGTCTGTCCGTCAATCCGTCCGCGCGACTCTCCTCTTCTTCGATTCCATCAAGCAGCGGAAACCCATCACGATTTCCAATACTACGGCGAATCCCTCATCTGCCAGACAGTCCCGAAGATTGAGAGGGTGGCAAAGCTACATATTGAAAGCGGCAAAAACCAATCGCTGGTTCATTCTTCATTTTCCACAAAAAGGGGCGGTTCATGCCTCAGCCTGGAACTCGAACTTTTACCCACGCTCCTGTGCCGTGAGGCCGTAGGCTCGATTTCAGAGGGCAGTTAAAAGTGTCAACCCTTCTTGCGGCGCTGTTATGGAGTCGATACACTGTACAACAACCTCTACTACCATGCCACGGCCTCTGCTAACACACCATGCAGATCACGATCGTGCCGCTCATCCTTTGTTCAGACGTTGCCTGCAGTGTCCTCCAGATCCACCCAGCTGCCCTGCTTGCGCCGCCGATGAGACATGCTCGCTAAAAGTCCAATCGTGCGATGCGTGTGCCTCGACGACATGCGTGAAAATCGGCTCATTACCGGGACAGAGCGCCGACCCGCCTAAGAAGTCGAAACCGATCGGAGGTATAGTCGGAGGCGTCATCGGTGGGCTGGTAGCACTCGCAGTGGTTGGCTTTTTGGTCTGGTGGTTTTGCATCCGGAAGAAGAGACGCGTCGAGACTTGGTATCCTCCTGAGAAGAGAGACCAATCTACTTTACACCGTGCAGACCGTCGTTCCACGAGATCCGCGCACTCTATCGCCTCCACCGTACTTACACGAGCATCGAATGTTATCCAAATCGCCTATATCCCTGGAGTCACCGTTCGATCTCCACCAGAGTCTCCGGCCTTTCAGGTACCACCTGTACCTGCACTCCCTGGCGGCCGAGGACCCAATTCGACCGCATCAACACCGCATTTGGAGCAGCATTTCTTTATGCCAGGAGATCTACGGGATTCAACTTGGTCGGACACATCTTCCCTGGACCCTCGGATAAGTTTGGCACCAAGCCTGGCGCGTGAGAGTGTGGCTACTACCATCTATCGTAGTGATGCCATTGTCCCTCCTATACCGGCTCAACAAGCGTTCCGCGCCCAAGCCAACGTTGTGAGTGTCAAGTCTGGACACAGCACTCCTGGTGCTTCGTCAAATTCTAGCTCTAGGACCCCGCAAGTTCCACAACTACCTACATTGGGCAACAGCAATAGTTCGATTGTGGCTAGGAATGTCACCGCCCGCCCGATCGAGGTCAAGAAGGTTAACTCGGGGACAAGGGTCCCCACGTTGGCCAACCTGGCAAAACAAGCTTCCAGGAAGAGTAACACACCAACCTCACCGGATTCAAAGGTTGTGCCTGTCTATTCCGACGAAAAAGAGGTTGTCGTGGGTTCGTCTAGTACCACGCCCAGTTCAGACAAGGACGAAGCTTCCATAACGATACCCAGGCCAGCCTTTGCCGGCAACCATTCAGCAAGGTCCTCGTCTGTCAGTGCTGTCCCACCGCACACGCTTACGGCCAGCACGTTCGCCGGAACAACACAAAGGCATACAAACAGCAACACTTCCAATGTCAATGCCATGATCGAGGACGCGATCAACCGAGCTCGAGACCCGCAGCATATCGGTGTCACCAGTCCAGCAGTTCGTCCGGAACTAAACAAGCATGATTCAGGGCCCTTTTCAGATGCAAATGAAGTCAAGGAGAATTTCCCTTGATGCTAGATGTTTTTTTGACTACATTCGACGACAGGCCTCGCGGCCAATTGATGATCTTTTTGGGGCGACTGAGGATATTTGGATACCATTTAGCAGCGAGTGTGTGGACAGGACCACGAATGAAAGAGAATGAAAGATTTCTACCCAGTAACCAAGTTTTGATCCTTCTGTTTCTGCTTAGGCATGTGTATGCGTGAGTAGAGACGTCTTTTCCAGTTGCTTCCTCCCAAGATGCGCCTGGTAAGTCTCAACCTCTCCTGGGCTTCGGAGTTCTCGGCGAAGGCGTGTACAGCCGGCTGGCTTGACTACTAGACGTTGTGTAGCCCTTGAAGAAGCTGTTAACAACTGCAACATGCCACCCTCAACTTGGTAGTCAACCGGCGACCACATACATACCTACCTAAGGTATCCAAGTATCATGGATGGGCTGTATAATGCATTAGGGGACCAATGAATAGACAATCCCCTAGACACTGCATCCCTTACATTTTTCTACTAGGTAGTAGTTATGTGTCAAGATCGAGACATCCATCGAATGTCACCGTGAACGGGCCTAGACAGGTGCGGTCGTTGCTTTGCAATGACCCGAGACCCTCTGCTCTGACCTGTACAGGCCTAGGCGCCGAGCATGAGGAAGGATGAATCATGAACAGGATCACCGACAGCGAGTGCAAATGCCGTCCCCCAACATCCTCCTTTGACTTCCTTCAATCGTAGTCCTTCTTGATCATTCGACCACCAAGTCCCCTATGATGGTCTACGAGATAGATTAGAAGCAGAATAAGGAAAAGAAAGTAATGTTTGGCACGCAGGTGACTTTCCATCCACCACGGGTCTGACGGAAAGCCTTAAATGTGCCTCTGACACAGTTTGGTCTAGTTCGCAATATGACCTACCACCCTACAGTCACAGGAGATACCTGTATTTAGGCATCCTGCAAAGGGACAGCGGTTGATTAATTGCGTTCAGATCTGTTTTTCATGAAGTGTGAAGAAAAGGAAAAAGAAGAAACAAGAGGATCGAGTTTCGTCGTTTGGAGTTTTGATGCTGTCCGCACTGGCAGGCCCTGCAGCGGCAAACTAGCCACGGCACAGGCTTGGCAATATGCAGTCCGAGTAATCAATCCTACTTATAATCTACTTACAACAAATGCATCTCAATAAGGCCCAGAGGGCCAATTGGGGGATGTGGTCTAGTGGTATGACGTGTAAGCATCATTGCCTCCTTAACGTCTTCCGACAGTCAACTAATAAATCTGCAGTTCCTTAGCAGTCGTTCTCATACGATTGGAAAAGGTTCTGGGTTCGATTCCCAGCCTCTCCAATAAACTTTTTTGGGTCCTGGGATTTTTGCTGTTTTTTAGGAGCTTGCAAAAAGGCACTGCATCCAACTTCAACACTACTGATCTCTTGGCATACAAATAATCCTTCAACATGAAGTTCTCTTTTTGCTTGACAAACAGCTCCTTCCAGTTTTTCATCTACAACCAGCTGATGTCATGTTATGAATGATGTCTTCTGCAGCGCTCAATCATGCTTCCAAGAATGATTCCCATCGCTGGGCCAGGGATTGTGTGCATCAACGCAACGACGCTTCTTTCATCCCGGCACGATCTGAATGATGTTCATGTAAACAAACACACCACACGTGGAAGCATCTTGATCCTTGACTCCCATGATCAAGGCGTGGATCCAGGGGGCCTTCCAAAAGCCCCAATCGCAAAGTGGAAGAATGAAATCTGGCTTTTAGCAGGGCCTTGTCTACTCCACCCTGCTTCTTCTTGTCTTTTGATGGAGATGCAGGACTATTTATACGACAGACATGATGAACTAACACTCAAACACTCGATAAGTGACAACATTTTGATGCTCTTGTCAGGGACGCACGAATGAACCGAGCTTCGCTGGAGCTCTTCGCCAACACGATTATATTGCAACGTTGGCCTATATGGCCTGGTGAAAGCTCGTTGTGGATAGATTCGGCTGCCCGTTTCTGGCCTTCTCTTGGAAGACAGCAATGAAAGTAATTGAATCCCGATCTCAAGATGATCGGTCTGGCTCCTACGCTTTCCTGTGTCTCCATGAAGAAGATGACATGGAACAAGGACCAAAACAGCAATCCATGACCATTCACTCACCTACCTTCCTGCCCTTCCGTTGGGCCCTGTTGTTTACTTGGGAATATGAGCATTCAATGATGACGCTATATACCATGACGACGCCATATACCTCTTAGTAGACACAGCAGGGTCGGTGGGCAGACTAGAAATCCCTTCCCATCGACACGTAAAAATCCCTATGTGGACGTCTGAGAGGTGAGATCGCTGTTGACATTCCGCAAGTACCAGAGGGAATTAGGCCGGTGAGGGAAATAATATTGTGTGGTCGCAAGAGAAGTCCTCTGACACCGACGGTGGTGATGATGGTTCGAACTCTGAGAATCCGAGCCATGAGCAAGTCGAGGCAGCCACTCAAGGAGTAAAGGAAAAGTCAGACCACAGGAAACATACCATTAGTTTGAAGAGGCGAGGATAAGCGAAAATGGGGAAATGGGGAAATAAGGTGGCAACACGCGACGAGAAGGCGACTGTTGTATGTTGAGAACGAGACCAGGTAGCCAACACGAGTTGATACGGGGAATTTTATGGGGTGGTTGGGTTGACGAAATGCCCCAGCCCAAAGTGGCCTGATTTGTCCCCTTCAGGCGGGCGAGAGCCGACCTTTTTCTGTTCTGTTTACGGGAAAGCTGGGGGATGGTGGAGGAAATATTCCCGGAGAAGCGGAAGTACAGGAAGATGATTCTGTTGGTTGTGTTCACCCTGGACATACATGTTGAAAAGCGAAGCTTTCTGACGGCCCAGGTTCCGATACTTGACAAGCTGTAAGGCTGGATTTCAAAGTGCAAGTTACTTTTATTATTAGCCCGGACAAACCGTTATTGGTGTTGTCGATTGAATCAAGTCTAGAATTCGCGGGAGAATTTCTAGGAGGGTTTCTAACACTCTGGAGAATTGTCAAGGGACCTTGGTGTGTCTGTCAAGAGTGGATGGCCTGTCAAGCGGTGTACGTAACTCACACACCATGGCTAATCACTGGGGCAGCAGCACAGTCCAGTGCTGCGAAGTGTGGTGGAGAGAAGTAATTTCACAACAGCCTCGACCGTCAAGTTGAGAGTCGAGACACACTATTATTTGATGCCCATGAGGGACATGACATTTGACGTGAGCAAGCGTGGATCTCACATGCAAACTGAGGGTCGAGGACAACAGAACAGTGGTAACGACACCCTGGATACCAAGGGAGAGAGATGGTCACTAGGAGTACCGGGAAGGTACTCTGTCAGTAGATGCAGAGCACTTGCTGCCGTAGTAGGTGAGTACAAGTTACTACTACAAGACTGGGGAGGTCAGTAGTAGTAGATGTCTTCAGCTGTTGTACGCGGGGGGTGTGTGTATGTGTGAACTGTGTACTATGTAGCCGGACTGCACTGGTAGCAATCAATTTATTCCGGCCGAGGCTCGATGACGACGACGACAGCGGCCATAACAGTGACAAGGATGATCAATAAATCGAGTGGCCATAAATCATATTAGGGAATGTTTGTGTGTGCGAACAATAATAAAAAAAATCCTCCCGGCGGCTTCCTGGATGGTGGCTGAGTTGCTGGAAGAGGCGACATACGAGCAAGACGGCAAAGTACAACGGTAGATGTATTTCGATCACTCTACCATCTTCTCTCCCTCCGCAGTGTTCCTAACCACCAGCCTCAGGAGCTCAGCCTGACAGAACAACTGATGATGATGATGTATAGAGTACTATACTACCTAGGTAGTAATACATGGCGTGGCGTGACGGATCTCGCGGAAGGCACTTCTCTGGTCTCGGTCTCTAAACTACACCTTCCGAGGCCGAGTCTAGGAATAGGAACAGGAACAGGAATCATCCCCAAGCCAAGTACCAAATTCCTTGTGGCGTCAACTTGCCTCCTAGTAGTATTCGTCTTCTTCTTGCTATATCTCAGCTCCGTTCGCCCGCCATACCTAGGTAGTAAATTCAAAACGAGAGCTGAGGATGAATGATTGTTTGTTTGCATGTTCAAGACCACATTCTTACTCTGTGCATCCTCCCGTTCCCCTGTCGGATATCAGGCTAAACAACCCCATCAACTAATGACCTCCAGGGATTTGCCATCCTGGTCCCAGACTCCTCTCCATCTTTCATCTCCATCTCCGTCCCCATCTCAATATCCAGCCTTCGGACCAATCCCAATCTGGGCATTCATCCATTTCTTCCCCCGTCATACTAGCTTCTGTAACCCTTTCTCTCCCCTTCCCCTTTCCCTTTCCCAGTCGAGACTCCTCGCCTGTTGCCCGCCCGTGCCCTCCTCTACGATCCTTGTCTCCATTATCGAATACGGTGTCCACGCCTCCTACTAGTTGTCGAATAGACCAGGTGGCATCGCAAAGCCGTGAGCAGCATCCCCGGGTGGTCAAGGCTCAACATGTCATCTGCTCACCTGCTCAACTCACTAACTGCTCATCACAATCCAATCCAATCCCATCCCTCAACTCTCCGCTCTCTCCCTCTTGGCTCGATTCAATTGATCCCCATCCACTCTCTCGTCCTGAAGTCCTCTTCTTCCATCTCCAGATCCTCCAGACCTTTCCTGGTGTGCCACGGGACGACCAAGGGTCCCCGCCGAGTTCCGGCACTTGTTTGTGCCCTTCCCCAGAATGAACTATGAATCACCCTTGCCTGCTGCTCGGTCTGATCTTCGTACTGGCTCACGGATACTTAAACAACAGCATCCCATCCCATTCCTTCGCCTAAGTAGCTCGTAAATCCTCCTGTCCTCAGTCTCTCATCCCAGCGTTGACCGCTCGTCGAGTTCCAACTTTCAAACAACAGCGTCCTCTTGATCGATACCCATCACTTCCATATACATACCATGGCGACCAACGCAGACCACAATGACTTCAGCAATGCTGCCACCCGGACCAATGTCATCAACAACGGCGGTAGCCCTGGCTCTACATCCCAAGATTTCGAAAAGGTGACTCGCGGGATGAGCCATGAGGAGAGGGTGGCCGCTCAGAATGCCGCTCGCTTTGGTTACGGTCCTTTGGCGAATGTGAGCAACGATGCCGACGCCACTCTGCCAGGTAAATTCTGATTCCTGATTTCTTCTCGAGAGCAACAACCTCGAAATCACTTCACAGAACAACTCATTAACGTTTTGCGCCTTTAGCCTTCGGTGGTGAGTTCCAACCCGGTCTATACCGGTCAGTCGCCGAACGCAAATTCGCCAATCCCGCTCCTCTCGGTCTCTGCGCCTTCGCCTTGACAACATTCGTGCTCAGCTTGATCAATCTGGGGACTCGGGGCGTGTCGGTACCCAACATCATCATTTCGCTGGGCTTTGGCTATGGTGGCCTAGTACAACTGTTGGCGGGCATGTGGTATGTATTATGTACCTCCTGAGCATCTCGATCCTTTGGGGGTTTGCGCTCTTCGATTTCTTTCACCAGGCTAACCAGCAACGTCAAACACAGGGAAATGGCTGTTGGCAACACGTTCGGTGCCACTGCTCTGTCCTCCTACGGTGGCTTCTGGATTTCCTTCGCCATCATCCTCACCCCAGGCGGCTTCGAGATCGAAAGCACAATCGAAACCGCAGCCGGTAGCAAGACCTTGCTTGATTGCATAGGCTTCTATTTGATGGTATGATTTGGGCGTTGCGCAAGAAGCGCTGTCTCCTTCATACTCTAGTTCATACTAACTTGATGTTCTCTTGCAGGGCTGGTTCATCTTCACAACCATCCTCCTCTTCTGCACCCTGAAATCCACCGTCGCCTTCTTCATGCTCTTCTTCACTCTCGACCTGTGCTTCCTCTTTCTGGGCATCGCCTACCTAGAACACGAGAACGGCGCGCCCAGAACCAGCTGCCTGCGCGCCGGAGGTGCCTTTGGCATCCTAGCCGCCTTTACGGCCTGGTACAATGCCCTCGCCGGTATCGCCGACACTTCCAACAGCTTCTTCATCATTCCCGTCGCCCACTTCCCGTGGTCGGAGAGGGGGAAGGCTGCGCGCTCGGTCCACAAGACGGAACATACCGCATGAGCGAGTCAGCACGGTATCGAGGTCGCATACAGCGGCGATGAATGGAATACGAGAAAATGTCTCTCTTCTTGCGTGTCAGCGTATACGGGCTGGAACACGATTTTTGCGACGAGGTGACTTGGCTGCGATGAGTTGGACTGTTGGGGACCTATTTTACGGCAGGCGTGGAATTTCTATGTACGCAGGACAACCGTCACGATTGAGGATGTTTGAAGAAGTGACGAATTTTTGGGACTACGGAGTATATCTGTGACTCCGGATCATGCTATGAGATACTACTAGTACCAAGTTGTACATTCCCTCTCGGATACCCCTTATTATCATGCGTTACGCTTGCCTGGTATTGTATTTGTGATGAGCAGACAAAAAGATTGTCAATCCTTCTATGTTGAATACCGAAAGGATCAAATTGAAATATGACTTGCCTGATACTCAAGTTTGTTTTTGGTTCTATCAGATACAGAGAACTAGGTTGTTGGTCTGATGTCTCCTCCCTCCCGACGGTAGTCTCCTCACAAATTAAGGTGGTGTATGGAGTAGAGAGGTACATGTACCAGACAACCAAGGTCACTTAGATCTTGAACCTTGAACCTTCACAACGGCCATAACGGCCATACACTACACATTTTCCAACTAAGTCAAGATACTGCCTACCTAGGTAGGTAGGCAGTACTAAGGTAGGTAGGTTGCCCGCCACTGGCAGAGACAGACCATCTCTCAGCATCCAAGTCTTTCTCCTCGTGCAAGTTCGACAATACTAGTACCACATGATCGATATTCCGCTCCTTAGTAGTACGTTATACTGTGCAATTGTCACGCGCAACTGCAGTTGAACGATCCGACCGGACCGTTGGCCTAAGTACGTAGGATGACGTTGTGATATCTTTGATTGGGGGCCAAAGTTGAAGCCATGACCACTGCACTGCACTGCAATCCCCACTGCACCCCATGATCCATGACCCATGATCCATGCCAGTGCTCCATGATCGTTTGATCCCCGGAATTTCCGTGCCGAGGTACTACGTAGTAGTAGGTACCTTAGTTTCCTTTGATACTACCTGTAGGTACCTGACTGACGTAGGTAGATACATTACCTGGTGATTAGGTACCTTCTCCTCGAGTGTGAGAGATGTGAAACTGTATGTAGACATACATCACTATACTAAGGTAAGGTACCTTAGGTAAGGTATCAGGTACTGATTCAAGATGCACCCCCTCGAAATGCTAGTAGTAGTAGGGGAAATGGATTGGCTTGCTTGCGTGCATGCATGGAATCAGTTGCTATGACGTTGGATATGTATTGGATACCTGGTAGGTAGCTTAGTATGGTCTTTCTATATTGGATTTCAAGATACTACCTAAGTATTCTTCTCGTTATGCAGTTATGAGTCCTGTCTAATCGAGCGGCAAGCCGCCGTTAAGTTGTCCATAACTCTACTGTGTTCGTTATGCCTTTCTGTTTCTGCCTTCTGCGCCTGAACCTAAATGCTAGTAGGGGGTAGGTATTCATGCTGACTTGGAGAAATAAATGATCGCTCTTGAACTTGACAACCGAATGCTGACACCGAAAGCCGAAGCCCATTGTCGACAACTCCTCTTGTGGCATGCTTGAAGATGGATCAAACCTTCAAAGTACCGCAAATGCGCTGACATAGCTGACACTGCTGTCCCGGACATTCACGGCGTCACTGCTCCTTTCGTACCTCATGAAGCGGAATTTCCTTCTGGTCGGATCAGTATTCGCGTTCGCAGCCTCGTTCTGGCTCTTCTCCCTCTCCAACCGCTCAATTTCTTCCACACCAGCCATGAACACTCCGATGGGGTGTCTGCCACAAATCGTGTTTCCCGTTTCCCTAAGAACACCAAGGAACTCCGAATGCTTCCCCGTGGCAATGGCGCACATACAGGCCCTGTCCACATGTGCTATGCTCTCATATATCTGAGGGCCCTCCTTTGGGATTTTGCTGTTTGACCTGAGCTCCTCCCCTTGGCCCAGCGTCGGCATCTTGTGGACATCTTCATTGGTCGACCCTTTCGCCGTGGTAAATTCTCCTCGTACACCGTTCGGAAGCATCAGCGGCGACAAGGCCGGACTCGGTGCGTCCCGGACGTAGTATGTATACCCGAACCTACTACCCCAGTGACAGAAGTCGGATGAGATGACAAAGGCGTTCTCCTCGTCTGCGATATATGGTGCCAGCATCTTTCCCAGAGCTTCCTCCGTCGCGGCATTCGTCCCGCCCACCATTATCGGCACTAGAGGGGGATACGAGGACTCGGACTGGTCAGGATAGAGTTTCTGCAGCAGCCGGTGGATATATGGCAGTTGCATTTCGGCGCTGTGCTCCGCCTCGTCGACCGATTGGGACATGGTGGTGAACTTCACCGTGCGGCCTTGTACGGTGGTCGACAGGCTGGACAGGTGTTTGATGGTTTCGTGATCGAGAGGGAGGGGTGTTTCGGACAGAGGAGTCTCGTATGCGTCCACAACTGGTAGGGCCGCCGTGCTTAGATGGTGGTGATGGGATGGATGGAGGATGAAGATGCGCTTGGCTTTGGAGAGATCCAGACATTTGTACGCCCATGCTGCACAAGGGCCAGAATATGCGTATCCGGCATGGGGAGATATCACCACTCTTGCACCAGGTAAGGGTAGTTTCTCGACTCCAGGCAGAATATCCTTCTCGGGGACTTTCGACAGCCAGAGGTCCAGTTGGGTTGCGAGTTGTCTGCCATTGCCGGAGTACCATGAACCCGCATGGGAGGCTTCCCTGACCGTCATAATGGTCGACGAAGGCAAAACGAATCCGCAGAAAGAGGTATTATAGACGTCGTAAGCAGGGCAAAGAGTCTCGAAGTCGTCTCGTGCCGCAAAACTACAGGTGAATCCTAGCAGTGGTGGATGGTGATCGATGTGGTCAATGGCGGGGTGGGTTTGGGGGGAACAAACAATCGTCTGGGGGCTTTCTGCCCCTCGTCATTATAAAATAGAGCTCTCCTTCAGCCTCAAACATTCGCACCCCATCCTCGTGAAGATCGAGCACTCATTCTTCGTCCGTACCTAATGCTTCCCAGATGGGTCCAGACAGAGAATTGATTCATGCACACACATCAATGTCGAGCGTGTGTGTTTCGGAATGACAGTGCGTATCTTCGATCGTCCGACTAATATGTGTTAGCGGCGGTGCGCCCAGCCACATCCTCCCTGCCATTTGAGTCCGTGGTGAGAAGTCCGACACGTCGGTAAGTACTATCAATTATAGGCATGATATAATCCGCGACGCGCAAAGTGGTTTTCCCCATTCCACACGCGTCGTTATCTCTTTCTCATCCCAGCTTCCTGCGCGACCACCAATTCTCCCTAGGAATACACAACTACGTACACTCTCAGCTCAGCTATTCAGAGAGGCCACATTGGAACACTCAAAAGAATGGGCCTCAAACGCAAAGCCCTGGTGCTCGAAGATTTAGACACGCCAATATACAACTTCGGAGAACCGAACACAGGCATTAGCTCCTTTTCGTCCCCATCATCCACCGATACTACGCATTCGGTTACCGACGACGGTCATGCTTCGTATCCTTTGAAGTCCTGCAGAATCGACAGCGTTCCCTATTTCAATTGCCGAACGCGCAAGCGACACCGCGACGGCCGGCCGGACGAGGCGACGATCCACGAACACACATTGAAGCAACTGTACGATGCGCAGAGGCTGCATTTGGACGAAACGATGCATCTTCCGGAGGAGGACATGATATCGGTAGACGGACTGCATGGCGACTATGACCGTGCCGACGCAGATTCGGACGCGGATATGCTCGACGATGAACAACCGATGCTTGTTGAGCTTCCGCAGGCCACGCAGCCAAACCAGAAGACGCTGGACGCATTCTTTGGCCGGAGAGAAACCCACAGGGCTACCACGATCTCTCAACAACAATTTCAAGCGGCAAGACCAAACTCCGAGCATAATAACGGTCACACAATAACGACTACCCCCGACGACTCGATGTACGCCCAAGACCAGCATCAGAGCCAGAATCAAACCCGTGTGGAGCCGAGACTATCCTACGATCGCCGCGAGATTCCGGAGCCATCTATGGGATATATGAACTGGAGGAGTCAATCTTTGCAATACCTAGATGCTGTGATGGGCTTCCAGTAATGTTGACCGATAACAAGTGACGACATTGGAACCCGAACATGGCACAAAACCACACCATTCATGGGGAATGGCTCAGTGGAAAGAGGAGGGCTGGATGGAGCTGGGGTCTTTGGTCTTTGCCGGAGAACTAGACGCCTTATACTTTGTTTTGCGTTCAAGCCAGAACCGAGACAGCGGAAGGATAGTTTCTGGGGTTGTGTTTCGCGATGGCATGAAGTCGGTCTCCCTGTTGTGGATGGATTGTGGTGGGAGTGATTTCAGATATCATTAGCCTTTCGCAAGCGCCACCAGAAGCTGTTGACAGGGTGTCACGCCTGTGTTGCGCTATGTGAAACAAAAAGGCTTTTTGGGAGACTGAATATCTGTCGAGGGAAACGGGAATACCCAAAAATGCTATATCCCATTGGGTTCTCTTGGACATTCAAGATATCCCGCGAGATCGCCTTCAACCGGCGGTTCCATGCTATCTGCCTCCTGTTCGTCCCGGGTTAGCTTGCTCGAATCTTTCTTCTGGCTTTGGAGCCGATCGAGATGGGCACTGCAATGCCCGAGTGCGTAGACTCCTTGCTCCGCACTACGGACTCCGGATCTGAGTTGCGTGAAGGCTGGCGGTATAATGGGTACCTGTCATTGTCATTGTCATGGGTTCCCAACACTTTGAGCACTTGCCCCGCGGCAAATATACTTGGAGCGCACATCCGTGCTGAATTAGGAGTATCCGAGGATGCTGCTCAGACAACTGTGTTTCCAGGGACAAGCATGGGATCAACATAGGACTGCGAATGATGATTATTGAGCAAACTCCGCTTCACACTTAGTGGTTGACTATGCAACGCCAGCAATGCCTCATCCAGCCAGGACTTTGAAAAGAAACAAAAGGGAAGCATATTACCATATGCCAGCCTCAAACTCCCGAACTCCTCCCTCCCATATTTCATGTCGTGACCTCATGCCGCTGCTTTGTATTAAAGGCATCCCCTTTGACTTTCTTGTCCTACGCTTTGCACATAACACAGTCCACGTTTCCACCCCTGAAAGGATTGAGCTCGGTGCTTGTATCGGACGCAAGCCCTTCTTTCACATACTCACGACAAACCCTTGCATGCGCAGGGAAGAAGTGCAGACCTCGCTTTTCAATGACACATCTGCCCGTCCTTGGATATCATCAACTGGTACAACCCGATTGACTGTTGATTTCTGCTTCAGCACCTAGAAACCACACCTACCTCAATTTGCATACCGAACCGAGACCAAGCTCGCTCATGGAGACATGGACATCGTAGACTCGGCATCGCCGCCATCAGCAGAAGAGGACAAACTTCGAGCAGCTTCTCCTTCCGCAACCCTAGCGCGGCGTTGCTCCCTTAACGCCTCTCCAACTAAAACGTTCATCCGTTCCGAATGCACGTTTTGCATCTTGTTCATTTCGCGTTGAATCTTCTGGAAGTTCTCGAGAGCCCTGTCTCTTGCTAGCTTCTTCTCCTCGCAGACACGACCTAGAGACACGACATCTAGCGGAACGCCATGATTGGCTTCTGCTTGTGCTGCCAAAAGTCTTCCCTGGGCGTTGATGTTTTCTTCGCGGGTCCGATTTTGCTCGTTGTAGGCAGTCCGCAGTCGATCCCTCATTTCCTCGAGCTCCGTCATTTGATCCTGTCGAGCTCGGGTTATCGCACGTCTTGTCTCGGGGGTCAGCGTTGCAGGCAGCGCGACTGCGGAGCCTCTTGGCTGGAAAGTTGTGTAATGAGCTCCTCCTCTAGGTCGTCGATATGCGGGCCGCGAGGGTCTGGCACTGACGTTGAGTTCGATTCTGGAGTCACCCTTCAAATGCTCGGGTGCGTCGAAACTTCCCCCTTCATCCCAGGCCTTCTCGTTGACTGGCGGTACCACGTTATTCAAGGTACGTCTTGCATCAATACTGCGGCGGCACTTCATGCACGTTCTGCTCTTGGAATAGGTTTGAGAGTTGACCCACGCCGACAGGCAAGAGACATGCATGGCAGTGTGGCAACAAGTGATCACCGCCATGAAATTGTCGGGTTCGAATTCTAGCTGACATGCGGGACATTCCCTCTTGTGGTCTTCCAAAGCTTTGATGCTATCTGTAGTGGCTCGACTGAGAGTCAGCACGATTGCAGGCTTCGGTGTAGACGGTTCTGGTGGAGATCGTCGTCGAGGGACAAATTCATTCGTGGCCGGGTTCGGAGGTTGAGGTGGTCTATTTTCATCATGACCGAGAATAGCATTACTTCCAAAGTGGCTGGCCATCAAATATCTGGTGGACTCGGAGACGCGCCCCGCAACTTCCCGCAAGCGCTCATCTGAAAAACCAGTGGAGAGGTGCTGGAAGAAGTCGTCGGGCAGGGTCCGTGGATGCATGGGAATGGCCGGGGGTGGACGTGGATGCTGATAAGCAGGATGGCTGGTCACTTCAGAAGGTCGTTGTGGCGGCTGGGCTGTCGAAGGTGCGGTGGGAAAGCTGTAGGGTAGTGTGAATGCCGGGACAAGGCCTCGCAAGTCTTGGGCAAACCCGCTCCCGGAGGCGAGGTATTGCAGTGCCGCATCTTCCTCCCAGAGAGCACCCGAAGTCATCGGCGAGGGCGGCGGCAAGAAGGAGAAAGCGTCGTTGGGATGGCCATAAAATGGAGCGTAGTGTAGATTTGGAGGTGGTCCAGCAATGTTGGGAGGACGAGAAGAGTCAGCCATGTTTCGAGAAGGAGCCGGTTGCTCTTCCAGCCTCCGACGTTTATATTTGTGATCTTCGTCAAGGTCTTCTCGGTCAGGACGGTCGTGAGATGCCGTGGTGGGATAACCTTCGGAGACCGGTGGAGACGACATGGAGATGATGTTTGATAGTCCGTTCACCTGAATGGAACCTCGAAACTATCCTGCCAGATCTTTACTTTAGCCTAGCCTTAATTGCACCTTGAAAACCGGATTCCCTTTTTCAAGAATGTCCCGATGGTGCCGAGAAGGAAGTGTAATGTGAAGATCAGCTGTGACCATGAGGCAATGGCCGATAACCGCCCGCAGTGGGGATGCTTCAACAACGGTACGCTGGGAAGGCAGTGATACTGTGAATTGAGAACGGCAAGACACTGTTAGATCTGTAAACGCAGCTAGGCAGGTCGATCTCGCCCCGACAGTGACCGGAAGGACGGGAGAGGATCGAGAGGAAGAAGCATGAAGGTGGTTGTGGTCGGAGGAATGTCGTAGAAGTAAGGTTGGGCTGGATCCGAATGGTCATGCGAGGTCTGTGACAGAACGATGGATCCTGGATCCAGTTGTTTCGGCCTGCTGTGGCAGAGGATGATTTGATTGTGAGGGGACTCGGACCTTGACTAGGATCGGGAGTGTTAGCATCCAGTCGTTAGCGACGACTGACTGGGGTTGTAAGGATTGGCACAATGAGACTCGACCCGCGGGTGGCACGGCTCAGAGTTTACTCGACTTGAAGGTTGGAAAGGAATGCAAGAAGCAAGGCATTTGTAGAAGTGGTTCGCAGGGCCACAAGTTCACAACTGGCTCTGAGTGGACGTTCCAGGCCATGAAATTGATGTATGCAGGGCAGTAGTAGTACCTGTAGTCCAGCCAGTTCAAGTGAAGCATTGGGCAGACGGCCAGACGGACAAGCAGGCAGGGCAGGCAGTCAGTATCTGGCAGTACTCAGCGCAGTAGCCGGTGGTAAGTTCAGGACGGAGTGGCATGCACCCGCTGGCGACTGTGCTCGGATTCCTGTAGTAAGGGAGTTATGTCACTGAAGACGCTCCATGTGCATCATGATTGCTTTGTCTGCCGTTGAAGACCCCCGGCACCTGAGGTATGCAGCATCCCGCCTGCTACTAACTTTTAGGCACGCAAGGCATCTTCTAGGTGCGCTCTCAAGGAGGAAGGGCAACCTTCAGGAACGCGTTCGTTTCATTCTCTGGCGTGTGTGTACAGGCCAAAAAACTGCGGGCTACACGGGCTAAGATAATAGGTAGCACCCTTGAGACAGTTTTGCCTTAGTTAGAGATATCAAAAGACACAGCATTCACGAATAGACTGTGTCTTTTGAAGTGTCCACAGAGGCTTGCCACAACCACGCGTGGCATCCTCGCCTCAATCTCATTCTCTAGACGAAGAGGCTCTCTTTCTTCAAACATACACACGCTCTCAAGCACAGTCGATTTGTGTCTCGGTCCTGGTGATATGGCACCCTGAACTTGTGTTTGTACTTCCGTCCCTCTGTCACAATGACTGCATCCTACTATTCCTTCGCTCCGTTCGTCAATCTCAACAGAGAATGGGTTGGCTTGTCGCTGGCTGCTGCACCCTGATTGCCGGCTATTTCCTATACAAATTCGCTGCTCAACATAATGCGGACAAGGGTTCAGGTGCTTCTTCGACACCAGGAACAACCTTGACTCCTCCAGTCAGTGTGGACGCAGGTAAAGTTAACGACTGTACGCCTGTCAACCCTCACCACATACATCCATCGGGCAGCTCTCTGTCAGCCAAAGTCCCTCCAATAACGACACATACGCCTAAGGGAGAAGCCTACGCCTGCCCAGAAGTAAAAGCAATAGAGAATTCGGCGTCAAAACAATCAGAGATGGAACAGTTACCGAAGCCAATTGCGCCACCATCGACGATACGGGTCAAATCTTCGAGCCCTCCTCGATTGAAGCCTCCGACCTTTGCGACTCCGCCCCGCCCTGGAAATGGGTTGATGCGCCCACCACCGTCCGCGGCAGCGTCTCTGCGCGTGCCCCCTACAAAAGTCCTTCCCAGTGCGTCCATGGCCCCCACCTCTTCGATCATGCCTCCGGGCAAGCGAGTCTCGCGAAAGGTGATTCTCGAGCCTGGCCACTCGCCGCTCGACTGGGCCGCACTCACGTCAAATCCGAATAGTCGTCTAAGAGGCAATGACGCACCTGAGAACCTGATTCGAGTCACGCCTACACGACTAAAGCAGCAGAATGGGCGAAAGGGAAGAGACGCTTGGACAGTTTACAATGGAAAAGTCTACAATATCACACCCTACGTTCCCTTCCATCCCGGTGGAAAGGGTGAGATCGTAAGAGGCGCGGGCAAAGACTCGACAAAATTGTTTCTGGAGGTGCATCCCTGGGTCAACTGGGATGGTATGCTGAGTGAATGTCTAGTTGGAATACTGGTGGGCGATGAGGAAGAAACAGAGAACGGAAGTGGCGGATTAGACGAGATGGACTGATCTGGTTGTCTGGGACGTTGATAAATGATAGACTAAGATACCCTTCATAATGATTGATGAGGATGTACGGCAGTATCCAGGTCTCCGGCAAGTACCAGTAGTTCCATGCCAAACATGAATTTCCGATATCATGACCAATCTCTAAGAACTTTTATGCTCCATGATCCCAAAAGTCCTACAGCTGTAACCACAATCAATGTTCGACAAGTATCTTATCTTTCCTCGTAACCATGCAAGCGATGCATCGGCCCTCAGGTGCCGGTTCACAACTCATCCTTCTTCACGCCCTTGATCCCCATCAACTCTGTTTCGAAGACCAGCACACTGTTGCCCGGAATAGGGCCAACATCCCTCTCACCATAACCCATCTCCGGTGGGATTGTCAATTTCCGTTTCTCGCCAATGCACATGTCTAGGAGGCCTTCATCCCATCTGTATAACGAACATTTGTGTCAGCCCGGAGTTTCCAAACTCGTCCCGCTGCGCCAAAGACGATACCCTCCTGGCCAGAGGGTCTGGAATTGTAGTCCTCTTGCACTCACCCTTTGATAACCCGTCCCGCACCCAATTGGAAACCCAGAGGCCTACCTCGCGAGTAACTGGAGTCGAATTCATTGCCCGTGCTGAGCAGAGAGCCGCGATAATGCACCTCAATCTGGTCACCGTTTTTCGTCTTGCGAGTACATTCAATCCCGGGCGTTTGGTAGTCAATCTCGAGACCTGCGGAGGAGGCGAGATGAGCAACTGAGAGGGCTACGGCGAGGAGGGATGGAAGAAGCTTCATTGTCGATATAGCTCCTTGGGTCGGGACAGGACTGCGTAAGGGCTGTACGGAAGAATAAGTCGATGTTTTCAGTTAAAATAGGTAAACAACTGTAACCGGCGAGGCAAAGGTGGCAGTTTGGGGGGAAACGCAGTTGGTCACCGACAACCAAAGTGAACTGCAGTGGGGGTTTGGGGGGTGACGTATAGCCTGCAATGTCACTTGAGCCCCTTTTCTGCAGAGAGTTTGAGACTGATCATCTAGCTCCTCCGTCCTTCTTTGCTACGAAATTTACTACCGCCAGACACCAAAGACATAGAAGAGGTTGTTATAAGAATGAATTGCCTGCGATTCGAGTTCTTTGCTAGACTCACTGAGCCTGACGCTCCAACCTGTCGACACTGGTCCTTCTTCCATGTTTGATTGCCAATCCAACACCACCCTGTCCTCCCAATGCCTCCTCGCAATGCTTTACTCAATATTGCCTGCCGTTTGCCATCCTCCACTGTTTGTCAAATCATGATCTCCTCCATCTTTGCCATAAAAAACGCTTTATCCAGGATAAGTCCACCTCCGAGCTGACTGTCCATACCCAATTTGTCCTGAGATCCACCACCTGTTGTTCCTGTTCCTCTATTCGGGTCCAAGAAACTTCTCCAGTATCCATTCCTGCCCTGCTATGCATCTCATGCCTCCTCTGTACATAACCATGGCCCTGAAATCCAGTGTCGACAGATCGTGGACAATGCCCAAATCGAAGTTTGAGCCCAGTCACAATGTACTAAACAAACAGTAAAAAAGTGCGAGTTGAGAGAAAAGCAAGAGAAGGACTTAAAACCGGCGCTCAACTAGGGAGATGAATTGAGACGGCTTTCAGAACAAGAAGAAAGCTAAAGGTTGGCCGAAGTGCTGTGATGTGCGCCTGGTGCAGCAGCTGTTGTCTCTGAGCTCACCATCTTCGAGCAAACATTGCCGATTTCAACAAGTCATCGCTCGTTCTGGCAGACTTGTAGGCCGGATTTTTAGTTGCGGTTGAAGAAGGCCGCGTCTTCTGGGCTAGCCGAGTCGACTTGCCTCGCCCGGCATCGCCAGACGAGGAAGAGCGAAACGGATCCTCCCGAGACCGAATCGGCTGATGAGAAGGTTTCTGAAGCGTCTTCTTCTCTGGCGCTTTGGCAGGCTCGTCCTTTGCCACCCTCAGTTGCTTGGCTGGCTTTTTCGCAGCTTGGTCTTGGAAATGCCAGCCGTAGCCGACATCTTCATCTTTGCACCAAGCGCCACTGGCCGCTTAGCCGTGGCTTTCACGGAATTTCCACCCTTCACGGCCTCGTTGTGGACCTTCTTCTGCCCCAGGTTCTCCTTGTTGGATTCTAGGCGGACGGTCTCGAACCGACGCCTCTTCGACTTCAGCGCCAGCGGCTCAATGTCTGACTCGTGCGAATCCTGCGCAGCCTATATTTATATTATCAGTACAATTTGAAACCAGAGGTCATCTCAAGGACAAGTGAGTACTCACTCGCTTCCGCTTCAACGAGGACAATCTGTCGGCATGGACAACCACAGGCGTATCCTCCTTCGAAGTACGAACTCGCTTCGCCTTCGGGAAGAACTCAGCCTCATCGTCCGAGTCGACAACCATCGGTCTCCAACGAGAGTTGCCATGAGATACGCGGGCGCCGCCGGTAACGATAAAGCTCTATTCTTGATCAGTGACAAGAATGGAGGGTATCTCGTTGCTAGCATCGCTCACCGGATATGCTTTGTTACCAGTTGTGCCCTGGTTGCTCTGTGCTGCCTGCGAGTCGGCATCGCCGGTCTCTCGCTTGCGCTTGTTGTCGGCGCGAACCAGGGCGGCGTTCTCTCGTTGCATTCTCTGGCGCTCCTCACGCTCCTGGGCCTCCCGCTCCCGGTCTGCCTTGCGCTTTTCCATTTCGTCCAGCCAGGCTGTCTCTCTCTTGTCTTGCTTCTCCTGCAGCTCGCGGCGGTATCCTTCGGCGGCTGCTAGCTCGACTGCGGCTCTGGCTTGGCGGCGCTTCTTGACCTGTGCATAGACAGGAGTGGGGTTGGCCTCCATCGCCGCGGTTTCTTCGGCGTCCCGAAAATGACGGATCTGCCACAGGTCGATGGGAGGCACGTGGCCATCTGGGAGGGGTTTGCCCTGCGCGGCGAACTCGGCCTCAGCGTCGGCATACGCCTCCTTCTTGAGGGTGATGAAAGACTTGGCAGAATTTCCAGACATGGTTGTTGTCGTTGATGACGAGCTTGGGTGAAACGTTGTAGTGACAGGTTATGATGCAGAGCAAGGACGGTCTGGTCACTTGCGACTGTTCGGATGCGAAGGACGATGGGTATGGTGGGGAAGTGTCTTTGTTGAGGGAGGGCTAGCTGAAGAGGAGGAGGTTGGCTGGAAGTCTGAAGGCTTTCTCAGTGCAGCACGCGTCGCTTGAAAGTTATGATGATGAGGGACGTATGTCTCGATAATTGGTGATGTTCGAAGATGAGTTGGATGAGTGTTTTCGAGTTAAAATCGTGCTTGGTGATGAAGATGATAGGAGAAGGAAGATGGAAGATGGAATCGAGAATCCAAGAGATATTTATGTGTCGAAAACGCGATCACAACGCAGACTCACTGCGTCTTAGAATACGCAGCAGTCATTCACTGACTCTACAATCAAGGTGGGCAGTGGTTTGTCTTCTATTCATTTCGAGAACGCAGCTGAACGAGTGAATAGCTTGGGAGCGGCAGTACCATTGAATGCCAGAGGTGCAACTACTGCCTTCAGCGCGACGATCAAACTGCCTCCGTCGAGCATCCTCCTTGCATTTCTGGCTGGGCTCAATCGATTTACATTCCCTTTCACCGGCGCGTGGGAGCGAACTGGAAATAGAGGCACGAGCGGCCATGAATGGGTTCAATGCGAGACCCTATTCACCTTTACAGCAGACATCTTGATTCGCACTATTGTTTCCATAACATCCACGCAGTGCAGCCTCGAGGCATTCATCCCAGGCAAAAAGCTGCCACGATATGAGCTGCAAACTCACCCTTTCCTCCATTCTTTCTTGTGGGTTGATAACCTCTTCTTCTTGTCGGTCTGTATTACACCAGCTTCAAGATTAGTGTTCAGATCTGAATGACTCCCTGTTACAAGCCTACTGCCCTCTGTCCGAGTCTAGTTGCCCCTGCGCTCATGTATTTGAAGCGCACGCCGACTCAGACTTTCGGGACTTCACCATACCAAGCACAACAGCTGCAGGACAGTCCCAATAAGCACCGTACCATCCGACAAAATGTTTGCCATTGCTATTCTAGCTATCAAGCTGTCTCTATCCTAAGGTTGGGGAATGTCGCTGCCAGTTCTTCTACCTAGAGTGAACGAAGTCGTGAAAAGGGTCGAACGGGTCCCTTGAGATCGACATATCCTAGCGATCTGCCAATCATTAGGCTAGTGTCGTAAATTTAAGCTTACTTTGTGAAGTCTAATTGGGAATCAGGCTAATAGCTTAAGTCACATGATTTGGCGTCACCCCGCGTTGATCCTCCGCGCGTTTATTTCTCCCAGCGCGTTTTCCACCCTGTGAGTGTTGCAATCACCCACTGCCATGGAGGCGCAGCTTGTCGCTGGGCTCAACACAGCTCAGAGAGCAGCTGTTACTTCGCCGGCCTCTGTTCTGCAGGTCCTTGCTCCACCGGGGTCCGGCAAGACGAAGACGTTGACCTGCCGAGTCGCCTATCAGATAGCCCACCATGGCCTCAAACCTCAGAACGTCATCTGTTGTACATTCACGATCAAAGCGAGCCGCGAAATGCGAGAGCGACTCAGGGGCTTGGTTGGCCGCGAATCGGAAGCCAAATTGGTATTGGGAACCTTTCATTCCATCTGCCGACGTTACCTGGTCGCGTACGGCCATCTCATCGGCATCCGTAAAGGCTTCGACATCGCCGACTCCACCGACAGCCTCAACATTGTCAAACGAATCATCAAACGACTGAATCTCTCTATCGAGCCCAGGGCTGCACGGTCCAGAATTTCGAGTCATAAAGCAAAGGGAAAGAAATTGGAGGATCTTCCGAAAACACCACAAAAACAAGTGGAAAAGCAGGAGTTTATCACGGTATTCCATGAGTATGAAGCTGCGCTGGCGACTTCTCAGCTCCTGGACTACGACGATCTGCTTGTGCGATGTGTAGATCTCTTTCGGGCATATCCCGGCTGCGCGTCAAATGTGGAAGCATTGCTGATCGATGAGTTTCAAGACACAAACATTGTGCAATTCGAGTTGATGAAACTTCTGTCCTCGGCTTCACGGAGGGTCACCATTGTTGGAGATCCAGACCAAAGCATATATGGGTTCCGTGCCGCAGAGATTGAAAACCTGAGACGAATGAAAACTTTCTATCCTGAGACTGTGGTAATCAACCTGGAAGAAAACTATCGTTCTGCATCCGCGGTGTTGCGACTAGCTCAGGCCGTGATCGAACAAGATACTAGTCGGCCTCAAAAGAGGTTGAAAGCGACCCACTGCTATGGCACAAAACCTGTTCTTCGGCGTCTACCCAATCCGAATGAAGAAGCTTTGTGGATTGCCAATGAGATCAAGAGAATGACAGTGATGACGGGAGGTCTCCTTGTACACTCTGATTTTGCTATCCTACTGCGATCTGCACATTTGTCCTTGTTGATCGAGAAGGCTCTTGCCAATTCCGGCATCCCATATCGTATGGTTGGCGGCCAACGGTTCTTCGACCGCGTGGAGATCCGAATCATCATTGACTATCTTCGCACGATAAGTCATCCAGACAACAATCAAGCATTTCTCGCCATTATCAACGTACCGTCCCGCAAAATTGGGGACTCGACAGTTGCAGAACTGATCAAGATGGGTGAAGACCGCAAGCTCTCACTTTGGGGGGTGGTACAGAAGGTCCTTTCTGGAGACCTATCGCCCCAGAAGAGACTTTCCAAGCCAGCTGAGCAGGAACTTGGACGTTTAGGTTCCCTCATCAAGAACGCAAGGCAAAAAATGGACACGATGATTCCTGCTGCGGTACCCAGCAAGTTGATTGATTTGATCGTCAAATCTTTAGACTTTGAGAACTATCTTAAGAAGAAGTATAAGGACGATCATGAGGATCGATTCGAGAACGTCAAAGAACTCATCACCCATGCCTCGGATGTCTTGTTGCAGCCTTCGTCTGAGGAACAACTTACCCCGATTAACGGCATTGAACAGCAATCTTCGGACGGTGCCCAAGAGGTTCTGACCCAGTTTCTGGCCAATATTGTCCTATCTACTGACGTCGAGAACTCCGAGGAGGGAAATGACAAGCCTAGGGTTACCATATCTACCATCCATTCGGCAAAAGGGCTTGAATGGCCGGTCGTCTTCATCCCGGCTGTCTATGAGGGATCAATACCTCATTCAAGAGCCGATGACACGGACGAAGAACGCCGTTTACTCTATGTTGCGATGACGCGGGCTCAGGCACTTCTGACGTTGACTTTCCCTCTGACTCAGTCACGCGATCAGCTGGAGTCGAGTCTGAGCCAGTTTCTGCCACCAAAAATCCATCATCATTTTGCATCAGTCGGCCCATTATTTGATGATAAAACGCTTGCCGACGTTGCCAGCATCCTTCGACGGGCGCCCCCATCTCAGGAGAATTTGGTCAGAAGCTTGCAGAGCATGGCTGGAACTGATAGCCAGATTGACGATGTCTGGCCCAGTGATGGCACTCGTCGACCCTTCGCGATGCTGCCCGCAGATAGCCAAACCTTGCCTGAATTTGGCAGACCACTGGCTGAAGTCCTGGCGACCAACCAAGAGCAACGATTCTCGACTTATACAAAGCTTCCAAGGAGTCGTTCAATACCTGAGCAAACCCGAAGCCATGAAGTAGCTACTACTATGGGCAACGTAAGCGCCTTTTCCGCCTCCAATGTCTCTGTGGGCTTCACCACCGCTGGCCAGCAGCTCAGAACGAGAACGGCTGAGATGAACAGTTCCTCCTCGGACAGCTTGCCTCCATCCAAGAAACCCAAATTATCGAAATCTGTATCAGCACAGGGCAGCATTGCGTCGTTCTTCTCAAAGCCTGGATCCCAAAGCGTAGTGTCTGCCGAGCCTGATCGGCCTCCCATTATTGTTGAGCCCCCACTATCAAGCTTGAGTCGACCCGTCCGTCAAGCCCCAGGTGCAAGCGAGATCCCGTCTGAACTGTCCTCGCATAGGTTGGATCTTCGCAACAGCATAAGCCACAAGCGCCCGACACCTCTTAATGAAAGAAGCACAAATTCCAGCTCGAAATCCCGGTATGTGACTCTGTACAGCTCCTCGCCCCCGCCTCCTGATACAGGAGACAACGAGGTCCGGGCATCAGCACAAGAAGGCGGAAGAAAGGGAGAGGAGGTGACCCCACAACCGTCCAACCTGTTCGTGCAAAAGCCTGGAGCGGCGCCTTTGGCGAATTACATCCTCTCCCGCCCGGCCACAACGATGCACAGGACGACCGTCTCCTCCATAAACTCAACAGGGTATACGTCATCTGCATCGAGCATGGGTATAGGCCGGAAGACACTGGGAGTCAGACGGTCACTTAATGGGTGGGAGAACCGTAGGAACAAGTGATTTCACCATTTCCTGTTGCTCATTTGTTCGAGACTTGGTACGGTCCTGGCTGTTTGATTTCTGTGGGGGAAGGATGTATGAGCTTACGACCATTTCGAACTTGTCGGCGTATGTCTTGTGGGCGTCATTAGGTGAGGATGCTGTCTGGTACTGTTTGAGCGTTTTCAAGGATTGCTTGCATCCAGGGTTGGCGTGGAGACATTGATTGCCGGCAAAAGCCTACTTCTATCACATCTTCTATCAGAACTCGCTCTCTTTTTCATTTGTCGGGCTTTCTCGTAGAGCAGAAGAGAATCAGACCCGAAAAGAGCCCAGAAGAAGTGTCATGGCCTGTGAAGTGGAAACTATACGAACTAGGTTGATATGTCCATCTAAGCGGAATGAAAGAAAAAAGATAGATATGTGCAAGTCAATTCGTCACAAAAAGTGGAAGAACTCAGGGTGAAAACGATCCCTGGCCTTCGAGTCATGCGAGGCTGTCCAGCTCTAGAATGATCTATGATATCTCCATCTCTCGTCAACCAAGACCAAAATGAACAGATTATCTGCGCCAAAGTACCATTGCGTGCGAACGGCTGGTTTCTTGCCACCCGCTAAAAAACAAGAGCTCACATCTATACGTTTATACATGAAGCAATCCGTCCATCCGTTCATGTACTATAAGCCAACAACGCCAAGGGCCAACACTCCTGCACCGATGAGTGCGAATCCGCTCAACTCCTTACGACCCGCGGCACCAGTGTAGCTGGCGACCCAGGCGCCCGTGCTGGTCGCGGCCGTGCCACTTGGGAGCGGCTCGACAGTGAGTGTACTCTTGATTGTCACTGAGGGAGCTCCTTCCCCAGCCGAAGAAGCAGCGGAGGACTCGGAGACCGGTATGAGCGTGAGCGTGCTTAGGATGGTGGTGCCTGGTGATGGAGGGGCTGGCCATGAACCTGAGCCTGAGCCTGAGCCCGAGCCCGAACCTGCGCCACCGCTTGCAATGATGGTAGCAACAGTTTCTGCTGCGGGTGGCGACGCCTGGCCATGACCGACGCTCTCTGTGATCGTTGTGGCGATGGCAGGAGTGGCAGGAGTAGCAGCTGGGGCGGTCGTCGACACAGGGACGGCGACAGCAACAGGAACGGTGCACACGACGGGAGTGGTGACGGGCCAGCCGGGGGATGGGGTGATGGTGGTCACGGTCACGGGGATCGTGGGAACAGGTGTCTCGGTGCAGCCGCAGTGAGTTGTTACCACGGTGATTGTCTTGGTCTCGTAGCCTGTAGAGCACGGTTCGACCCAGGTTTCTATATGCGTAGGGGGAAAAGGTCAGTTATGAGATTTTGCTTTTCGAAAAAAGACGAGAAAAGGAAAAGGAAGTTCGGGAGAAGGAGGTGATCAATCAGGAGGGCAGGAAACAAATGTGAAGGAGAAGATAACCAAAGTGTAAGACTGTAGGGTAGGAGAACATACCGGTCAGTGTGATGGTGACGGCGGTCGTCAAGGCCGATGGCCAGTCTTCCCATGGATACTCCACTGGTGAGGCGGTGGCGGTGCTCTCAAGCGCACTTGACACCCAGTCGTCCCACACGAATGTCGAAGTTGGCGTCGAGCTTATGGGGGATCCTGTCGCGGTGGATGCCGCTGGCCAGTCCTCCCATGGGTACACGGCGCTCGTGCTCGTTTCGCCGCTGATCGGGCCCACGGACATGCTCGAGCTGGTTTGTCCTCCAATCGGGCCCACGCTGAACCCAGGGGTTGTGGTAGTTTCACCGCCGACTGGGCCCACGCCGAACCCAGGGGTCGTGGTAGTTTCACCGCCGACTGGGCCCACGCCGAACCCAGGAGTTGTGGTGGTTTCACCGCCGACTGGGCCCACGCTGAATGCAGGGGTGGTGGTGGTCATCGTCGTGTTCGGGAATGGTGCAAGGCTCTGGAAGCTGGTGGTTGTCGTAATGGGCAATGGGCTGACATACGGGAGAGTAGTGCTGGAAGTCAGCGGTGTTGATGCCGTTGTAGAACCTCCAATTGGACCAATAGTGTTGGCCGTGGTTGTTGTAGAGCTGAGAGCCGTGGTCGTGGTCATCAATGTTGCGCTTGTAGTGGTCATAGTCGAGGCACTGGTTGTGGATGTCATGCTACTCGTTGTGGTGCTGACGACAGGCTGGGATTGATAAACTCGGACATAGTTGACGTCCCAGTAGGCGTCCACAAACTCCTCTGGGTTGTTGCCGACATAAACCGAACACGACGATTGGTTGGTGATGGCAGCACATCCCCCCGAGCTCCATGTGGCACCAGCAAAATCACCGCAAAAGGTCGTGTCGAACAAAATTCGGTGGTTGAGAAAGTCGGCTTCAACGTCGCAGTTGGGTCCGTTGACGATGGACGTTGGCAGACCCCATAGAGAAGGATCAGGGGTTCCAGCCTGGATATCCGATGGAATGCTGCCACGGGGGAAGAACCACACCTTGATCGCTTCCGACGTCCATTCCATGGCGTATACACCGCCATTGATGGCATTGAATGCTCCGCCATAGCTGTCTGCTCGCGGGTCAAAAGCTGCGCAACCGGCGCCGTTGCCGCCTGTGTCACTGTAGTATTGGCAGTTGTTGCCGTTGGAAATCCCGGTCATTTGCGAGGGACTCTGGGGAATCACGCAAGTATTTCCAGTGTGCGCGGCCACCAGATTGGCCCCTTGGTTGTTTGCGCCCTCAATGATATCAATCTCGCCACGGTACGGCCACACCCCGTCCCCGAGTGTCCAGAATGCGGGCCATGTACCACATCCACTGCTGGTATGCGTTGTGGGCATGTGCTTGATGTCGGCAATGAAAAGACCATGGGTCCACGCCTCCGAGCTCTGGATCCTCACACTTGGTCGACCGACACCGTTGATCAACCAGTAATCGGCAGTGCCATCATAGGCGTTGACCGAATCGACTCTCATCTGAACCGAGCCACCGTCAAAGGTGACCAGGCCGGAATCTATCGCAGTATCTTCGTCGACATAACTGCGTACAAATTAGTCCAGAGTCCTCCTCACTGGTATATAGTGCAGATTGACATACGTGACGAAACCATGGCTCAAATCTGCCGTCTGTGAACGTGTCAGCAATCACACATCCGAGTCTTGCAAAAGGCATTCCAAACCCACATTCTGGAAGTCGAAGCCATCGAAGAATGAGGGACCAGAGTACTCTTTATCCAAAGCATAATAGGTGCCTGCAGCAGCAGAGGCAGAAGCAGAAAACAAAGACAAGACAGAAACGAGTGTGGTGCTCGACCTCAGAAAGAGTGATGAGGAAGGCATATTGAGTGAATGACTTGGGTGAGCGAAGGAGAAACCGGCGGCGACGACAAGAAGCACGAAACAGAGAAGGAGGGAAAGAAGGCGGCGCAAGGCATGTTTGCTATATCCAATTCAAGACCAGGCGTTCGCGCTATTCCGGTCTGGGAGACCGCCTCCAGTGCGGACGAACGGTCTCAGGACCAGTGCGCTGATGATGATTCCGACCAACATAGCAGACCACGACGCGCACATCATCTGGGTAAATTGGAGAGCCCGGAAAGCTGTCATCAGAGCGTGCAGGGAGATGAGCCGCACCCAACACTGGCAGCTGGACCAATACCGAAAAGGACGTGAGTGCACCTAGTCATGAGTTTGGCTAGATCAATATAGCAATGACAGCGGGAGCGGTGTCACTCAAAGTCCATCAAAAACGCCCTAGCATAAGTCGAGGCCAGAGCCGGTGGAAGAGCGGAGGCTTACGGTCAATAGTAGTGGAAGCCACTCGAGGCTAAGCAAGGACTTGAACAGTGGTTTTTAACTGTTGCTTGTCTTCAACGGCTAGGAAAAGCCTGATAGTGTGTGCTTGTTAGGTAGGGAGCGAGAAAAGGAGGGGCAGCGAGGTTGTTTTGATGGAAAGTTGTGATTAGGTTAAGCTCTCACGGCTGTTTCCAGCGCTAGTCTTTAAACAATTGTGTACTTGTGATAGGTTACTGGCTAGTCTTACTAAGCTAGGGGCACCCAGACCAATGAGCTGTTGGTCCACCGCCCGTGCGGCTGGTTCGCCGCCCAAAACGGACGCATTCTCATTTCCCCTGATGTACGAGACATCTTCGACTTGCAAACTGCGCCCTTTTCCTTCCAGGCGTGGCGCACCTCAAACCCCCTTTGAGACCCATTACGCAGAACTTAGTAGCTACCCGAGCTCCATCCAATAGTGCCTGATCCCACGTGTGTGATAAAGCAGTTCGTATCAGCGCAACGGCTGTCTAGTGTCTACAGACTCAGGAGATCGTCCCCGTAAAGGTTCACGAGGTCAGCCAGCCTCGAAAGTCACAAAGTCATCGGCGTCTCCGGACTATGGGTCATCGCCATTCTCACTACGTACCACGGCACAAAGCATATGTAGGAGGGTTTAACTTGCAACGAATATGCCTTCCCTCGTCAGTCTGAATACAAGGCGCGGCTGCATGTTCCTGTAGCTGTGTGGTTTTACTGTAGTATCAACATCCGCGGCGTTTTCGACGCGATGGACGTCAAACTGCTGTCTGAAGGCCGGCCACGCAAGCAAACAATAATAGTCGCTATCGCATAGCAGAAGTGCCACGCCCCACCCAGAAAGGCGCAAACTCCGAGATTAACGACTCCGCCCCTGTAAACTTTGACGCCCCGTTCAGCAACGGGCTAGATCCTGTGTCAAGCTCGTTGTCTCTTTAACCTCCATCTTCCTATGGAAACCCGCTCGGACCTACTCCGTAGATCATGATCATGCTACGTACATGATACGCAAACTCAACACCATCATCTGTACCTCTTTCTCATGGGAATATCTCTCTTCCCATACCAGAAAGATTGGGCTCTCTCCAGGCCTGGGACCAACTGTCCACTTTTGCCAGGTGTTTCCAAACTGGAGGTGGTCAATTGCCAAGATGAGGTTTGCGATGAACTTGCCACACAATCTAACATGCCAAAGGTTATCGAGATGGCAACGTTGGTCGTAAGGACCAGAAGCAATCCACACGACTCAGCGTGTGATGCCTTGCTCGGGCAATTCAACTGGCACTTCAAGCGATCCTTGGGCTCCCCACCACATCAACTACATTCAGCCCAGTGGCGCAACTGGAACAATTCTGCGTCATGCGTAACAGCTCGACTCTCTGGGTATATGGCACGCCTGCTGCTGCTGGTGACCAGGTAGACAACCTTGAAACAATCCTCCACCTCCTTTGTGCCAATCACTACCTGGGTTTCGGTTCCTTCGATTTCGCCGACGCCTAGCCTGGAGTTAGATAGATATAGCCACCGCTGGGTCGGTCCACTTCGAAGCGTTGGGCAATGCTGTCCCGAACGCCGTCGTCGACACGCATTGATCCTTTCAAACTTCAACACTGTAGGTGGTATTTTCAAGATGCCATCCTTTGAACATGTTGGTGGCGTCTGCGTGGATCATGTAGCAAGCATTCCATCGCGTCCAGATCCCCTGACTAAGCAGTGGGCCTCTGCGAATGGCAATCGGACAGCGCTTTCATCTTTAACAAGAGTGCTTCACTCCTGTCTGGTGGTAGTTTGAGCAGCCAAGGGCAGCAATGCGCAGGTAGTCGCCGTGGCCAGAGGTCAGCGTCAAGTAATTCTCCTCAGCCACTCGATGTTCAACGCAAGATTGGGCCGTCAAGATCACCAGTCGGTAAAGAGCTATGGGACTTGCAACCATTGCACGAAACACCTCTTACCCCATGGACCTTTTCAATATCAAATATGTGATCAGATTTGAAAATACAAATACAAAAAGGAATATGCATTACTTTCGATACAAGTCTGACACTTTCGCATATCTCAGCAGGGCTTAGAAGAGCATAATTCGCGACCCAAGTTTAAGCCTCAACTGTCCACCCCAAAGCTTGCACCGGATTTCGGCGAGGTCTACAGAGAACCACGCATACCACTATCACACTCGAGCATTGCACTATGGTGTGGCATGAGGCGAGAATGGACTCTTGTTCAGTCTCAACCAAGCGCTGGCTATGACATGTTCATATGCTTGAGGGAGGTTAGGCAAACGCGACTAGTAGTAGGTGCAGGAACATCGGCCAGGAGATGGAAATCATAAATCTTGATATAATAGTACTACGGGTATGGAGGGCGCACTACTAGACAATTAATGGTTGGAATGTAGGCTGACAAGCAATCAACCCTAAATAGTACTAGCGTTGACTGCCCCTCCTTCCGTCATCCGCAGATCCTGCCAATTGATACCACATGCAGTGCTGGACTCTTTATCACAACTTTCCTCCCACTTGAACTCCTGCTAGTATTGGCCCCCAACTAGGTACCTAAGGGACATGGGCATGGGCATGGCACAAGGTCTTCTGCTGCTAGACAGCCCGAGCGAGCAGTTGCGCGGGAAGCACAAAGCAGAAAGCAGCGGCACGCGTTGGAAGAATTGTGTTCACCTTGTCTTTTTTCGGCGCAGCCATGGACCTTCTTCCATTCTGCCTACTTGCTCCTTGCCCTGTTTTTCTGGCCTTGGTTGAACGAGAGTCAAATTTGTACTGACACAGTTAAGGCGCCCATCCTTCCAGGCCACACTCAATCTACAAGGCAAGGTGTCCCTGCCGTTGGGCACGTTGTCCAATACTTATACTGTTTCCTGCCCTCCGCTGCGATTGCCCGAAGCCCCCAGGCATTCGTATCTTATGCCAGGCACCATCAAGCCTCAGCCTGGTAGGTCAGCCTGGTAGATCATCCTGGGTACCAAGGGCTCGCCCTGCACGGCGTTGTGATGCACTGCCAATAGACCAGATTATACCTTTTGCTCTCCATTCCGAGCCTCGTCGCAGCAAAAGGTCATAAAGCTGCACCTCGCTCCCGTCGCATCCCTCTATGTCTGTCCTCCTCCTCCGACGGGTTATCTCAAGACGGGCAGGTCCTACCTGTCATAAACGATGTCGCCATCCCACAAGCCCCTGCTTTTAGAAAAGCGTGGAGGCTGGCGTCGAGATGAGAAGAACCGCTTGATATTGCTCAAGATTCCACCACAGGTGAGTGTGACAATCAAGAGCCCCAGCGTCCTCTGGTAACACCAGATGTCCTCCTAACGCGGGATTGTTGCGCAGGTGAACTTGAGCCCCGCCACTTCATCCGACGGAAAGATCTCAGATGCCTTCCTCAACGGTTCTCAACATTACCTGACAGCAAAGTCTGCTGCGAAGCCTGCCAACCTCGATAACCTCCCCACCGAATTGGTTCATGAGATTGTGAAGACCCTCCATCCTGTCGACCGTGTCTGTCTCGCCTTGACATGCAAACCGCTTGCCCGAGCGACCATGTCTGCTCCTCGCCTCGGACCATCGACCTGGGGGGTCTTCTCTGACCAACCCTTTGAATGGCTTCCTCCGGAGTCCTTTAGTCTCATCCTCAGACTCGCTCATGGGTGGATTCCCAGGGACAGGCTGCGCTATTGCTGGAACTGCCACAAGATCATGCCGCGCGAGGAAGCCTTCTTCCGCAAGAGGCTGACGTGCAAGAAGAACCCTAGGTGGAGCGTGAAGGTTGACCTTCCGAAAGAGGAGTGGGATAAGCTGAGAAAGAAGGATAAATACAGACACCTCGTCCGGACCTGGTGTACCTCTCCTGCTCAGGATAGCAGTTATCTCTGCTGCGATGCTTGTCGTAGCTCACATCTCGAGGCCGGCCTCCCTCGATTCACGTATCCCATCGAGTGCCCGACATGTCTGGAGAAAGAGTTGACATATTCCTGGCGCGGCCCTCGCAAACCATGGTTTCGGAATTGCATGCGTGATTGTATCAGCTTAGGCTGTCGGCCAATCTTGTGGGTTGTGGATTGGACTGTATACTACCTGCTTTTGGGTGGCTCTGCGGTTGTTCGCTTTGTCTACAACCAAGGCTGGAGTTGCTGGAGGGCATTCTGCTGAGTGTGACTAGCCTCAACCTCGAAGTTGTCGCGACTTTGAAGGCAGGGCAAGAAGAAGGGGCAATTCAAGAAGGCCATGCCTGGGCCTTTTGTCTTCGCCATGACAGCAGACCGGGCAGGAGCAACCCTCATGGAGGTACATGATATTCAACTAGAAAGTACCAAGAAATGATCCTGCATATCACATATTATCTGTTTTCGTCCTGGTCATCATCATCATCATCATCATCATCATCATCATCATCATCATCATCATCACCACACAAGAGAAGGGCAACGCCGCTGCACTATATGTAGTACCTTCTCTTATCTGCCCGGAATCATCTCTTCTCGTCAGGGGCGACGCTGTCCGGATCGTCCTCGACACAAGGTTGAAGATGATTATGCCCTAACGTAGCAGCATCATAGTATCTGGTATGCTCTGCTTCCGCACTGCCAACGTGTCCTCCAGGCTCTCGGTCAATGGTCGAGCCGCTACTGGCACCATTGTCCCGCAAGCTGATGCTGCCAAAGCTCTCTGGTGGGAATTCGGGTCTGCTCTCGATCGGGGCGAGCCTTTCGCCATGATAGCCGCTATGGGTAGCCATAGCAGCCACTGCGTCAGGGGCTACAGCCGAGCTTCGACGGCGAGTGGCTGCATCAGAAGCTCCGCTCGCAACACCGGATACCGATTGTCGATGGCGCCCGGCCACAAGGTCAAAAGGATCGCCTGAAAGCTGGAAGAGGGATTGTTTCCGTTCGCGGACTTCGAACTGCTCGGCGGGAGTCATGGCCGTTTCGCCCACACCTGTAATCTGGGCTTCTACAGAACCATTTTTGCTTAGCCCCTCCTGTCCCAAGCAGCCGACTAGGACATGTAGAAAGGGATAGTCGTGTTAGGTACTTACTTGACACCTTCTTCCGGGAATAGTATGGGTCGTCTTGAGGCTCCAATCCGCCCTTCCTGCTCGTGCTGAACTTTCTGACGTCCACGCCGTTCACGCTATACTTCCGTTCCCGATTCTGGTATTCTTCTTCGGGTGATAGTCCGGTTTGTCCGACATCTGCGATCTCGGCCTCTGGTAGTTCATAAGACTAGGTATCAGCTGCGCAGGTCTCTCACATGTCTGCAGAGCGCCCAGCTTACTTGAAAGTCGTCTTCGACCGTAGTACGGATCGTCAAGTGGTTCGAGACCGCTTTTCTTGCTGTTGCTGAAGCGCCGCACATCTGCTCCGTTCACACTGTACTTGCGCTCGCGGCTCCAGTATTCTTCTTGGGGGGCGAGCCCAGTGATGCCCACATCCTTGATCAGGTCATCTGGACGTAAAGGGCATTAGCAACTGCAAGGGCTGCTGAACTCGCAGCTTCGTGGCTCGGTCATGTCAGCGTCTTACCAGGGACGGGCTTGCGATTGTAATATGGATCTGCAGTTCCGACCATTTTGTAAGTTTTGGAGAGTGAGAAACACCGCGAAAGGTCACTGTGCCAAAGGAAAGCATACAAAAAGTACGACAGAACGGGGAATGGGATATTTATCAGGAATGAGCCAGGGTCAACGAGGGAGCCTGGTCCTTTTCGCTCGAACTGCTGCATCAACACCACGGCATTGCCTTCATTCAGGTGTAGCCCCACGATGAGAGCCGATTCGTAGAGACGTAGCGGGCGGCACCGATCAATCCAAAGGTCAGGTCTGTAAATGTGTCGTTTCGGTGAATTGGTCGGCTGACCCTGACCGAGAGCTCCATCATTCAACCCCGCCTTGGATCCCGTACAGACTCAGAACGAGCTGGGCCAGGTATACGAGCCAAGGGAGACGTGGGCTGTTCAAAGACGAGTCAGCACGAAGCAAGCGATCAAGGCTCATTTTAGCGACGATGCAAAACCCCAGACCGGCTCCATGCTCTGTGGATGCAATTGACGGTATTGACGTAGTGGTAGCTGGGAAGAAATAAGGGCCGTGAAACCCCTGTCGTTGCCACCCCCTTTCCCCCTTCGCACGTTCCTTGATTCGTCTGTACCATAGTAGCCAATAATCAGCTGCTGAGCTTGCTCTCGACTTTATACCATCCTGTATTTGTTGTCTGTTAATCACTTACAAGCAAGCTGCATCAACTCCATCTTCTTCGTCAGCCTTGCTGCGCTCCGGAAGCACGGCAGCGGGCAGCGCCGGAAGTTGCTGGGAAATCTCCGATGTATTGTACCTAACATACAATCAGCAATTGTTGGTGTCTGTCCTCCAAAAAAAAAAGTGTGTGAGAGAGGGAGCTTACTGCTTGCTCATTGTCCAGATAAGGGCCGATTAGCCGGCGTCCCAGCTTTCCACGTGAAGGCAAAGCCAGAGAACACCAGCGGCAGCGGCTCAAACAAACCAGTTGTGATGGTGCAGTCGTAGAGAGCCACTCGTCCATGCAAGCCTCTAGCTGCGTGGCCGCTTGCTATGCTCCCATCATCTCTGTCTGCCTCCTCAAAGCGACGACATCTGTGTGAAATGGACTCATTCAACGATGTCAATGAAATATAGAATGGTATATGTTTTGCCATGGCCAGCATCTGTCCTATTGTGGGCTCTTCGCTGGCCACTGCTTTTTGCTGCCGTCATGAGGGACTCTATGCTGCAGCACTCTCTGGACTGTGGTGCTGCGATGGCCTGCAGCTCTTTGGGGATGCTGAGTCCTAATAAACAAGGCTCGCAAGAGACCTGTTGGCAAGACAGAAACGAGACGGCCTGGCTGGGTTGGTACCGACTGGAGTGGGTGCTGGCAGTTGTTTGGTGCAGAGAGAGATGCTTCAAACTGCAGGAATGTGTCTGGTTTTTACCATTGGCAGGGCAAGTCTTCAAAGGTACTCACATCTTTACATGGGAGTCTACATGGTGAAAAATGATCAAGTTGTGCTGGTGCCTCTTCGCTCAATCTGCCCACTACAGGGGAAGCCCTCCCGTTGTTTTCCTGCACCCATCTGTTCCTCACTACCATCCTGCTCCCGACCTTGCACATCCCACAGATCTTTCTTCTCTTACAACCATCAATCCATCGACAGCTCTACCATGTCTGTCTGCAGCTTCTCCCTTCGTGGCTTGTGCCGGCAAGGCTCCAACTGTGAATACGTTCATGCCATGGATCACGAAGCTGTCTTGGGGTATCCGGATCTTGAGACTAGATCGGCAGACTTCCAGGTTGAAGCACCAGAGCCTATCCCTGCCTCACGATCACAATCTTGCCCTCCAGTCTGCCGTGACTTCCTTCAGGATGACTGTTGTGATGGTGTCCTTTGCCGATTCATGCACCCTGACTACAATTCACGACCGCTCGAAGTCAGATCCAGCAGTGTCGATCTACCAGCCGATCTACCGAGCCGAGACGTGAGTTGCTTCCACAGGCAGAGCTAGACATGAACTGACAGCCCCCAGATGACAGTGCATAAGCAGACCTTGTTTGTCAAGCCCTCCCTGGTGCAGCGACAGCTTGACGGGGCCTTGGTTTCTTATGGTCCAGGAGCCGAAGTTACAAGCCTCGAATTTCCCGATCTGAAAGCTGCCTTGGACCGATCTCCACCTCCAGAAACCCCATCGACTTCTATCTACACGGTTATGTGCACCTGGTTCCAAGCTTCTGGAATAGCCTACCTATACTACAGAAGCTACAGTCTGGCAGCCTTCGCTCTGGAAAAGCTTGATGTGGAGCTACATGACCGGAGATTGAGCTGTAGTATCCGACCACCTCCCCAGAACCCAGGATGCACAACACCAATCTGGACATTGGAAGTTGGAAACATGGCGCCTGTGACTGTGGAATGGGACCTCACAGCCCGGCTACACCACATTTTGCCAGAGAATATCATCTTCAGTGCTGCAACATCAAGATCAAGAGTTACACAAGCATGGGCCCTGAAATTCATTACCAACACGCTGAAAGAAACTGGATGCAAATTGATCTCCCTGGACATTGTGCCGTCAGACAGCAACAAGCGAACAAAGGCCCTCGCTCGCTTTGAGACTGTCACAGACGCTGCACTTGCCTTCTCTCTGGCTCACAAATACTTCCGACAGCTGCGTTCAAGACTGTTCCTTGAGCAAGTCATCACTGTCAGCATCCCAACCATGCCGGAGATCTGCTATGCATTGAGAGACCCGATTCTGGCGGAATGGCGACGAAGCAACAAAGCAGTCCGGAGTTGGATCCATCATGAATGCCGAGACAAGGCTGTACTCCTGATAAGTGGGGCCAATCCCCACGCTGTCGCCGAGCTCAAGGTCCGATTTGAGCAATTGTTGGCTGGCCAGCTGATTATGGCAGATACTATGGGCAATAAATTGTGGAATGACTTCTTCTACACCGATGCTGGACTGTCATATCTCAGTTCCCTCAGCCAGTCTCGCCTGTTGTTTGTGCGCCGAGACATACGAACACGTCAACTCATCATGTACGGAGCAGACAGTCTCTACGAACGTACACGGGCCTCCATCATTGCCACGCTCCTGCAGTATGAGCAGTCCTTCCATTTCATGACGCTGAATGAGGCCTTGTGGAAGAAGGCTCTGTCAGGAGGCTTCAGCCTTGTCGAGAGCGCCATGGGCAAATAAAAGGTCAAGCTGTTCCGGACCCTGCCAACACCATACATCCAGGTCCACGGCAGTCCCGACGACATGGACACCGTCTCCGCCATTTTCGCCCAGTACAACAGTACTCAAGACTCTTCTTTCCGGCCTTTGCGTGTCTGTCCCGCCTGTCTCTCTGCTCCAGAGGACCCAGTCACGCTGTCCTGTGGCCACCAATACTGCCGTTCCTGTTTTGCCGCACAATGCGAGGCTGTGAACACTTTCGGCACTCCTGTGTTCTGTCTTGGTGTCAGCAACTCCGCCACTGGCGGTGGGTCGTGCAAGCAGGTCGTCTCATTGGCCGAGCTCCGTCTGTTCCTGTCTCCGCCTTCCTCTTTCGGCGTCCATGGCAACAACAATGACGTCGTGGTGGATACACAGGACCCTTTTTTTGAAGCATTGCTTCTCAAGTCTCTCCGCCTCTTTGTCCGATGGCATCCAGCCCAGGTCCGGTACTGCCCGACGCCGGACTGTCCAACAATCGTCCCCGTTACTGAGAACGGGGTTGTTGTGACCTGTCCTGGCTGTCGGGCAGCGATATGCACCACCTGCCAGGCCGTCAGTCATCAGGGCGTCTCTTGTGACGAAATAGGGGCAATAAGGGCCAGTACAGCCTTGTAAGGCGCACAAAACAGCAAGGCAAGGCTGGCTAAGCGGCAGAAAGGGCCCCTTTGGCATGTGTATAGAGTAGAATTAGACAATCAAGCCATTCAATCCAAAAATGCAGAATACCACACCCAACTCATGCTTTCACGTGCATGTCCTCAGTAATATGTATTTTGTAGGTTTGGAATACAGGGCAGTCATCATATGGACAAGTAATAGGTATCAAGAAGTATGTAGTTTGGTCGTGGAGTGAACTGTATCCACAAGACCAGCTTATGGAATTGAGCTTTGATACTGCTCCATCTCTAACATACTATCTCGTCTAGAATATATAGCGGTCACTCTGCTTGTAAACAATAGGCAAGTGAAAATATATTGTTTAGTGATGGAGTGAACTATAATAGCAAGAGTACCTTATATGATTATTAGCCTAGGGAAGCACTTCATACACAATATATTAATTTATTCTATATTATAGGTAGTCACTCTATATACAAATAGCAAATATTTAATCTTAACTATAACACCCTCTTAAATACTATTCTTAGGAATGATCTATAGTATATCTGGGGGTCTCCCAGACTCTGACTATTAATATATTTACATATAAGAATAAAGCTCTTCTATATACTAATGAGTATTTTTTTGGACTTGGAATTAGCAACCACCCTAGACTCTATAGCCATACACCTCTTATTAATAGTGACAACCTCCTGTATTGCAAGCTTGTATAGTGTCCTTGTTGACTTATGGTGTGCTCCTACTCGAATGTTCATATATATACTTCGTGAATGTGGAACTCGTTGGAACCATCACTGATCAGCTACATTGGCGTGCAAGTGGGAGCCATTTTCTTTGATGTATTTCATTGTTCGGGAGGGAAAACACTTTACTGTTATGGAACACGCAACTTTGAAGCAGATGAGAATAGCGAGGCAAAAGGTATGTTTGCATTGATGATTTACAGACAGTTGATTTGATGGGTATCCTCTCTCTTCTATTTCCCATCCAGACGACAGGAGGAAAGAGGATAAAAGCACTAAAAGCCGACGACGCATGTATGCTTTGGTCTCGCCCTGCACATGAGCAAAGCCTTGCTCGACACAGCGCTCGGCAAATCAAGGCCACAAAGCCTCGGCGTGGACTTTCCTTCATGGAGGTCCTGAACAGCAAGTTTCTACCTTTTCTCGACCAGCTTCCCTTCCATGGACCAGTGATCACGAGTTCGTGCAGTCTCCCTCCATGCCACGCACGAACCAGATTGATCGCTTCCACTCGTAATGACCCGAAGACATCTTTCATAGTTGGGATCCGAATAGTGGAATCCATGAAAAGTTGGCAATCTGACCGACTGATTTGATATCACCTTCCCGGTTGGATTAGGGAATGCTGCGATTACCCTTGCTTCCATGACTGTTGACAAATAAATTGATGCTGGACAGGACGCTTGCAATGCAAAAAAATCGATTCCACAACCGATGACGTGTAGTAATACACTCCGCTGACAGACCATGACCAGACGTCGGGGGTTTGAGGGATTGGTCGTCAATCTATGTCTATGGTCGTGTCTGCTTCCCGGGCAAAAGGTTGTCTTAGTAGCTTTCACCGCTCCATTGCTGAATTGAGGCTGGATATTGTGAGGAATATTGATGGCTCACTGTGTTGGGAGTTGGGGTGGGAGGGACGTATTGATTGGGTGCGTTGAAGGTCTTTTGAGTGACTCCGAACATCTCTCCTTCAGGAGTGATGGGGGGCGTGTACAAACCATGCTGGACCATCGTGGGGAACTGAGGCTTCTGAGGCGTAGCATACGATCTGAAATACTCCGGTCCGGCAGACTTAGCAGCAGCAGCAGCTGAAGGTGGAGTGAGCTCGTAAGTCGGAGTGATTGGCGTGCGAGCTGAGGCAGACATGGCAGCCTTCTGAGCAAGGTATGCGGTCAAGACTCGAGAAACGCCTGAGTAGCGAACCGATGCATATTTCCGGGACAGGATTTCTGAAGGTTCTTGCACCTTCTGCAACAATTCCATAACGGTGGTGCTGCAATAGCGGGAGCCAAACTCGACTGCGCGTGACTGTGGTCGGCCGAGGATATGTCGGGCAAGGGCGAGAGCCGACAGAGCGAGGGTCGATGCTTGCTTGGACACGAACTCTCGATGGTACAGAGCAATCTCAAGAATGAAGAGCGTCAGATTCTCCGCCTCCGGATCGTAGATGTTGTCCTTGACGGCCAGACGCATGAACGAATCAACGGTGGGATGGCCGATAGCCCAGCCGAGAGTCGATAGAACATGCCATTCCATTTGCAGGAACATGTCATCATCGTAGAGAGAACAGCACATGGACTTCAACTCCTTGATTGTTGGAACCTTCTCTTTCTTGTCCCCATACTTTGCGGCAATGAGGAGGGCAGCGCACCCGACAAGTTGGTAGTGACGCTTGTAGACGACTCTCTTGGAGCAGTAGCGGTCGAGAAGGTTGATCGTGAGGAACAAAGTCTCGGGCAAGAGCTGAAATGCCGAGTGAGCTTCGACCAGGAAATCGAGCAGATACGGTCTCATGAACCACTGGATTTCGGTCTGAATATCGATGGCATCGACATCGGGCATTGTTTCAATCTGCCAGAAATTGTCAATCTAAATTTCAGCTAAGAAGAAGAGGAAGGCACATACGTCCATCTTCAACATGTGCTCAAGCATGTCCTGCTGATAGTCCTCGGCGTCCCTCCTCGAGAGCTCGGAAGCCATGAGGTGTTGTCTGTGCCTTGCCATCTCTTTCGCATGGTCTGGGGTTTTGAGGGCCGGGCAAGAAGGTTCTTCAAAGACCTCCACGATACCACTTTCGTAGCCGCTATCGTTGGAGCCGAACGAGGCGATTCTGTTGCTAGCCATGTTGCGTTGAGTATGAAGATGGTGTTCAAAGACAAGTCGAATTCGAGTAGAAGAAAAGGTGTCCGGTCTGCCAGAAGGGCGAATGAACGACGGATAAAAGTGAGTGACAGTCGTAAATTGGCTGTTGAACTTGAAAAGGAGTGAAAGTAGTTGATGCAATCAGATAATGGTGCACAAGACTGGAGGTGGCCAGGAACCAAGGAGGTACAAGTCTTCTTCTAGACTGGAGCGTGCGCATGATGGTCAGCCACAATATGATAGGATGAGGGCTTGCCAGAACTTACCGAAAGGGAGGAAATGACACGAGAATTGCACAATCTTCGTTACTAGGGATCAGGGTGACTGCTTCATCTGGTAAAGCTTCGGAATGGCAATGAGATTGGCTGCTCGTGCGAGGATGCAATGAAGGTCGAATGAACGCCTCCGCTTGCCTGAGCGTCGAGTCCTGGTTTGGAATGTGGCTCTGGAAAGACCACAACAGGACACCAGCTTCTGCACTCTGATCTGCATCGACGTCAGCAGGGATACAAAGCATGGATGGAAAGAAGCTCTGACCTTGGAAATTCAGAGGCCCGTTGACTATTCTAGACTTCGTTGACTTTGTCGTGTCGCGTAAGTCTTGGACTGCTGAAAAGGACACAAATCTGTCTGAGAAATGTCGGTCAGTAACAGTGCACAGCAACGTAAATGCTTTCAAGTGGGAGCCAATGGAGAGTCCGGCGAGCAATGGGTGTCGTGAAGGTTAGGTCCATCCATAACGCGAAGATCATGTCCAGTTGTTGGAATGCCACGGTCAACCGAGGGAGAGCGAGGTCCAGTAAGTCCGTACTCCTTCCCTTGCAGTGCCCTCCCTTTACCACTTGCATAAATGCTGCGGGTTGTCTTCGTCCTGACAGAAGATCGGTAGTCTTTCCCCCCTCTTATCACTTGATGACGATGCTGAACCCTATCCCTTTCCTCGGTAGGATTCCACAGCCCTTTGGTACCATCTGATCCACCTCCTCATGTGCGAAGCTGATCTCTTTCGTAACGCAGTAGGTGGGGTTCCGGTGAGGTGGTCGGAGGACGATACAGATCGGCAGGATCCCAGTCATGTTGTGAAGACATAGTATGCTGAAGTAGGATATGGTTGATGCGTGATCCTGTCCAGGAGCACGGATTGTCGGCGTGAATATCTGGTGCGTTGGAAGGCCAAAGGTTGTTGTCATGCAAAAGCAGACGGTTCCTTCCCCGTGCAGATACCCATTGCCGCCAGCAAGCATTACAGAAGGAGATCTTACCTCTTGACTTTTTTTTCAAGATCGACGACCTTTCCACTCTTCAATCACTCACGGCAGGACGTTATCCAGAACGTTCTGTAGAAACGAGTGCAAGTTGTCGAGCAGAGCAGGCTCAGGTGGACCTCGGACAAGGCTTAGGAGGACGAGGACTGGGTGAGAGTAGGACAGGACAGGATAGGAGGAGGAGCGTCGAGGACATGCGAGATACTCCAGTTGATCGTGATGTATCTGGTTATCCTACGACAGAGAATGAGGGAGAGGAGGAGGATAAAAGGACGAGGTCAAGGCCTCATGAATTGAAGAAAGGACGGTGGAGGAGAAGAAAGGAACAGGAGATGGCACTCCAAGTCGAGATGAATGATTGACTGAACGGGAGTTGAGAGACGAGTGGAGAGTGGAGTGTGCGAGAGGTTGACAGCTCTTTACACAGGTGATTGGGCATAGGACCAGCCCAGACGCTTGCAGGGGATGACAGGCAGGGGATTTGCGGCCACGGCGACGACGACGTGCAGCAGAGCGACGGCCAGTCTGTGAGCCAGACGCCTTCCCAGCAAGCTCCAGCCAGCGACGCAGCCAAGTGGGAAGACAGCAGACAACGCCCGCCACAAACGCGGATGTATGATACACAACCGTAAAACGGTTATCAAGGTGTATCAAGACTGCTTGTTCTCCATACGGCCATACGGGGGCACAGTTGAATTGTAGACATGAGATGGTTTCAAGACTCAGTCAAGCCTCACCTCAATTGAGTCTCAACTCAGCCTGGGGACCCATTCTGCAACCTGTTGCTGGCTTGCTATCAGGGCATACCGGTAGCTTCAATTCACTGCAGGTACCTAGATAGGTAGATACCTAGGTAGGTACCTAGGCACTGTCCCATCATCTAGTTGCTCGAGGCCTGTGCCTGGCTGGGTGTCAGATCCCTTAGACAGCTGCGTACTAGGTCACTTTCATCCTTAGGCTTTCCGCACGGTGGCCTAGGGAGCCTGTCAAGTACTCATAAGAGCCTAGAAGGCTGTCTCTCCGGGGGAGCTACAGGCAGTGACTGCAGGTAACAGGCCACCAAAGATGGCTACCTCACCAACCAATCCATAGTACCACGTCGTCCTATGCCAGTTCTTATCATGATCATCCCCTTCTCCCTCATCCGCAGACCCTTTGACTTCGCCGGTCATACCTTCAACAGCTGTCAACGACGACGATTCAAGTCGATAATTTCCTTTGTTCCCGTCCAGGATTCCTCCGAAGATAATGAATGTACCGACCGCACCTCTGGAAACGGGCCTTAGGGCCCTTCTCGTGGACCCGTTTCCCGCCAACAGTATCTAGCCTGTACGTTACGCGGCACAGGTCAGTACTCTGTACCTAGTGACAGTACTGAACTCATTTCATCTACAGTAGTATTCCGTAAGTAAGGTAGATATGATGCCCCTCCCTTGTAACTGTTACAGCGCATCAGCACTGGTCGGCGGTCGCGCGGCCGGTGGTTTTGACAGAAGCGCGTTATGCCGCGTCGATTGGTCCGGTAGCTGAACAGGTTCCTGTTTCTCACCTGGCCTAATGCAAGCCCACATCGTGCCAGCTGCTCGGGGCTCACTTGGGCGGGAGTCCTGAACGAATGTCGTTGCGAGGACAGAAACATCATCGACAAGCTACCCCCCTGCACCTTGACGTGAGTTTATTTCTGTATCGACGTTCCCTATCCACCGGCACGGCAGGGAGTCGGCTTCAAGTCCCTGGGGATCCTCCTGCTCCTTCCACCTGATGCTGACTCGCCTAGATGGAGTGGTAGAGAAGAAAGCCACCTCTCGTCCGATATCAAACGCGATGAAGCAAGACCACGAGCACGACAGACTGATGCCGTGCTCCATACCCTCTCTGCTGTGTTGCATCAAAATTTGGAGCCTTCAGCATTATTGTGCAACTGTCACAGCATGAGCAGGGGCGCCCATCGGCCACGGCCGACCCCTGCTCGCCTGCAGCATTACGAGATCCAGAGATCTGCCCTATCTCATCTACTCATCTAGAGTAGTGTATCCCCTAATGCCAAAAGGGACAGAGACACTCCAGCCTCTTTCAAGGGCTCCAACTTTCCAACCGAATATGCTGACAGAAACGGCCCAGCCAGTAAATGAGCGTACAGACCGCAAACCTCCGTCAATCTACACGCCGGCCTTGCTGTTTCAGGCATGCTCATCTCATTTTACACAATGGCAGCATGTCTACCGACTTGATCAGTAAAGCCAATGACGGGCTGGTGCTCGTCCAACCTCTGACATGCATCACTTATATCAGTCAAGCTTAGAGGCCTTACATTTGCCTTCGATCGCCGTCCGATGAGATCAAACAAATCTGGTACAGAGCTACGCCCGCGTGTACCTGTCTGTTACGCTGTACATTACTATTTGGTACAGCAAGTACGTGGTTGGAGCTGGTCACCCACCGCGGGATGCTCAGTGGCCCAACATCCTCGATCATAGAACGGTCCCATGTCCGTGTGACTTGCACAAGCATGGGATGACTTCCTCGTTACTCTTGGTGATCCGAAGAAACCCACTATGTACTGCTTGACATCACTACGGATGATACTAAACGGCCGCCGGTCAGGCTGGAACCAGAACGGTTTCTCACACCTGCAGTCGCCATTAAGTAACAGTTGGACAGTTGGTCTCTTGAAGATAGGACGGATTGTGGCCCTGGATGGGTTGTAAACAATCCGTTGATCCACGCACGCGACCAGCCCAGCCTAAAGTGCAGAAAATTTTCCAGAAACGCGTTCAACGGAGATGACGATGAGACACGAAACCGGATCGACGAGCCCGTCGCTCACATCAACCTCCGGGTTTGGAAAGCCATACGTATGGACAAGATTGGGTCCAGACAGACCTCGGGGTTCACCCGCGATCACCAGGATCGATGTTGATGAAAACATACGGTCTGTTTCAACTAGCTAGCCAGCTGTCTGAACGATTCTGGTTCTATGTGTGATATAAACATAATACACCCAATCTACAACCTAGCTGAAGGAAATTGTCTCAAGAGCTGGAGTATGTCCATCGGGCTCAACCGATGCATGGCATATACAACACTGTTGTCACAGCGGCTTGCAGCTTGAAGAGCCCCAGACAATATCGTTAATCAAAAGACTGACTGTACCAGCACACGGAGCAGATCCATTCAATTCCACCTGTACGTATTTTTCAGAGCTTATGCAAGACGGCCCCCAGAAATGGTCGGAGATACAGAGCCACTTAGTCACAAGTCCGGAACAACACGACGCGCAGCACATTTTTACTTATACGCGACTCGGGCTGGAGATTGCCAGGCAAATTTGGTTTCCAAAGTGATTGCAGCTCGACGCGTGGGAGACGGGCCGACCATACAGATTACCTAGCCATCTCTGGACCTTTTCTGCCCCGTCCAGCGGCGTCTTTCGGATACGATGCCAACGGACAGGGGGCCCTGGGTTACGTTTCTTCTGACCCATCATCCACGCCGTCAACTTTATATGTCCCCGCCTTTATTATGAATATGTAATATCGCAGTGGTCTTCTTTTCTCCCTGCTTCCTTGGATCTCCCTATGACATAGCGGTCTCGAACTTGACACGATGAACGCGGCAACACGACAGCATCTAGGAGTCGCCTCTTGTCCGTATCCAGCCTTCGCACAGCTCGGGCAGCGACGTTAGCACTACGTACCGGAGAGAGGACGTGACGGCTCCATAAAGAGCCGGCTGGTCACCCACCTTTCGGAGCAGGAGGCGATCAGCACCTCGTCCAGCAAGACAAGTAGAACCGACAGCCATTTTCTGATTTCATGCCACTGCACAGCGCACGCCTGATCCAAAGGTCGGCAGCGGCAGCGAGATTGCGGAGAACTATGACCTCCTATGGCCTTTGTCCATCACGAGCAGAGTTTCGCGTCTCGAGGTCCAACGCAGCCTTTGAGGGTACTGCACGGACAGCTCTTGATAATCCTTCGCCAGCCCAGCCGAACAGCTACCCAGCAACGCCCGTGCCTCGAACACATGCCACAGCAATGTTTCAAGTCAGTCTATCCTATTGCAGTCGATCCGCTCTTCTTTGACCAAGGGCACGCTGATCTCAATCCAGCATCGTCCCGACCATGTCGATATTAAGGGTCCACCAAATCTCCCCCATGCATCTGACAGACAAGGCTAGATCTGGCGTCATGAACGGCAAATTTCCTCCTTTCGCTGCTACCCAACTCTCCCTCGGTGTCCTTTCCCATCTCAAGTTCCGGTAAGTCAATGGCTTGTATGTCAAACTATATTGTGCATACCATCATAGCTCTCCATCAGAGCGGGTACGAGACCGGCAGGTATCTAGACGGCAGAACAGAGAGCTTCCTACATGGTTGATGCTCTCATCGACTGATGGTGAACCGCTGAGATCTGGGCTCGGGTTTTGTCCACCTCTGACCACAGTTTGATAAACGTCTCTTTCCTTTTCGAGAACCTTTTGAGGGGCCAGAGGCTATCATTGATACCTACCCATCGCTGCAGACTTGAGACAGTGCTGAGATGGTTCGCTAAAGACCCGCGCCGCGGTGATGCCGAACCCTCCCAGGCACAGCACCTGTGGATTTTACTTGATTCTTATCTTTGCAGCAAATTCCCACCAGCAACTCTACACACGGGTGTCTGCTACGGGCCTTCGATCTGCAACTGACGCTGGAACCTCGCCGTCGATAGTTTCAAGAAAGCTTTCTCTCGAGATTGGACTACAGCCTCTTGTCATGAGAACTATACACAATGCTACACAACATAGTCCCAGAAAACTTGTGGTCAAACCCTAAGGTCGGGTGGGCCAGCTGTTGGAGGGCGTGTGTGTTCTCCATGGTCTCCTACAGCCCAGTACCCATTGGAGCTTACATGCATTCAAATACTGACGTGGTCAGCCACATCGATGCTAACATTGTCATCGGGATGTCCCTCTTTACCTATTCTTATCAACCGCAGTGCGCCCCCAACTGGTTCTTCCTGGTTCCCGTCTATCAAGAGGAAGCCGTTGTTTACAAGGGTTCCTCCCCAAGGCTGGACTCCCCCAGCGCATCCCAGCCTTCTTCTGCACAATTGAGTTTCCCACCAGGGCAACTCAATCTGGTTCCCGGAGGAGCTGCGCCGAGCAGCGGCTGAACCATTTATAGCACCGGCCCCCACGGTCATCGACGCCTGCCCTCATCGGCCGTCGCGAGCATGAACGCCGTTAGAGGCAAATGCCATTTCTTTTCGATCCTGGATGGGATGCTCCGGTATCTGGGACCGATGTTCCCAGTACGGGCCGTAAACAAAGATTTGGTTTTCCGTATCATCCGAAGAAGCGACTTGACATTCCATGGATGTTCATGTATCTTCAGTTCTATATATAGGATGTCTCTTTGTGTAAGTGATCTTTCGAGGCCCAAGGGTCGGCCCATACTGTAAGCATGCGCAAGGCTCGTTCTGTGCTCGGTGTAGGACCCTGCCATTTGCCACCAGCTTTTCCAGACACAGACTGTCTATGGTCCTACCTATTGTGTTATCGAGCTGTTAACCTTCTCCTTTTCTGCTTCGAGAGCCCTTTGGGCGGTTTCAACATCGATTCCATACGACCTAAGTGGGCAAACACAGGTTCCCAGCCACGTTCGTGGATAGAAGAGTGACTCCTCTATTGGTACTTGGAGGATCCTGGTCGGGGCTTCCATGCACACGCTGGGATGTGTAAGGCAGCTCAATGCTCAATTGGAAGACTCGGACCAAAATACAAAGGAACGTGGTGCAGTACATTGTCGATAGTGAGTCAAGAAGCGCTTTCGCTTGGCCGAACGGGAGGTTTTCGACCGACAAAGATGGAATTGTTCTCGGAAAAACAGACTAAGCTAGCTTATTGTGCAACATCAGACCTTCCTGCGTCCACCGCTGCTACTCGATCGTGCTGTCGTGGTAGCAGAGCCGGCATTCAACTTCTTGCGCTCTTCCGTCGCAAGAGCAGCATTTCCCTTTTGACCAACACCCTGCAGACCCTTCTTGTTGTCCAACTCCTTTCCATGTCCTGCCGTCGTCGGGCTGTTCCAATAGTAGAGCACCTGTGCAGCCAACACGGCGTTGAGAGCAAAGCCGGCGATGAAGCCATACAGAATAAGCTGATCATCCACCTCTTGTATGGTGGTGTAGATCCTGCTCAAACTGCCAAGCAGGTAATTGAAGACGGCGAAGGCAGACAATTGACCAGTTCCGCCTTGACGATAAATGGCGAGGATCTGCGGGATCTTGCTAGCAATGCTGAGACCTCCGGCGCCCGCTTGCAAACTGGTCATCTGGGTGTTGTTGACCAGTGTGTCCGAGACCATTAGTGCATAGACGGCACTGCCCACTGCTGCGAGAAACGCGCCTGCCTGGGCCGTCTTGTTGGAGTATACGAGGATTAAGACGCTGATGACCACATCTTGAATAGCAATCAAACTGGTCTCGCCATACGTGCTGAAAGGGAATCCGTTGCGAACATTGTAGGCCAGTGTGATCACAAAACTAGCTGTCTCCAGTAGATAGCTTGTGAAGGAGAGCCCCTCGGCCGACCGCGACTTGACCAATTTGATGATCTGCGGCACTTTGACGATAGACGCCGCACTGATAATGGCGATTCCCAGTGCCTTGGACACCGCGAGGGATACGCATTCTGGATGGGAGGTAACATCGAGGTCGAGGAGGATTGCGCTGTGGCAGCGCTCGCCTAGGAGGCCGACGACTACATCGTTGATTGGCGCGGGAAGGTTCGTGGTTATGGGTGCCAGGTATGGCTTGAGCGGATTGAGGACGAACTGCTGAACTTGGTCCATCGCTGCACGTTGGCTGTTGTGTATCCGTGGAATGTTCAATGATGAAAAGGACGGCAGGTTAGTGATCGCTTCTGTAGGGCATAGGTGATATTACTTGGAGAAGAGATTCTTGATCAGTGGTCAGGCCAGGCTGGCTTGAACGAGCAATGACAACAGAGATCACAACATTCTCCAGATCTGGATTACGTAGATGCACTGCGGGCGGGAGATCTTGTCTCACGTGCCGCGCTGCTGACAAGGGCTACTACAGCTCACGTGATTCCTCAGGGGGACTCAGCCTTGTGGCCTGTCTGAAACTCTCCGAGATCTACCTTCCATGTACACAACGTCGAACCATTGAAACGTGAGCTAGAAATCCTGTACAGGCACATCAACATCAATACATCGTTTGTGTAGTATATAGCATCAATATCAGGAGAGAAAGATCCGCGCCCTATGCCTTTAGTGAGATCTGCGGGCGGGTATTCTCAGCCGTTCTGTCCACAACAGCAAGGTGATAAGTTGCCAGCTGCTCTTCCGTAAGCTCCGATGGCGACCCGACAAACCTATCTTGGCCATCTGTATGCTTTGGGAAAGCTATCACATCCCGAACACTGACTCTGTCTGTCAGCATCGCCATCAATCGATCAAAGCCCAGTGCAAAACCTGCGTGTGGCGGACAGCCACTCTTGAGAGCATTAAGGAGATGCCTGAAGTCCTCCACTCGCTCTGGTTTCATTTTGAGGACGTCCCGGAAAATGAGCTCCTGCATCTCCGCATCGTGTATACGACGGGAGCCACCACCAACCTCGACGCCGTTGATGACTAGATCATAGTGATCGCCGACAACGCTCAACGGGTCTGAAATCAACCGTGACAAGTCTTGCCCGGGCTTAGGAGCTGTGAAAGGGTGGTGAGTAGAACATATCCCAGCCAGTCCACCTTGTCCTGGCTCGGATTGTACAGTAGGCGAGAATAATGGAAAGTCGGTGACCCAGAGAGCGGAAAACCCAGCCGGCGGAGGTAGTAGTCCTTGAGAAACCGCGCTCTGGTGAACATCTCGACGCAGATTACCCAGCATGGTTGATCCGCCAGTGAAGGGAGCATTGACCCGGGCCTGGGTAAGGAAAATATCTCCAGGCTCGGGCTCAAAGTGTTCTTCAACCCTGGTTGCTCCTTCATGTCCGAAGCTGGAAAGCCCGCTGAGCGGTCTACCCGTGTCGTAGACAGACACACCAGGTATCCCATCTGGGTTGTTGAAGTAGGCGGACGCGGACGGGGCATCGAGGAAAGACCTGATAAAGTGACCACTCTGTGATGGACTACATCCTTGCATGTCGATCTTGATTATCTCCACGATCGGGTCTGCAAGAGAAGTGAGCATTCCCTTAGCATCAGCTGCCAGCCAATCGTCGATGCGACAGATCTCTGCACCAATCCGAGTATCAGGCTTGTCCGAGCCGTAACGAGCCATGACTTCGTTGTACGTCAGTCGTGGAAGGGCCAGACTGTCTGCTTCGGCGTCACAGGCTGACAATACAGCTTTGTCATCTGAATTCGCCTTCCTCAAAGCAGGTATACCTTGGACGCTAGGCCAGACAGCTTTCAACAGTACTTGTTCTACAGCCCTCATGACCTGTGTAGCGCCCGCAAAAGACATCTCGAGATCAAGCTACTTGCCATCAGCGAACATATACGGGAGCGCATCGGTGGAAGCAGGATTACCTGAGTGAACTCCGGTTGTCTATCTGCTCTTAAATCCTCATCTCGGAAGCACCTCGCAAACTGAAAATACCTTGATATTCCAGACGCCATAAGGACCTGTTTATATTGCTGCGGACTTTGTGGAAGGGCATACGCCATTCCCCTTTTCCGGGTTGGTACGACGAACTCTCGAGCACCCTCTGGAGTAGATTTGAACAAAAGAGGTGTCTCAATTTCATCGAAGCCCGAGCCTAGCATGTGTTGACGTATGCTTGCAGATACCTTTGACCGTAATCGTATACGTTTGCGTAGTTCATGATCTGTCCTGAATTGTAGGTGACGCATCTCAGGTGGGAAAGCCGTATCCCATGCTGCAATTGTGTCCGAAGGAAATGAGTTTAGAGGTGTAATAAAGTCTGCGCGTATTTCCACATGGGAGACCAGATCGATCATTCCAACGAAAGGATCCAGTTTTTGAACGGTTTTGCGTGCACTGTTTTCCTGCTTCTTGTGTCCATCTTGAACTTCGGCCTCTTGCTTGGATGATCGAGCTTGTTTAGGAGGAACTTTGCGGCCAACAATGGAACCGACTATTTGGACAGGGGTATGAGCTTGGACGTGCATAGGACTCTTGGTGTTCTGGTCTGAGGCATTGTCACGAGAGGACTGGCTGATAGTATCCGGCAATATTTGGACACCCCCCTCATTCACGACGTCGGCCGTTTTCGACGCAGTCGTTGGTAGGACGACTTGGATAGCAAGTTCCAGACGTGGATCGACAAGCTGAAAGAACTCGCACTGTTTCGCAGAGCGTTGGGAGGTGATGTAGCCTAGAACTGCAACACGGGTTCCGTGGCCACCATTTGTTCCAGAGCCATCGCCCGGTTCTGCGCCCAGTAGGCTATCCCAAGTCGTCAGGGAATCAGAATTGAGACCTACAGTGTTAGTTCGCAAATGAATATTCAAGACATAGGATTTCCTACTGTTTCGCTCAAACCGCTCCAAACAATCCTGTTGTTGCTTCGACAGTGTCGTGGGTCGGGCAGCTTTGAGATTTGTCGTGTGAGATTGACGCAGATCTGCCGTGGCCGAATTCAGTCGGTTCACATCTGCCGTTGCAGCTGCACTCGCATGTCGTCTGGAAAGGACCGGTCTTGATGGGACAGTCCTCGGTCTGGGAGTGTGGGAGAGCGACTGTGACCGAACATATCTCGAGATCTCAATGTAGCTGTCTCGCAGATGAGACAGGCGCGCAGCAGGACTTCGAAGAGTCATATCCAGCATGCGCATCAAGCATTCAGACCAAACGACACCAAATACGGCACCGAGGTTTTCCGCAATGTCTCGTTGCTCGAAAGTTGTTTGGATCTGCGCAGAACATTTGGAACCTTTTGGGGAACCGCAGGCTTGAATCGGAGGTTTGCAGGCGAACCTCCGAACCTCCGAACCTCGTCCGCACATAAATTTCTGCCGTCGCTCGCACTTTTGTCTTCCTCCTCCATCCTTCCAAGTTTTAAACAAGTGAGTCCTACACATTACATCCATCCTGAAGTCTGCTAATATCTGTTTAGATGATGAAAGCCTAGTGTGTATTGTATGATATGTCTCTACCTCGAAACCTGCAAGCACTCTCCTCGGAGCTTAAGTGGCTTGCTGGTCGACGGGTTTGAGACAATGATATCTGCGTTCGGCACAACCTCCTTGTTACATCAACGGACGCGATGAAGGCATCTCTGATTACAAAATCTTGGAAGGACATATTACTCATTCGTCTCAACTCGTCTATGAATGACTCTGAATATGGGCAAGCAAAAGATGCGCATGCAGTCCAGTCACAACACAGGACCTTGGTCTAGGACATGCCATTATTTTCGTGAAATGGTTGGGATTGAGTCATAGCTCTCTTCCATGAACTGGGCCCAGGCCCCAAGAGCGGCCTTGAGCTCAGGCGTTGGACCGCCGAAAGCAACTCTCACGTAGCCTCGAAACCGATGGCCGTCACCAAAACAGCTGCTTGCGGGACAGATCAGCACACCTGCCTGCTCGCAGAGTTGTTCGCAAAAAGCCTCGTCATCGACAGGCTTTCCCATTTTGTGAAACTTGAGCATTGCTGTTGTGCCTGCGAGTGGATTCACCCAAGAACAAGCCCAGCTGTGACTTTCAATGAATGCTTGAAGGACATCCAGGTTGGTTTGAGTTAATCTGATGTTTCTGCCTAACAGCGCATGGATGCATCTATCGCTTACAGCCTCCGCAGCAATAGCTTCGTCAAGCTTCGATGAAACCGTTGAGGTATAGCGCCTCGTCTGCTTGCAGGCGTTGATGATGGCCTTGTCCTTGGAAGCGATCCATCCGGTCCGGATGCCGGCCAGACTGTATGCCTTGCTTACCGCCCCGACCACAATGGCTTTTTCATAGCCTATATTGATAGCTGAAGGAGGGAAATCTTCGCTGGATGGCAGAATGGAGTGAAAGAGGGGTCTGTTTGTCTCGTCGGCAAGGAGCAAGACACCTTTTTCTTCGGCCACCTGCACAAGAGCTTCGAGCGTTGATTTGGGAACGATTGCCCCTGTGGGATCACATGGACTCTGGATTACAACCATCTTTGTGTTATCCTTGATCAAGCCTTTCAGCTCTTCGATATCGAGTTGCCACTGCTTTGCCGGATCCGCTTCCCACAATGTGACCTCAATCCCCTTAATTGTGGGGATCTTATAGAGCAGTTCATCCACGGGATGCTGACAGATGATGTGGTCTCCAGCGGACAGCAGAGAATAGAAGACGGTATACTGCGCCGCAGATCCACCATTCGTGATCAGGATGTCGTCGTACGTGACCCCTCCAGACCGAGCAGAATACAGAGCTGCCAGATTTCTCCGCAACTCGAGACTCCCAGCTGGATGCTCTTTCTCATCCAATACTATGCTGTTCAAGCCAATTTTTTCTTCCGACTCTTTCTTGCTTTCGGAAATATCCAGAAGTTGCGCAAGTGAAATTGCCGAGACAGTGGACGCTACAAGGTCATGTTTGGCAGGTGTCTGGTGTTTCTCATACCACTGTTCGTAATCGTGTCAGCGCTGTCGATTTATTCGATTTAGAAGTTTCAGACCTTACCTCGCCAAACTTCACCGGCAATATACTGGACATTGTGGCAGACATACAGGGTGCCTTCCTCAGGAGTGAAGACACATTAGTAGCAGGGGAAATTATACAGACTCACAGTCTCAGCTTGGCGGTAGAAAATGTTCTTTTCCTTTCCACAGTTTCCAGAAACTATACTAGTAGTAGGTGTTGTCATCCAGGCCCGACGACTGCGGTCGTGCGGAGGCAGCAACGAGACCTTCCCCACAAACAGAGCTGCTTAGCTCGTGTCTCGTATCAGGTCTGCAGGCGGGCAATAATAATGTGCCGAGTGACCAACTAAGATACAGAGAGTTGCGCAGCCCGATGCAGCTCGGTTTCGCGACAAGCCCAACCCCCCCGCCTGCGCCTGCGCCTGCGCATATCTATGCTACCACGTTGACTTTGGTACCTACACTACTAGTATTCCAAGGCTTGTTGCAGTATGGTGTGATATCCTTTCCACCTTGATATGAGTGCGCTCGGCGACACCCTATCGGTATCAATTCACTCTGCTGCCACCTACAAGCTCTCTGGATTCTAGTGATACAATCATCTAGACGCTCCTCGCCTCTCTGTTGCAGCTCCCGGGTGAGGTTCCATCTGCAGGCGCCAGCCACACCAATTCGACAGCTTTGCACGTGCGGAATCAAGTCGGCCTCCCTCAATGCGCCTTCATGGCTTTCCTTCGGCCGTCCTCTTTGTCGGTCCGGCATTGTTGGCGGCGGCGACAGCATATCTGAACGATACCTCTACAACGTTAATGCAAGACCCTTTCTACCAACTTGCCGACGGTTGCCCTCCTTGTCCCCGATGTTTCGATTGCCATTACGACGAATTCCAGTGCCAGCAATTTGCGAACTGCAGCAGCACCAATGGGAAATGCGTCTGTCCTCCCGGCTTCGGAGGCGACGACTGCTCTGAGCCGCTGTGTGGATCTCTCGCAGATGGCAAGAACAGGTCTCCCAGGAGAGGCGACCGATGTCAATGCACAGATGGATGGGAGGGTGTCAACTGCAATGTCTGCGCATCTGATAATGCTTGCAACGCCATGATGCCCCTGGGCGAGGGCGGGCGATGTTATCGAGACGGTCTCGTCGTACACGAAATATATCAGGTCTGCAACGTCACGAATAAAGCCATTTTGGATCAAATTGACCCCAGGCTCCCTGAAGTCACCTTCGCTTGCAATGCAGATCAAGCGAGCTGCAACTTTCAGTTCTGGGTTGATCAAAAAGAGTCTTTCTACTGTGCTTTGGACAACTGCACGGCGGAAGCGAAAGCCACGAATGTCCGCAACTCGACGAAGTATCAATGTGAAAACATAAAATGCTCCTGCATAGAGGATCGATTCCTGTGCGGCGAGGACGGTTCAGTGAACATCGACGAATTCCTCGAGCAGGAAATCAAGGGTCCTGCATCTTTCTATACGCAGTACACCTATGGTGGGAGCTCCAAAGACGGCAGCAGGTTCGAAGAACCAGCCATGAACAACTTGATCTCAATGATATTTGGCGACGAATACATATCTCTTCAATGCCGCGCAGGAGAATGCCTGTACGAAACCGAGGTACCTGGGTACACACGACCAGTCAAGGAGATCAATACGCCGCTGATTGCAGGAGTCATTTCGGGCTGCGCACTTTTCGTGGTTGCTATCATACTCATCACATGGTATCTTTCTCGAAGGGCTGCATACAAGAGATGGGGCGCTATCCGGCTAGGCGAGGGCTCGGATGATGATGCTGCTGAAGCCCTGGTCAACCACATCCCCATGGCGCTGCAGTTCGAGAATGTCTCATACTACCTCAAAGGCAAAGAGATCATCTCAGGCATATCAGGTATCGCTCATCCTGGGCAGCTCACAGCGATCATGGGGGCTTCTGGGGCTGGCAAATCCACATTTCTGGACATTCTGGCTCGCAAGAACAAACGTGGAACTGTGGCAGGGAGTATGTATGTGAACGGCGAAAAGATACTGGACACAGAATATCGCAACGTTATTGGCTACGTGGACCAAGAAGACACTCTCCTACCGACTCTGACAGTGCATGAGACCATTCTCACAAGCGCTCTCCTGAGATTGCCTGCCGACATGGGACTGTCAGTCAAGGAGCAACGGGTCATAGAAGTGATGCAGCAGCTCGGCATCTACCATATCAAGGACCAAATGATAGGATCGGAAGAGGGGAACGGGCGTGGCATCTCAGGTGGTGAAAAACGGCGGGTCGGGATCGCCTGTGAACTTGTGACGAGTCCAAGTATCCTTTTCCTGGACGAACCGACCAGTGGCCTGGACGCCTTCAACGCTTTTAATGTAGTCGAGTGTCTGGTCACTTTGGCGAAGACTTACAACCGAACTGTCATCTTCACCATCCACCAGCCTCGGTCAAACATTGTCGCACTCTTCGATCAGCTCATTCTTCTTGCCAAAGGCAAGACCGTTTATTCTGGTCCGTTTTCCAGTTGTCAAGCATACTTTGACCATATTGGATATTCTTGCCCGCCAGGGTTCAACATCGCCGATTACCTGGTGGATCTCACCATGCACGCGAGCCTCCCCGGCTCGCCTGTGCTCGGCGAAGAATCGAGGGAGTTCCCGGAGCGCGACGGGTTAGGGACAGAATCAAGCAGTACGAGGGCTGTCAAATCGATCGCCAGCGCGTCGAACGTCAGTGTGGAGAGTCCCTCTGAGCCACTGTTACGCGGAAAACCGAAACGTCGCCTGTCGCTGAAGCAGAAGCAAGACCGTCAGTTGTTCACACGCAGGAGGAGTGGCAGTGATACTCCGCCAACGCCAAAGACTGATGATGAAGACAGCATAATCCGGAAAGCGACAGGGAGCGCGCGGAGCTGGCTGCAGCTGGCCACAAGGGACGGATCGAATCCACCGCCGCTGTTGGAAGATCCAGATGACCTGCCACCGGATGTAAACACAGACCTGGACATTCTGGTGTCGAGCTTCGAAGACTCCGACGTGGCCCAGACCATCCATGACGAAATCAGTGCTGCTATCCAGGCGGCCTCATCAGCGAATGGTCACACTACGGAAGGCAGCACTGGCGAGGCAGTCACAGGCTCTATCAAAGGCTATCGGCGTGTTAGCCTTCCACGCCAATTCTTGATTCTCTCGACACGGACATGGAGAAACCTCTACCGAAATCCCATTTTGATGTTGACGCACTATGCTGTGGCTATTTTGCTGGCCGTGCTATCAGGCTGGCTCTTTTATGGCGTGACTGACGACATCGGCGGATTCCAAAACCGACTCGGGCTTTTCTTCTTCCTGCTTGCGCTCTTCGGGTTCAGCACACTCACCAGCTTGAGTACCTTCAGTTCCGAGCGACTGATATTTGTTCGAGAACGGGCAAATGGCTATTACGCGCCCATCACATATTTCTGTGCCAAGGTAGTATTCGACGTCGTCCCTCTGAGGTTGCTACCACCGATCATCATGGGAATGATAGTTTATCCAATGGTGGGCCTGTTACCACAATGGGGCACATTCTTCACCTTCATCTTGATCTTGGTGCTATTCAACCTTGCCGCCGCGGCCATTTGCTTGACGATTGGGATCGTATTCAGAGACGGGGCCGTGGCGAATCTAATCGGCAGCCTGGTGATGCTGTTCAGCTTGTTGTTCGCAGGTCTCTTGCTCAATCTTAACCATGACTCTACGCAGATGGCGGCTCAGTGGCTACAAAAGGTGAGGAGTTTCTTCTGCGCGACTGTCTGCTTATTCGTACTAACTGTTTCCATAGCTGTCAATCTTCCACTATGGTTACGAAGCCCTCATTGTCAATGAAGTAGCCAAATTGCGTCTGAAAGACCACCGGTACGGCCTCGACATTGAGGTGCCGGGAGCCAGCATTCTCAGTGCCTTTGGGTTTGATAACCTGGCCTTGTGGTCGGATGTGATAGGCCTGGCGGTGTTTGGCGCTGCCTTCATCATCATCGCATATGCGGCTATGCACGTTCTGCTTGTGGAGAAGAGATAGAGAGACCAATAATGACTGGGCGGTAATTTGAAGTTTGATCGATTCAGCATGTCGTTTTCGGGGAATACATACACATAGATGACTACCTACGTGGGGTAGTACGTTTGGCGCGGCATATATACATAATACATCTGCTTTTGAAGGCCTATCTACCTAAGGTAGGTACATTCGGCCGTCTGAGCCCCGGATTCTAGCGACAAGGCATTGGGGTGGGATGGGAGACGGATGCTGGCAAGAAGCGTTGCCTGACTTGGTGTGAATGTTTCTCGGAACTGGCTGGCTGTCTTTCTTTCCCTCGGACTCGGAAACGAGATGATGAGCAAATGTCCCGATCTCGGAGTGCAGCCAATTGCGGGGAGACGACTGAAGAACAAAACATCCCGACTTGTCCTCGCCGGCATTTGATATTCGATGGTTACAACCGTCTCTCCCGACCTTCCGCCCTCTTGGAGAAGAAGCTTGCAGACACTGATTAGACATTGAAACATAGGTACCATTGCCTAGGGCACACGCTCGTGCCTTGGCCTGCTTCCACCACTTCATTGACTCCCCCAGACCGTTGCTTGTATGGCTGCCCTGATCCGGGGGCGGCCTCGTTGTCGGTGTTCTTGGATCACCACCAGTTTTGGACTAGCCACAGGTCGAAGCCTGTCTTCCTCTGCGAGGAATCCGTCCTCAGCCGACGCACAGGAAGTGGCAGAAGCATTTCTGAACAAGTTCTCCAAGGGACAGACATTTGTACGCAAACAGTTGCTGGATGCCAACCAGCTACGACTCTTTTCCCTCACGTTGGATCGGCCACACCTGTGGCCTAGCTCAGCCTTGCTATCCAAGACCTTGGAGGAGACGGAGCCCCTTCCAGGCACACCCGTCCCGGCGGGATACCATCTAATTTACTTTACACCAGCCCAATTACCCGGCATCTTGGGGCTAGACGGCACGGATGCATCATTCAATCCGGAGGCGCCGTTCACACGACGCATGTGGGCCGGAGGGTCATGCCACTGGCCAGGGGCGGACCCCAGTCGAAGTGAGCTGGCGCTGTTGAGGGTTGGCGACACAGTGACGGAGGTGACCAAGGTGCTGAGCTGCGTGCCTAAGGTGATCCGAAAGACCGGCGAGAGTATGCTGGTTGTCGGAGTCGAAAAAGAATTCAGGAATGGCAAGGATGAGCTCTGCGTGGTCGATCGACGAAACTGGGTGTTCAGACCGGCTTTGGATCCCTCGAGACCCGCCTCCGTGGTGCCGAAGCGGCCCGAATTGTCTCGGACTGAACTCGAGGAAGCAGCCAGGGGCAAGATAGTCCGCGAGTACACCCGCAGCGAGGTGACGCTCTTCCGCTTCTCGGCCTTGACGTTCAATGCCCATCGCATTCATTATGACAAGGCTTGGGCTACCCAAGTTGAAGGCCATAGGGGCGTGGTCGTCCATGGACCCATGAATCTGATTGCGATGCTCGATCTCTGGCGTGACGAGACTGTCGACCAGGGAGTGGGCACAGCACGCAATGATATTGTGTACCCCGAGAAGATCGACTACCGGGCTACTAGTCCTGTCTACTCGACAGAGCCGTATCGGGTGATGATGCCGGCCGAGGCTGTCGATGCGAAGGAGGCTGATGTGACGGTGGTCAGCAACGATGGTACGGTTTGCATGAAGGGGACCGTGACCGATTGGTCATGAGTTTACAAAGACATTGTGTCAAGAAGCACTCATCGGAGCCTCTGCAGCTGCCAGCCATTCTCAACATGCGGGAATAAGGAGTGGAGGTAGTGAAAGGCTGAATCAGTAAATGTCACGCTGACTCGGCCATGTTCTGTTGGGATCTGTGCGAAGATTAGAGCTCATACGGCAATGAGAGGCGTCGAATCTGTGAGCATCAACTTCATATCTTATATACAAGGCAATCTACCTACTGTGCAGATGACGGTAGAGGGTTCAGGGTCAGTGCCATATGCAAGAAGGGCCGGTGGAGGGGTCCAGGACATGGGGGACTGCACTGCTGGTGGCTGACTCGGAAGGTAAATGAGCTTTGTCTGACCATTTCTTGGCAAAATGTGTGGTCGCCAGCGAAAATTCCTCTCCAAAAGTGAAAATAAATGGCAGTCTGACGAAAACTATTCTGACAGACATAGAGGACTGCCCGATGACGGCGGGAGCTCATTCCCCTGCAGTGGTGCTGTACTAGCATCAGCCTGATCTGCGCTCTTCCCAAGGTTAGTATAAGAGGTACACTGGCAGTACTTATCTTAAGATCATGATGTTCAGAGGCGGGTCCATCCCCAATCCACAGCTCGATCCATCTTCAGCGAAAATCCGTTTGCAACTCTCCCTCTCTGGCCACAAATCTGCAACACACTTTGCTAAGTTCGAGATCAGATCAAGCTGGTCTCCTCTCTGGCAGGGACAGGGACACGGACTACTCCCTGCATCCCTCTCTGCACCAACCACAGTCACCGACATAATTCTCTACTGCTACGACTTGTCGGAAAAGGCATCAACCTACTGGTAGTGCCACCTACGGATGAACCGTCCATGAATCCGAGAGTGACAAGCCTAAAAGAGCCCCTAAGCCCTCCACCCGAAGCCCGCCTTCTTTAGTCCTTCTCCGGTCCCCGGATTCTCAGATCGCAGATCTCGAACACAGACTCCTCTCAATATTGTTCGCCTCCCACTTCGCATCTCATTCTCTTGCCCATCGCAATACTTGTACCCCTCTCTTCCACCCGAGTCTTCTCGCAATGCACGCTGTGCTACTGTGGGCGCCGCCATGATCCCGCAAACTCCATCTCTGACCGTCCCGCCGGACAGTTCAGCTCAACAGCTCCTTCGCTTGGGCAAACCATTCGTCGAGTTTCCGAGATTCAGCATCGTCACGCTGCAAGAAGAGAAGGACCGCGACGGGCAGCCCCTCCCCTTCTCGGAATGGCTGACCAAACGTCTGCAACTCGGTCAACCCTTTGTCATAGCCGATTTCGACAAGCTCGACACATGGCCCACCACGGACCCTCATGATGGCAGTCAACCCGGGTTTGGGATCGAAAGACTGATCGAGCTGAGCACAAAGAAGAACATACCGGTCCGGAATTGTAGTACGGGCCGAGATTTGACCTTTACATTGAGAAAGTTTGCAGATAGTGCAAGACAGTCCTTACCCGAATTCCAGAACCTTTACGCCAGAGATTTGCAGTGTCCCCAGGAATGGCTGGAACAGTGTCGCAAACTTCTGCCCGCCGAGGTGCAATGGGGAGGTCGCTTAGACTTGCTCCAGTGGCTCCCGCAATGCGCGAGGAGCGAGGTCATGATGGCCTATGTCGGTAGCGAAGGCAGCAGCTCTGGGTTTCATCGATGCTTCTCGAGTACAGTTGCCCTCAATCTCCTCGTTGACTCCGACGACCGCCCGGTGGTCTGCATCGGCACCGATTTCGACTCGCAGAAGAAGTACGATTCTTTCATGTCCGCTCAAGGTGTCTCGCCTCACTTGGACTGGCTCAACTTGGGAACGGCCGAGCTCCTCAAGGCCAATTTCCCCCTGTATGCTTACGACCAGCGAGTGGGTGATCTCGTCGTCTTCCCTCCAGCAACCGCGCACCAAGTTTGGAATCCGTCGACGCTGTCGGCCAAGCTAGTGTGGAATATTCTGCACCCGCTATCTCTCGAGGTGGGCTTTGAATACGTGCAAGCTCCATTCAATCGTTTGTGCCATCCTGATGTGGCTCGAACCAATCTGTCGCTCGCATGCGCCATGCTTTCGCTTCTTCAAGATAACCAAAATGTCACCAACTCGTCACTGCCACTGCCGCCCGACCTCCCCCTGCTCTCCCGTTTATTCCGACAGATGGTTCACGATGAGTCCATCGAATCACAACCGGCCACCCCAATAACCCTAGTGCCGATCCAGCCTGGGACTATCGCCACGTGTAACTTCTGCAGCACCGCGATATGGAACCGACACGTGCGTTGCACCCAATGCGCGGATTTCGACCTTTGTTTGCTCTGCTACTTGAACGGTCGATCTTGTGAGCACTCCCGATCGTACGCTTGGGCTGAGCTTGTGCCATCCGATCAGTGCACCAGAGTCCTCAACCGGGCCCGAGAAATCCTTGGGTTCCAGCCGGAGGAGCCGCGGGCGCTGGACCGCCGCAAGACTCTCGGCACAGCGGTGAACGAACTGATGCGCGCCAAAACCTCGACCATCACCAGGCTGTGCCATCTTTGCCGCATCGAGCATCACGAGTGGAAAGGCCGTCGGTGCGACAAGTGCACAGCCTTCTTCTGTTATCGCGGTCTTTTTCGGCACTTTGACCAGTACCCACCGGACGTTCTCCGACACAAGGGCATTTGGGTCTGCCCAAAATGCGAGGAAAGCTGCAACTGTCGCTGCTGTCACTTTACCACGGCATACACGAAGAGTGAAAAGCCGGCGAGCAAACGTAGGGTTAAAGCAAATGATCCTAGAGGAAAGCTGATGGGCTTTGCCGACAATGTCTTCGACCAAAAACGAGGACGTCGCGAGAGCCATGTCAACGGAGGTGCTACAAGCGTGACATCTTTCCCTGGAGTGCCACAAGTATCGGGGAAAAAGCGAGCTATCTCCTCCTCAGCCGAGCCAGGACCCGCGACGCCTCTGAGGAGGATCGAATTACCTACCCCAGAATCTGATCCATCACTCAACGGCAAAATCGACATCCCCAGAGACAGCTCGGAGCTCATGATCGAATCATCATTCGCATCAGTGCATGGAGGCTTGCCGACGCTTTTGCCCAGTATGAAGGTCTTAGCGGAGCGAGCTGATCTCAGTGTGAGCCCCGTAAATGAGAGACACTCCAGGCTGAGTAGGTCTCCTGCCACGTTGATGTCGACGGCCGCATCGCGGGGCCTGTTGCCAGCGACTGTTCACTACAGTGAGAACAACACACTGCCACCGATGCTTGGACATGCTACTCCGAACGGTATGTTCCTTCCGCAGCCTACTTCTAGTAGCCTTCTGAGCACTACAACGTCCGCTTCGCAAGCCTCTCCCACAAAGTCTGCAGAATCAAGTGGTGCGAAGACACCCACTACCGCTCTTGATGCATCGATCGCGGAACTCGAAGCTCGACTGCGAAGTCTCAAAAAGTTTGAAGAGGAATTCATTGCACTGGACTTGGAGGACAGCAGGAAGATGCTGGCGTCGCAGGTGGCAGAATTGGAGAGCCAACTGAAAGCGAAGAAAAGAGAGAAGGGTCTTCTGTTGATCGAAAGGCTCAAGAAGGAAGGCTTTGGAGGACTTGCAGCCGTGGTCGGTAAAGAGGTCGGACTGGGATTTGATGCATCTGGCCCTGGTGGTTTCTGAGGCCTGTTCGCCCTACACGAGGTCCCGGTTCGACCGGTACTCCTCCAAGAGCCATCTAGGAGGCAATGTGGCTGTAACATGCGCCCGAAGGCTGATGTTCAGCATTCCAAAATGGTTCTTTGATACCTCTTTGACGACGGCTACGACGGCGTAGCAGGCATTGTGTGGACATCGACTGGAGCCCCAGACTAGATTATGTGGAAATGATTTTGGATTCTGAATTGTACCGATCCAGCCCTGCTGTGATGTTTTCTATTTACGGCAGTCAGCGGAGCACGACGAGGCGAAAAGTATACCCCATGACATGGTTTGGATGAGACGCGAGACTGTTACTAGTAAGCGTGCTGTACTTATAGTTGAAGATGCCGATGCAGGTGATTCATGTATTGCTATAGCTGTATCTACAGTTACGCAAGGGCGCTAAGGTACCTAGTAGGTAGGAAGAGCCAGGGTGCAGTGCTGATGACATTGGTCGTTGTTGCGGACATATATGGTTCTACCAGGATTACTACTACGTAGCATATCTTCAGACTCCGATCGGACGTTTTGGAATCTCACATAGAACTTGGTACCTATACAGCGTCCTCACTTTTCCCACTTGGATGTATCGTTGGCATTTTTGAGTAATCATTGCATGATAGCAGACCTGTACTCTTGTTGTTATTCTTTTCCAGCAGGCCTGTTTGTCGTGTTTCAAAGGCTTCCCACATATCTCATTTGTCTGCCCTGCCATCTCTACGCCGTGATGTCCGAGACCGAACCTCCTGCGACTCCCAAGTCCCCTGTTTCGCCTGAGACCCTTTCCTCCGTTACAGCACTCGCTCGCTTCGAGTTCGAACCCGGTCGGGGCAATGAAGGAACGAAAGTCATGATGGTGGAGTGGCAGGATGACGATCAGACACGGCCCAAGTCCGGAAACTGGCATGTCTCTTGGTCCGGCAAACGCACGGTCTTCTCAGCAGACGACCACCCTTCCGACAACATTCGCCGGGTATACTTCCTGCTGCCTCCCGGTGCTTTCATCCCTCCACATGTCACCCTGGCCTGCTACCCTCCCACCGAAACTCCGGGGACAGAACCTACGCCGCTGCGCATGAGTGTCAATCCACTTCCCGCCATCTTTACGCCCGAGCTCGGAGCAACAGCAAAGGCCAGTGGGAAGAAGGGGGTTCTCCATACGATATGGGCCAAGAAGAGACTGCAGGTCTTGGAAAAGGAGATTCGGCATGAACAGAAATATAGCCCAGAAGGCGTGGCCCTGGAGATGGCACTTTCAGAACGCCAGTGGATTGAGAGCAACTTCGGCGTCATGTCTCGGCCAACGACGCTCGATCTGACTGACATCTCCAAGTCTCCCCCGGGGACGGGGCCAACCAGTCCGGGCATACAAAGTCCCAAGTCCCCTTCCGGCAGAAGACTCAGTGAGAAGTTGAAGGGCCTCAGCATCGCTACCAGCGAGAGAGACCTGGCCGGCCGTGGACTGAACACGCCAACGCGGGAGGTGCATCCCCTATCCCCCGAGGCGTCTGACATGGCATACTCGTCTTTCGGCGCTTTCCGCAACGGTCCTGTATCTGAGCCCGTGAAGAAGATGGTAGCCCAAGATCCGCCCGAACATATCAAGAGACAGCATGAAGCTCCTTCCTCACAGTCCATCGATTCGCTCGCTCAGAAGCCCAAGGAGCCACCAGACGATGACCTTTTCGCGGTTGCACTGAGCCCCAGATCCCCAGATGGTCCCAAAAGTCCATTTTCCATTTCAAGCGCACAAGTCGGTGCTTTCTCGAAGATCAAGGGTCAAAGATGAGCCCGAGCTACTGTTTCAATGGCATGGTTTTCGACAAGATCACCTTCATTGATCAGCGTTGAGCGGATTGTTTCCACGATTTGACATGATTTATGAACGATGCTAGAGAACTATTTGAATGCATACATTGGCCAATCCATACAAACTCACCCGGATTATAAAGACCGTACCCTTATATATCCGAAAGCGACCATCATCATCTTTCGGGCTTTTTCAATGGGCATCCGAGGCGACAGACCCGACCAAGCAACCAAACAGAGCAAAATCAAACCAATCATGCAAGCAATGCCACGGCGGCCGCTACCAATCCCACGACGGCAAAGCCTGGGTTCACAAAGTTGTACGCCTGGCCGGTGTAAGTTGTTGTCGAGGCGGTTGGAGCTGCTTGTGCCGCCGGTGCCAAGGAAGATGGGGGAGCGGGAGGCATATTTGTTCCAGCAGCAGGAGCGGTGTAGTTGGAGCAGCCGTACCCGCTTCCACTGCAGCCTGGAGCCACTGTTGGAACCGGCGTCATCGCGGTCTTGGTGCATCCGCAAGACTCGTCCCACCAAGTGTATTGAGTGCCGGGAAGGTTGGTGGCGGCCGCAGCAGAAGGGACCGCCGAGGTCTTGGTGCACCCGCACTCGTGATCCCAATACGTGACGGTCACCGTGGGGCCGACAGTGGCCGAGATCAAGGTTGCGTTGGGCATTGCCGTGGGTGCTGATGTGGTCGACATGCTCGTCGATGAGGCTGCCGAAGGAAACGCGATGCTGAATAACGGTGAATAGTCCATGCCGTCGCCTTGGATCAGCACCAAGCCATAGTTGCCAGGAACGAATCCGTCGGGAACAGTTACGGTCCAGTCGAACTCCGGAGGGGTTGCAGCTGTGGCAGCTAAACATCATTAACACTCATCCGAAGAGTTTGGGTTTCATGATAACTCACTGAAGACGGGGCTATTCCAGGTTGTGTTTCCAAGGACCAGATCCACCGGGTCACCGTCGCCGACAGTCCAGTGGATCGGCCAGACTTGTCCCACGGTGACCGGACCCCAGGTCATGCCGTCAAATGTGGCGGTCAGAGCCATAGCCTTGTAGGCTAAGGCGCCGATGGCGAGGATCGAGAAAGAGTGCATGGTTCCGTGTGTTTAGAGCTGATCCGGGATTCGGATAGTGAGTTTTTTTTAAGCGGGCACGAGGCTCTCAAAGCTCTGTCGAGTAGAGCAAGGGGAGTTGGACAGAATTCAAACGAGGAGTGAAATGCAGACCAAAGGAGTGACTGGAAGACGAAGAAGAAAAGAGAGAAGAAGCTTAGAAAGACACACCAAGCACGAGCGGCAAGATGCACGTAAATGAAGGTGGCAGGCCAGACATGCCTGGATGGATAGAATTGTTTGTTGTGGCCCCCTTTCCGAATCACGGTGTCCTGGATTCGTGCAAAATATGGTGCACTGCATTCCAAGCATTGAATTGCCAGTGGGTCAACGATTTCGAGACCTTGGGTTCAATATCCATCTCGCACACATGCAGCAGCAGCAGCTGCTGCTCGCGCACAAGAAGGGTGCACGGCACACATTCCTGAGCTCAAGTTGGTGGGTGTCGTCAAGCAGATCAGCGCATTTCTCGAACATATCTCCAATCGCTGGATGCTATGGCCGCGATGGGCGCACCCGCCGTGGACAGGGCCAGTCATCGCCAACTGCTGATCCTTCTGTGATTCTGGGAAATCTCATCGCGTGAGCCGCGAGGCCGCTCTGGACTCTGTGGTCGCGTCTTTTCCCCGTCCGAGCTTGGAATGGCAAATTTGAATACCTCTGCCAGCCATCGCTCCTCGATTTTCGTTCGTCCTAGGGGGCCGCGCGAGATACAGTCCAGATGAATCCCTATACTAATGGAAAGCAGGTACTGCTTGGTCTTTTGAGGCAACACCGGGTACCGGTTGGAATGCTGTCTTCACCGTTCTACTTTGGGCGACTCTGAGCTGTCTGGTGTCTGCTTGACGTAAGGGCACCGAAGACTGGTTTTCCGCAGTGTAGAGACGTACCTCTGAAATGACAGCCCTACCCTGCGGAATGAGCGTGCATACTTTGCTTAGAGACAAATGTACTCGACATCAACGTAGGAACCGGGCACGAGGACGGTTGTAAGGCGTAGAAAGACAGATCATGGCAGGAGAAAAAAGTGGCCAGTGGAATTGATTGATTTTGAGAGACCAATGCCTTTTTCGGTGTGACTCTATTGTGGCCGACACCTGGCATACGCGTTAAGCTAATCCATTCTGCTCAAGAGCTCCCCAAGGTTGCCTGCTTCAGTGCTCGTCGTGATGCGTGGAGAGTATTGTATGCCTAGCAGCCCTGGTCCCAGCACACACTGAATTTGTTGCCTTTAGCTATTCCCCTGCATAGTAGTCAGCTTTTGCGTCGTTCCAGGACCGTTTCCCCCAACGAGGTGCCTAGGTTAGAGGACGTACGAAGAGTTCCCCCAACCCATCTGATGAGGATTTAAGCCACACCACATGTGTATGCTTTACAAGGCAGCCGCCAGCCCGAGCATAGCAGCCCCCAAGGCGCCCATGGCCGGCAAAACGACCCGATCGACCCCGTTGCCGGCATTGGTAGCACTGGTAGCGGTGGCAGAGGCGACGGCATTACTTGCACCGCTGGCAAGAGCGGATACACCCGTGGCAGCAGCTGTACCGGCCGCACTGGTCAAGCTTCCTACAGCGCTGGTGGCCGCGCCGAGATCTGAGCCCAGCTCCGAGATGTAGGAGGAGTACAAGGCCGCGTCGGAGCCGGTGAGTTGGCTGGTGGCGCTGTCCAAGGCCGATGCGGCGCTAGAAAGGAGGGATTGATATTGGGTGTCTGTGCCGACGATGGCGGAGGCTTCGGAGAGCAATGATGAGACATCCTGCGCAGTCACGAAGCTGGTGGTAGTGGCCACGAGGGCCGAGATGAAGTATGTCAAGCGCATGATTGTTTGGGATTGGGGTTCCTTTTGGAATGGAATTGATTTGAAGTTGAGAGGACGAAGAGATATGGAGCGAAAAGTTTTGATGCTTGAGCGTAGGCTTTAGGTAGGAATAAGAAGGATATGGTTTGAGTAGGAGGAGAATCGAGAGTCGGTTTCGGTTTTGCGTTTGGTTGATCGCTCCGGTGTGCTTGAGGCGCAGTGAGGTAGGGACAGAGGAAGTGTAAGAACAAAGAAGGCACGAAGGTAGGAAGGGAGCTCGAGACAGTAGGTAGTAGTGATGGAAGGAATGCACTGCAGCAGAGGAAAGAGTGATATTTAGTACTTTCCTTCACCTCACTTCTCGAAAACGCAAACGGGTTGAAGGATTCAAAGACAGGAGATGAAGTCTTGGTAACCCTTGACTGCGCGATTCCTCGTCTGTTGTTCTACCTGTTTTGGTGAAAGATTTCATGGGGTACGTCTCAGACACAGTACAGGTACATCAGGGTCAAAGCAATAGCCTACCTGTCTCCATGCTGGATATATGGAGCGGTCGTCCAATCAACAGTGACAGAAGGCTAGGTTTTGACTCATCAGAAACAGAAAGCGTCAGCCGCCCTGATGGAGCCAAACAAGTCTGGATTTTTTCAAACGGGGCCGTGTTTGATGTGCAATTTAGTAAGGGGTAAAGGAGATCAGGTCCATGCTCTGCATATCTGGGGGTGCGGACACTCCAAGATTGCTCGTTCCTGGGCCCGTAGGAAGCTCGAATCGGATAGTGTTAGGGACCCTCTCCTCAACAGATTCATCTTGTGCGAAATGGACACGAGCAATTCGCTGTATCGTGTAGAGTATAGAGAGTACAGTCTGTTTTCTACCCATGAAGTTGAAACAAACAGCAGCGCACCACAACATCTAGTTACCTGCGCCACTTGTTACAGTGGACTATTGCAGCTGCGCTGGCAGCGGTTGATGCACGTACCACTAGCAGTAGTAGTCCACATACTCGGTACCGCTCGCAACAACTTGAACATCACCCTCCTTCGTCCACATCTCACCTTCTGCGAGACACAGCTAGCATTCCTGGCAGCAAGAACTGTGAGATACAGATACCTGTTGCGTCGCGGGCCAGGTGGTCTAAGCGAGTGACTCAAGTGTCGCATAATCACACCAAAGTCCACCCGATCTGCAGTGCCACATCGTTGTAATCACGATGTTGAGTAATTCATGATTGAGACAGGCAGCCGACTTTGCCATCTCGATGTTGCGCTCTCTACTCTCAATATTTAAGGCAATCTCATCGCGGCTTGTCGTGGATGTTGATACGCAAACATCACCAAATGCATCCTCGAGACAACAAGGTATGCTTACCTCCGCGTCATTCATACTTAACGTACCAGTTCCGCCACCTTCTACGGCTCTTGCTCATTTCCAGACCATTGTACACTTCCTACTGGCCGACCAGCCTTGCGCCTGCAATACGGCAGCTATATTGCTAATCGTGAAATTTGCCACCTTTGGCCAGCAACTGCTGGGATCACAATTGTCCATGAAGTGGAAAGACAGGCCATGAAGCCAGATGCAGGGCGATGACACCGATTTAATGCAATGAAAATTGCCCGAAAGAGAAACAGGTAAGCCGTCCAGATACAGGGACCCCAGACCCAGCATGGCCACGCTGTGTCTCTGTCCTGGCATGTATAAGAGCACATACACTTCTCAGAGAATGTATAGACATCCTTCTTCATCACTTAAACTCAACGTACACGGTCTATCAAGACCAGCTCACAATGAAAGACACCACAATCTTGACGCTCCTTGCGTCTACCTTCATCTGCTTCGGTTCTTCAGAGTTTGTGACCTCCAAGAACGGCCTCAACCTGGACGTCTACCACCTCCCAGCAGCCCCAGTCGTCTACCAGAACTCAACGAACCTATCCTTCTCCCCTACAGCCTTTACTCTGATCCACGGCAGACACGATGCCGTGCTAGTCGATGCTCCAGCCACGCTGTCTCAAGGCAGCGCTCTTGCAGCTTGGATCGAGCAGACCATCCCAGGCAAGCGTCTGAAGGCGATCTACATCACCCACGGCCACGGCGACCACTTTTTCACCGCGCCCGCCATCCAAACGAGATATCCTGGCGCCCAAGTGGTCGTGGCCCAGGACGTCTACGCGCACATGCTGCAGCAGTATGAGCCGACAATCTTCGCGATGGTGTGGGCATCTCTGTTTCCTGGTGGACAGGTCAGCGACGATCCGTTCCCCGCGAAGATCCTGCCGAGCAATGGAACCTTCTACCTCGAAGGCCACGCTTTGCAGGCCGTCGAGGTCGGGCAGGGCGACACGTATAACTCGACGGTCTTGCACGTTCCATCTTTGGATCTGGTCGTCGGGGGAGACGTGGTGTACGGTCACTGCCACCAACTGTTCGCCGAAGACGACACCCACGCCCTCAGACAGCAGTGGCTGAGCAGTCTGGACAAGGTGGCCGCGCTGAAGCCCAAGATTGTCATCCCGTCACATATGCAGCCCGGCGAGGGATACGGGCCTAGCCATCTTCACGAGACGAAACGCTACATTCATGTCTGGGAGCAGCTTCGTGCACGAGCGAGAACCTGGCAGGAGCTGGAGCAGGGCATGAAGCAAGAATTCCCCGGTCGGATCGGTAGTTTCATCCTGCGCTGGAGTTCTCAGGCACCATTCGGGGCAGCCTTCTAGTGAGAAGCGCACAAAAGGATAGGGCTCTGCGGGTTCATTTGAAGGAAAGCGGAGATCGTCAGGACGTGAGGCTAGAAGTATCCTGTTTGTATTGATGCGACCAGTCTATGATGCCACTAATGGACACATGGAAAATGCAATATTGATTTATATTCGCTAACAAGCGAGATGAGTGGCAGCAATGCCAGCCTCGCTTTATTACTGCTCTACAAAACTCTACTATGGCGCAGAAGTTGTCGACGAATACTCCGAGTCCATTCTAGACTCGTCACTGGACTCGTCCACATCCTGGGAGAACCTGCCAGGTGTCTCTCCGCGATCGATGGAACTAGGCAACCCCTGAGCCTGTCTCTTTAGCTTCCGAGCCTCCTTGAGCCTCCTTCGTTCGTCATCCTTCAAATTGTACCTGGTGTTCTTGTCCACAGCGATCGCAGCCTCAAGATCAAACCCCCTGGGCCGGGCTCTGGCTCCTGGGTTGTTGGCAAGGTTTCTGTACCCATGGCGTGCGCCACAGCCAAAGTTTCCTTGCTGGTCGAGCTCCATCAGCTTGGCGATGAGCCAGTCCTTCGTGTATCTTGGAGGGAAGGCGACAAACCCCCGTTCGTCAACCAACTCTCGCTGCAGTTCGTCCTTGAACATCATGTCATACTCTTGCCTGGTGGGCAAGACTGGGCGAGGGCGAGGCTTGTAGTCGACCATCCTTTGCTTTTCATCTTCGGAGAGAGTTGCCTCACTGTCTGTGCTCTCATCGGCAGGTGGACTGCTATTCCCATCAAGATGTCGATAATACTCTTCATAAACTCGAGTCAGCTCTCGAATGGAGCGGATGCATCGACACAGTGCGTGACGGAAGCCGAGATTGGTGTATCGCTGCTCCACATCCATCATGTCGCTCATACGGTAGAAATGCCGTTGCAGCTCGAAGAAACATCGATGACATAGATCCTTGGACGATGGTAATCCCGGATTGTACCGCAGCTTCTCCTTCGCCGGGATCGATTCCATAAATACCGGCACGCTCTGGTCGATGCCACTAAGATAAGCGGCTACGATAGATTGCGTCTGTTTGCGTAGTGCCAGAATCATGTCTCTTATCTCAGACCTTACCTTTGCATCATGTTCCCAGTATCTCTGGTTAAAGAAAGCTTCGAGGTCGTCAAATATGTCAGACGCTTCGGCCACCTCCCAGTGGAGTTGACTCCCACTGGCGAACAGGCTGCGCAGCGATCTCTCATCATCAGGGTGAGGCTGTTCCCGGATTTGTTGGTGGCGGCGAGCTTCGCCAACCGCTGGCTCTTCGCCCTCGCTATCCTCATCCACAACCGATGGAGGGTTTTCCGGGCTGGAATCCTCTTCTACGTCGCCTGACGCGTGGGGTTCGAAAGGACATCGGCAATTGTGGTGGTATTGACCTGGATACTGGGGGCAAGGATGGCAAGGCCCGTCGACATGGTGGTTCGATGAAGTACTCGTCGAAGTTGGTGCACGATTTTCGTCATTCGAGTCTGCTCTCATCCCCGCATCGTTCTCATTGTTTCCATGGCTTTGACCATCTTCAGAACCCTCCGGCTGCTGTACCGGAAGCTCTCCAAGTGGCTGTCGCTGCGCCTGTGGCTGGGAGGTTCCAGTCGCTTTCTGGCTCGGTCTTCTGGTTCCAGCAGTGATGTGACCTGTTGCCTTCTGAGATGGACTTTGTGCGTGAGTCGGTGCAGGTCCACGTTCGTGATACAGCTCCGCCGCAACATGAATATTGTAGCAAGCCTGTTCCAAAAGTGGCAAAAGCTGATCGTCTTGAAGATCAAGCAGCGTTAGTGGATTCTCGCCGTCATCGTATAATGCATCCTTCAAACGCTCAATATGCTCTCTTCGAAATTGGCGCGAATCTACGCGTGGACGATTGGACAGTAAAGGTTTCGAGGGCAGAGGCTTTCGAAATGGGTCACGCGCCATACCGCCGCCGCCGCGTATCTTGAGTGCCGGTGCTGGTGCCTTGTGGACCCTTGCATTCGGATCCTTGACAGCGGGACTTAATTTTGCAAGTTTTGGCGCTCTCATTTTCATGGCTCTTCGGCGGTGCCGCTCTGATAAATGTTTCTGTAGAAGCTGACCGATCCAGCCGAGGGGGCCTGTCCTTCTTTTCGATGTAAATCTTGAAACATCTGCCGGATTCCGGGCATGTCGTGGTGGTCGATTGACCAGGAATGCGGCTCGAGGCCCGTCCGAATACATACCTGGCTCTGCCATTTCCCGTGTAATCTGCTCATTTTGGGCAACCTCGTGAGCACGCGTCTCTGGAAACGGATACCAGACATAGTCGAAAGCACTTCTCCTGTTCACGCCCTCAGGGTGTGGGAAAGACTGTCGAGCTCCGTAGCTGGTATGGTTCATCACCTGCCTTCCGCTCCCTGGCTTCTTGTCGGGTGCTTCGCTTGAGATCTCTGCCCATGTCACAGGGGCTTTTGCAGGGTGGCCGTGAGCCTGAGGAGAGCATGCTTGCCATCCGGGGCTAGAGGGCCCTTCCTTCCACCTCCTAAGGACTTTGGCACCACCGCTGATAGCATTGAGTCGGATCACCGCAAAGTGCAGTTTCGGGAGCGTACTAGTCTCGAGCTTTCCAGTCTCAATGAACTTTTGGAGAGAGGCCAGGACATGAGCTTTCAATGGTTCATTTCGTAAGCCACGTAGGTGAGCGAATTTGTTGTCCGACTTAGCATGGCAATCGGCAATGTAGCGACAGTAATGTCCAACCATTTCTTCAATTGTTCTGGGGTTGGCTGCATCGGGAGACTGAGTCAACAGTCGCAGTCTACGCACCACCCTTGTGTCGCTGAAGAATGAGAGCTCAACAGAGGAGTTTTGTGGGAGGGCGGCTGATCCATGTTCCTGATAGGCCAAGAAGGCAGTTTTGAGGCCTTGCCAGACGAGCACCCACAGACGCTTCGTTTCAGTCTTGTACGTGGCGTTCTGGAAGCGATAGTGTAGCGCCTCACACAGCAGTGTCGCGTCTCTGGCATCGTCTTGCGACAACAGGACTGCCACATTTTGTCCAGCTTCGGCGCGCGAGCTGAACCCAGGAGGTGTTGAGATGACTCGGATATCCTCCAATAGCGCAGTGAAATCGGACTCTCTGACTAGGCTAAGGGAACTTGAGAGCGAAGCATTCATGGTGGCCAGCTTGTCACACAGTCCGCGGCGAGCCGCTCTAGCCCACAAGGAGGCAAATAGCTCGTACTGTTTCTCGCACTCGACGAGGGCGCGAGAGACAACGGGATATGATCTGATATGCGAGGGCAGGGAGGCAAATTCCTCCATTCGACCAATGATCACGTTCATATCGCCGAAGAAGCTTGCCGGACCAACCAATTGATCATGACTTGACCATTGCCCAAAGTAATCGGCTATAGCGTCCAGAAAATGTCTGACCTCTCCAGGTGTGCTACGCTCTCCAAGTGGAGGTAAACTCAGAACCCATCTTGGACCGGTCAGAGCACGTTGGTCGGAGACCTCGGAGGTGGAATCATGCCGCAGCCTGTCCAAAACAGCATTTTGAGGAGACGCTGCTGTGAGGCGAATGGAAACTCCGATGTTGTTGTCGCCGTTGGTCTGATGTGCACGGACGGTTGAGACACTGGATCGATGAACTGCAGTGGTGGTCCTCGCTCGTGGGCGAGACACCGCCGGCGGAAACTTCCTTCCTACTCTGCATGGAATCGATTTGACAACCCTGGAGGGCTGCACATGCGATTTCTTCGTAACCTCTCGAGGAGCCATTTCGCAAATAGATCAAGGAAATGGAGAAAACGGGGGCGAACGAAAATGCCAGACTGAACAAGAAGGGAATAAATAAAACTTACCTCAAGCAGAACACAACAAAGACTAGCATTCATATTGCTCTGGAGCGATGGTCGCATCAAGAGGACTTGATGGCCGCATTCAACCATTGAAGAAGATAAAGAGAACACATTGGAACATTTGGACGAATGCAGAAATGACGTCCGCTTTGGGACTAGCATCACAGGCAGGGAGTCAGGGCGGAGGCCTTTGTGTGACACTCCATTCGAAGCCGACATGCTCTTGATTGTGTTACCTGGACGTCGCACAGGCGCAGAGACCAATGGACAGCATCTCCGTGCACTGGACGCCAGGTGTGTACTGAAATGTACCTGTGAGAGCATTTGTCGGCAACCATAGGTAGGCATAAGCGAAGAATGTGTTCCGCCAGAAGCCGGTCTCTGCTGACTCTTGCCCATATTCTCTACCTGTCTTCTGGCGTTCTATCAGAACAAAGGATCCAGCAGCGGGATGTTCTAATGGCATCAAGCGATGATCTGTGGTGTACAATGCCATCTCCGCCATTTTCTCAATAAAGAAGCCGAACGTACTCGGTCAGGTCAGTCGTTGCCGGGTTGGGCCAGAGTCGGATTTGCTTCGTGCAATCTTTGCACTTCACGGAAGATGCCGACAGGGACCTAGGAGAAGGTGATGCGTGTCGGCGTGGTCAGAGAGGATGGCTGCCATGACGAAGGTGTTCGATGAGGGCCTGGTCGGTACAAGCTAACTGGTGTCTTGAAGACGGGTGTAGGAAGTGAGTCAGGTGCGTTTTGTAGTGCCTAGAGCATTATTAGGAAATGGATGCTTCGGAGGTGGGTTGGTTCTGTCGAAACAATGCAGTGTGATGGGCTGTGGGCATGGACACTAAGGTAAGCAATGTGCCAGGGTACATAAGGCTAAGAAGGCTTAAAGGTCATCAGTCCCTCAGGCAGTGCGTACGAGGCTAAAGAGCATGGAGCTCCCCGTGGACTTATAGAGGCTAAGCAGGTGTCGCTAGGCTCTTCGGGTTAGGCTCAACTTACCCCATACTGAACCAGGTCATGATCGCGCGTTGACCTTCCGGTATGCTGCCAATCTGGAGACAGACTGCAAGTATTCCTGAGGTGTTAAACCCTGGCCTGCGAAATGCCTGTAGTCTGTCTATCGTTTCTCACACTCTTGATGACCCATCTTTCATTCGCACTCGAATGATGTAAGGAGCAGCAATACATTTGCAATACTATTTTGGCACAAGAACACCAGGGGCGATGGTCTGTGCAACAACGGCCTGGAAATACCTTGACGAACGGGTACCAGGAGACATGGACAGGGCCTGTTGTTGAGCAAGCTTAAACTACAGGGTACGAGGAGCGGGTAGGTAGAATCCGGGGGTGTTTTAAGTAAACTTGCGCCTAAAATGCATGATTCCCTCCAGCTTGTCGCAAGCTCGGAATGTTACTCGTGCGGGTAGCAAATCCACTACAGTCGTGTCCAGCGTGCGCCGTGGCCATGTATATCCGCTGCTTGTAGATAGGTACCTACCTCTACCTACCTAACACACTGCGGTAGGTACATATCCCCCGTATTATCAATCCTGGATGTTACCACTGATCTGCTGCTCTTAACCGTCCTCCTTCCCACTCTCTTCTTCTCGTAGAGTCTTCTCCAGCGGTAGGCTAGCATTGGGCTTTGACCGTCTAGTCGCCCGGACGCACCTTCGATACCAGTATCTCCCTTGTCAGTCCACACATCACCAATCAATCACAGCAAACCCTCCTGCGCTCGCACCACCATGACGTGAGCCTTTGATACACCGAGAACAGCTCCTTTGTCCGACCCTCGATCAACAATAAATCCGAGTTTCCTCTCCTTCACCCTCACACCCTGTACTTGAGATACAGACACTACCTCAAAGCTCGCTTTACGAGTGTACTTCTACATTTAAAAATCGAAACAGTCGGAGTGCAGCAAACAGAGCTGGCTACACAAGATGACCGACCGCCATCCTCCCCCGTCTCCCCCTCCTCAACACCGCCGACGATCCTCCTTTATCGACATGTTCACTCCCCGAACACATTCCTCCACCGCTCACGTCTCGACCTCTCCCTCTTCTGCAGCGGTCCCTACCACCCCGGGAGCCACACAACATCGAAGAGGCACCTCAATTACTGCCCTCGGCCTGAATACAAGCGCAGGCAACCAAGCTTCCCCCTTTGCGGCCTTCCAGAACCAACGACGAGCAAGTGTTGCAACATCCTCCGCGTCAAGCTCTCCGGAATTCAAGAATAGCTTTGGGGATGAGCCGGCAGTCATTGAAGAGGACGACCCGGGTCGAGCTACAATACATGCTCCGTCATCACCCTCCTTTGCCAGACGAGTCAGTTTTGGGGCACAAGCACTACGAGAGTCCTCCAGACTTCCAGGAAGTCCGGGCACCTCTGTCGGTGGTAGGCGGTCCTCCTCCTTGTTCCCTCTAAATGAGAATTCCGTAAATGCCACTCCGCCACGTCAAGCTACTTCGGGGACGGCCAAGACTGGAGGTAAGAGTCGAGGCCTGTCCTTGTCATCTTCCCATTGTTTGTCATCCTCGTTTTGTGGCATACACTCGTAGCCCATCTCTCATCGGTGTGTCACAGCACACTAACAGAAGATAGGCGAAGGCTTCAATTGGTCCGAGGCCATCCGCGACAGATCCCGGCGCTCTCCGTCCTTCTCTTCGGGCAATCCATTCGTCCTCGGTCCATCACGTCCTCGTGCAGCGAGCGTCTCCAATCCCGAACCACCAAAGGGGATGGACAGACCAGTCGAGCCTGTTCCACAGAAATTGAAGAAACCAGACCCCCTGGGAGAAAGAATGTTGCGTGGTGATTTCATGATGGATTGACACCGAGAATACGGTCCTCTTCCGAGATTGTCACCAACTTTTCGGGTGCAATTGTATATCCCATTCAGAAAATGTATAAGTGAATCACTTTATCCGTTGGGTGGCAGGCGGCGACGATTACGCGGGCGGTAGCAGTTTGCACCATTGAATCTGCTTGTGACGGGTACCACAACGGCTCGGTGACAGACAGGAACAATGGTTTGCAATTGGCTGTTTTCAGGCAACTAGCGATGTACTGCCAGACGAGATGCACGGAGGCTTGAAGAGAGAGACCAGGCCTTACGCAGGATTATGCTGTCCCACACTCGTTCAAGAAAACTGTATTGTTCTGATTCAAGCAACACATCATGGCTGCAAATTATACGTATGCTTAACGCTACAGCAGCTCAGCTTCAGCTTTGAGAAAGTGGGCCTGGACCTGGAAATGGAACTGGAACTGGAAAATGGATGAAATTGAATTGCAATGACAAGATGATTACCTACAATTGAATGTACATGCTATGACTGATTACCTTCGTCCCTTTCCTTTGGGGGTTTGTGTCTGATTGTAGCTTTCAATGTTGTAGCTCTGGGTTTAATGCTGGGAATGCCCCAAGCAGCTTAAGGCTCGAGAGATGAGAAAACTCCAAATCTCACTCACTCAACCATGAGAGAAACAAACATTCAATCATCCTGATGATGCCACGTCACCAACGCCTGCTGCGGCGGTCCGCGACACAAGCTCTCCGTGCTCAACGCGACGGCCAGCACGGCGACATGCAGCACCATCGCCACGCCGGCCTTCCAGACGCGCAGGTTGGGCGAGGGGACCGAGAACTCCAGCAGGGCGATGCAGATCAGCGGATAGACGACCAGAGCATTCATGCCGACGGCCAGACACGGCTGGAGGGTGCTGAGCAACTTGAGTGCGAGGATGACGAGTCTCAGGGGCGGCGAGGAGATCGGCTGGTTCAACGTGGCGCGGATCGAGGTGGTGAAATGGGCATTAATATAATTGTAATGATTGTTGTTATTATGAAAGCCGAGCCGGCCATCCGCGGACTCGTGTTGTGAAGCGGCTTCGAGCAGGAGTTGTTGTCGCACGGGCGATTTTTCGGACGTTGGAGACGAAGGAGAAGAAGGACTCGCCAAGGATGCTGAAGCACGTTTCGACCGTAGAACCACGGTCTGGTGAGGTCCTCGTAGCATCGACGAGCGTTTGTGAGTTGCTGTGCGTGGACCGTCGTCGGCTTCACTGCCGCTCGAGTAGCCCGGGTCTGCAGCGGTGATTACAGCTTCAGCTGCAGCGCCCGGTTCGGAGGTTGTGTGTTGCAGTCGTCGTCTGGAGCGGGACGGCTTGGTCGGGCCGCCGCCACGACGGGGCGGCGATCCTTTCTGCGGACTGTCGAGTTTCTGGACGCGGCGACCGGGCGTGAGCTCTTCGGGGTCGATAGAACTCCGTCTCCTGGAGGCGGGGATGTCGTCGAGCCGACCGGACGAGACGACCTGTAGGACATCGTCGGCGCTCGGCCGCTCCTCAGGGTCCAGCGAGAGCAGTCTTTTGAGGAAGGCGTACAGGGCAGCGGGGAGTTCGGGCCGGATCTTGCGCTGGTCGTCGAACCCTTCCCAGCCCATGATCTCGGCGCGCAGCTCGTCGATGTCTTCACGCTCCTCATGCAGCACGTTGGCCTGGCGGTAGGGCAGGGTGGCGAAGCACAGGAAATGCAGGATCATGCCGAGCGAGAATATGTCCGATTTGGACGTGAAGTTCTGAAAGGGCCCGCCGGGCGAAATCCGGCGCAGCACTTCCGGCGCGCAGTACGAGATGGTCCCCGTGGAGCCGGTCGATTTGCGCGTGGCGTATTCGGACTGGACCTCACCGAAGTCGCTGACCAGGACTCTGGTCTCGCCTCCGCTGGTGTGGAGGAGGCAGTTGCTCGGCTTGAGGTCGCGGTGGATGAAGTTGTTGTGATGCAGAAATCGCAGGCCCGAGGTGATGTCGCGGAAGAAGCTGTAGATCTCGTCGAAATGTAGTCTCTTGGGCTCGTCGGGGCGGCGCGGAAGTTCCGTCTCGCCCTTCGACCGCCGACGGATGCGCTCCTTGAGCTCCTGCGTCGTGGTCGTCGTCTGGGCCGACCCAAGCACGTAATTGTGCATGTCGCCTCCGTTGCAGTACTGCTGTAGAATGAAGGCACACGGGACACTGGGGCCGAACGTGGTGATCTGGTAGTCTTCCAGCCAGACGTGCCGGTACGAGACCAGGTTTTGATGCGACAGGCCCTGCAGCAGCTGCACTTCCACGAGCACCTTTTCCAGCCATGCGTGGTCGTCGCCGATAGGGACGCGTTTACATGCAAAGTGGCCGAGCGTGACGCCGTCCAGGACATGTTTGACCAGCAGCACCACGCCCCTCCCACCTCTGCCGAGTTCTCTCTCCTCGACGAAGAATTTCTCAAAGTAGTTGGGAGAAAATGCGGTTTCGGAGATGCCGTAGACCTGGTTGGGCGGCGCGGGCGTGCTGGCGACGAACTCTGCTTCGGGCGGCGGAGTGCTGGTGGTGGACGATGGCCGGAGACGTGAGCGCACAGGCTGGACAATACGTCGTCTCGGGGATGGCGGCGCCGATGTTTCGTTTGAGTTCGGGAGGCTCCTCGCCAGCATCTCAAAGTAGTCATGCGTGATGAAGCTGGGCTGGTCCTCCATGGGACTCGAGACACTGTCTTGAGCCGCAGAGCCTTGAGCATGCCATGGTCGGCCGCATGTGGGACAGTCCGATGACCGACGTTCTACAGCCTGGTTGCGGTGGAAAGGCATCAACTGGTTCGTTCGTGGATCTCTGTAGACGATGGTATCTGCATGTCGACTGATCTCGCAGGTTCAGTAATGCTCTTACGGTGGGGGAGGACTTAGACCATGCTTGACTTACAGCACCACATCCCGGTTGGTGTCATAAGGTATGACGGACAGACTCGGCATGTCGTCCACACCGTCGAGGTCCATGGTTGGAAGACAACACAGACGACTTGGAGAGACCAAAACGAAAATACCTCAAACCTGCCTTGAGACTCTCGGCCGGATCTTCAAGCCCAGGGTTACCGCAACTTGGCTCGGTCGAGCGTGACGATCAGCTATCTTGAGCACAATATCAAAGGTGTTTGAGCTGAAATGGACGACGGTACGAAGGAGAGTCGGGGATGAGGTCCCTGTCTACCGCCCATACGCGCCATTGTTGTCAACCATCAATAGTCTAGAGAATTGAGAGACTTCATACACGAACGTTGTGTTGGAGGAATCCGTGCAGCATTCATTGCATCCCATAAGTACTCTGTAGATTGGATGTTGTAGAGAAACGACGAATCCGGACCCTGCCGTCGATTTACTGTTTTCCAGTCGATATTCTGCCAAGCGGGTGGCGGTGGCACTTTGACTTGAATTCGTCCTACAACAACTGCCTCTACTATTACTACATTCGGTCTTAGCACTAACAGAGTGTACATATTCGCTTCTATCGTCGAGATATCTGACTTCAAAAGGACGCTTGAAGAGATATTTACACCGGTCAATTGCGCTCTCGGCAACAAGAGAGGGAGATAGTCTCATATATCGGCCCAAAGACAACAAACATTATATTATGCTGCTGTATGACTCTGGTCTCAGCTATGGCCTGGCCTGGGGAAGACCGGCACCGTGTCTACATTATTAAGGTCGAAGCCAGAAAGCGTCCCCTGGTTACTATGCTGCCAACCTTGCCCTGTTTGCTGGTTGACAAATGCACTTTGCCGGAACGGATTTGTGCTGCCCGTGATATTTGTTGTCACTCCACTCACAGCAGTCGTAGGCCGATTCTTTGCGAAGGGGTTGGTCCCGGTGCGTTGTGGCTGGAGAGCTGAAGGCGAGTTGGCATATGCAGAATCAGAAGGGAAGGTCTGTTGTGGAGAAGTCTGAGGAGCAGAGAAGGCTTGATCAAACCCGGTGGCCGAGTTTGGCACAGATCCTGTCAGGTGCTTCGCGAACGGGTTGGTAGATTGTCGTTGAAGGCCAGAGTTGACTGGGGAGATTTGTGCCGCGCCTGTTGCTATACTTGAATGTCGGAATGGATTGGTCGACGTGTGCTGTGGCTGGATCGCCATTTGCTGAGCCGTCGCAAGAGCTTGTGATTGGAAGTCGGGCACGCCGTTTTGGGGAATTGGAGATAGATTGGACTGGAAATGGAACCCCTGCGACGATGGTTGCTGCTGAGGCTGTGGTCCGTATCCTCCAAAGCCTGCACCGGTAAAGTCAGTCTGTAGAGCTAGGGGTTGCTGCGGGTTCTGAATGGGAAAAGCCGCCTGCTGCGGCTGCGGCTGCTGCTGCTGGAAGAACGGGTTGTAACCAGTCTGCTGAGGCATTTGCATTTGCATTTGCATCTGCTGGTAAGGCTGCGCCTGCGGCATGCCCACTTGATATGGTTGTTGTGAGTTGCTGAGTTGCGCCATGGGTTGCTGGTTCTGCTCAATGGATTCGAAGAAGTCAATAAGATCAGGAGCTGGCCCCTTGGGCACAGGTTGTGCAGCTTGCGCCTGAGGCCTTGCTGATGTCGCTGTTGGTTTGGCGGTCGTCCTATCGAACGCCTTGGGAGCCGGCCCTGAAGACGGATGCTTCCCGTTCTTTTTCGCTTCCTGTTGCGCCAGATACTGCCTTCGGTTGATTTCGAAATCCGGATCGTTCAAATACTCCTCTAGCGAGCCGGTCAGAGTGGTCGGTGCGTGCTTCAGCTTCGGGACTTCGAGACGCGTCGATGTCTCATATTGTCGCGCAAGACTCAAATACTGGACCACCAAATCGGTCTGCCGTCCAAACGTCTTGTAGATCTCCAGTGCCCGTTCCGCGTCGGGACGAGACATCTCGAAGTAATGTTCTGTCAATTCGTAAGCTAGTGTCATTTCAGCATAAACCTTTTACTCACCAAGGACATTGATAGTGCCTTCGTTCATCACCCGGTACAACTCCAACAGATCCAAAGTCAAGAGACGGAAGGCAGTCAGCGTGATCTCGTTGTCAGGATCTGAATTGCCGAGAAGCTGTGGAGGGTTAGCAAGACCTCCAGTCTCTTGTGCTCCATCTAAAACTCACTTCGCATCGCACCAAAGCCTCGATTTGATCCTGCACTATCTCAGTCTGTCTCAACAGACCTTTGTCGACGGTCAGTTGTCGCATTTTGCCCACTCCCGATCTGACATAGTCTGTCTTGGTGTCCCGATAGGCCTTCACTCTTTCCAGCAGATACTCGTAGTATCTTCGGATGTTCGCACCTTGCGTCTGGACTGTTTGACGTTAGGAACTAACTCGGATTTCAAACCCCTCCGTCATAAACCATGTACATGCCTTCTGTGAAGCTGCTGATAGCCAATCTTTTAGGATACTCGGCGAGATATCTTAGTGTGACTTCGGGTCGCCCTTCTCTGATCATCAGATGGACGACGATCAGAGATTTGAAAACGATTGTCCATGTCGAGTCCCTCAGCCGGACCTGTAGCGTGCGGAAGACGTCCGCGACACCGGATTCGCCGCCATTTGTGGCAGACAGAATGGGTTCGATGTATTTGGACTTGGGCGCAGCCAACTACCGACCATTGTTAGCCCCGGACGGGGAGCGACTGCTTCAGACCTCACTTTAATTTTTGTAGCACCTTTCACGATCTTTTCCATGATGGCCTGCCTTTGCGAAGCCGCGGGGTTATGGCTTATAGTCTGGCGAAAGCCGGACTAGCAGACAGAGTACCAGTGGTGACTTGCTTCTAAGAGATCGCACCGCTCGGCGGGAGAGCAGCGCCGGTGGTGGTGGGGTTTAGGACTGAAGCAAGGCAGGAGGTCGACTTTCGCTAGTAGGTTCCCATGGCTTCACGACATCATGTCGGCAGGGTTCGCAGCGACAATCACAACCGAGACTGCGCTGGCGACGCAGATTGAGACAGATGTGGTGGTAAGTCGGTCGAAGGCCAAAGTCGCACAGACTTGGATGAGTTTCGGCGGATTACTCGTTGACTCGTGAGGCGGAGGGATGATTTTAGGTGAGAACTTGAAGCATGCAGTGAAAAGGAGCTGCTGCGAGAGGGACTACTAGTCTGTCATGCGTCCTGCGCCTTGGTGATAGGAAACAGTGATATAGGAGAGAACGTGGCTAGGTTGGTACGTAGTAGCACAATAATAGGAACCGAATAGGTGAGGCGGCTGTCGGACTTGGTGTCTCGGCCTTCGAGTCTCTCCGCTCTGAACCTCAACTTGGTTCCAAGCTGTCTTGCTCATGATCTGGTTGCCCCGGGCGCACCCTAGGACCACGTTACGTCCTCGGTAGTGCTAGTATTATTATTTAGTTGGCCTCATCAGGCTAAAGAGCCTAAAGCTCGCCCGGAGACATGCCGCTCTAAGCGAAGGGTACCGAAGGCACAGGTATAGCCTTGGCAGGGATCCCAGCCTTGCTGTAGTCCTCCAAGCAGAGAGTGGTCAAAAGAGGGCCGGCCTTTAGGATGATCGCACGTTGCTGCAGACACTTCACCCGATCATCAGGATGAAACTGCTGTCTCCCTCGAGCACTCCCAGTGGCGACACGGTGAAGTGGCATCAGCTCCATTGCTTACCACTGATCTCAACACCCACCACACGAGGTCCTACTGGTCGCATCTCCCAGTTATATATTAACAAGCTCGGAGCTTCTGAGGTTAGACCTGTAGCAGAGCACATCCATCATTAAGTCATACAAAATGTCTAGAGTACAAAAGTCGGACACGACGGTGACCTGACACGATCACGCTTGCTGATTCATATGACTCGGCAGATTCCAATCGGCATAATCCGCATGCACAAATGCCCTGTCCACATACGGCACGCTTTCCAACACGTACTGCAAACTCTCCCCGAGATCATGACTGTCCCGCAGGCTCATGTTCTCGTCGAGGACAATATCGACCTCGACATTCAGCTTGTCGCCGGCGTGGTAGGCCTGAAGGCCTTGGATGTAGCGAATAGTCTTTGCAAACCGCATCGTAAGATAAAGGAGAACGTTGCGCTGGTCGGCCGTCGCCGCAGCTCCGCACAGGTTGCGGACATGCTCACTGCTGGTCTTGGACCAGTTGAAAATGACGTAGAGCGACAACAAGAGACCGCCCAAGGCGTCAAGCCACCAAATCTGAGCGTAGTAGCCGACAAGGGGAAACACGATCGAGAACAGGTTGAAGACAACATCAGTGGCCGCATCCTGAGCCAGGGCTTGCACAGAGCTATTCTTCACCAGCCGGCACCAGAACCAACAGAAGCCTTTGATGGCTATGGTGCTCAGCATGATGACGATGGCGGGAATTCCTAGCTGCACGACACTATGGTCCGGTAAGAGCAGGCGATTCAGACACTGCAGACTGACTTGGAAGAACGAGGTGATCATGATGATACTGAAGACAAGAACACCGACAGGTTCGAGACGCCGCCGCCCTATCGGGTACGCATATGAGTCTTGTCGAGAAATAAGCTTCGTGGTGGTCCAGACGATGGCAGTCGACAAAAAGTCGAGGGCGGCATCGACGAGAGACGCAAGCACGGAGAGCGAGGACGTCAGTACCATGACGACAAGCTTTCCAGCAAGAAGAATTATGTTCGCCGCAAGGTTGAGGTAGATTGCCACTGTCACGATGGGATCGTCCGACTCAACGTTTTGGTCCATATTCTCCAGGTCGATGTCTGGGAAGGGGACGTCGGGAGGGTCGTCATCATCGGTCAATAGAGGCGTGGCCTCATTGGGAAGCTTATATAAATTCTTTGGTGTTCGCTTCAATTTGGCTTCAGCCGGAGTTGGAGTGTTGCCAGGTTGGGTACCGGTGGGTGTAGACGCGTTGGTGGCAGACCCAGAAGGCTCTTCGCTGATGGTCTTCATGTTGGCACTGAAGCCATTCGCGGGCTGGTGATATTCTTGAATGAGATGGTGAGGGAGCGACGAGTCCAGCAGCCGGTCGATATACATGTATTGAGCAATCAGGAAGTTGTTCCGTTCATAGTATTTTCGTATATGTTTCTCCATCTTCTTCAGCTCTTCCTCCGTCTTGTAATACTGGTGCCAGCGGTACCGAGGATTACTGTTGCCGATCAATCGCATGCTGCGCATTTGAGGGGTGTTCAGGATCTCCGGTCCCAGGCTCATCCGCCGCGAGTCGACCTCCAAGGTCGCAGTGCGTCGTCTATGCAGGGGTTCCATCTCATCCTGGACGCTTTGCTCTTCGTCCTCGAGGGAATGGTTGCTGTGAAAGGAGCCTCGTCGGGTGTGCGGCCGCTTGGGTATGGTAAACAGTGACGCGCTTGAACGACTCTGAAGTAGTCCTGGAAGGCGCTGACCTCTAGTTGACACAGTCGTGGTGTCATCGTTGAGCGGGAGGAAGGAGGAGAGCCCGCCGAGTCGATACGGCGTTCGCTGGGGAGTAGTTGACAGATCCATTGCGCCTGCCCGACAGATTCAACTAGCCTGAGCTCACAAGGGACTTCGCGGAATGCAGAGGTGGCGAGCACCAATGCTTCTCGACCAGCTATTGGATCGACCAGGAACCGAAGCGTCAGGGAACCGCGGGTATCTGAGCTCAATGATCGATATGTTGTTTCTGTCGTGTATAGGAAGTCTAGGCCTAGGGCCGGACATTGATGAGAGACTGAGTTTCGCGAAAATCCTTACCTACCTTGGTAGGCACCTCAGGTAGGTACTTTAGGTAGCCATGAGGATTATCGGCGCAGTGGAGCAGACGGCCAAAGGGCCGAGCGGGCGGATACTCTGTAGGACACCGTACAGGCATGACCGAAAATCTTGGGGTTAGCCGACGCCAACGCTCCTCTTGCGTACTACGTACTGCCTACCTAGGTACCTATTATGTTCCGTCTGATCTGGGGGAGTGATATCTTGCCTAAAAACTGGCATGTGCCTGATGAGCCACGCAGAGCCACTGCCTGTGGGTCAGAAGCTGTGGGAGTGTCAGGGTAATAAGTTTTAGGTACCTACCACCTACGTAGTTCCAGGTCGATACTAGTACCTGAGATACTAGCACATGATTTGCTCCACGGTCCACTCCGCATAGCGACAGCCTTGTGCGGTTTCGCTCCCCATCCCAGAGGCATCATCAACGGCTCCAGGCTGGTTTTAGCATTATCCATTAACAATAACTAACACATCTAGATATTCTACCGCTCTAGCCTGATATGCGCGTCCAAGATGTCGCCTCCAAGCAGCCGGGTCTTCCGGGTCTTCCGGGTCTTCCTATAATCTTCATATGTGCATATCCGCCCAAAGTGACAACACCCAACACGCCCAAGGAAATCGTCATATCCACAAAAAGCTGACCGACCCTGTACAAAAGAACGTCTTCCAATAGGTGGTCTTTCGTCGTAGTTCTTGCGTCTAGGAAACTCATACCGCCGTCTAGCCATTAGAAATGCATCAAACGACGCCGCCCGATTTATACTGAAAGCAAATAAACACCGGTCAAGAATGCTGAAGAGACGGTGCCCAAAAGCATTGTAGAGAGGCTCGACACGCCGTTAGTGCTGCTTGCCCGTGCACTGCTGGCGGTCCTCGAGGCAGTGTTGGTATGAGTGGACGACGCGCTGTTCGCCGTGCTGGTTCCAACGGGACTCGAGACCGGTTTGGCGTCAGGGGTTTTCGATGCCAGGGCCTGGCAAGCACTGTGGTTGGGAGACAGCTGGCCGACAGGAGAACCGATGTTGGCAATGACGGCTTGACTATCACGCACCGTCACATTGACAGATCCGCCGTGACCAATGGTGACTGTCTCGACGGTGTTGTTCACTCTCGTCGGCGTCCCGTCACCACTCTCTTCGTAGCTGATGCCGTTCCAGGTTGTGCCATGTTTTGCGTCAGCGCCATCGCTGGTGAGGTAAGCCAGGTACAAGTCCTGCCCTGCGAACTGAGTGGGCAATGTCAGTTCAAAGGTCAGGCTCGGTTTGTTGGCTTCCGAAACGTTTGCTGGGTTGGAATTGATCAGCACGATCGAGGCTAAGGTGCCATCTTGATACACAGAGTACGCCGCTGACCGGCCGCCATATTGTTCGCTCATATTGTGCAGAACGAAACCACCAACCTGGGCTTGACATGTTGGGCCTATCGTCTGGTCGAACGCAGCAAAGGCGTAGTAGTTGGGCCGGACAAAGGGCTGATTGCCGTAGTATTCGATCGGCTGCCATGCACTGGCATTACTATTGTCCGTCATGTGCATTTGGACCGAAGAGATGTTGAGGCTTGCCGCGTAGAAAAGGAAGTTCAGGGTCCATAGAGACGCCCCGAAGACGTCGGTCATATCCTCCATCCCAATGGGACCGACCACACCCATTTCGCGTAACGCATATGGATAGCCTGTGTTCTGAGCCTGGGAGATCTGTTCCTCCCACGCGGCGAATTGGTCATTCGTCGTGGACAACGTCATGAAATGGTACTGGGTGAGGGGATAGGACGACACTCCAATATAGTAGTAGTAGTCGTGCTGGTTCCAGCTGGCTATGTAGGATTCTGACGAGCCATTGGCGTGAACGGTGATGCCCAAGCTGTCCAGATCCTGGATTTGAAAGGTGGTACCGATGGTGGAGGCAGTGGTGCCTGGCTCGAAGAAATTACTGGGAAGGCCTTTGGGCTTAAGGACTTGCTCCCAGATAGCACCTGCGCGATCCAGCCACTGCTGAGCATAGACCTGGCCGCCCCAAGAACCCGTCCGGAATCCGTTTTGCAAGTACAAGTCTGGTTCATTGCCGATTTCCAAGGACACCAGATTGACATTGGTCAACCGCTCCACGGCCTGGGTCGCCATAGCTGTGATCTGCTGGATGTAGTCGGATTCTTCATAAGCCAAGTTCAGCCCAAAAGTGATCGGTGTATCGCTCGGAAAGCGATTGATGACCTCGAAAAACCGTGGCCCTACGACCATGGAGTCCGAGGCATAGACCCCCTGGCCCACGCTATGGGGATTGGATTCGCAAGCATAGTCGCTCTGAGACTCGTTCCACACAAAGTAGTCCTGAGTGTTACCACCAATGCGCAGATGCGGCGGAGTGCCAGTATAGTTTGCCAAATTCTCCAACAGATTTTGGGACAATTTATTCTCGTTGCTGCCGCCGGTGAAGGAGAAGAGATTCGAGGATTCAATGCCAAAGCCGGCGAAGGAGGGACTGATAATGCCTGATACGCCCGAGGTTGGTTGGGCTGTGATGGCCAGCGACGCAGTGTTTTGCGCCGTGGCGAGGGCGAGGAAGGTAGCGCCAACGAGTGGCAGATAACGAGAGGACATGGCTGCCTTCTATAGACGTTGAACGATCGGCTCTGTATGGTACAGTACAGCTCTAAACGATGGCAGCTGCACAGCCAACACCGACCTCGACCTTGACCTCGACCTGGTCGATACACCACCAAAAACCAAAACAAACAAGAGCGACTGGAGGAGTAGCGAGGCCCGGCTCGAACAGCAAACAGCGAGCAGCGAGTGGGAAGCACCAGGAACAAACGACCAAAAATGAGCTTCCAACAACAAAAAGGACGCAGAGGGACCCGGGGTGTAGTAGCGCCAGCAATGAATCCTTTACACCGATGACATTATGTGTGGCGCCCCCAAGCTGGAACTGTGAACGAGGTACGCAATCGAGGACGGTACTTCGCACTTCGGGGCCTTGGATTGGATCAAAGTATTGAGGATGCACAGCCTGCGGGTGGTTGGTGTGGTGGTGTCGTCATGGTCGGGGGAAAAACTGGGTGTTGAGTGGGAACGAGTGGGAACTATCGGCTTAATTATTAAATATGGGAATTATGGGAATGTCTAGGTACTCTGTCAGCAATTAGGGAAGCAGCCACAAGGAAGGTACTTAGCCACTTGCTATTACCTCCTTAACCTCACTGCATGTATGTAGGTAGTACTATAGCGTGCCGAGCGAGCCTGATGCTGTGCTGGCCATGTCTATGTCGCTCCTGCCACAGATCGCAAACATGGACATAACTGCATTGACAGGCGGGATCCTTCCAGGACCAGAACACGCACGCAGACCAAGACTCCAAGGGTCTTGCCTGCTCCACCGTGTCTCTGATCGCAGAGAGTCGGTATCTTCATCTACCTGCGATGTCTCTGTCCTACTACTGCTCCTGTACCACCCCATCTCACACCAAACTCCACCCGCCACCCGATCCTCCCGCCGATGACAGCAGCAGTACCTGCGTCACTTTTTGAAAGGACGCTTGCCCCTCAATAATAATAGAATGGATATCGTGGGTGAGAAACACAGCAGGACAAGTTTCGATGCTCTCGCATTGGAGAATGGAAAACTGTGAAGACTTTGAACTGGTTGTTTGGTGATACCGATCCTGTCTTCTCCGTCTTGTTGGGTGTATCATCTCACCACCGGAGCAGTGATACCGATTTGTCTGCGTTGGTACTGCTCGACCCGGTCGACGACTGAGATCATGTTTGTTAGCCAGACAGCCACAAGCCACCACGAATACCAATTGGTGTCTATAGTACTACTAGTAGGTAGGGTAGGTAGGCACCAGGAACGTACTCTCCCGCGGGATAACGTGTCCGCAGCAGCAGCCAATGACACCTGCCTACTATCCAAAGTCAAGGTTAGCTGAGGTGTGTACCAACAGGCCTGAATTCCAAATCCAAGCATTCCTTACCTACATAGGGGATTGACTGTATGAGAGCGTCTGTAACGTTCGAAAATCGACCCTGTCACCAAGTGATTTGGGGCAACGGTATGCCCGATGAGACCTAGGCAGTAAGTTGTGAGATGCAGTGTGGTTAAATCCTGTCTCAGGCATACCTCTCATGCCTGTCCCCCATTTATGTGACTCCAGAATTCTACCATCGCTTTACCCTTCCATTTCGACACCAATGTTCGAGGACTTCACAGGGAGCTTAGGAAATTGGAAAAGGTGGCAGATATATCATGTATTAGGATGCAGCAGACGGCTCCTCGACTGCGAATTGTCCAATCCGACGATGTGTAGCTGATTCGCACATTCTGGGCTAGTCATTTGAGGGCTCCATTAAATTCTCAAATTATATGTATACAAAAAAGCGAAGGCCCGAGGGACGATCACAAACAAGGCTAGAAAAGCGCTATTCATGCGCCACCGAATGGTGCAAAAGTGCTGGGTATTGAGTGATGGTACAGCTGGTGGATGGTCGTAATGTTGGTACATGTGTATATGACAAGGTAATCAGGATGCAATGTATCGTCCCCAAGTGCGGCAAGGGCGTCTGTCCTAGCTGGTCTGGATGGGTCGAAGACGGCTGAGGAGTGTCGCTCGTTGCAGTGAAGTGTGGTATAGGGTGTAAGGCAGGGCCTGATGGTAGAAAGGAACCGAGGTGGTGATTAGGGTACTGCAGGGTAAAGGGATGGTATTGTGTCTGAGAAGAAAGGAGGGCCCCTCTGCTCGTGTGTTGGACATGGTGTAAAGAACCGGAAATCGTCGTGCAGGACAGGGCTGTCAGGTTGCGTCCTGCAAGAGTGTCATGCTTGTGGTCTGCAGTGGATCCTGGTGAGATGCCAGCGCATCGCCTCATGCAGGATTCAAAGACCCAAGTAGCCTCATCCTTATGCAAGTTTGATCCCGTGCCAAGCAGCCTCGCATCCCTGCATTGTATGGTCGATGGCCCCGGGCATGGCCGGGAGTTCCCAGCTCATGAACTCTCCAGGATTGAAGGTAGGGCGGTAGAAGTAGCCGAAGTTCAGACAACGTATGTCAGGTGAACATCTGAAGGACGCTGGTGACTCGAGAAGCTGAAGTACCGGCTCCAGCGGTAGCCTGCTGCACTGGTCCTCCGTTTCTGGTGACAATCGTAATGGTGAATGGCTTCATGGGACTTGCCTAGAATGAGGATATACGCCTCTTGGGAATGGCCGGAAGAGGTCGGTTGGGAGGTGGTCCCGGACAAGGCGGATATTGCGATCCAGCAGGCATTGTGATGATGATGATGATAGTGACGTTAAGTTGTTGTAGCGTTCAAAGTGCTGCGTCCGCACGGTGATAAGGTCTGAAATGTGTTAAACAGGCAGCCCAAGTTGACCTAGGTACGTCGTGGGTAATGTAGAAGTACTCGAAAGGGTACCCGAGGCGTAGTATGGAAATTCAACTGCAAGACGGAAGTGATTCTCTGGACGGTGAAGCTGGAGTGGAAGGATCGGGCGAGCCTGGTGTCGCAATGGTTCATGAAGTGATCAGTAACAGTAGTACGTATTAGGTGGTCGAAGGGAATCGAGTGAAGTATTTATTTTTCCCATCCTCAAACAGCCTCATCCGCCGGCAAACCCGAAAGTTGTTCCAGAAGAGCATGACGCAGACAACCATCAATCCGAGGCCCTCCAGTCACCCTGACCGATATTTTTGACTCTGGGCTGCCTGCTTAGCTGGCTAGTGGAGCCCGCTTGAGGCTTGCAGAGCCGGTGTGACATGTCCATGAGCTTTGACACGCAAGGTTCATCACAAAATCCCGGCAGCGTTCAGGGGAACTGCAGTGGTGCAGCCTCCATCTCATCCTGGCTTCCACTCGCCTGATCCGGGATGGCCGGGCCCTTAGACCGCCTTCTCTAAGCTGGTTGTTCGGCTGTTGCGCTAAGCCACCGGGAGGCACAAAATGGAGCCTAGGAGGAAGACTTTCCCAGCTGACCGGATCTGCCTGGGGTGGGTTTCAAAGACTTGCCAGCTAACCCGTGCACAAAAAGAAAGGAGGAGATGATCCGTCGCCGCCGTAGTACAACCGGGCCTTTCAGCTGTCTTTTCACCCCTGGGAATCTCTGGGATCCCTTCCGAAATGCCTGGTTCGACAGCGGAACCAACCGTGTGTTCATTTAACTCTTAAGTTTCCAATCTGCGGTGCGATCAAACCGGCGGTGTGTGAGTGCGGGTATGATTGTGTCAGGCGTGTACAGAGATGGTGAGGCTATAGGGCGCATGTTCTCCGCGCCAGTTGCTGTCATCCTGGTTCTAGTGGAGCTGCCTGTGAGTGAGGGTGTAGAGGGCTGCTGGACATCGTTTGTCTACTGCCTGGCTCCGCTCCAATCTTGAACATGCATTTCGACTCACCGGTCCTGGACGATTCAGCCGGTCTGGTAATGCGGCTCTGTCGACGTGCCATCCATCAACTCCACGAGGTACGGGCTGTACCTATTCCAAAATGGATGTTTTCCTCTTGGTAATCGATATGGACTCGTGATCGATGTGATCCTTGTACATCGTATTATCCCTGTCGAGATGTCCCCTCTAGAGCCTACGTGGCCCTCCGAGAGACCTGCATTGGCATTTGATATGGCTTCACTTCCCTGGTAGCCGAACGCACCCTATTGAAGATCCAACGCCCGAGGTTGCTCGGATGAGGTGGAATAATGGAGACGCGGGCCTCGTAGGAACCAGGGAGGAGGATGCTGGCAATTGCGTGCTGACTTTCACGGTTAGCAACCCGTGGTATATTCCAGCTGCTGATTAGTTGAATCTTCATGCATCCAGTTCCTTTTTGGCCTCCGTACAGAGGTAAACTTGGATTTTGACACCTGGGCATCAGAGATGGTCTTTTTGCTACTCTTCCGACTAACGAGCGTCACGCAGCACCTTGTTTCACAAAGATGGTGAGGCGCGCGCTTGGATTGGACACCGCCATCAGCTGCCAGTGTGACCCGAGGCCATCCACAGAGACGTCCAGAGTTTGACAGTTTCCGGTGAGCTTACGGCCGTCGCCCAACTTGCGGCTAACTAAAACATGCCAGAGGGGGATTGTGTAGCGAGCGCATTGATTCGCGACTTGGAAGTCCATCATGTCGATGATGCAAATTCCGAGCAGATCCATTGCGGACGGCTGTTTCAAGTTCAGGAAGCATGCGAGCACAGACCGTTCGGTCCATCAGCGGTTCTTCGAGGTGAGAACCGCATTACGGAGTACGATGAAGGCGATCGCGCCTAAACGGACGCAGTGATGCGATGGTCAGTGCCGGTTCCTGAAGATCCTGTCTCCATCCCCCCAATATCCATGATCTTTCATCCTTCACCGCATGGTCCTTCTCGAGTCGCCACCCCCTCGACGTGCTCGCCGCGTAACCTGTAAGTCTCGCAATAGCCTGTTTCAGGTTTACCCCTTATTAGAGCCACTGAAGAATGCCTCAGACTGCCTCGCTTTTCTGTGAGACAACTGTGCATATCATCTTCGTTCTCCATATTCTGGGTTCGTCCCGGCTGATGTAAGGGTCTCGCGCAGCTTCGAAAAGACGTTATCTCAAAGTGTATGCCTGCTTTTCGGATGATGCAATCTAACGGCAAAGGCGCTTTCTTCGACATGGCTGGGATGTTGCAACGTAGTAGGTAGCCAGAGATTACTATCGCCACTGTGCTCCGCTCTTGAATGCCTTATCCTATATTTACACCACTCTTGCTCTCGGTTCGTCGTAATGCTTGGTCAGGCTGCATAAGTGCAGTATCTACCTGACCAGGGGGGTAAGATGCCATGATTGCTTCTCTCGACTCTCGAAATCCCAACACCGGCTGGTGTATAGTACAAAGGAACTCTGCAGGGAGCACACAGCGTAGTAGTGTACTAAAGCTGCGTAGATGGATCGCGATGGTGGCGGAAGCCTAGACATTTCTCATCAGCCCGCAGTAAGGCATTCGTGCTTCTGGAAGGTCGTACACCTTCTGCTCACTTCCCGTTTCCATTCCTAGCCCCTGGAGCACGCAAGACTCGGGGCTCAAGATTGGACTCCCAATTTCAGGAGGGACAACCTCTAAGTTGGCCGTAAGCCTTCGTAGGTATCCATACCTAATCGCTGCATAGGACATCTGAAGCTTCATCAGTGGTAGTGGGAAGTGACTTGACTCAGCAAGCTAACTCCTGCCTCATCTCACCCCTCGTGACAATCAGGTGTCTTACTTGCACGCGGTGCGTTGTTTTGTTACACCACTCGGCATGAAACCCCTCAGGTGCGTAACAACATCCAGCGCAAATACCACCCAAAGAGACGCTGCTACATCTCTACCCCTTGTCTCAGCATCGTAAAGAAAAGAGGCGGTCTCCCCGGGTGATAGCTTCGTTCCGAGGCGAGCCTAGGACGGGTCTGGCCGTGAGTCTCAGGGTGGCTTCACCACCAACTCCTTTCATGGAGACGGGACCAACCCACAGCCACGTGGGAAATTGCGTGAGTCGGCACCCACCAAATACATCGGGGCGGATCCAAATGTGAGATACGGTTCATCAGTTATTCCCTGCATGCTGGCAAGAAATAAACGAAGTCGTCGTGGAGGCGAGATTATGCCGCTTCACAACCAGACCAGTTTCGACTGGGTCGTCGCACTCCTCATCGCTGTCGCTTCCGTTCAAACTGTCACGATATGTTGAGATTTGCCAGGATCGTAAGTGCTGAGTGCAGATCTTGGTCCCCCCGCCATCCACTACACGTGGTAGTCGTGGTCAACAGAACGTTAATCGCCTGCCGGAGAAGGGCTTCTCGATCGACCTATTTGACAGCCGTTGGCAACATACCTAGGAGACATCCGCCTTAGTAGGACGTTGCCTCCCTGCCTGTGCAAGTTGTATTAAAAAGGTCGAATCAGAGATCGTCATCTCTCTGTTCCTGTGTGGATGCAATCCAGTCTTGCATCAAGGCTTGCGCATTGCCTGTGACTCCGGGCTTTCTCTTTGCTGGGCCACCCTTGCGCTCGATAAAGAGGCAGAGCACCCATCCCCAGATGCTGAAGCCTTCATAGGTCGTCCTGAACCCTAGCTTCTTTTTGTCATCATCAACTGTGTCTGTGTCGAAGGGGTCGTCGCTGCCATGGCGTTGCGCGTCCGAATGCGAGTCTTCCGCTGGTGGTATCTGCGCAAGATCCACACCTTCATCATCGCTTTCATCCTGAATCATGACGGCATCTCGGCCAGCGCCTGTAAGTTTGCCGCCATTATTAGTCCTTATCGGTGTCTTTTGCTGAAACGTCTTGTTCTTCACCAAGAGAGAGTGCCGTGTTCTGATCTCGGTGAGAAATATGGAAACCTCGAAATCGTCTGGAGGATATGTGTGAGCGACGCTTCCTCCAGCGGTCTCAATTTGGTTCCTACCTTGTTTGACAACATCTTTCACACTCTTCTTTTTCTTGCCCTTCCCCTTGGCCCTCTCATTTTCCTCTCGTAGCTTGGGAAGAACGTATGGCTTGATCGCCTCAAACACACGTGGGAGCGCCGGGTCCTTTTCGCTGAGAAGCCATCTCGGTTCGTCCGCAGGGTTTTCGAGAAATATACGACACTCCAGAACAGAATGCTTACTGATTCGCAGGTAGCGTCGAATTGGCGCCATGGACTGCCCGCGTACAGAGGACTGTTCGTTGCCCTCAACAGGATGGCGGTGCCGTGCAGTGTCTTGAAGAGAAACTTGAAGGCGGTATGATTGGCATTTGTGGAAAAGGCGCGTCATGGCGCCTAATCACGTGCAGATAAGATACTTGACAACCCCTTGCAATCTGGCCCCAGTCTAGAGAGCTTGACCTCTTTCCATGTCAAGCTGAAGGAAGAAATGACCTTTGTCATGATGGCCAGCAAGCAGACCTAGAGGCAGCTGTACCTGACCCTAGGTGATAGAGCTGAGGCTCAGTCTGGAGGAGTCTGGAGGGCTATATCGGCGTGTCATGATCAGCGCTTGTTCCTACACCTAGGAGCTGCTCATCGATGCCCAACCTTCACAGAGATGGAGGACGATTGATGAAGATGATTGATACTATCCGAACTGACAACTTGAAATGTGGCGAAGGAAGCTGGTTGAGGCTCTACTCCATGAATGCGGCGTAGACGATTGTACGATGGCTACATGCGCCTGCAGGGACTGGCCAACCGCTCCGCAGCGCTCAGCGGTCGACGGTGAGCTTGCGCTCGTCAATAGATGTTACCGCCTCAAACTCCATGATATCGCTTGTCTAACTTGCTGCCCACGTCTCTCATGTATGGTGTGAGTTCTTTTCTTCTTTGTACCTCTCTGTGACCAGTGTTTCCTCCTGCGACACCATCATGGCACCTTCTTCAACGACCCCCAATTTCTCAAGACCGCTGCCTTCTCCTATGTCGATCGGTGTCCTGGGAAGCCCGGTCAAAATTTCAAAGAGACAACTTGCATTGAGAGAACTGCCAAATTCAGCCTCTCTGGCAGGCATGCCACATGCGGTGCAGGCAAAGGAGCCTTCTCCCAGCAAGAGAGTGTTTGACACAGCAACCAACACCCATGTGCAAGACAAACCGGCAGACACCAACACACGGAAAGGCGCTAGTACTGATGAGTCTTGTGTGGTGCAGCACAACAGAAGACTGTCGAATTCCAGTTTGAAGAGTGCATCTGCATCCAGCGTGAGTGATCGCAGGTATGGCAGTCTTCTCTAAGTTCTCCCTCATGGGCTCACAGCAGGTCAGCGTTGACCTGGGTGGTCTCGACAAGCCTATCTCTAACTTCCGTCCTTACTTGTGGCGCCTCCTTGAACGCGAGCGTGACGTTCTTAACCTTGATCTCTTCTGGCCGATCAAAGTCAATGAAGAAAGCGATGAAGATGAAGAGGACGACGAAAACGGCGACAGCAACGGCGACGGCGACCCCAAGGGCGTCTTCCCTTTCAAAGACCTCAAGCCTCTCACCGAATTCCGTCATCTACGCCACCTCCAACTCAACGGAATGATGAGATCCTACCAACCTTTGATCTGGGCCACTTGCTGGGTCAACAAAGATCTCACCAGAGTCCATCTCGAAATGGCCCTGGAGCCCGTCATCAACGAAGACATCATGCACAAGTACCGCAACATCGATCGAAACTGGATCTACGACCGTTTATCCATCACGCCAGTCGACTGTGAATACCTCGGATCTCATGGAGATGGCACTTTGCACGAAGAGTTTGGAGAGGGCGAATATCTCGATCAACAAGCCATGAAGGCAGCACAGATCAACATGGTTCGCACACTTCCTCTGGAAAACTTGCGCTATCTACCAATCACTCACCTCACCCTGATGAATTTTGTCGTGGATGGTGGCCCATTCTTCCGCTGGTTTGATCCCAATAAGCTCAAAGAGATCAACTTCCGCGGTGACTGCATTGATGCCGGCTTTTCGTTGCCTCACGAGATGAAACTGAGCGTTCGCGTCACTTCCCCAAAGCCTCCACCTGCTGCCAGATGGGTCAAGCCGGGTGAGGTTAAGCTCATCGATATCAACCGCCCGAAGACAGCCAGCACCAGTGCAAGTGGCTGTGGAAGTGGTGGTTCTGTCGGATTAAAGGGCAAGCTCAACCAAATGATGCCAAAATGGGTGGCCAAGTCGAAGGATAAAGACAGCAAGACGCAGGACAAGGTAGCAGACCAGGAGGTCCAACAACTCGAGCAGGAAGTGTCGCGCATGGGCCTTCGAGAGTGACGACATGCCCAGGCAAGTACTCCTCGAAAGCCTGAGCTTCTGAAGGGTATGAGTTGTCAGTGAAGACAGTGGTTGGGGCTGAAATCAAAGTCCTCGGGGATTAAACAGGCGCATCCTGATCAGTCACGTCAAGTGAGACTGTCACTGTAGCACCACAGATGGCCTCGAACAAAAGTCATGATAGGCTAATGAAAATGCATTGAACACGAAATGAACGCCTTGCTAGCCATCAATCTGTGAAGTTGTCGTAACCCGCCCGCGCCTTAGCTCTATGGTACATGACGTTCTGAACCGGCCCCAGAAGCTTGAATTCCTCTTTCGATAGCTCGCAAACAATCATGTTATGCACAGCTCTAGAAGCTAGGGTCAGCCATCAGCATATCAGAGAAATCACAGCCTGGTTGATAAGAAATTCGGTTGTCATCCGTTCAATCCCTCCCATCGCCCACCACTCAGTACTTCTGGTAACCACGTCCGGAGCCAAAGGTACTGACGCTCTGGGCATAGTTGCTGTTAGCGTAGCCGGCACCTGGATTCGGACTCGCGGCGCCCATCATAGGCTGCGTCTGGCCATGGTTCTGGTACATGGCACCAGCGTTGCCCATGACGGGGGAGACACGGACCTGGGCGGTCGTCATCTTCTCGCCGCGCAGGCGAGTCATGTTGGCCCGGTAAGCGAGTACCTCGGCGGCGTTCTGCTCGTATTTGGCATCTTCGACCAGTTTCTCGTGTTTCCCGGCACGGCGTTGGCGGATGCAGCAGAAGGCAAAGATTGCGACGCAGAGTAGAGCGACGCCGCAGACGACGCCGATGATGATATTTTTCGTGGTCGAGCTGAGGCCGTTCCATTTCTGCTTCATGGATTGTGTGGTTGAGCCGCTGTTCTCGCCGTCGAGTTTGATCGGGGAGGTATCGCTGTAACCAGGATAGTCAGTCACCTGCGTTCCACCATGCTTGCCTGTTTCCTGTGGACAGAAAAAGAAGACACTTACTTCAGACTCTTGATGCTCTGCCAGCTACCGGTCTTGTCGCCGTAAACATACTGCGTCCCTCTGCCGGCGTCCGTGACTCGCACCGATTTGACAGTCATGCTGAACGGGCCGTCGTCGTAGTTGGTATCACCGCCAGCCCATTCGACCGTGCCTTCTGCGTTTTTGGTCGGATCGCCGCCGGCCCAAATGCCCAGCATTATGTGGCATGGGGTCTGAGGGAAGTTCTGGCCTCCATTGGCATCCTCAAACTTCAACACGCGGATTGACTGTCCGTCAACGAACCATTCCAGTTGCTCATGGGTCCAGTCGACGGTGTAGTTGTGCCACTCATCCTGCGGGTTGTTGACAGGATGCCATACCGCACGGTCGTAGCTGGTGGTGTTGCCCTTCCCGAAGTAGTTGGTCTGCACGTATGAATTGTTACCTCCAATCCATTCCCAGTCCACCTCGTCCAGATCGTCTGACTCCAGCACAATGGAAGAGACGATGCCTTGGCCCTTCGCCGCTTTCATGATGACCTCCACTTGACCAAAGAAGATGTAGAAGTTGGTTTGTACCGTGGGAGAGTCGCCGCGCTGGTTGATTGTGAACGCCGCGCCGTCATCCTCGAAATCGACTTTGCCGGCTGTGGTGTTCCATACGCGATCAGACATAATATTGTTGGTGAAGTCGATCGTATAATTGGCCACGCCTAACGCAGTGTCGGCTGGGCAGTCTGTCTTCTCCATTGGATTACATGATGTGAAGGTTTGCGCGAGGGAGGTGGTGAACAGGAGGGAGAAGAGGACAAAGGCCGAAGGCTTGAATGAATGACCCATATTGCCCGTCACGGAGTTGTCTATTGTTTGTTCTGGCACAGTGTCCAATTTGGGTTCTGGCTGATGTCGTCTGCGACAAACCGTTCTTTGTCCAGATATTGAGACCCTGAGATATGGCGGTGGCTGACACCAGGTCTTGCCCGCGATGACCGTGCGCGTAGGAGGATGTATGTTGGTGACGCTTGGACTTTGTTTCCAATTGCCTGGTTGTTCACAGGCACAGTACAGGAGAATGAGTGTTTAGGACGCGTCGCAGCACAGCGCGACTGTCGAGGCACGAAACGAGAGACTGGTTATAACACAGGGAAATGAGCGGCTACGGGCGACACAGACGGTGTGCTCGTCAGGGACAGACAGAGGTCGACCTCAGGCTGGAGAGAAGTTGAGGTCTGCCACCGAGACCATCTCCCTCTGGATTACTATGTTGCTTGCCTACTACTTTTCTTCCTTCCTCGCCTGCTTCCACCCTTCAGGGGCAGCGGAGATGAAACGCGCAGGGGCTTCGAATGTCGGCGAGTTCGGTGTTTGAGCTCGGGGAACTTGAAAGGGGGATCACGCCAGGTACGTATCCGGCCAATCAAAGTTGACAGCTTGAGTCGCTAACTTAGTAGCAACGTTGTACTAGTACTACGCTGACACTCCCGCCTCCCGTCTAAACACCTTGCCAGTTGAAGCTCTGGTATACAGGGACAGTTCTGACCCCCAGCCTTTTTCGCCTTGCATTAATGTCATGCCACTGCGTAGGGCTTTGATGAAGAGCATCTACAGGTTGGGTGGCTCTGAATGATGTCCAAAGATGATGACTCTGTATAGGCATCCAACACAATCATGGATATGTGCTGATGATCCTTGTTAGATCTACCCGCTACGGTAGTTTTCGAAGCCTCGACGCTGCCATTTCCCCCTGCTAGCGTTGATAGCCAGTTCATGTCAATGGCTCTAGCTTGGAGGCAGTGCCGCCCACACTGTGGCAGTTCCTCTATCAAGAGGAGTGTCCTAACAGATCAGATACGTGCCTACTAGTACTAGTAGTAGGTAGTAGTAGTAGTGTAGTAGATAATAACATGTCGGATACTGCCGGATTCGGCAACGCGGCTCCTGCACCATTGTGTCACCAGAACATCAAGCGTTACCTCGCTGATACTACGTACTACCTGTGCTGATAGCACTCTCAGCCTCTGCCATGACACAATACTCACTCTCCGAATGCACACCTTAAGGAAAGACAAAGGCGTCCTTTGAGCACTGCTCGTTGCATGCTCCAGTCTGGTTTGTCCGCACAGTGCTGACTGATTTCTCACCGTCCAAGAGCGTCTTTCGCTGAGCTCATCGACCTGCAACCCGAGACAAGATGGCACAACCTCAGATTCCTGAGGGCGTCTTCTCGTTCCTCGATACTGACCTGTACAAGCTGACGATGCAGTGTGCAGTGCTGAAATATTTCCCTTCAGTCGATGTCGAGTACAAATTCACAAATCGAACACCGCAGATGCGATTGAACAAAGAAGCCTTCGCCTGGCTGCAAGAGCAGACTGCCAAACTGGCCAACATCACACTGGCGCAGCACGAATTGGAATATTTGAGGAGGCACTGTCCATACTTGAGCTCGGACTACCTGAACTACCTGCAATCCTTCCGTCTGCGGCCCGCCGAGCAGGTCAACATGAAGTTCACCCCGGTCGATGAGACCTTCGGCGATCTGGATATCACAGTGGCCGGTCTTTGGGTGGAAACTATATCATACGAGATCCCTCTCTTAGCCCTCACGAGCGAGGCATATTTCAAGTTTGTGGACACGGATTGGGATTACGAGGGGCAAGAAGAGAATGCTTACCAGAAAGCGAGACGATTGCTGAAAGCAGGGTGTACATTTTCAGAATTCGGCTCGCGTAGGAGACGGTCATTCCATACGCACGATATAGTGGTCAAAGGCTTGGTGAGAGCAGCAAAGGAAGACGGCATATCCGGCGACCTGTCAGGGACGAGTAATGTCTACTTTGCCATGAAGCACAGCATCCCTCCCGTGGGAACGGTAGCCCATGAGTGGTACATGGGGATTGCTGCACTGACGAATGACTACGAGCATGCCAACGAGCTGGGGCTTCGCTACTGGTTGGATTGCTTCGGCAGAGGAGTCTTGAGTATTGCTCTGACCGATACTTTCGGAACCCCGGATTTCTTCAAGGCATTCAAAAAGACCGTGGCAGCAAGGACATCAGCTTCACAAGACGGGGCAACGGATGAGTCTGCAGAGGCCAACCAGTTGTCTCACCCAACATCGTATGCTGAGGTTTATGCCGGCATCAGACAAGATTCCGGGGATCCGAAGGAATACCTCAAGCTTGCCAGCGACTTCTACAAGTCTATAGGCGTGGGAGGAAAGAGCATCGTGTTTTCGGATGCACTCGACGTCGACAAATGTATTGAGTACAAGAAATTGGCGGAGTCGTACGGGTTCAAACCTTCCTTTGGGGTGGGCACTCATTTCACGAACGACTTCAAGCGGCGATCCGACAGGCAAAGCAAATCGCAGCCCCTCAACATCGTCATCAAATTGTCAAAAGCAGGCGGAAGACCAGCAATCAAGATCTCGGACAACATTGGCAAGAACACCGGTGATTCGGAGACTGTACGGGAGGTCAAGCGACGCCTCGGATACACAGAAAAGGAATGGGTCGAAGGCGATGAAGCGCGGAGATGGTGAACGGAGAGCCAGTTGGTGGCATATTACAGGCTATTAGCTGCCACAGTCATGCATGGCCAAATGTCGCAGCCTTACAGCCCCTGAAGATTTTGGCGGGCCAAGAGATCCAGGCTCTGTCACTTGTGGAGTGTGGCGGAGGCCCTGCAGTGTTCGTCGAGCCGTTTAACGATTGATTGTATTATTGGAGCCTTCGACCAAACCCACTCACAACCTCCAGTTCATCTAGGTAGACAAGTCCATGCCGACGACCGTGGAAGAGTTCTCTAGTACGCGGGACCAGCGGGATGACGCGGTTGAGGTCTGAGGGTAGTTCTGTCTCTCCAGTGCTCGTGCGCAATGCATGATATCTGAGCGATGCCCGAAACGGGACAGAGCATCGAGCGGCTGGATGCGCTGAAACGTTACTTGGTGCGACAATGATGGATCCATAATACTACCTAATCAAGTTTGTCTGAAGCAGGCCGCTGAAGGACGGACACTGGCAGTTGTCTTCAAATTCTTACTACTTGTGCTTACTAGTAACTAAGATGGATATGGCCTTGATTGGACACAGGCCGCAACCAGCCTCTAGCGAAGCACTATCTGTGTTAAGGGACATTTGTAGCAACTGTGACGAGGAGCTCAGGACCAGAGGATGTGACCAGCGCCGGCGATGTCGGGAACAAAGGGCGAAAAGGGTTAAGCGCTGACTGCCAATACTGCCACACCCTAAACTTCAAGACAAGAAGAGTTCCTCCTTAGGGCCTGAAGAGCCTGGAGGGTGCCTAAAATCCAAGGAGCTTAGCCTGCGATTATTTGACGTGCGGTGCGGTGCCAGTGCACAGCCCCCAGAGTCTAGAGGACGATAACAGAGCAGATACTATCACAGTCCTGTCCTCCCTCCAGGGATCCAGCTCTCCTTTACTACCACTGCACAGGCTCCCGCCCAGACTGACTATCCCCCTTCTGCGCCAACCAGCCTGCGACTTCTCATCCCGAGCATGAGCTGACCATAACAGTAATAGTGATCACTCAGCTCGCCGCCCTCTACGTTATTCTTCATCACCTACGTCTACCACCGTTTTATTTCTCAATCGAATTCTCACCCTTTGCATCCCTTCTTGTCGCATCTTCTCAACGGGCTCGCGTGGCTGCGCGCGGAAGACCCTTAGACTCTATTGCTTTTGCTACGGCCTGCAACTTTTTTGTGTAGTCCATCCACTGGACGATACTTTTCACCTTTAAAACCGCACCAAAACTGTGCCGGTCTCTTCTGGCATCATGAGTGTGAGTCCCGAGAATGCCTCCTTGCTCAATCTCAGTCGCCCGGGGTGTCCTGCACCTTCCTGAACCGCCGCCATCAGATCTGAACCCTACTCAACCTCATCCTCTTGTCTTTCTCTTACTGACGCTGAGCCTAGTACAACCAAGGCTACAATGGCCAGCAGGACGGTCAGGGATATAGCGCCTACAACCCCTACGGACAAAGCGGAAACCCGTACACTCAGGGCGATTACGATGAGGGCCAAGGATACAATGATAATTCCGGACAGGAGGGCGGTAGACCACAGGCGCCACATCAAGGAAGCAGCTACTACGGCGATGAGGAACAGCGCACTGGTGGATATGGTATATTTACACTCCTCACTGCAAACACGTCGGTTCCCGGCTAATCCGCGATATCAGAAATGAGGAATATGAATGGCGCCGATCCGAACAGAATACTCAATGAATGCAGAGCCGTCGATCAAGCCATTGACGAGATTGAAGCGGATTTGCACCGTCTCAAAGGCCTGCAATCTCGATATTTGGCAGACACAAACACGTCCGCTCAGTCGCCACTGCGCATCGAAGTCGACCGGACGGGAGAAAATATCATGACCAAATACCGTGGTCTCGTGAGCCGCGTCAAGAACATCAAACAACAGCCGGAGTCGGGGAATCCTCGCAACGCTCCACAAGTCGGCAAAGTCGATCGAAGGTTGAAAACCGCCATCAATCAATACCAACAGGTCGAGCGAGAATTCCGGAAGGCGTCACAAGAGCAAATGTCCCGACAATACCGGATCGTTCGCCCAGACGCTTCAGATGCCGAAGTGCGTGAGGCTGTGGAGGATCCCAACAATCAGCAAATCTTCAGTTCCGCCCTGATCCAAAGCGACCGCCGTGGCGAGGCACAAACCGTGGCGAGAAACGTTTCTCAGCGCCACGAGGATATCCAGAAGATCGAACGGCAGATGATTGAGCTTGCTCAACTTTTCCAGGATCTTGAGGCATTGGTGGTGCAACAGGAACCTGCAGTCACTCAAATCGAACAGAGAGGAGAGGAGGTGACGGAAAATGTGGCCAAGGCCAACGTCGAGCTTGAAGGCGCAGTGGTCAAGGCCAGGGCTGCCCGGCGGAAGAAGTGGATATGCTTGGGCATAGTTCGTGAGTATTTCGATCTGCCCAAGGATCAGTCCGTGCTAATATTTTCCCAGTCCTCATCATCATCATCATCATTGTGGTGGTTGTCGTTGTCGTTGAGGTTACAAAGAATTAGTCGTCCAACAACGGCCAGCCCGAACAAGCTTCGGCTTCTAGTCGGTGAAAGATCCTGGGGTATTACCCAAGCCCAGCAGAAACTACTCTGTCATCCTTCCAGTTCGCATCTCAGCCCTTCCATTTCCGTCGACCAGCATGGTGTTTGCGTACCCTGGGCAAGCTTGTTTCTGGCCGCGATCGACCAGTTTTCCCACGTTTCGAGCCTTCTCCTGTGCCAACGAGCTTTCGAAGGCTCTGGTTTGGCTTGCAACCAGCACTTTACCAAAAAAAGAAAACCCTTCATGAAACAGACGGAATGGCAGGGAGGGCGCGGTGAGATCTCATATGTTCGGAAAAGCCGGCGCGCAGAGCGTGCTTTGATCTTGTTTTCCTGTTTGTGTTGTTGTGTGTGTGTTTGTTTCTTGTTGTACGGGGGTGGGCGACATGTGCATAGCATGTCTTTAGAGACAAAGTACCTTATCCTAATAATACACCCAAGGTTTTTGGAGACACCGGGCAAGTCGATGCCACGCGTGTAGTCAAGGCATTGACGGAGTCAGGGTGGTATTCGGGGTTTTGATAGGAGAGGCAGTGAGGTGAAATATCAATCCTCCCCTACCACCTAGCCAGCATGATTTTTTCGAGGTGTGGCTGGATCTCGATCGAGGCTCTCAAGGCTAATTGTCGTGTTTGTTTTGATCTCTATTCATCGTATACGCCGCGTCCCGAGACCATCCTCTGACTTCGAGGACAGTGATACCACGTTGTCGCCTGTTTGACGCGAAATCGTGACACATCCCGAATCTCTGACGTCCAAGATGATCAGAGTACGATGAACAGGTCTACCTAGCTGTGCCTTGATGGTAGCTTCTGGGGAGCAGCATCGCACACTCCAGGATGACTTCTCGAGAAGAGTGATTTATCATTATATCGATCGAGCTTTATTGTTACAGGGTACCGAGTTCGGGCCATCCAGCAAGCCAGAACCCTCAGTCAAGGCTCTGCTGTTATTTACTTACGTACGTCCTTGCTCTCGTGATCGTTTGGCAGATAGCAAACGCACTCACTGGCTCTTCATCTCTCTCTCCATGCTGCTCTTCTATTCACTGACACCATCTCCCTAACCTAGCGCTGTAACTTCTCTTCTTCTTCGGGAGTCTTGGTGCGCAACTGCAGCGCGTGGATCCCGCCCGGCCGTTCCAATTCCTCTTTCAGGAGAGAATAGACCATTCGATGTCTGGCCGGTTGGGGTTTCGAGGCGAACGAGGAGGAAATTATGTCGAGACTGGAAACACAGGCAGGATCAGTCATTTTGGAGTGTTCCCTTGCTGGGAGAGAACGAGAGGAAGTGCTCATGAAGGGTATATTCAGCTCTCAAAGAACATGGTCGACACTGAGACTCATTCATGCTGGCCTCGGCACCAGCATTTTCCGTGATATCTGGGATACATTTGATGTCCGCCTTTATTCTGGGGCAAGGGGAAAGAAAAAATGTGGTAAGGAAAGGGAGGGGAGGGGGCTCTGGGCTGGAGGATCGTTTTGGGGTATTCTTTGTTGAAGATAAAGGGGTTGAGCAAAGTCAGATGTCGACGTACTAGAAATGCGTTTCTTTGGACGTCGCGCCCGCCATGGCTTGATGGTGGGCATGTTTGTGGGAGTCGTTCCGGATCTTGAGGTCGGTGGGATTCAATGCTTCTGTAACCTGTTGTTCGATGGGGTGTGAGCCGTTAGTGTGACCGTTATATTGTATGGTATGGTATATGTCTGTGTCTTCTTTCTGGCGGTATGATGAAGGAAAGGGGTGGAACTTTGATTCACAACCGTTGGGTTTGAGGGCAAATAAAATGCGAGAGAGATGGAGAACAGACGGCACCGAGTCTGTTTCTGGATTTGAGGGCGCCTCGGCCCTGCTGACAGGCCGGAGTTGGAGTGCCTCTCATTGTAATAGAGGGGCCTTGGATCAAGAGATCCCTCGTGTGAAGGTGAAGCAAGGATTCTCAGACTCATAGATGGGGAGGCAAGGCTGCGTGTACATATATATGCTATGCTGTGTAATGTATGAAGGACTTACTTTTCGCCGGATCGTGTCTTCCATCGGCGTGTTGGAAGTGCTTGTACTCATTGCCATTCTGGTCAGCAGCCTTGCCGGCCTGGTCGAGCTGCGCAAGGTTGAAAAGGGTCTCATTGGGGCATGATAGGTGATTGTGGTGAGGACGAGGAAGAGAGGTGTGTTTGCACGGTGCTAACACTCTCTTTTAGTTCTGTTACTACAGTATTGCATTTGCGGTGTCTCATTTATGCCGTAGTATCAGTACGGTAGAGCAGTAGCCCTGACACTGCACTCATATTTTGTTCTCTCGACCTTTCCCATTTCCTCATTCCTTCTGCTTTCTCGCCCGCTCTGGGTTCGCCAGTGCCTCTGCATTCCATCTTGGGTCTTCACTCTCCTTGACTGGTGCCCATCCCAACTGAATCTGTCTTTGTCAACAAAACCCCAGGTAAGTAGGGAAAGAGTTGAGGTAAATACCTGCATTGTTTTCTGGTCCCAATCCTTGGTGAACGACTTGATCTTTCCATCTTCGACTTCAAAAATGGCTGCTGCGCTCCACTTGGCATGTTTGCCAGATGCTGGAATGCCTTTGTAGGGTTTCCCACAGTGACTCCCTTCAGCGGTATATCTGAGCAAGACATGACCATTTTTCGCAAACACCTGATCGAACCGGATGATATGGAGGTCGGCGACACTTTGCATCACGATCGAATGCGACGCCGCATAGTCCATAGGCGTCTCGCAGCCGGGAAAGGTGGCTGGAGACCAAAACCAGCTGTCATCGCGGCAGAGGTGGCGCACTGAATCTCCTCCTTTGTTCTCGCGGGGCGAATATGCAATGGCCATGTATTCTTTGCATGTTTCAATGTTGCGCTGTGCCGGGTAGAATTGTCAGTCTGGTGTACGTGCATGGCATCTGGATGGTGAGTTGGCTCGGGAAGGGCAGACAGACAGACCTCTTCTTCAGCAGTCTGGTCTGTGGTGATCACAGCAGGGGGATATTTCTCCGAAGCCATGTTGAGGGTTGACTGTATGTCTAGAGATGGATGTGTCGATGGAATTGCGAATTTGTTGTCCGATGTCCTGTTATAAAGTCGTGTGGCAGTGGTGAAGTACCTAGGTATCGTTGTAGATCTTTGATGTCATATTAGGTAGCGAGGTACCTTAGATACTAATCCATATCATGTGTATCCACCATCTCAATACGTCATGTTCGCTGGTGACGAGGGGATTGGAAACGCGACAAGGCGGTCAATTTGATTCAGGTTCGTAGCGACTTCAGGGAATCGATGGATATGACAAGCTTGTTGTTCGCAGCACTACGGGAGAACGGTTACTTGTGTGCTGGATAAGCCTCGCTTTCGACCATAACGTTCAGTGTGGGATGTGTGCCCCACAGATGGTGTACCTCCCGTCTCCCATTTGCTTTGCCTGAATGCGATCTCGTACCAGTGTAAGCTCTGGAGACAATGAGACATCTCGTTCTGATTACCCTCGAATATGCTTGTGCCAGTATTCTGCGCGTTGTCGGAGGTGTTGTCCCACCAGCAGGCTCGCCCTTTCGGAGGGGACTATGCTGCCAGAATTCGGTAGAGGTCTCTACCTGCAGATACAATTCCTGATCGACCTAGGCCTGTGAGAATCACTGATCTGATCTGACATGACTTGTCCCTCAGGTCAGCTTCGTAGGTATTCACAGTGCTCGGCCTGATGCTGCATGCCAGATATCCTTTTGATGCCGCGTCATCAGCCAAGAAGTACTCCAAGTCATCTCGATGAATGCCAACACAGCATCCCCATCTATCGCACATCGCAGTGACAACCCATGGATTTAGATTCTGGACTGATCAGGAATCTACCCAGATAACTCTAGGGGATAAACAATCTAACTGTTCAGGTACAGTTTCTGCCATTTGCGTCAAAGTGGAATACGTCAGAAAACTCGCCCAAAGGCCCAACATCATGGCGGATTCAGGCCCGACCACGTTGTCGTCGCGTTTTGCCAGCTTCAATCCCTTCTCCAGGTCGACAGGCAAGACCGATGCCGATGATCTGGGTGAGAAGATTGATTCCAGCACCATTGCAGGTGGTGTCCATGGATCCTACCTGTCTGATATCACGAGCGAACAACTTAGGGTCAGCCATGCACTGAGGTCGTTCCTTGTCCACCACAACGTCCTCTCGAAGGACGAGGCTGGATTGCACGACCCTAATCAACTGACTGAATCATTACGGGCATTACTCGACAAACCTCATATCAATGTCCCGTCAGCCATTACTGATAGGTCCCATCCATTGCCCGAGTACTTCATAAGTTCCAGCCATAACACCTATCTGGTTGCGCACCAGCTCTACGGAACCTCTTCAGCTAAAGCTTATGAGACAGCTCTCAACACAGGATCCCGCTGCGTCGAGATCGACGCCTGGGACGGTGAAGACGATGAAGAGGAACCCAAGGTCACGCATGGGTACACTCTCGTGTCACATATCACTTTTCGCTCTGTTTGCGAGACGATCCGAGATGTTGTAGACAGAGAAGCCACACTGGCCGCGAATCAAGCAGACTATCGACCTTCGCCTGTCTTACTCTCGCTGGAGAATCATTGCGAGGCCCATGGTCAGCAGCGCCTGGTCAAGGTCATGAAGCAAGTCTGGGGAGACCGTCTCCTAAGCGAAGCCGTCAGAAGAAAAGGGCACACGGAGCAGGAAGGCTCTACAAATCACGTGCGTTTGGAAGACTTGGGCTCCAAGATCGCCGTCATTGTCGAGTATCACCTGCCCGACGAACCCCAAGACGACGATAGCAGCTCCAGTGATGACGAGGACGAGAAGGCAAAGCAAGCTCACAAGGAATATAACGAGAAGAAGAAGGCTACGCCTGCCACAATCATTATCCCGGAACTGGCCGAACTAGGAGTGTATGCTCAATCAGTGAAGCCCAAAGACAACTCTTGGTTCGGAGAAGTTGGCATCAAGGATGGTCCGCACCACCATCTGATCAACATCTCGGAGAGCGCCCTGAGGGCGCATATGCCAGCTGAGACCGACAAGATTGCTCGGCACAATGCCCAACACTTGATGCGCGTCTTTCCCAAGGGCACACGGATATCTTCGGAGAACCTCAATCCGGTGCCCTTCTGGGGTCTTGGGGCACAAATCTGCGCGCTAAACTGGCAGACCTTTGGAGCGGGTCTCCAGCTCAACCAGGCTTTGTTCAGCAGGACGGAAGGATTTGTTCTCAAGCCAGCAGCCCTCCGCCCTGGTGGCAGTGGGAAACTCACCACTGGCAGAAGAAAGAGACTTCGACTTCACGTGGCAGGAGCTTCTGACATCCCCATACCCGAAGGCCGTCAAGCACACGATATCAAGCCATACATATCCTGCACACTGATCCATCCGGACGATCTGGACCAGGATCCGGCGAAACGCAAGACGACACCATATAAGCATCACAAGCTCGCCTTCCTGCACGAAGGAGAAAACCCACCAGCGACAGATCCTGTCTGGCAAGAGACTCTCGAGTGGGAGTACGGGGACAATGAGCTGGTGTTCCTGCGCATGCTCATCAAAAGCGATGACAGCTATTCGAGGAACCCCATCTTCGCAGTGGCTGCTGTCAGACTGATGTATGTCGCTCCTGGATGGAGTTTCGTCCGCATGCTGGATCTGAGAGGCCGGGAGACGAGATGTACACTGCTGGTCAGGTTCGAGATTGAGGATGTATAGGCGGAGTCTGCGAATAGAGCCTCCAATGGACGAGTAAGATTAAAAAGGCTACTCATACCAGGCACATACAATGTGGACGGGGCTGCGAGAAGGATGTTTAAAGCGGCAAGCTGGGGAAATTCCCGGTGTCCAAAGATCAACGAATAATAATAATGTGGAGCGAAAAGCCCCACTGGCACTGCATCATCCCTCAAAAGTCCGCAGGCAATTGTTCTGCAGTTCTTCAGACATTTGCCGATGCTGAGCCCTTTTCCGTTTCCCAGGTCTTAACCACTTCTTGTCCAAGTATACCTGAGGCTAGAGGATCGAGGCTAGGATCGAGACTAGCAACTCTGTTGGGCGAGCCCAACAATGTTGACGAGATGCGCCCCATCACTTTGGCCTCGCGGTTGAACGCCGCAATATCACACTCCGGAGCTGGTCTTATAACGTCCGCGCCTCGACAGGGCTGCTCTCCTTTGTTCAGTAAGAGAGTTCAGTTGCAGTTGCAGTTCCAGTCTCGAATGGCGTCTACTCTGCCTTCCACGCCCATCTTCGAGGCCATTGCCAAACATGATCCCAAAAGTCCCGCCATCATCCACAGTGCCTCTGACCGCACCTTTTGTTACGGCAGCTTGTTGCACGATGTGGCCGCCGCCAAAGATAACTTGACCTCGCTGGCCGGCGGGAAGCCTCTGGCCGGCGAAAGAATTGCTTTTCTGGCCGAGAACGGCTATGACTATGTAGGTGCGGGAGAACAACTATTCACATTCGTCGAGGAGATCTTGTTGACACAAATGCGCAGTGACGTTTCTTTCGATTCTCGCCCATGACGCTATTGCTCTCCCTCTCGCCCATACCCATCCGAACTCGGAACTGCGGTATATCATCGAGAATAGTGAGGCGGCGCTATTTTTGTCAACCGAGAAGTTTCAAGCCAAGGCTCAAGAGGTGGTCGAGACAGGCCTGGACCATGTCCCACAATTAGAAATCCTCTCCAAGATCGAGACGGGAGCGGTGTCGGCGGAGACTGTCAAGTTTGGCCCGGACAGCGTGCAAAATGGCGGATTCATGCTCTACACATCTGGAACGACCAACAGACCGAAGGGGGTAGTGTTGTCTGTACCCACCATCACCGCTCAAGCCAGATCCCTGATCGAAGCATGGAACTACGCGCCATCCGATCTGCTCCTCCATGTCCTGCCGCTCCACCATATCCACGGAACCATCAACGCGCTGTTCACGCCTCTGATGGCTGGCGCGGCTGTGGAGTTCGCGTACCCATTTAACGCGGATACGGTATGGAAACGGCTGGCCGCACCCTTCCTTCCACATTCCCCACCAACGAAACGACCGATCACGTTCCTGACCGTGGTTCCTACTATCTACAACCGACTTCTTGCCACCCACCCTTCGCTGGACCCAGACATGCAAGAAGCAACCCGCACAGCCATCACGCCACAGTATATGCGTCTGAACATCTCCGGATCCGCGGCGTTGCCATCGCCGACCAAACAAGCCTGGACCGAACTCAGTGGCGGGAATGTCCTGCTCGAGCGGTACGGCATGACGGAAGTCGGAATGGCGCTCTCATGCGGACTGGCGTTTGAAGACCGTGTCGATGGAAGCGTGGGCTGGCCGTTACCATCGGTGGATGTGCGACTTGTAGAGTCCGAGACCGGCCAGGTCATCGAGCCTGGACAGGAGACGGATGCGAACGGCAATCCTCGTGAGGGTGAGATCCAGTTGCGCGGACCGACCATTTTCAGCGGCTACTTCCGCAATACGAAAGCCACCGCGCAAGAGTTCGTCGAAGCCACCGACGGCCGCGGCAAATGGTTCAAGACCGGCGACGTGGCCATCCGCCAGCACGTCCCTGGCACAGGGAAAAGCGACCAGGCATGGGCCAAGGGCCCCATGTATTTCATCCGCGGCCGCAAGAGCGTAGACATCATCAAGACCGGCGGCGAGAAGGTGTCGGCGCTCGAGGTCGAGCGTGAGCTCCTCTCACTCCCCGAAGTCTCCGAGGCCGCTGTGGTCGGTCTCACCTCGGACCAGTGGGGCCAGAAAGTCGCCGCGGTCGTCGTCCTGACTCCCAAAGGCTTGACTGGCGGCCGTGGTGGCAAGCCCTGGGGGGCCATGGACATGAGGCGCGCGCTGAAGGACAGGCTAGCCAACTACAAGATTCCCCAGGAACTCAAGATCGTCGAGTCCATCCCGCGCAACGCCATGGGCAAAATCAACAAGAAGAATCTGATCAAAGATGTCTTTGAGAAATAGCCCTGGTCACGGTGCGCGTGACGATGGGCACTCCAGAAAAGTGGCAGCACTCAGGACGCAAGAACAGGCTTCGTCCTTTTGGCGTATATTCCCAGGTCAAAGGTTCGGTTTATCACTGAATGGCATACTACCTCATAGGTAAAAGTTCAGGGCTGGAGTTGGAAAAACTCTAGCATGGTGCTTTACGGACAAGCATAAAAGCGAGCATGTTTAGGCCGGTGGACGTTTAGTGTCCAGCGAAGCGACCTGGTCTTGTCCCTTCCAGAAGATCATAGGTCTGCACTTGTATGGTGTCTTCGAGTTATTGACTCTATATACTATATATGTGGAAGTGAAAACTAAACAAACTTCAAATGCCACCATGTTCGATCGTCCAGCCAGATCCCTTTTGGCACAGTACAGCAAGAATCTCAACGAAGTGAGGGACCTAGATCGAACTCAAGCTCCTTCTCTTTCGTACTCCAATAGACACGCCAGGCAGGTAGAGAAGATCAATAGATGGGAAGAGCATGAGCATGGAACTGCGCGTCTCTCTGAGTTTTATGTTGCCTCTGGGTTCTGTCTGTATGTCAGTCACGCCAGGAGATCTGATTTACCATCCACTCCGGAGATCTTGGTATACTGCCAAATCTCCGGAAAGGGAGAGAACCCAGAGCAGAAAGAAATAACTTTTAAGACCAGCAAAAAACACTTCTCACAAGCCTAGTTGTATAGAGCTTATGAGTGAGTGAAACCACCGGGAGGTGGTTTTTGGGGATGGCGGCGGGAATGCGTTTTCAGGGCCGATCTTATCGTAGATGGATCTTAGGGAGTCCTTTGGGAGACCTGGGTTTTCATTGGATGCGTGGGATGCGCGGGAGGCCTGTGGTTCTTTGGGGAGAGTCCTTCAAAAGCGTGAGAAATCTGAGGGAGTCCTGGGTAGTCCATATGGGCCAATAATGATTCCATTAATTATCGCGGGTCCTTGGTCAGTACGGGGATTCGAACAGCAGTCGTCCTTGTGCGGTCAGATAGTGGCCGGTTTTTAAGGATGAAACGTTTCGCGGTGCGGTTTAGTCGACCCAATCGTCACCCATGCACGCCTTCTGACCCGGTGCCAGTTTGCTCTGATGCCGGTGAGGATTGTTGAATAACTTTTGGCAGATACAACATTATAAACCCCAATTCGCAGGGCTTTAAGATCGTAGTCTATGATTGGTCACCGGCACTGGAAGTGAAGTAGATCAGAGCATAGCGCGAGAAAGGTGTTAGTTAGTTGCTTGCCATGCGAAGTGTGGCAGCAACACTGTCCAGCTCAGCTTGGCTGCGTGCGTGTTGGAAGCTCAGCGAAATATCGGGTTATGAAATACACGTTGAATCTGGTCTTGGGTTCTGATTTCTCGATTCAACTCAACGACTTGATTGTAGGAATGTCTTGCTTTTGCTCGGATTTGCTCTGTCAGAGTATATGGTCCAATCCAGTTGCTCGCTTGCTAGAGGTCTCGCTCCTCCTGTACAGGACCACTCTTTTCTGTCCATTTCCCATGAGAACCTCCCTACCTAGACCACAGGTGGCAGACCTTGGATCTGACGCATGAGGACAGCCATCGCTGCCTTGTGACCCAGGCAGTTAAACGTTGAGGTGTTCCAAGAGCCGGGAGGACATTGTTTCGCATTCGCAGTCATAGTTGCTCTATAGGGCACCGGCAGAACGTCGATTCGTAGGGGAAAGCGGGTTCTGGAGATCGCCAGGTATATCGAGCGTCGGGTAATGTGGTGGGATTGAAATGAGTGAAGTTGTCGTCCAAAGGTGGGCGCGGGTTGCCGCTTTGTAGACACTTACTTGATCAGGTTAGCCGGATTGTTGGTTGGTCGGCACACCTTCTTCTCCGGCACATTCGTTTTTCATTCCGCCCTGCCATCGATGGCAGAGCCGCAGAAACAGTCGGAGAGTGCCGTGTCGAGAACTCCTGATACTGAACCACGTGTAAGAAGTAAATATTCACACCCGCGCTGCGATTGAGTATCAGGTTTGATGGTCCTCGCGGCGCAAGATGCACATTGACTTTGAGGGGTTTCGACTGCGACAGCTCATTGATCGTCCGTGTAACCAAGACAGAGAAATAATATATGCCTGGTCCTGCTGGTCCTGTTGGTACACCTGGCTGTCCTCAGATTGATATCACGCATGGTCCCACCGAGAACACACACCGAGCACACACGATCAGTCATTAGAGCAATCTCGATCAAGATTGAGAATATTCGGTTTGATAGATTTGATGGACCATCTACTAGATGGCATTGAAAAAACAGGACTTTTCTTCCAGCATCTCGCTTATAACATGTAGCGGTAGTCTGGGTTCATGTCGCCCAGCTCGACCTTCTCATACTCTGTAATGCCAACGTCAGGAGTCTTCGCCCTGCTCCGATTTTGACTCATGCAAGCCAATAAGTACAGGACACAGCTGACGGCACTCAGGGAGATGAATGCCAAAGAGATGCTGTATCCCTTGTGGAAGAATGATTTCGCATCCGCAGCCTCGAAACTGTAGCTGGCAATGATACTAAAGAAAACGTCAGTACAAATCTGATCCTTGCCTCGATACAGCTTGTTACTTACCCGCCAATGTTTCCAAAGCCTACCTGCCATGCGGTGCCCACCGAACGTCTATGATGTCCACCTATCAATCTGCGTCAGCGATCGCCCCCTGAGATGTGGAAATGTAGTCGGGGCACCCGGGGGCACTTACCCAAGTTCATCGTGAACCAGCAAACAATGATAGGCATTGCAGCGTAGCATCCGGACGTGACCAAGAAGAGAGCACCGTATTCGGTGTGGTGGTTGTCATGCACGGTCATGAGGATCGCGAATCCCGCCACGGCGATACAAATGGGGATGATGGCGAAGAGAAATCGATGGCGCAGACGGTCGGAAAAAACTGCAATCAACATGGAAAATCCAAAGGCCGCTGCCCAGGGTGGAACTGAGTGCAACTGAGTGCCGATGTTGCTGTAACCATAGGATTTGATGATAGTGGGTGCAAAATAGGCGTAACCATAAGCTGTTGAGAGATCAGACCTGGTCAGCATGATGTTCTGGAAAAGGGAAGGCTGTTGCAACAAAAACTCACCTGGGACAATGAGACCAAAGTACATCAAGCCACCCAGGAAGACTTTGTAGTCCTTGAAGCAGTTTAGGATGTCTTTGGTCGTGATCCGTCGTTCAATGGCCGATTTGCCCTGATCATCCCGGAGCCGTTGTTTGACATACTCTCGCTCGGGCTCAGTAAGCCACTTTGCATCTTCCACGAAGTCCGGGATCAAGAAAAACCAGATGATACCGATAAGACAGGTGAAAGACCCTTCGATGATAAAAACCCATCTCCATCCAAGATAGCCACGAAGGCCGTCCATCTTGCCGATGGCCGAGGCCAAGAGACCGCCAAAAGCGCCTGCGAGAGTCGTACTGGCGAAGAAGAAAGTGTATCTCTTTTGCGCTTCGCTTCGTTTATACCACATCCCGATCAGGTAGAATGAACCTAAGGGGTCTCAGTAGCTGCAATGCATGAAGGTCCACGACGCGCGAAATACCACGTACCAGGAAACATGCCTGCTTCGAAGAGGCCGAGGAAGAATCGTGTCGTGATAAGGCCGCCATAGCCTTGAACGAGCCCTTGGCAGACTGTGACCAAGCCGAAACCAAACATACAGATAGAAAGCCAAACATGCGGCCTCAGGCGCTTCAAGATGAGGTTTGAGGGGATTTCAAAGATGATGTATGGTACCTGCCAGTATTCGATCAGTACCTGGACGGCAGAATGCCACGACTCTCACATACAAAGAAGACGGTCAAGGCGGTCGAGTACTGTGTGGCACTCAGACCGAGATCTTTCTGCAGGCCAAAGATGGCGGCGTTCGCGACATTGGTCCGGTCGAGGAAAGCCAGCAAATAGAGCACCGATAGGACGGGGATCACCCTCAGGTCAATTTTGGTGATCAATTTCCTTTCAGACATGCCCGGCGGCAAGGCGACGGTCTCGACATCTCGAAATCCTGCTGCTGGATGCGCCAGATCCGGATCGTAGTTCAACTGATGCTCGCCTAGGCCATTGGTGTCGTTGTAAACCTCGCGGGTTTTCTCATCTATACCAGCATGAGTCATCGTCTAATGTAGGTCCGAACGTGCTCGATCTGACTTACTTGACCCGTCTAGAGAAAAGCGCATGCTTGCGAAATGAGCAGTGACACGATCTCACACAAGAGACTTCTATGCTGCTACGCGCAAAGCACAGGACTCAGTGATAAAACACCTACCCCTTGCTTGGTTTAATATTTTGTTTGCTATATGGAAAGGAAAAAAAAATGCGGGAGCATTTGGCGGGCAGCGGGTCTCCTTTGTAGTCGAGGATCGATGCGTCCAACTTGAAGGAGTCACAAGCCCGGCGCAAAAGGCCCCGGCCAAGGGAGTCAGTCGACTTTTGGCTGAGGCGTGTGACGAGCAGCAACGATATCGGCGTTGCTGACAGCAGCAGGGATCCAGATTGGGTGCGATGTGGTTCTCCGGATGGAGAAGAAATCGGTATACGAGCAATGAGGATGCAACATTGACTCGAGAGTGGAGGGGCGATAGAGGGCGTGATAGGCTGCACGGGGAGCGAACTGACTCTCCGGGGGGGTCACGAGAGCCTATACGAGCCCTATACCTCCAGAGGCTGGATGAAGCAAATCACGCCTAGACTGGAAGAAGCTTGGTGGTGGCGGCCACCCCGCAAAGACCAGAAATTAGCGACGTTTGAAAGCTTAGGAGGCTAGGGAGCTCCCAAGACCGCCGGGGCAAAGGAAGCCAGTAGGAAGACGCCATAATAATAATCAGTAGTGTGGTAGGTCCCTGGTAAAAGCAATAATAGGCGGCCTCCTGAGCCGGCATTTAATTGAACCCTGAAGCCATCAAGTCTGTACCAGTGATAGTGATGTACTATGGCGCTCGGGCCCCTCTTCTTTCTGGACTCTTTCTGTCGCATAATACCATATCCATCCTATTTTTTCTGTTTATCCTCGGGCTACTCCGTTGCTTACTAGGACATATTGGTGCTCCCGTGGTCTGCGCGGACAACACATGACGAGGTTTGTGTCGAAACCAAGCGCAGGCACTTTGTGTTGGCTCGACATCCGTCAGGTTGGGGTGCAATGGTAGGAATGACAAGGAGCGTTCGGGAGTAGAGGCCGGCGGGACAAGGAGCTGGATCGTCTTTCCTGCCCAGAATTGCTTGGTACGCCACTGCAGTTTTGGGTGTTCGGAGTAATAGCATTGACGGTACCTTCAGTTGTTGCGGAGTAAAATGCGGGTAATTGTCAGCAGTGTCGATGGCGGCAAGGGGCAGCAATAATGCAGTGATGGGCATCCCTACAGACATTAATTACCTGGACCCGGTTGCAGTAGTAGTATCTTGATACTGAGCGGTAGCTCTTGTGCCTGAGGTGTTAAACCTTCCAGTGGGAGTGCGCTGTCCGCGATACTTTATTGATCTTGCCCCCAACTTGGTCTCTACCACCTCCGTGTGCTGCTACCACTCGCCACTTCAAGCCGACCTAGACCTAAATACAGGGTAGTTGGTCTAGGCGCCTCTCGCCGCCCCGCTGCCAGTGCCAGTGCCAGTGCCAGCGCCACTGTGACTTCATCGGCCACTACATCGACTTCGAGTTTCCTCAAACGCACGACTCAAGCCACCGCCATCACTACTAATAACACCACCACCACTACCGAGCTTCACAATATCGCCTATCACCGCCCCCTCTACCTCTGCCAGATCGCTGCTAGCCATGGATACACTACCCTGGTAGATCCTGTATGAAGGAAGAGTCAGAAATCTTCTGTGGACATCTTCTGTCGCAAGTGAAGGCCAAGAAACGCTACATACCACCACGAACCATGGGATTACTCCTGCGCTTTCCCTTCACGCGACTCATTTCTCACACATTGTCACTTGTTAACGCACATGTGGCAATCAATTGTCCCTCTCCTTGGCTGACCTTGCAGTCGCTCTAGACTCAAACTCATCTCTTTCTCAACTACCAGCCGACCTTGTCAATAGTACAAAGAGGCAAACATTATTGTCGAGATCGCCGCGCAGCCTTGTGTCACTCCCCAGCGTCCCAATCCCTGCTGCCGAGGCATTCTATTCCAACAAGATTGGATTCATCGACAACGCTGGCGTCAAATAGCCTCTTAAAGCGCGGCTTCGGGCCTCTCGCCCATGGATGCGCCGGCGCCATCTGTACGCCGAAATGGCAAGGGCAAGCGTAGATACGAACGTGGGCCTTTCATCAGAGTGGGCTCACCCTTCATCAACACAGATAGTACTTCCTACGAGACAGCCTCCCCCAAAGCCTCCGAACCCAGCAGCTTCGTCTCTCAGCTATCCGCATCGACCAGACAGGCTCTAGATGCCTCGATCAGAGACCGGGCACTATCTCCAGGATCACCGACCGTTGCTTCCAGATCACCGACCCCGGCTAATGCATTGACCTTTGTCATCAGTACAACTGGTGACTTCAAGGCCGGTCAGCGTGGTGGTGTGCGGCAAAGCGATCATCAATCACTACTCTCAGTGGAAGCTGCGGAACCCACGGCGAAGCGACCGCGACTGGACATCCCGATACCGCCAGATCAGAAACCCACCTTGAGACCCAGTCGACCCCTTGCAAATTCAGATCAGGTGCACAGCGATGTCTGGCAGACAGTCTTCGGCTATTGCGAACCCAAGCTTCTTCTCGAGGCCAAAACTATCAATTCGGCTTTTTATCGCCTACTATCTGATCGTTCCGCGATCTGGAAAGCAAGCAGGCAAAATCACTTCGGCGCGGATATGCCAGATTGCCCTCAAGGTCTGACAGAGCAGCAGTATGTTGACCTTCTGGCAGGCCGCGGATGCCAGAGCGGTACCTGCCCTAATGAAAACACTGCGAGGGTGTTCTGGACGTTTCAAGTGCGACTCTGCGCAAAATGTTTCAAGGAGAGAACGATGCGGGTATGTGAATCGCACCACTACTACCTACCGTTCTAGCAGCTTGCTAACCCCAGCTTGCCAGGCCGATGAACTCCCTCTGCAGCGGAAGCACAACATCCCACTTTGGAAAGATGGGAATTCCGAAGAAGCTCGGGTGCAACTCTGGGAACTGCTTCCAATGGCACGAAGCGATGGGTAAGCCCAACAACCACTCCCGATCCCCACATCTGCTAACTTAGGGGTGACTGTAGCCGTCGTTATATGCGACCTCGCTCGGTTGATGAAAGCACCAACGACTGGGCCGCTAGCTCCAACACACACCATTTTGCTTTCCTGAAATCTTCCTATGCGGATTTGGAAGCTTCATACCTTGACCTTGTCTCGCGCTCATCTACAGACAACCACGCAATTCAAGAGTGGGCAAAAGGAATTCATAAGCAAACAATGGCATTCATGGCTGAGGTCAAGGCGACCGAGACGTGGTATATGTCGTTAAGCACACCCGACAAAGACCTCCAACAGGTGAGGATTGATTTCTTCGAAGCACGAGCAGCACAATTGTCGCCTCCAATGAACAGCCAGATCTTGTGGAATATGGCTGCATTTCGGCGGGTGGTGAGGGTTCCACAGGCGCCATCAGAAAGATCATGGAATACCCTGAGAGCAAAGATCATACCCTACCAGGAACAGGCCGAGCAGGTCGAGAAGTTCAAGACTACCATGGCCAACCGGGGGCTCTCACGATTATGTCCGAGTGTCAGATTGTTCCAAAAATTGCACGACCACCGATCTGGGCACAAGCAACCCCGGCCATTACAATCGGAACAAACTTTTGTGCTCCGCTTAGGCGATGCACAATTCGCTGGTTGCGTGGAGGATAAAGTGGCAGATGCAGACCTTCTCTTACTATGTTTGAAACGGGTGTATGAGGCCTACGAACAGCTCAAAGCAACAGGGGATTGTCCAAATGGTCTCAACTTTGATGGTACCACAGGTCCCTACGTTCTAACACTCGACGATGCTCGGATGATTGTGACCGAGATCTTGATGGAGAAGATTTCTCCGCGATCTCAGCGAGGTGAGGTGGTCTTTCGAGGTCTCAAATGCCGAGGCTGCCGTCGGAGCGATTTTGTCAAAACTTGGGCCTTTACCGGAGCATTTGAACACATGCTGGAAGCGCACGCTCAACAGGTCGGCGAAGGCTTAGAATTCTGGCGGTTTGCGGTCCCATACGGAACCTGGAAACCGCTTGAGGACGGGCGCGAACCCTTCCACTTTCCGTGGTACACTGTGCCTTGGCCTAGGTGCCTGCCTCTGGTTCCAGCGCACCACAACACCCGGGAGTTGGACCCCTGGCACCCAGATTCCACTGAATCCTATGCTCGATTAGCGGTTCGCACCACCGCGTCCGCATTTGAAGGTCGCCAGCCGCAGGGGAATGGTATCTCCGCCACCGACTTTACCGGCAATTTGGTGTTTGCAGCCAGAAGTCTGAGGGGTGTGTGGCTGGATGGTGCTTGCCAGATGAAGATCGCTTTGAAATACGCTGTGGACCGTTACGCCTCCGCACTAGCAACAGAAGCACCACTTTCCATGTTCAGAGCAAGTTTCGAGAGTGTGCGCGAGGCCAATCCGGCAATCGACCTCAGATTCCGATGCGGAGTCTGTGTCGGAGATGAAGACATCATCCAGAGCGCGAAACACGTCAAATACCGGGTCGCAATCGAAATCCTGCTGACTCACTGGGAGGAGAAGCATCAGAGGGGGGAGGCTAGTTGGAGCCAAAGCCTCATGTGTCTTCCATCTGACAGCGAAGTGATGGAGCAGATTGCGGCAGCGGACGAGTCTCTACAACAGGAGAAGGAACTGGCAAAAGCCAGGACCGCCGAGCTGCCCAAAAATGTCAGGAAACGACCAAAGCTGAAAGCGAACGTGGTGATGCAGACCCGATCAGCCAACGAAGCACTGAGGGAGCTTTTCCCTCGACGGGACTGAAGCATTCGCTGGTGACTGCGGCAGGAAGTCTAGCCCTCTGCTACAACGGCAATGCGAACAGTACGTGGTTATTATGGCAATTAACGACAGGGACAGGGCACGGTCGGAACATAGAAAGGAATGGAGCATACTGGCGCGAGGCTGTGGGATTCGATAAGGCATAAGCATCACATGGTGGCGTTAGGGGTCGGGTTCATGCCTCATATCGGGACTTTCGAGCAGCACGTGAGTAATGAACAAAATAATAAACATGAAAAGCATGTGATACTGGCAGAGATTTATTCAGGGGGAGGGGGCTGCCGGGGCCGAAGGTATTGCCCAAACAGGAAACTGCGGCCGAGGAAGACAAAGTCCACCCTAGAAACTTGGGATGATCTCGCCATGACGCTACCATAAAGGAAAGTAGCAGCGAGATATGGAGTCAGCAGGTCGGGCCTTGGTCCTACCCAGCTTAGTACGGTGGAGCATGGATCAAGGCTAAGGGCGGCAAAGTCGGGCAAGTGCGGAGTCCGGCATGCCTTCCCGCCTCACTTCTCTTAGAGATTTCGACGCCAGAATCTTCGCAGTTGAATTGCGAGGCTCTCGGTTGGCTTCTTGGGAGATAGTTGTAGTACTAAAAGCTCCATGCCAAGCCACTACCAAGCTAGATGCCGACTTGATAACGCCATTGTGGATGGGATTGGGTCGTTTGTACCGGAAGAGTGCAGTAGCAGTCCCACTAGCCACACGCGCGCTGATAACGTCAAGAAGTGGACGCGTTGCGTGAGAGTAAGCAACAGTATCTAGATACCTAATCCAGTCTAAGTTGTTGAAAGTGGCAGCTTCTTGATGTTCACGCCCTGATCCACCTTTAGGACTATCTCAACACCATCTCTGTCTTCTCCAGCTATGGCGGCCAGCCGAAGCCGATGCTGGTGAGACTTACCCACGCCGTGGAGCCGCCTCCCTCCTGCTGCTGTGGCCACTCGTTGTCCCTTCAATTGGCCATTATTCAGCGGCGCCGCTTTCTGCGCCTTTCCGTCCGTACGGCGCCGTCGTCCTGACTCGCCCTGTTTATCTGTAGACCCTGACGGCGGGAGAAGCCTATATTACCCTCGGATCTGTCCTCGCTCTGTACAATAAGTTCAGTTTTCTTTCTTCCCCCTCTTCCCTCTGCTTCCTCCACCACATATCACACCACTCGGCAACCAGCACGATCCTGATCGCCATGGCTACGGCTACCGCTGCTCGTACCTTCACCAAGGCCTTCCCTCGAAGCGCTTCCTCCGCCGCCTCGTCCCTCCGTCTCGCTGCTCGTCCATCAAGAGACAATGCCGCAAAGCGATTTTTCCAACAATCCTCCCGCCGTCACTATTCCTCCGCCCCGGAGCCCGCGAAGAAGTCGAGCACCGGTGCCATAGTCGGAGGAGCCGCCGCAGCTGCCTTGCTGGCTGGTGGACTCTGGCTCTACAACAGCCAAGGCGAGGTGCACCTGAAGTCCGGAAGCGCAGGACAGTCCGCAGGTCTTATCACCCCAACCCCCGCAGACTACCAAAAAGTGTATGACGCGGTGGCCAAGGCTCTCTGGGAGCACGACGAGTATGAAGATGGATCATACGGACCTGTTCTGCTACGACTGGCGTGGCACGCCTCGGGCACCTACGATGCCGAAACTGGCACCGGTGGAAGCAACGGTGCCACGATGCGATTCTCGCCGGAAGCCGACCATGGCGCCAACGCCGGTCTGAAGAACGCCCGCGATTTCTTGGAGCCCATCAAACGTAAGTTTTGTCTTTTATCGTCTGTTTTCTTTCGGCTGGGGGCGATTACTGACGATTGCTTTATGCAGAACAATTCCCGTGGATCTCCTACTCTGATCTGTGGATCTTGGCTGGTGTCTGCGCCGTGCAGGAGATGCAAGGCCCGACCATCCCATGGCGACCAGGTCGACAGGACAGGGACCTCTCCTTCTGCACCCCTGACGGTCGTCTGCCCGACGCCTCCAAGGACCAGAACCACATCCGGGCCATCTTTGGCCGAATGGGCTTCAATGACCAGGAAATGGTCGCTCTCTCTGGCGCACACGCCCTAGGTATGTTTTTCTGGGCCCGCAGGTTACCACTGTATGTTTTCATGGACTAACCGCTGTTCATAGGACGATGCCACACCGACCGCTCTGGCTACGATGGCCCCTGGACCTTCTCCCCGACCGTCCTGACCAACGACTACTACCGACTCCTCCTCGAAGAGAAGTGGGGCTGGCGCAAGTGGAACGGCCCCAAGCAGTATGAAGACCTCAAGACACACTCGCTCATGATGCTGCCCACCGACATGGCGCTGATCAAGGACCCCATTTTCAAGAAGTACGTGGAGAAGTACGCAAAGGACAACGACGCCTTCTTCAAGGACTTCTCCGACGCCGTCGTCAGGCTGTTCGAGCTCGGCGTGCCTTTCCAGAGCAAGGCCGAAGACAGAATGACCTTCAAGACCCTGGAACAGTAAACGTCACGGAGTTGGAATGTCCAAACGTGATTTGACTGGCTGGGCCCTTTCAAAAGGTCTTTATCTCGAAGCAGAAGGAGGACAGACAAAATGACACCAGACCCCTGTGCCTCTCTCTTCGTGTTACTTACTTCCCCTGAGTTGTGTTATCTCGCACTCTGCATTCTGCGATGGCGCTATTTGGTGTGTGAGATTTTCCTGAAAAGGTGTGCCTTTTGCGGCTCAAGGGCCAATGGCAACAGGCGAGGCATTTGTGTGAGAAAAGATTGGATTCCAGAAGTCGGTGATGTACAGAAAAAGACCGCAAGTCTAGAATTTTGCCTTTTTAGACCTGCGTTGGAGATAGAGGCTAGACAACTAGACATACCCTGATACAACTATTTGAAACACAACGAGTTTTCGTAGACGAGCCAGTATAGTAATGGTAATGAGGAAAAGTGGTGGAGATATTACGTATTATCACTGTGTACGCTTCTCAACCCCACAAGGCTGTGAACCCCTGAATCTGCCCGAGCACCTTAGGTACCTTTTACAGGTACCTGGCTGGGGGATGTTCAAACCAAACCCATTTGTTGTTCCTGGTTTCCACATTCCATGTCCCTATTGGCAAGTATATGCACAGGGTCTCTTCAATGGCATTCGCGCAGAGTTTGCAAGGTTGTCAACGCCTGGGCTGCATCCGAATAATCCCCCTGCGACACGAAGACGGCACGGGGTGGTGCGCTTGCTCTCCCCCGCAGGCAACCAGGTCAATTGCGCCGCGCGTCAGTGGTGTTGTTTGCTCATGCGATGTGGGCAGATATAAGAATGCGAGCCATGACGCTCTTACCCCGTGTTCACCCAAAGCCAACCACCAAAGCACAGGCAGGTGATTCGAGAACCAGACCAGAGGTTGGGATTGGTAAGCAGGCTTCAAGACCCCTTTTTTCCCTTGCCGACGGAAGCCGGCCGCTGTACTTTCGCAACGGCGGGATTGTCGATCTGGATACTGTGCAAGGATGAAGTCTCTTGGAGCCAGCTGGTCATCGGGGCTTTGAGAGAAACCTACTCGCATATCGAACCGTTCAAGAATACACTCTCGGATATATCGCAACACATGGGAGGAGATCATAACCGACGGATCCAGACAACGGAGCCAACTCCTCAGCAGGACCCGTGAGACCATGGTCGGCATGTTGGCATGTTGCGATCAATGGCTCGGTGACTTCGCTAGGGTCAGTCCTGTCCCCCAGCTTCAAGCACTCGCTGATGCTGGGGCAAGAATTGTCCTGGCTCACGTCGCTATATGTGACTGGTATATTGGAGGAGAGAGAGAGAGAGAGAGAGAGAGAGAGTGTGTGTGTGTGTGTGTGTGAATTTGGCTCATTTGATTGATAAGACAGGCAACCGCTCTGCGAGGCGTTTTCAAAATCCAGGTCAAGTGTTTGTTGTGCGAGGCTCCGAGTGGGTGCAAAGACGTGGAGTTTTGCGAGACTGTGGGCCTGGCATAGATGTCTTTGAATGCCTTGATTCCCAGGAATTGTCAACCCGACGCTATGTCGCACTGATGAGTGAATCTCCCAGCTCGGGTCTTCTGACCTTCCATCGCGGCCTAGGCCATGTCGAAACTTCACACTGGCAGATGTGAGCGGGTGCGGCAGGTTAATGAGACGTGTCTTGTCAGGCAGTGAAGACCATTGTTGCGATCATAACAACCGCATAACAACCGCGCCAACCTGAGCCAGCCTTTTTTACGCTGTGGACCTGCAAAAGACATCCCTGCCATAACAGAAGCAACAGAAGTCTTCCAGCAACTGGTCACACAGACTTCATGATATCCAGCGGAAACATTCTCCACGGCACTGATTCAGCACGGCAATGGCAAATCCTGTGCAAGCTCAAGGCACCGTTTATGTTCCTCAGTATCCAAACTGGGGGTGGGAGCTGCCGTCCTGTCGTGCCCGTCCGCTTGAGCAAGGCCAGGGTCTTCCTTACCTTGTTAAACATATCAGTCAATCCCACAATGACTTTGATTTTGTCCTCCACCTCCTGGAGGTCGCGAGTCGTTTCTACCTACCACCACAGCTAGCCACACAGCATATGCTTCTGCCACCGCCGAGGGATCTAGCGTCGATTCGATTGCCCCTCCACCGCAACTGGCAACGAGTGTTCATCATGAAAGGTCTGTCATCTGACATCAGGTACCATATAACCCCGACTAATCATGCAACAGAACTACCCGCGCAGACGAAGCAGCCACTGGAGCAAGAGCTGGCACAATACATTGATCAGAAGGGCAGGATGGCACGCGCTCGAATGATGAAGAACTCCTTTGGATCTGGTAAGACACACAGTCTGCACAAGTCAGCGGCTGTCCTGTTCATGCTGGAGATCATCCTATCCTATGGGTCATACTGACAAGTGCTTTGCAGGCTCCCGATTCCGTCGCCCTCGTGTGCCAATGAGTGCCATCGAACTCATCGATCTAGCCAGTATGGTCTTCAAGTTGCACACCGATACTCACACGAATAACATATTCATGGACGCTGTGACAGTCAATCTTGCGGTGCTCCACGAACTCGATGCCTGGTGTGCAGAGCAGTGGAATCTGCTAAGCGATCAACATTCAGAAATCTGCGAGCGTCAAGAACGATCGAATGACAGTGGATTGGCGGAGGAGCGTGTAACAATAGCCCATGAGATAAGGGTCTTGTGGCGTCGGCGTGAGATACTCTTTTTGGAGATTGGGATTTCGGAAACTGCTAGGAAGAGGCTCGATACAGCGAGGCATGCCACAGAACTTAAGGGCAAGTTGTCGAGCACTCTGACGGAGAGTGAGCGCCAACACAACGAGGAGGCATTGAAAGCCTGGTACGGAGAGTGGCTGGTCCTTCGGCACGCCATGTTGATCGCTGCCACGAAGGTGCATCAACAGACGGGCGACAAGGAGTTTTTCAAACGGCACCAGTACGAGCTGTGGGACCTTGTGGACGCCAGGCTGGAGTATTAAAGGAAGAGAGATGCAGAAGCAGATACCCAAGTCTGAGCTCTCAGATTGAGAGGGAGCCGAGTCCTACTTCCATATGTGAGGGCATCTCTTACTGAAACAGGATGTGTTGTTGCCCTCCGGCGATGCGCTCGATCACCTTGTCGAGCCGCCCTCTTTCCGCATGTTCCATTGTCTTTATTATATTGATTCACGTCGGTTGCCCGAGCATAAGTGGCAGACTGATCTGAGATGACTACTGGCGTCCAGATGCACATAACTCGTCCGCGTGTATACTGTAAAGCCGAAACATCGTCCGCGATGGGAGCAGAGTGTACCAGGAAAGGATGCAATAAGACAGACAGTAACAACTTGAAGCAGCACCCAGTACCCAGTTAAGCTGATAGTCTGGATGGGAGCGGGGGAGCGAGGGAGCGAACTTGGAAACAAGAAGGGCGCAGGCAGTCGGCTAAGTTGCCTTTGGAAAACATCTTCTTAGTAGCACGTACTAGTAGTACTAATAAGGTCGACCCTACGTAGCAGCACCATACAGTAAGTACCACAGCGGCAGCTACATGACCTATGAGTCTTCTTCATACCTACCTATGTACCTGGTAGGTAGGAGTGCTTGAGACAGACTACTCGAGCTTTGGGATGTAGAAACCTGCATCTGCATCAGCCCGGTACCCCCACAAAGCAATGAAGCAATGTACTCCCCGTGGAGCAGCCTGGACGACTTTGGTCTGCTGTGAAGCTGGACCTCTGATGATCTTGCACCACTAGCACCCTCGCTACATTCCACCAGCGACCTGAAGAAGTGCTATAGGTGCACGGCCTGACATATTCGACAGCCTGGCCAGCGCCTACGGTCAACCGACATGTCCATTTGTGTGGAGGTACTAGAGAAGCCCTCTTCCACTCTTGGAAAGGTCCAACGGCGTGGTCGAAGCAGCCAGCATCCGACGGACCAATGCACCAAGCCACGGATTGATTGGACTGGTGTAAAAATAGCCTGGGCGAATGACGGCGTTTGCAACAGCCAGGCGAGGCTGTTGGACAAGGGTCTGCTGCCACCAGGCGCTTACAGCCCAGCATCGACGACATGGGATTCGCCCATCCGCATCGGCGCTCGACCCGCTTCCCCTGCATCATATGCGTCTCATCTCTCATCTTGGAGGCCAGTCCTGTACCAGTATGGCAGCGACACGCCGTAAGTGAGATGGTCCAATTGAACTTCCCTCGGTCGCGTCTTCCGTCGCGACCCTGTTGTTCAGTTCTATCTCTGGTTACACTCATGCAACTGCCCGAGTTTACCGAGCCTGGGGCCTCAAAACTCGATGCCGTTGTCTATTGTTGTGCTACCAACTATACGTTTCTGGGTCTGGACAGTGACGGATCCCAGGCAAGTATCCCATTTTTACCCATGCCGCCATGTTTTGTTTATTTCGAGTTCTATACCTTCCCTCATCCATCGTGGGAGAGGATTGTCAATCGGTCGACAGGCAAGTCGTCCATCTATATTATCCTTCTTCCTGTCCTTTTCAGCCTGAGCCTGAGTTTCAATAGTTCTGGTAGCCGCGCTGTGCGACCCTCTGGCTATTAGTTCTCTCTCTGAGGCAGGTACTCAGTAGAGCCATCGATGCCCAATCCTTTTGTTCCTGTGCCTTTATTTTGATACAACTGTCTGTCAGCTCTTAAAATTCTAATATCAATCCAAGTCCCACTGGTTATCAGTGAAAGAAAGCTGCTTTACTTCTGTCGACCACAATCCCCTCCGACATGGCCTCTGTGTTTGAGGGAATAATCTCTTCTCGCCGTCGAACGTCAAGGTCGCGATCTTGGTCAGGCAAGCAACTGCATTCCAGATGGGGTGATGCTGCCATTACTGCTCCTCACATTGGCTGGAGCCAACAGCACCCGGAAGAAGATCTCAACGAGTCAGCCAGTCAAGCTCATGGCAGCCCTGATTCGCAAAAGACTCTGGTTGATAACTCGCCCGATGTCTCCTACGGTAGAGACAAGGTGACGAGGGGTATCGTGGAGCCAAGCAGGCAGCCAGCTCCGCCCATTGTTCAGAAGGAACGCAGTGCCATTGTTATCACCATTCCTCTACCATGGACCCGCAAGACACACCCGCGGTCATTGTCTATCGATCGGCTTCAGAGCCAGGACAGTCAACAGGTGACATCTACCACCGCTCAAGACTCATCGCCAGCACATGTCAGTGCCGGCGCTGACATGGAAGCGAGGGCTGTTGCGGAAGACTGGCCGCTTGTGGACCCTCTGAGATCCCGCACCTCAGCCGTATACACCACACTGCCGCCATACGATCATGTCAAGGGGCCTCTTTCAGAACGGGAATATTCGGGGAACGATTATGGACCTGGCCGTCTCCCTCAAATTCAGACAGGGGTGCCACCTGCCAGAAGCCAGCCAGCATCTGCTGTCTCGATCCTCAGCCCTGTCGCCGAATCATTCCACGGCAGGTCTGAAAGCAACAATGCAACTCCAAAGGGACAAACTCCAATTGCGCAAATGGCCGGCGACGGAGTCGCTACGACCGATACTCACCAAGGAACCAGTTACCAGAACCTTATGTCTCAACTGGACACTTTCCTTCCTAGAACACCCAGGTCTGTCCTACCTTCTCTGTTCGCTAGTCCCACCGAGGCTTTCGCTGCAGAGTCTGAAGCAACAAACGCGCAGAATACTTCGAAAGTCTCTTCGCGGCCAGAGTCTCGCGGCCTTGCAGCCGAAGGAGCTGCCTATATGCGAAACAAATCTCGAAGTGGAGATGAACAGCGCAGCGGGTCACGAGACGCAGTCTCCGAAAGACGTCGCAGATCTGCTTCCCGAGGGCCCTCTGATGTCGAATCGATGCGGCGAAGACCTAACTCCCGCGACACAATGGGAAATAGGACGCCACGTCAGGTCTCTCGACAACCTGCCGGTCGACGCGCTGATTCACCAGACCCTTGCGGTCGGGGAGCCATGTCACACGCGGCGAGGAGTCAACACACCTCGCGCAATGCCTCTCGCGAGCCCGCTCTGCGCCCTGACCAGTCTCCGGGCCCTTTGAGTCCAAACAAGGAATTCGGCAATTCTTTCGGCCAACTAATATCCCATGGCTCCTCTCACGGCGGCGGAGCTCGCGGTCGACTTCCTATGTCACCCATGCCGCTCACTGCTCCACGCGCTCGAGGAACATCAACTCGCCGGCCTGGCTTTCCTGGAACAAGGAGTGAGCGTATTCTCGCAGGAGGACCGGCTGTTCCCCTTTCCCCCTCTATTGAAACAATCAGGATCATGCGTCGAGCGCACTCGCGCGAGGCATACGGCAGCCAGCGTGCCAGCTCGCCCGGGACACTTGGTGGCGCGCTGGGAACAGATGTCCAAAGCGGCCCAGCGACCCCTCATCGCACTTCTGACGACACCGGCCGACGCGCGGTCTCGGTCGATCCTGTTCGCCGAACTGTTGGGCCACGCGACGACATCATCATTCACTGGGCCAGCCTGCCGACTCAGAGCAGTCCTGCCACCAGTCAGTCTTCCGACTCTTCATTTACTTCTGTCAAGAACCCTCCATCGCCCGAGAACGGCGCAGATAGCGAGTCGGATGCCGAGTCAGAAGCGCAAATGAAGGGCGGAATGGACGACGTGTACTTCGAATCGCGCAAAGGTTGGAATGGTCCTGCTGGAATGAAGGGCGTCGACAGCAAGGGGTTCTATGGAGACGTTGTGCAGGATTATAAGGCCATTGCGAGGGATGTCGAAGCGGAGCTGGCCCAAGCATACGAGCCACCTCCATCCGCGACATTCAATATCGTCAACCTGGTGGTGAACAAAATGGACAAGGACAGGGATAGAGACAAGGAGAAGGAAGGGGAGAATGACAAGGAGACGGAGAGAGTGTCTCCTAGCTACGGAGGTCCCGAGCTGGTTCCCTCACACGAAGAGCTGTGGGGATAAGCAAAGAAGGACGCTGTCTGTGGATGTGGTGAGAGTTCAGGAGGAGGAAGCGAGGGTATGAAATGCTGTCCTCGATTGATCACGAAACCAGGCGCTTGGGATACTCGGGACTACACCCCTGACCAAGGAAGGTGACCTCTTGATCCACATCACATGGTGTCGTCTACTCATCCGAGCTGGACCTTTCCTTCTCACCTTATAACTAACACAAAGTCCTTTGGCAGATCACGCACCAACGCCCGAAAATACACGAATGCATGGACGCACAGTCACCTCCACCGTTCGTTCATACATTGACAAAAGAACAGTTCCTGCAGACGAAATTTCCTGACCTTTCAGCAGTTGAAGTTGTATTTTCATATTGAGAGATATCATTCCCTTGATGTTCCCTTTGTTTCACTACTGCATCTTCTTTTGAATTCACGCAAAAAGAAGATAAGGATGTCTCGACGGCATATCTATCTGACTTGGAAAGCGATCATCGACGGCTGCGAGCTGGTCGAAAGAACCGTCTCCATTCATGACAAGGAGTGGTGAAAAGAGTGGATGTGAAAGACGAGCAGGAGCAACATGAGAAAGGAAAGCCTGGACGAGGAAGGCGAACACGCGTGAGAACTGACAGGGCAACATTATGGGCGAACTTGAACATGCAGCGGAAGAAGACTGTTTGGTTGAAGAGCGAATATCAGAACTCTAGGAGGCAAGAAAGGAAGGGGCATCAGTGACGCAGAGGAGGAAAGGGAAACAAACCACCAGAATAGAATTTGACAACCCATTCGATCCAAGGCCAATCTTGACACCATTTCTAACCATTACATCGAAAACACGGACGTGAACCGAAAAGAAGACGAGAACAGGCCCATCCTTCTCCTGATTAGGCTCTTCAACCCCAGATGAGGCTGGCGACGAGAGAAAAGCAACCCAAACCATACCAAACTATAACATCACTGCTTGTTGGGACATGGAACCGGCAAGGGCAGACTGGACATCGGTCTCTTAAAGGACAGACAACAAATCAAACGACGCAAGAAAGGGGCCATGAGAGAAAATATCAGCCTGTTCGATGGATGATGGGCTGCTCTCGGAAACAGAAGACGCTCGCATTGTAGTAGAGGAAAGCTCGAATGAAACCCATCAGTGATCATCGTCGTCAAATCTCTCATCAAGCTATCGTTCAAAATCGTATATACCTAACGCAGCCAGCCGCATAGATATCCCAGGTACCGTCCAGCTATCAAATCCAAAAAAAACTCCAATGTGCTGCTGACGTACTTTGCATAATGTCGCCGTCCTATGTACCGAAAAATGCTAACAGACTGGCGGAGGAGATTCATGACCACAATGGCCATGACTGCACTCGTACAACCAGTCATAGCAATCCCAAATGCCCTCAAAAATGATAAATCATGTTCACTGCTCTGATGAGATAATCGCTAATAAAGAAACCAGACATCTTCCCCAACGGACAGCTTGCTTCGTGATTCCATCTTAGCCTTGTCAGGCCTGCTCAAGCTTGCAGCTCTTGACCGGTCGTAAGGCCGATGCAAGGCTGACAAGAAAAGGAGAAAGTCGGACATTTCACATCACCATGCAACCGCCACTTCTAGCTCTCCGACGTCCTCCTCTTGGCCCGCGACCGGCAGAATATTCCATCCCGCTACCATCTTCGTCGCCAGTGGCTGTGTCTGGAGCGGCGCCATCCTCGTCATCCCTCACCCTGTTCTCGGCGTCGCGAGCTCGTCTCCTCCTCCTTCTTGTACTCCATCCTTGCGCTGCAACGCCCACTTCTTCACTGGCCACCATCCATTCCGCCCACTTGGCTTCCAACCGATCTGCAGCGCCCCATCGGCCAGTTATACATCGCTTGTAATGTTCTTCCACGGTTTGTTGCCATCCATAGAAGGCCTTGAGGTGAATGATCTGTGTGGGATAGAGCAGTGTCTGGATCTCCACCACTTTTCGGACCTCTTCCCTCTCGCCATCTTCACCCACCCGGTTTGTTTTCTGCATCACCGACTTCTTCCGACCTTGCATGACACGTCCGTTACCCTGCAAGATTTCCCGGACTCCTGCCCAGGTGACATTGGCACAATCGAACGCGACAAGTTCGAGGCCCTTTTTAGGCAATTGGGATTTCTTGGTTGTACTTCCCCGCTTGCGGACCTGTTCGGAGGCTTCAATAAGGACAAGGTCCGAGATCCGGGTGTTATCCAGACACAGAGACTTGATTTCCGGGCATGCCTTCAGAAGGGGCAAGACACCAACGTCACCCATTTGTTCACAATAAGAAATACTCAGATGCTCAAGAGTCTTGGCTGCTTTCGACTTGGACAGATTTATAAGGGTTGCATTCGTGAGAAGCTCGACTTCTTCGACCTCCAGATGAGTTAGCCGATTTGTGGTCTGTAACAAGTCCTCCAGGGCATCATCGGTCAAAGCGGTGTTTTGGCAAATGCGGAACCCTTCCAATAATGGAACATTGTGAGCAAGCGCCTTCACACCCCTGTCAGTCAAACTTCTGCATCTTGAAATGTCAAGATGTCGTAGACGCCGAGGAGGAACTATCGGGTGGTCGGTCAAAACGTCTCGGTCAGGGTCTGAGCCATGGACCATGATCTCCAGAGCTTCATCGGTCAAGCTGTCACAGTGTTGGAGGATGAGCCGTTCCAAATTGTTACGTTGGAACAACTCGAGCATGAAATCGTTATCATCCAAGCCTCTAACTTCGGATGCGCGGAGATCCGTCAGGTTGGGACAAGATTGAATGACCTTCTTCAGCCCCTTGGTATCGATCTGGGAGCACCAGTCGATATTGAGCAGTTCCAACTCTGGGCAGTGGCTGGCGATGATCTTCATTGTGGCGTTGTTGATGTTTTGCATGCTGGGCATGTTGATGTGTATGAGACGCGGGTTTCTGAGCAGGAAGAAGTGAATGGATGACCGTTCAATCTTGCAACCCTCGATACTGAATGATTCGAGGTTCCTGCACTCTTGATTGGTCATTCTCGTCCCCAGACTCAACCATTGGTCTCGTAACTGGACACATCCTCTCAGATTCAGGTTCTTGACAAACGCTCCGGCCTTGAGCATGATCTTGACCAACGCTTCCGACGTGATTTGCTGGTAGTAGCCCTGGCAGTCGAGACTCGTCCAGAGTTGTCCGTCAAAGCACATGTCGTGCCATTCTTTGGACACTGCAGATACTTTGATAATTTCCTTTGGGGACAGAAATGATAGAACATGTATCCGGACCTCGTGTGGTAAATCCTTCCAGAAATTGAAGTCTGGCCGTCGGGGGAATGGCTTTTCTGAGATCTCGGGTAGTGGAATGGACGTGAGTTTAGGGGTTCGGAGGTCGATGGGCACAGGAGCGGTCGTGATTTCGTTGGGGTCTAAGGGTCGCAGACGGGGATTGGATTCGAAATACGATTGTTGGCTACAAGGAGAGCCGGGGGTAGTCGGAGCAGTCGAGAAGCCATTGGAGAGCTGAGAAGTGTATGAGTTCGGAGGAGAAAGCGAGTAGCTGGAGATTGGAGAGCCGAGAGAGACGCAAGAAATGGAGGCTTTTTGGCCAGACTTGTAGACCTTCTCGCTTGAGCGCGAGCGACCTAGCTTCGCCAAAGACGGAGACGAAGACATGCGCTGGAGACCTTGTAGTAGTCTGTGACGACTCTTGAGTTTGACCGGCTGGTCGAAAGCTGTTGTAGCTTCGACCGCTGGGCTTGCCGGGGTCATTGGTCTAGGAGAGTCGAGTTGTCGTGGCTGAGAAGAGGAGGACGACGACGACGACGTCGACGAGGAGGTGGTGACCGTGGTGATGGATGTTGAGTCCATGATGTAGGTCGGCTGCGATTGTACACGACTTGGTATCCAAGCGCAGATGCAGCTGTCCAGATAGTAGACGAGGAGAAGCCCTCTTCGCCCCTCACCCCTACAGATGGGGGATTATAGGGTATAGTAGAGTCGGCTTGGTGGCTGTATATGCGATGCCGGTGATAGTTGCGAAGGAGGACAGGTACAAGGGATGGCAATGAGCTGAAGACAAGCAACCACTGCCACGAACAATAAGACTGGTCAGGCGACGGAGGAGTTGGGGAGCGGTTGTAGGATGGGAACGAGGTCTAACTTGAACCACTGCAGTCCCCTCCACGACGTAAGGCCGAGACACGCAGTTTGATGGTCGGCTCTGCAGAGGTAATGGGGCGCTGGCAGAGGATCTTTTGACAGGGGCCCGAGTGCAGGGTGGTGGTGGTGGAGGTGATGATGATGATGATGATGATGTTGGCGGTGTTGGTAGGGTCTTTTTGCTATCTACTACGGGGACGCCAACCAAGAACATCGCCTACTCTGCTGTCACTACCGCTCGCTGCCACTTGCTGTGTGGTACTACATACTCTGTAACTCTGTACTCTATAGGTACCTAGGTAGTAGAAGAGAAGAAGGCGGGTGGATGGTGGGTTTCGATGGCGGACATCGGGTCTCAGGCCCCCTCCTTTCCCCCTCCCTTATCGATTAGCTTGAACCCTAGCCAAATACAGAACAGGCTTGCTAGGTACCCGGGGCTTTAGCCGGGTCTGACTGGGCCCTCAGAGCTGTTCGCAGGTGGCGGCTAGTGTTGAGAGATATCGATCACTGTTTCCGTATCTTAGCTGATGGATCCTTCCTGCGCACTGGCAGTAGCCGAACAACTCAACGACAAGTGTTCAGTTGCCCTCCCTGGTCAAAGGGTCTCTTTTATCCAACCACCTGCCGCCGTCCAGTGTGTCCACGCAGCCATATCAGATGCCCACTCACACCCCAACCCGAGGCTCGTCCATGTCCGACTGACTGTGAGACCGTTTACGCCAGCTGCCCAGAAGTCAGCAGCTCTGGTCGACCCACCATAGCATACCTAGCTAAGGGTTGATAAAGAAAAGAGATGGACAGAAGAGACATACACCTGTAGACACAAGACAAGGAATAAGTAAGGCGGCGCCTGATATCGGTCCTCCACCTGATCAACTTGCCATCTCACCACCTCACCTCACCATGCCACGGGTCCATGCCAGTGTTTCTTCCTTGATCACTTGGTTGGGTGGCATCTCGTGCTCGGATCATGCTACCACAATCTTTTCCCGTCGCGGCATCTGTGCCGGCGTCTTGGACGGCTCACTGTTTTTGCCATCCTGGGTCCCCTCTGCTTCGTATCTTGGCCACCCTCTAATTGGGTACCTTTCCTATCGCGACATCGACTTGGGACGGAGGGGGCTGGCCGAGTCCACAAGGGACCTCAGGAATATGGAGCATCCGTACACATGTTATCTCCATCTCCACCACGAGATTCGCCGGCCCAGAAAAGAAGCTGACCGAAACACCAGTCCTTGACACACAAAGTGTGCGGGTTTCTACCCTGATCCGAAGAGCACTGCACCTCTTCCATGGCAACTCGGTGCCATTCAGCCCAACTGACCGACCTCGACTCTTATAAGCAAGGGGTTGGAAACCTGGTCAGGGCCCAGACCTTGAGACGATATGCAAGATGCAGACTAATCGAGTTAGCCGCCGATGGCATAGCATGGGGTGTCAAGCGGCCGATGTTGCGAAGACAAATCCCCATTCAGGATTACTTGGAGATGAGAAGAATGCTACCAAGTGCAGGAGGGGAAGAGAATCGTCTTCGCTACCGTATGTTGAACTCTGCTTTACTTCATGGCTCTCACCTTTCAATATCGAACATCCGGGTTCGTAGGCCAGGACGCCCTGCTTGGGCAGGATGGTCGAGGTTTGGTTCACCACTCTGTTGACCTGGACTGCCTATCAGTACTACTGCTACTGTCTACAACTCCGTATGGCAAGCTCCACTTTTTCTGTGCAAGTCCGCGCACTGAAATTCAAGTGTCTCTGCATTTGACGAAATCATGACCGACCAGCGTTGGCCGATCTTGGCTTCGGAGGACAGCCCGACTCGATGCCGTATGGCTTCTGTACCGCCCGCCCCCTGGGACTGGACCAGAGATCATGGTGTCAGCCACGGTGCTGCCTCTTTTAGAGTCACGGCGTTGCCTTCTCCCCAACAGGCACAATGTTCTTGTCATCAGTGCTAGTTGCTTGAGCTACTGCTACTGACTTCCGCTATGCAGCTACACCGGACAGGATCTTCAACTTCATACACGTCTTTAATCCACATGGCATGGAATCCAAGTGAAAGTCAGCTAATAACAGTGGTCGGTCGGGCCTGACCAGCCTCAGCTTCCCCACAACACTGCCCCGGACTTCGACCCTCTTTGATGAAAAGAACCAGGTTCGGTCCCTTTTCAAGGAGGACCCCGCCCTTTACGACAATACTGCTGCTACGTACTGGGATTACTACTATTACTACTACCTACGTTCCTGCAGGAGATGGCTCCCATTCCTGCTGGCGTCAATGCACGACAGGTTGTGACCTCCGCTTCCACCAGGAAATTGGTTTCTAACGGTTGCCGTAGGTGGTACAAGTGCGATCTAAGGAGTCGGCGCCATGATTACCCGCTCTGTCCGCGTCGTCGTAAAGGTCAGTTCCCAGTGAGTGTTTGATAGGGACGCTGGAGAAAACCAGGTGGGTTTCAGAATGGTAGACTTATGGCCTCCGTCCTCCGCGAGATGTGCTGTTCAAACCTGCCGGCCGCTTGAAGAGAGAACGGGAATGAGTGAGCAAATCTCTTCGGTCAAATCAATGCTCAGGGTTGGTTTCATGATGTCTTTCTAACTAAGTTACGCTCTCTCTTGAGGCCGTGCTGGTGACTTGGCCGCGTGGCTCCTATATCCAAACTTGTCGTCGGACCGCCCAGCATCTTCGCGTAGAACACTGCTTCCAACCTTCCGGGAACCCTTAGGTAGTCTCCTCCTCTCCTCGCTGCAGCCCCAATATGCCTTGGCCAATGTTGTTCCTCCTCCGGCCCTTTCCATAGGCTTTGTCCGAGCCCGATGATATTTACAGAATTTTGTTCCGTTCCGGCCGTGTCAGGATTCCGCCTCGCCCAGTTTTGTCCAGCTAATTGCAATGAAAATTGCCCATGTCTTCCATAAGGCTTCAATATCGTTAAACATTTCGTCTTCGTTTGATTTCAGGTCGTAAGGATAAATCGCACTGTCGCCACTCAAAAGTCCTCTTGGAGCCAAGGGTGGTCCCGCACTTGCTCAATCGTGATCCTCTTTTCCACGTCTCGGTCTAGCATCTTGCGGATGAGCTCTAGGCAATCTTCCGAGTAAGGTAGAAAGGGGACTCGTAGCGGGTGGTCGAGGATCTCATCTGCAACAGGTCAGTGGGAAAGAGCAAGGAGGGCCTTCTCACAGTTCAGTCATACCTAAATTATAAAACGGGTCTGGCCGATCAATGTTAGCAAGCCTGCCTCATCAAAAAGGTCAACAGGGTCGACTACTACTTACTTTCTTTGTACGCGATCGTGTATAGCAGAATCCCCAGCGCCCATACGTCTTGTTCCTTGCCGCCGTATGGTTTACCTTGCAGGACCTCGGGGGCTGCATAGTCTGGTTGGGGAAGTCAGCCTGTTGATCGTCTCGCTTTGGAGCATCATGTGGACGACTCACCTATTGTGCCTACAAACACCTCGAATGGTCCGTTTTTGATGTAGGCCGCACTGCCAAAGTCGATCAACTTGATTCGACCCTCTCCGTCGAGGACGACATTTTCGTCTTTGATGTCTCGGTGGACCACCAACGCCTTGGTGTGGAGATGGTGGATGGCGTCAACCACCTGGCGGAAGATGTTGCGACTTTCGGCTTCGGTCATGTTGGTCCTGAGCTCGATGTAGTCGAACAAGTCCATGCCCGGGATCCCATGAGGAAGCATCTCGATGTAGTAGTTCACATCGTCCTCGAAGAAGTCGATCATCTCCACGATGTTGGGATGGCGGAGCCCCTCCCGGCGCAAGTAGTCGAGCACATGGATCTCCAATGGCACCGTACCAAGGCGGCGGTCCCTGGTCCAGGTGTCGACCAGGATTCGCTTCTTCGTGACATACTTCACCACCATTTTGCGTGCTGGGGCTTTCTTGTATCGCACCAGCTTCACCTGGCCGTACGCGCCTGACCCCATTTCTTCAAGAACGGTGAAATCGCTGATCGACTTCTTCTCGTGAGGTATATATGGAGTATGCGGGGGCGGGTGATCTAGTGGTTCTTCCAAGGCAACCGAGTCCATGTCCTCATTGAAGTCGGCCGACAGTGACAGTTCAGAGCTTTCAGCAGACTTCCTCGACACGTCCGAGGATGCTGGAGGTGAGGGCAGTGCGGGTGGCGGATCCGGTTGAGACGCCGGTGAAAGAGGACGCGATTGCACCGGGTGGTCTGCGTCTGCAGTGGCGCTGATACCGCTTGAGTGGATGTTGCGTGAATAGATGATCCAAACCGCATAGACGAGTTCGGTCACAGCCACACTTGACTCGCAAAGCTTCGCATCTTTCTCTTCGATAATGGCCTCATCCGACATAGGGTACACGGTCTCGCTGCGGATGACCCGCATCTGAACATCCACCATGATATCCGACCCATCTCGATGGCTGGCCGGAAGTCCGCAGGGCCGCAGGAAGATGTTAGAAGCACTTTCCTTACCTTCGCGGAGTGCAAGCAGAGCTCGTGCTCGGCGGAAGCTGTGCTCTGGTACAACGATCCCGTCAACAAGATCAACGCCATCTTCACTTGTCAAGATTTTCAACATATCCCCAAAGGTAGGTATCAGGTCGGTAAAGGGTAGACCGTCAGGCTTCTCATATCCGAAGAGCGAGGCAGAGAAGATACTATTGGCACTGCTGATCTTCAGAGTGCTTGGGTCCAGAATCATGACTCCGGCAATGTGAGGAAGGCTGGAAACGCGCAGTTGCCTCTCAGTGGGAGACTTTTCCACGGTGGTGGGGACGTTGACAAAATCCGCCGTCTGCGCAGTGAAGTATCCTAGGTGATGCTTGTCATAGGCGCTGAATGCACCCAACGGAAATTTCGGCAGAAGAGTCATGAGCGGGAGACCATCGAGAACGGTTCGACCCCAGATGGCAGTGAAATCGCCATGAGCACTTTTCACGGTACCCATCTCGTCAAGATCGAGATAAGCGACGTCTTCGGTGATCTCTTCGATGACCCAGATCAGGCCACCACGCTTTTCCATCACCCAGAAACTCGCCGCTCCTTTCGTGCCGTCTCGCTTTCGTATAGGGACAATATCCCCGCAGAGGAGGACCCCGCGGGATTTGGTCGAGGGATGATTCTTTGATTTGGGCCGGTTGTTCACACCAGAGCCACGACCCGACTTTGCTCTGTCTGATTGAGTGTTAGCCCTACTGGGAGCCTTGCTAAGCAGCCTAGCGGTAATCCCACCAGTTCTTGATCCAATGAACGACATGCCGGTGCTTGACGTTGTGCTACTTGTGCCGCTCGAGGGCGGTGAACGAGGCTTCTCCTCCACGGCCTCGCCCGGTCGAGCAAGTCTTTTCTGCAGCCAATGTCTTCGCTCTTCTTGAATGAGGGCAAGAATACTCAGCGACCTAACTTCAGCTCGGGTGACGCCGAAAATCAGACAGGCCAGATCGTTGGCCGCTAGGATTGTCCAGGGAGAGTCTGCCTCGGTGCGAAAGACAGCTTGATGGGCGGGTTCCCATTTATTGCCGTGACCGTGAACGGCAGAAGATTTACCACCAGCCGGGCCGTTGCCAACGTTGGTCAAGGAAGAGCCGATCGCCGAATTTGCAAACGAACTGTCGTCGGTGGAATACGGTTGTGCGAGGGCCTCGATCAGCCTTTGTTGTAAAGACACTGAGTTCACGTCCGTGTAGGTCCTCCTAAGGCCGGTGCGCCGGGAGCCATCGATAGAGTCTGCTCGGGTGGGCGGTATCCGCATTTCGAGATCTGGTCCTTGGAACGGATCGTCCTCATCCAGCGAAAACTTTCGCCCTGTATTCATATCTTCGGTACGGGTCCTTGCTGCGGCCTCCTCTGCCTGTTCCAGTTCCTGGCTGAAGCTCTTTTCAAAGACATTTCGCCCATCATGATGGGCGGGCCCTGTGAGCGGCCCCGTGCCAATACTCCTGGCGGTATTGTTGGCTGTATCGATGGGGAGTATGTTTGCTTTCTTGAGCAGGTCCATCATCCCTTGGATCTCGGCATTTCCGCTGACTCGTGCCTGTGCATCTACAAGTGCTGGGTTAGTGGCCCAGGCAGAACGATCCCGCACAAAGTCCATCGACTTTTGTAGAATGTTCTGCCTGCTGTGCAGCAACTCCTCCGATTGCTTAGCAAACGAAAAAGAATGGAGTGACTCGGAGGGAAACCGGTGGACATCTTCCAACACCGGGGATGATGGGCCGCTCATCAACTGGCTGGTTGATACTGATCTGGAAGATGAGCTAGATATGGGCGCCGTTTTGGAATATTGGAGGCTACGAGGCGCAAACTCCGGTTCTTCCAAGACCAAAGTCGGCGTCCGGAGGATGGGCCCCTGGCGCCTGATCCTTCGAAGTCCTGACCGGCCCAGCCCATGATCGTGGTCGACACGTGAAGCCCTGGGTTTGCGTCAAAACTCTGTCTTGGAACGGATATGTGTAGCGCACCTCTTCAAATTGCTCATCTCCTGGGCAGATCCCGCATCGAACGAGAACCGCATTCTATGGGAATAAGGGAAGGCATCGTGGTTGGCCGAGAGCAGGTTCGAAGTGCTCTTGTTCTTGGGGAGACGCAGTGGGTGTTCTTCTGATCCAGGGACAGCAAGGAGGGGCGATAGCGGTGGTGTAGTATCTCCTGTCAGAGCGGTCAGTATGTCGAAAGGGAATTTCCTCGTGATTCAGCCATGGATGTGACTTCAGACAGTAGCACCGTCAGGGCTTCAGTCCAGAAACATCGCGCGTACCATTGTTCTCTCGTCCATCGCGGGGCATGCTGGATATCTAACTGGGCGCTGTTCGTGTGCGGCCTCACCGGCCGGTCCAATGCAGAGTTCACGATGCTATAACAAATATATACATCCTCCAGCTGACAATGTACCGTGAGCGTGAGGGAGAGGGCAGGCGGGCACGGCAGCAAGAAGACAAGGGTCTGCGATTTCGTGCTGGTGGACGCCTCGATGTCGTAACGCGGGCTCGATTGCCAGGGCTTTTCCTCACAGCCAGCAAAATCAAGAGAACAACCGGTTCGGTGTAAGGATGATTCGATAGATCGTGGCGAAATGTTTTCGAGTAAGAATGACGATTACCAGCCGGTCGGTCACTGGATCAAGTGGTTCACCCAGTCGATACCCTCGTAACTTGCAAACTCTCAGAGTTCAACGCGGTGTGGTATGTGCTTGTGGTTCGCCAGATGGTAGTGGGAGAGAGCAGCGGCCTGCGCCCTGGGTATGGCATCCAGTAGTAGGGGCCTTAGGGCACCTGGCCGGGCTAATCAGAGCTGCTCGCCTGGAAATCAACCATTCAATGACGTGGAACGGAACCGCAGGCACAGATCTGGCCAAGCCGACTCGGCAAATCTCCTACTACGTACTACTAGCAGTAGTAGTAGTACGAATCGTCTATTTGCTTCAACTTTGTTACACAACGACGCTTCATCCATACCCATCACTGTTCCTACCTGGTGCGTGCATACGGGAGAGGATCTCATCTCTCGTCCCTGTCCCGGGGCTTTCAAGACGGTGCAGGCCGAATGCGAAGAAATACCATCCATACTACCCAGGCCATTTCTTCTGTCAATAGTTGTTGAAGCCAATATCCAGAAATTGTCGCGCCGTGTTTACATCGATACCAGGCGTGACAAGAAGGAGGGATAGCAACAGTGGGCTGTGTCTCAGATTTCTCACAAGGAGAAAGCATGCCTGTCTGCCGCTGCTGCTGCCAGGGACTCTTGTCGATCCGGCTGTTTGCTGCAACATGATGAGGTGCTATCGAGCCGCTGCCTTCTGGCGCAGCCTATTCAGAATCGCCAGCTTTGAGGGCATTGAGCATTGTTATTGCTTTCTCGTCGTTTGTGAAGTTGCAAGGTCGTGGCAGGCAGCGACCGCTCCTTGCAAGAGATTCCCCTGCTGGCTAACTGCGTTCAGCCTTGTATGCCACCCTGGATATTAGCCAGGGTGAACCCGTTGTCATCGCCCCCAGGACCCCTAGGATTCCTCTTTGGTTGATGCGTTCCAGATTCCGCAGACGGTTTTCTGGTTCTGCTCTTGGACTCGCTGTCTCTCCTCTGCTCAGGCAGCGTTGCGACAGAACTGACAAAGCTTGATCGATGCCTACCTTCACCGAGCATAAATGAAAAGGATGAATCCAGCAGCGACGGCCGCGCCGCAGTCTTTGTGCGCTGCCGATTAGCCTCTGTTTCTGGCTGAGCTCTCGGATTCTCACCAGGCCTCGTTGATTTGGCAACCATATCTGGGCCGACACTGGTTGGCCCTTGATCATCACCCGCCGTAGGCGGCAAGGGCTTTTCGTCTGCTGGTTGCCTTGATGCGGTCGGCGCCTTTGATTCATGGTCCGATTCTTCCCTCGGAACTGGAATGCTAGGGTTGGAGAGATACATAGAAACAAACTGGATCTTGGCCAGGGATGTGTTCAGGCTATGCTCCGCTTCCAAGTTGTCTGAGCCTGTCAGGTTTATGGATCTGAGGGATTGAATAGCCCCCTCGAGCATTTTTGCGAGGGACAAGTCTCGATCTTGCAGTTCCTGTAGTTTGCGATGCGGATCCGGCCTTTCGACATGAGCGACGTCTGAACTCGAAGCCCTGGACTGGGATGCCTGGTAGTGATTCATATTGCGCCGCACCTCACCCACTGCGGTTCGAACGGCTTTCGACACGTTCCAGCCCTCAGTTCGCTTCTGCAAACCGCCGGTGACTTCCTGAAATAGCCCTTCCAGCTGTTTCTGAGGCGAAACTAGCCGGGCTGGAGGTGGATTTGGAGAGTTGCGATGCCGAGGCTTCCTGGTCGCCGAGGCGGCGGATGTGCTTCGGCTGCTAGGTGTCTCGCTTTCTTTGGGACGTCTGCCGGTATAGAGTTGTATGAGCGCTGCTCCGGCCTCGCTATTCCGACTTCTGTCCAGGAGGATGGCATCCCTCACCAGAGACCGAGGGTCTCCGTGTGAGTTGGGCAGGGTGTAGTGAGTCAAGGCTGTAATTGCTGTGGTGTAATCTGCCTCGACGAGCGACCAGCGAGATCTCAGGAGCATTGCAACGCAAGTGACATCGACGATGTCTGGTCGCAAGTTCTCGGCGAAGAGAAGATCCCACATCTTGAGGACGTCCTTGAAGTCAAATTCCCGCCCGAAAAGGAGCCTGATCCAGCGGCTACGAACTGTCAGTGACGGGGCTCACAGATGGTCAAGAGCAGTTCCACTGACATAGAATATATCTGCGGCAGAATTCCAATAACGTGCAAGTGAAGCGCCAGCTCTGGGTCGACGGAGGCCAGGATTTCGTCGTGGATTCTCTGACTCCGTGCCACAATTGGCGAGGATTCTGTGTTTTCGCCCATCTCGTAGGACGGCTTTGCAGTCTGCATCACTGCACAGAAGAGATTGAAGGCATCGTGCTCCACAAACTTTGCGTCCAGGACTTCAATCATAAAGTCCGTGCCTTCGTCCTGTTTTCCCGTGCTGGGAACGGTGGTGGCGTCGATTGCATCCTGTTGGATCACCCACAGGATAGGTGCCAGTAGCTCGTGCATCCCCTGCCGATACCCAATATCGGGATTCAACTTTGCATAAATGAAAAGAATATCCAGCAACTTCTTCTGGGTCGCCGGTTCCCTGAAGAAGTAATTGTCTTGCATACATCGCGTCACATCCTGGAATATCTCTTCTCTGCTGATCTCATCTTGCCGCAGGGTCGACCAGGGAGACTTTGCTTCGTCAGAAGTCAGACCCTCGACGTGAAGTGGAGGTAGAAGTCAGGCCACGTACATTATCATCGTCTGCCAAAGGATCTGCCGACGAGTGAAGATCATTTGGATGCTCTATGAATCGCAGAAAGTGGTCTCTCAGAGAGACATATGCCGAGCGCGACTCGGCCAAGGGTTTGGACCAGGAAAGTTGACTCAAGGGGCCATAGAGGAGGAAGGCCTGATCAGGTTGGCAAATGGGCGGGAGAAATGTCCTGTCGACAAACAAACCTTCCAGCAAACCGAGCGTAAACCATCCTCGCACGGGTCGAAACCATCGCCGTCTCTCAAGGCTTGTCGTAGGTCAACTCCAATGGAAGTATTGAAGAGGGATGTCCAACGTCGCCTATATCGGTGAGCTCGGTGAAACGTACCAGCTCGAACGGCTTACTGGATATCTTGAAATGTGCGCATCATATACCGCCTAACCACAGTAGAAGTCGTCGTCTTCGGGGGGCTGTCGTAGCCAGCATCGCCGAGAGTCGTCAAGTCTAGCGGTTGAGTTAGAGATGGTGATGTCGTTCGAGTTGTCACTTGGTCCAGATCGAGTCACGGTTCCGATTCCTTGATGTTTTGATGCTTGGCAATGGAAGCTTACTAACCCTTTCCACGCCGCTTTTAAACACTGTTCACCTCGCACTGGCCTTCCTCTCCCTTCGAACTCGGATCTCTACTTTCACGCCAGCAGGGATTCTACGTCGACAGTCGGGCAGAGTACTTCGTACTGTTAGAAACCGCCCAACAATGGAATGTATTAGCCTGGTGATTTGTTGCAAGCCGCTGAACTTTGTCTACAGGGGTATCCGATAGAATGGGCGGCAAGGCTCGGCAATGCCCCTGGGGAACCTTGTCCGATCGAAGCAAATGTTCGGTCGATGAAGCATATGATGCACCTTTGAGCTGAAGTTGGAATGCAGGAGCATCATTTCAATTCTAGAATGCGACCACGTCTTGACTTGTTGGAACACTTCCAGTACGCAGATATAACCGCCTTTCCCAATCATAGCCATGCCTGTCTTCCTTCCAGAGTTCTGGTCTTCTCCTTAGTTCTCGAACACCAAGGTTTTCCAGTCTTTGCTCTGTTCCCACGCCGCGCCCACCTTGAAGCACGTCAAGTCCTCGAAACGCTTGCCAACAATCTGGAGTCCGGCAGGCAACTTGACGGCTGGGTCATCTGCAGCCGGGACGAATCCTACAGGTATCGAAAGGGCTGGATGACCTGTGGCGTCGAATTGTGCCGTGTTGTTGACGATACCTATTGGGTATGAGATGGTTTCGAGGGGCCCAGCCACCGGAGCACCAGCGAACGGGGCAATGGACAATGCAGGCATGGGCACTGTCGGCATCACCAGCACGTCGACAGTTGCTAGAACCGCGTCGTATTCCTGTGTGGCTTTGTAGAGCAGGTTGGTGCATTTGGCGTGCAAGCTGGCGCCGTACTTTTCTTGAACGTACAAGTACCTCAAGTATAGACTTTGGCCGCCCGGACCGAAGGAGTCGAAGGCTTTTTGTGATAGTCGCGCCGATGCACTGGGGCCCATAGCAGGGGCAGCGGTTACGCCGCGGTCAGTCATCTCCAGCTGCTTGCGTCCTGTGGTGTCCCCGAGAATCCCTTGCCGGCAGCCAATTAGTGGAAGAGAGCACATCCATGTGGTAATATGCCGTATGTGGCTGGGAACGGAGACTTCGACGATTTCGGCGCCTAATGCCTTGAGATCCTCGATGGCCGAGTAGTTGGCGTTTGCGATATTCGGATCCATTTCCTTGCTGTCAAAGCCTTCCTTCAAAACACCGATTTTGAAGCCTTGCAGCAGTTGGTCCTTCGGTTTAGAGGCAAGGAAATCGTCCAACGCGCTAGAGAACCGGAGAGATTGTGGAGGTAGATACGCCGGTTGTCGGTCGTCTCTCCCGTCTGGGCCGGCGATCACTTCAAGTAGAAGCGCGTTGTCTCGCACATTCTTGGTCATTGGACCGGCATGGTCAAACGTTGACTGGTGGCCGAGGATACCAGTGTATGGAACCAGGCCGAAGGTTGGCTTGAGCCCAACGATACCACAAAATGCTGATGGAATTCGGATCGACCTGTGCACCATATTCGTCAATCTCTTGGGGTGCTTCAGTAGAACCAGGAAGGGGAACAGAAACCGAATACTTACCCTCCCTGGTCACCTCCCAGAGCCATATCTACAGCACCAACTGCCACCAGACGTGCCGATCCACTACTCGAGCCCCCACAGCCATGATTGTCTGAGTATGGGTTCAAGATGGCGCCGGTGTATGAGGTGTTCGAGAGGCATTCCATACAGGCATTTTCGCAAGCTATAGTCTCGTCGTTCGTCAACTTTCGTGTGCTCTTCTCGTCGAGCTGGGCCGCAGCGACACCATGGTAGAGGTGGAAACATACCCGCCTTGCCTGCGATGATCCCGCCGGCATCCAGCACCCTCGTTATGATTGTGGCATCATAAGCAGGTATCCATTCTCCGTCCACGGGCGGCAGACCATTGAGGCATCTAACGCCGGCAACTGCAGTGTTATCCTTTACGGCCACTGTACATCCGCCTAGTCGATCGCTGGTAGGCGCGGTACTTTTGACTGTGCACCGTGTCGCCCATCCGCCTTTGTTGTTGTCCTCTGGGACATAGATATCGGTGCGGGTGTACACTTTTGGATCCGGGATCGGGAGGCAGTCATCTTCTTTCAAGACAGACTGCGCCGAATCCTCGAAGGAGCCAAGGAGAACGCACCAGTCATCTATGTCCTTGTCGGGTAACGATATACCGGCGCCTTGGGCCAGTGATTGCACCTCAGCTGCCTCGAGCTTTGTCGCACTGTAGGAAACAAAGGGAGTCCAGGTCAGTGTGCGGTGCAGTGTGGTTGTTCCTGCAGCCAGGGCGACTTACTTTTCCAAGGCTACGACTACCATCTTCGGTAATGTCAAGGGGATGAAAAAATGCGGGCGTCCTTCTCATCTCTCGTAGGTAGTCTACGAAGTACTGGGTTCTTAGATATATGTGCTAACCCGCGTTCGCGAAGGTTCTTATCAGTGCATAACCATCGGATGCGGAAAGCAAAGCAGACGGTTGCCGGCTCCCGAGTATTGGGAACGGCTAAGATTGCAGACTAGGATCGGGCTCCCATACCTACACTTTGCGGAGTTACACCACCTGATGCATAAGGTATGTTGCAGGTCCTAAACGTGCAATATCGGCTAAGTGTGGAGTTGACAGACGTTGATAAGGGGCGGAGATATTTCTCTTCTCTCCGGCCTTGACTCTTTCTCAGATGATACTCTTGGGATTGTGTGAATTGTTGAACGCCGACCCACCATCGTCTGCATTTAAGACTTGCCGATGAAAGATGCCATGGACAGGTCCACTACCAAAGCTTCTGAGTGGGTGGCTTGATAAGGGATGCACTACAGAGCCTCGTCTCTAGAAAAGTCGTCTCGAGATATCTCGTCTCGAGGAAACTCGGCTCCAGATATACCCACTCAAGATAGCGTAGTGCATGCACTATCATGAGCCAGCCGAGTTTTATACTCGGTTCTTCGACATATGAGGCTAAAAGCCTTGTAGCCATCAACGGCTAGATCATGCTAGCCAGAGGTTAGACCAATCCTGCGGATCTCGATGATCGCCATGTTGACTCGGGGGAGGCTATCCCAGACCTGCGGCAGCGGCACAGAGACACTTTGGATGTTCGCCACGTATTGGTAGTGCTGTATACCTACCTACTAGGTAGGCTCTCATGATACAGAAGTGTGATAACAGAGACGATAAAGAGGCCCAGGTCCCGGTCTGTTGTATATATCAAGTCTGCTGCTTCGAAGGTCGTCGGACGCTCTCCATCTCCTTCTCAACCTTCTTCTTCTTCCCCAAAGGATCTTCTCTCGTTGCTGAGCTTCGTGCTTGTCTCTCCCAAAGAATTGTCACAACGACGAAACACCTCCGTGAGAAGGATGGATACTGAAAAGAATCCAGAGTATCTGGCGACAAATGTGCCTTCATCAGAGGACAGTGTTCGCAGAGTGGGAAGCATCGCCGACGCCGAAGTCTTCGCCACCGGCGAAGATGGCATCGAATTTCGAACCGTGGGCTGGGTCCGCGCAGCCATGTTCTTCACCAAGATGACCTTTGCCACCGGTGTCCTGGCCATCCCTGCGGCTTTGTACAGTCTAGGAGCTGTCGCCGGTGCCATCTTCATTGTTTTCTGGGGAGGCCTCAACACCTACTGCGCAGTGATCCAAGGCCAATTCAAACTCAAGTATCCTTCCGTCCACACCGTGGCAGACAGTTCTCACATCGCCGCTCTCGAGCTCGGGTGGTCCAAGAAGGTTGCGTTACTCGTCAAGGAGATCAGCGAGATTGCGTATCTGGTCACCTGGGTTCTTGTCTGTGGTGTGGCCATTCTCGGTCTCTCTATCGCCCTCAACGCAGTGTCGAAGCACGCGACCTGTACTGTGACCTTTGGATTTATCGCCTATATCTGCGTCTCTACGATAGCTACGATCCCAAAGATTCACCAGCTCGGCTGGATCACCTGGGTTGGCTTTATCTCGATCGTCGCGGCCGTCCTGATCGTGGTTATTGCTGTTACACAGCTCGACCGTCCGGCCGCCGCACCTCCGACTGGGGACTTTGACCTCGGATTCTCGGCCGTGCCACCTGCTGGAACGACCTTTGCAACAGCATGGTCGATGTCGCTGGCCATATTCTCCTCGTCGGCCAATACCTCTGGCTTCGTGCCGGTGATCTCTGAGATGCGCCGACCGCAAGACTACTTTAAGTCAGTGTACGCCTGTATGGCGTGGATTACTTCGTCATACCTCGCCTTCTCGATCACTATGTACGCATATTGCGGAAAATGGGTGTCCTCACCGGCTCTCGGCTCTGCTGGCTCGACTATCAAGATCATCTCGTACGCCATTGCCATCCCAGGGCTAGTTGCTGGGTGCGTTATTGCCATTCACGTGGCCGCGAAAAGCATCTTTGTCCGGATTCTGCGCAACACCCCCCATCTGACGCACCGCACTAGAACCCATTGGGCGGTCTGGCTGTCGTGCACCTACGGTTCAGGCGCCATAGGCTGGATTATATGCGAGGCAATCCCATTCTACGGGAGCCTCATCTCTCTCGTCGGTGGTGTGGGCTTTGGTTATTTGGGTGTCTGCGTCCCCGCTGTGCTGTGGATGGTCCTGAACCGAGAGCAGCGCAGAGGCACGACCCTACAGAAATGTCTCTGGTACAGTCACATCGCGATGTTGATTCTCGGCTTCTTTATCGTCATTGGGGGTGCCTACGCCAACATTGTGAGCATCATCAATCAGTACAGCGCAGGTCAGGTTGGATCGGCGTTCAGTTGCCTGGACAATAGCAACACGATTGCCGGTGACAGCTAAACTCGAGTCTTTGAGGTCACGCAGCACGTAGGATGGAAAGGGTGGACAGTGATGTGGTCTGAGAGTCGGCGCTCCTACTAACACCTCAACTATCGTATTTCAAATGGGTTGGAGACGCATTTGATGAGTATAAGGTCGTGGATCAATTACAGGATATGCAGTATATGCAGACACGTAGTCATTGAACTAGGATCTCTGCTTCTCACTCTGGGAGTTATGTGATTGATAAGACGCCTTCGAGGGGCCAAGGCTTATAAAGACTTCAAGTTCTATATAGATAACTAGAACCTAGTATCCATCTTCATGTACGTGAGCTGAATCGGCAGCAGTGCACGAGGTTTCCGCCGAGAGAATGCCCGACCGGAGGTTCTGCAGACGATGATCAACTGATCACTCCGTACTTGGTAAGGAGTACCTTATGTATGAAGAAACGGAAGATAGTACTCTGTACGTACCTACGTACTTGTTGCCGAAAGATAAGACTCCTGCTTGGCGGAGATAGGCCCTTTTTGACGTGCCGCTTTCTTACTCCGCTCACTGGGTCTCGACTCTGGGCCTCCTTCGTGACGAGACAATAGTTGGACGGGGCACGACGGACCAATTGATAAGGGAATCTTGTTCCCCGGACAGACACCAAGATTTTTTTTTCGAAAACATCGCTACTGCTAATGTGTTTCAGACGAGGCTCGAGACGAAAAGTCTCAAACGAGGGTCATGCCCAGCGGGACTGCACGCAGTGATGGTCCTCAGACCGCCAACAAACGTCTTCGCGTAACTACAGGATGGTGTGTTCCCCAGCGCAGACTCGCAGAGCCCCGTTGGCCCTGGCCACCGTCCTGGGCGAGAGTCCATGACCATTACTGACCTGGGAATGCTCCAACATACAGTCGAACGTGCCGGCAACGACATGTCAAATGCGACGAACAGAGGCCCGTCTGCGGCAACTGTGGCAAGAAGAATCGCCGCTGCTGGTACGAAGGTAGCTCTCCAGCAGAGCGTGGTGCTGGCTCTAGGTCGAATGGATACCATCAACCCGAATGGAGCCATGCGGCAGGGCCCAACACTGCATTCGTGTCAGAGACGCACCAGCCCATGGGCGAGTCCCAGACTGTCGACGAGCCTCGTCGGACTGCAACGAGGAGGGCTCCCTCTTTTGGGTCTGTTCTAGCCCAGTATCTCAGCAACCACTGGCAGACATCATCGTCAGGCGATGTCTTGAGGACATCGCCGCGCAACAACTCTATCCAACAAGTGCCTGATTGGATACGCCATGAAGATGGACACCGGCACGATAACCCTCAAACAGAAAGCCCAGGGTGGGCAACTCTGCATCTGGGTCAAACGCCGGCCTCTTTGCAGGATCCTTCATATGGCGACTCCAGCCACAGCTCGCCACAAGGCTGGCAGTCGGCGTGTTTGGAGTCCGTCCTGCGTCGTACTTACCTGCCGAGGACAAGAACTACTCCCCCAGATCCACTTTTGAGGCGTGAAGAGCTCGATCACTCTCCCGGCAGCAGCACCTCATACCGTCGTGCTCAGAGATCTCTTGAGCAGCAGCCTCTTTCGGCCCCGCCCACCTCGGGCGCTCCCAGTCAACTCTTTCTGACCGAGTTGGAGGTAGTGCTGTTTCGAAATTTTGTGGAACGTGTTGCACGATGGGTAAGCTAGCCCACTCCAGTCTCCCATCACCTATCTTCCTTGTGATTGCCGTCTTAGCATCAGTCTATTGACCGTTTGAAAGATCGACGCTTTCTCCCCGGAAAATCCCTTCGCCACTCATGTTCCCGTTCTGGCCCTGCAGTGTCCGGCAATTCTGCTCTCGTGTCTCGCTATTTCGGCGAAGCAGATGGCTTTGGTGGCCACCGAGGGCCAAGCACCCATTCAAGATGTCCTCGCCCTACAGTACTACCAGAGAGCTCTGAGAGCCATCAGCAGCCTGTTAACGAAGCCGGAGCATGCTCGGAGTGATGAAATACTGGCGTCATGCATCATGCTTTCCAAGTAAGACCGTTGTTTGGAGCTCTTTTTCCGCTCTACACGAGATGAAGGGTCATTTGGCTGATCGCGTGGATATATTTAGCTTTGAAATGCTTGCGGTGGTTGGAGACCGCTTCGGCTCTCACCTCCGTGGCATTGCGTCTCTTCTCCAGTTGTGGCAGGTCAACGGAAACTCGCCCGGCGTCAAAGGCGTGGTTTACTGGACCTGGTATCGATCAGATACCTGGGCCGCTCTTCATACCAGACGACGCATGTTCCTGGACGAGTCCTACTGGGAGCCCCCCGCCGTCGATTCTTTCGACCAGCTATCCTATGCAGATATTGCAAACCGGGCGATGTTCCTGCTTGGACAGTGTACAAGCTTCTGCAGCACTAGTATCGACGAAACTGACAATACAAGTTCTTTTGCAGAAGCGCTCGAGGCGAGACAATCCACCATGACCAAACTCCGAGATGCTCTCGAGCAGTGGAAACGAATGCTCCCTGCCTCCATGACGCTGTTCATTGCGGGACGGGCAACCCACAAAGACCCGAGCAACGAGGGGCAGAGGGATCAGTGTTTACAAGACATTTCGTCGATACACTATATATATCCCGAGGCCGGTAAGTGACGAGCAAGCCCGAAGAACAAGGCGGAATTTGAGCTGATGCAGCCTCTAGCGATCGGCATTCAAATATACCATGCCTGCCACATCCTCCTTGCCCTCGGTAGCCCCCCATGGCCGTCACATCAACAAGGCCCACGATCCTCGACATTCGAGTCACTTGCGACACGACGACTCATCAGTCAATCACGCGAGCAAATTCTGCTTATCGCCAATTCCGGAACCACAGAGACTTTTGGCTTCGTCTCGACGCAGTGCCTGTACATTGCAGGCCTGGTGACCGAGGGAGTCCATGAAAGGCGCCTGACTCTTGAGCTTATCGAGAAATGTCAGGTGGAGTCGGGTCGACAGACGGTCTGTATTGCGGACGAGTTGCGCGCGGCATGGACCAGAAGCGAGTAGAGCAATACAGAAAGACAAGAAGCTTTCCTTTTTGGGGAAGTTCCAAAGTCTGGTTGAATGGCCGAGCTGATTTCTCCATGCGCTGCCATGGGCTAGTATTGTTGATCTACTGTCAAAAGCTAGAGTCAGTACTTGTCTCTGTCCTAATACACACGATAGAAGTCCAACAAGAAGATCTCGAATCCTGGTGATGAGTATCCAGATTCTCTAGGAGAGAGTTGCCTTAATACTTCTCACTGGAAAGATACGGGCGTCTCTTAAGGGTCAAGTACAGTACCTCCGCAAAAGTCACCGACCACCACCAATTTCACACCTAAAATTAAAATTATCGAGGTGTATTATATAGTATCCTATAGAGATAATCTCGTATTAGCTAGTTACCTAGATAGAGATAGCTAAGTATAGTAACTTATTATATTTTATCTTAATAGGCCTTCTAGTTATCTAGATATGTTACTTTAAAATAAAATACCGAGAAAAAGAGACGTGTTAGGATTCATGCAAAGGCAAGCGTGGCATGAGATCCAACATGAGCCAATGGACAAAGGAAGGCAGGATTGCCGAGAAAAGAGCACGTGAAACTTTACGAGGCGAGGCCTGGGTCACGTGATGTGATCAGTCGTGATCAGTGACTGAGCACGCTGAGCATGCTGAGCACAGCAGAGCACTACGAGTCTCTTATGTCTATATAGTCTTCCATCTTTCCATAGCAGTTCATAGTCTCTCGTAGTCAACTTCGTTCACAAGCTAGACGTTACCATCGCGTTGATAGCTTTCGTTCTGACTTACCCTTGTGCCCTGGAATACTGTTCTCCTGCCTTCCCACACATCAGTGTCACGAATCGTTCCTCGGGGTCACGATATCGATCAGGGTTTCCTGATGTGTGGGAAGGCAGGAGGATAGTATTCCAGGGCACAAGGGTAAGTCAGAACGAAAGCTATCAACGTGATGGTAACGTCTAGCTTGTGAACGAAGTTGACTACGAGAGACTATGAACTGCTACGGAAACATGGAAGACTATATAGACATATAAGACTCGTAGTGCTCTGCTGTGCTCTGTTGCTCTGTTGAGCAGAGCAATACAGAGCACAGAGCATAAGGTGTCACGTGACCCTGCCTTGCTTCGCAAGGCTTTCACGTGCTTCTTCGGCAATCCTGCCTCCTCTGGCCACTGTTTCTGGTTGGGTGTCATGCCTGGCCTGCCTCTGCATGGATCCTAACATATAGGTGTAAAATTGGTGGTGGTCGGTGACTTTTGCGGAGGTACTGTACAGGGCGGCATCACCCTTGTCCCAAAGAGGGTGAGGTGGCCGGGGATTTACCAGCGCTTGGCGAGGCATTAAGGGGCGTCAACAACTTGAACTTCGGCTTCAACTTCGACGTGAAGCTGAACCACGTAGAGAATACTACCTCACTTCACCCCAGTAAATGAGTCTGACAGTCACATCAGGGTAACTCCGAGATGCACTACGCACTACTACCATCACCGTCGATGACAGGTCTCAGGATCTGGACAAAGGCTAGCTGAGTCGTTCGCTCGCGTGAGCCTGATCCTATCTATGGTCAGATCATGTCCGCAGACCTTTACGCAGCTTTTGGGGCAGCCGCGCCCATTGAAAGCAAGACACCCAACAACATCAGCGCCAAAGTCGATAACAAGACAACGAGCTCTGTCCCTCTAGCGGGAGTACAGACCCAGAGTCTTCCGTCGTTGAACCAGGTCTGGAATACGCCGCACCGAGAATCCCAGGAAAAGGTACCTCCGCCGCTTTGGAGACGAGACCTCAATGGCAATGACGTCCTCTTTGATGCCGAAGCACCCGAGGCCGACGATTTTGGGGAATTTGAGACGGTAAACGATGGGAATGAGGGCGAAGTATCAGCCGATACAAACCGCCATGACCATTCCCAAATCCTTGTCCCAGACCTCCTCGGGGATGACGACCCTGTCCCACAAGCCCCCATTACAAGCTTCAAACTTACCAGCTCTGAAATCGGACAAACACCCTTGGTTGAGCAAAGGGGCGAAGAAGCATTCCAACCATCCTGGGATGACGATTGGGGGGACTTCCAGCAGACCGGAACAGAGCAGGCAATGGACCCAGAGGGCAGTAGGTCCCGAGCCTTGCAAGATTCTGTCGCAGTTATCCCGGTGGATGGATGGGAACCATTTGAGGACGGTCCATCTACGAAGAATCAGATCTCTTCCGCCCCCAAGATCGCCATTTCCTCTACTGGGCTGGTCAACACAGCCACATCGCAGGGGGCCGCCCCAGCACCTGTTTTCGAGCGACCGACCAACATCCCGCCGCCTTCGTCTCTGCTACAACTCCTGTCAACAGTCTTCCAAACAATCCACAGTTGGAACGGCAACCAGTCGAAGATGAAGTCGGAGTTGGCATCTCAAGTCATGGTTGTGTTCCGAACGGCATGCCGTCTCGTGGCCGGAAGAACGTTGCGATGGAAGCGAGATACCATTCTAGCCCAGAGTGTAAGGGTTGGGCAAGCAGGAAAGACCGGCGGAATGAAGTTGGCATCACTCAATAAGAACGAGAGCGCGAAAGAACTGAGGGACTCGGAAGAGATGATCCATGACTGGTCACAATATACTCACGAATTTAAGAGCATTCTGGCGCAGGCCCACTTACCACCACATCGAATAAAGATTCCAGCATCACCATCGATACAGATCTTGAAATATTCCAGCACGCAAGAGTCGACTAAGCAGTGTGCTCTTTGTGGGCTGAAGAGAACGGAGAGATTGGCAGAGGTCGACACCGATATTGACGATATCTTCGGCGAGTTCTGGACCGAGCACTGGGGCCACAAAGATTGCTACGATTTCTGGTACACGTACAAGGATCTGCTAAGCCATCGTTGAGACTTGAAGCTCGACGCATACCAGTACCATGCCACTCGGACCAGAGAGGATAGAGCATGCATACGCGCGCCAGCATCCCTCGCTTGAGGAGCCGTTATCATCTTCTGCCTGCGATCCATACCTGACACCCGGCACATTGCAAATACCTGACTATGAAAACACCTGACGGCTGGCGCCACTTCCAGTCCACTGGTGAAGGCATATATGGAGAATTGGGCTGACAAGAGATCCTTGTTCCCTGCTGCGCTCGCAGGCGACCGATCCAAGCAATCTTGACGCACATTGCTCCTCGGCTTGGGCTTGTATTGCAAAGTACCGGCAGCATCTTCCTTTCTCCGCCCCTCATCTCTGACCGCTTTCGCGGGGCCAGTTAGTAAGGCACGGCACTATCGATTGTGGACATGGCGATGGCCCCCCTTAGTTATCGATACTCGGAGTGCTTTCCAACCCTCGGTGTCTACGTTCTATGATCGGCCATCGGCACGACTGGAAAACAAGCAATACGGAGGAGTTGGACGTAATTCCTGTGCCTGGTGTTCTACACCCACCTATAGATCTGTCGAATAAATGAAGAAGTACAGTGCCATAGTTGCTTGTGGTCTGGGAGTCGTTGTCGGGTCGTTCAAGACTCCTGGCGGCACAGGGATCAACCGAAGATCAGGCTCCAACCTCCACTACTCCGGGCGCACTGTCCGGGGCTAAGGCTACTATCCTAGGGACCTACTTATCTAGGCTACGGAGGCTTCAAGGGTCCTCGGGAGCCATTCGGCGTTAGGAGTGTGCTTAGCAAGGTGGTACCACGAGTATAATAGGCTACTGATGCTCTAGTTCCAGGCAGCGGGTCTGCTCCTTATTAGTAAGGATCCTTGACGGTGCCCCCTGTACATTCCGCTGTCGTCAATCAGACCGCGATCTGGCGAGACGACGCTCCTCTCAACTGCCACAAAGTATACAGGTACCTCCTCATCGACACTTCTGCAACTTCGAATCCAAGTTCCCGTGATCCTACTATCCTACCCATTCCAGGCCGAGCCCTACGAGCCCTATCTCGAGGACCTGATAGTCACGAGCGCCCTGCACCTGTTCGCCCCAGTCCGTCGAGATCAGTTGACACACCTTCCCCAACCCGACATATCCGCCCATCGCCTCGACGGCTACCACCACCACCACCACCACCACCACCACGCCCTCCGTGTTGCAGTGTGACTCACGTTTGCGACCGCCTTAGCGGGCCACATATACTCGATAAGGGAAGAAGCCATTCCGGGCATCAAGAGCAAGTATATACACCACCGGTCGACAGGGGAGACAGACACTCTTGTACTATTATACGACACTTGTACAGATTCCGGATTCCTCCCAGCAGGAGGTGCTGTCCGGTCAGTAGTGCCTCTGGCTGTCGACCAACCGGCTGGGCAGAATGGGTCTTACGTATAACGTCTACCTCAATTCTGCCAAAATCTTCGGGTGCAAGGTATGTATGGTATACTACCTACTTTTGTTGTGATCGGATGGACATCCATGTCACTTGCTTTGCGGAACCCGAGTCCCCAACTTCCCTCTGCGACCCTCGACTTGTGATGCTGTTTATGTCTTTTTCTTTGGAAGTGTTGTTGACCCGGATATCCTAGAACTGTAAGACTCATCTCGCCGACTTCGACGACATCATCTCCCGGAACTTCCGCGGCCAGCATGGCAAAGCCTTCCTGTTCGCCACCGTCGTCAATATCAAGCAGGCCGAAGCGATGGAGCGGAATATGACTACAGGGAGACATATCGTGAGAGACATCAAGTGCAAACAGTGCGATGAGACGGTGGGTTGGAAGTACGATAAGGCGTATGAGGCGAGCGAGAAATATAAGGAGGGCAAGTTCATCTTGGAGTCGGAACTGCTGTGTACGGTGACATGAAGTCAATGCGGCAAAGCATTACTGGCCTGAGATGGATGAGATGAATGACATGCATGGGGGCTTTCTTGGGGAGTTCTGGTTTTGGGACTTGGCTTTGGAATGGTGGAATCATGATCTGGATTGGACGCAGGCATGCACCGGGTGTTCTTTGGAGTGGCTCGCACGCATGAACCTCATTTGATAGACAATTGAGAGGGACCGAAGTGTTCCCTCTCGACATTGGAACTTGGCATGGGGCCGTCGATGTTGTCTGGAATACTCTTCTCATGTTATCGGGCAAGCCTTGGTAGCTACCCTAACCATCTCCCGTCGACTATTTTGATCCACGTCTGCAGGGTCCGTCACTCAAAAAGATCCCGTTCTGGGGGTTCTGGGGGTTCTGGGGAAGTTGTTCGCCTGGACAAAAACCCCCAATACCACAGAGTGTAGAACAAGGTGAACGGGATCAAACCTCTTCGAGCCCTGAACAAGGCTGCCTTACCAATGGGTGCCAGCGATGGCTTATCTACCAGAAGAGTCCTGGGTCCATATCTGCATCAGCTGGGCGTTGTCATGCCAAAACCATCACAAAATGTGGTGTTGGCCTCATTTATATAGAAGCCCCAATCTGGCTCTTCTAGCATACAGCGCTGATCGGTCAAGTTGATCGGCCAAGTTCTGCCCCCGAATCCGGAGCATTAGGAGCCATCTCCACACGGGACGAACAGCGATGCAGACATTGTTATTGGTCACATCTCCACCACGCTCGATGTTGACTCCATAACTCTGTCGATTCTATTATTCGATAGGCTGATCAGGCTGGCGGCATAGGGGTTGGAGCTCCAATTTCCGCCGAAAAGAGTCAACTACGATCTTGAGTGAAAGCTACAATGAGTCTAGGTAGCTCGGTAGGTATCTTAGATCGGTACGTTCCTTATATAGTGCGCATACCCGGAGGTTAGGGACCATGAAGTTCAATTGAGCTCAATTTGTCGAGTGTTTTTGAGAGCCTTGCACCTTTTGACAAATTAGGATCCAGCGCTATAGTCACGCAACATGGCTACAAAGGACACGATGCAAGCGGTCATCTTCAAGGGCAAGCTGCAGGTCGCGATCGAGCAGAGACCCGTACCCAAGATTCAGGATCCGAAAGACATCATCGTCAAAGTACGATATGCTGCCCTCTGTGGAAGGTATACCACCGCCTCTCGTACCCGTCGACAATTGTCCTGGGACTGACTTGCTTGAAGCGAGCTGCACGTCTATCGCGGCCACGAACATGCTGATCCCGGATTCATTATGGGCCACGAGTTCACCGGCGAGGTTGTGGCTCTCGGTTCAGATGTCAAGACGGTGAAGAAGGGTGACACTGTGGTCACGCCATTCACGACCAGCTGCGGAGAGTGCTTTTACTGCAAGAGAGGATACTCCTCTCGCTGCGCGAAGTCTCAATTGTTTGGCTCGCTGGGTCTCGATGGCGGACAGGCAGAGTATTGTCGGATCCCGCTGGCAGACACCACAGTCGTCAAGGCACCGCCCAATATCGACGAGAACAAGCTTGTGCTGATGGCCGACATCTTCCCTACTGGCTTCTTCGCGGTGTCAAATGCGTTCCGTGGGATCGACAAGGAAGAGATCTCTCGGAGTGTCGTGTTACTGATCGGTTGCGGGCCCGTTGGACTGTGTGCGTTGGTGAATGCTCTTGAGTACAAACCCAAGGCGCTGTTGGCCATTGACGGTGTGGAGGCGCGCTTGCAGCAGGCCAAAGCCCTAGGGGCCGAGCCCTGGAACTACCAGAAGGACATGGAGGGGCTCAAGAAGCGAGTCTTGGAGCTCACTGACGGCAGAGGAGCTGATACCGTGATCGAACTTGTGGGACACAGTGACGCGTTAGGGATGGGCTTCGACCTGTTGAGACCTTTCGGCAACATCTCCAGCATTGGTGTCCATAACAGCAAGATCCCCTGGACTGCTGCGCAAGCATATGACAAGAACCTGAGAGTCCAGATGGGCAGGTGTCCAGTCCGGAGTATGCAACATCCCAATCTCTCATGGCTGGGTTTGACTGACGTGGATCCTTAGGTCTTTTTGAGCCGGCTCTGGAGATGCTCGTAAAGAATCAGCATCAGCTTGAGTGAGTACGCTCAGCCACGATCCAGTCCGCATACTTACCGATTACAGCTTTATGACCGAGAACATCAAACCTCTGTCAGAGGCCGTCAAATGGTACGATGAATTTAACAACATGAGGGTACAAAAGATAGTTTTTGAGCCGGGCAAATGAGGCGTGAATAGACTGGGCGACGCGGGAATCATATAAAGAGAGTGTTTTGGAATGGCTACATTGCCAGACTGCCATGAAGACTCCTGGTATGCCAGTTCACAATGATACCCGCATCTTTTGTCTCAAACAAAGGTCGGCATTTATCGGTAGCTAAGGTATCTACCTCAGGTACAAAATTCCATTTCTACACCCGTCTGCATTCAGGCTGATCGATCAAGGCACCGGGGCAATGGTTCGTACCTGTAACGTGCATGATAAAAATCTCGACTGCGGTATATAACAAGGGACACCGTGGTAGCGACCTTTCAAGATCCAGCCTGCATTAGCTGCGATCTCTGGTTAGGTTGAGACTAACAAGGCAAGAGAACAGAGTTCGACACATCGCATCTAGTACTACCTACCTAAATAGTTGATGCCGTGGTTGGGGTGAAAGGAGACAAATAGCTGGTGCCTGACAGGAGCTCAACCGCAGAACGCGTGCAAATTCTCTCTTGACAGTCAAGTGCTTGAATGTCAGACAGGGCCATTTTCAATGGCCCAAGGTGCTTTCCCGCCCGCTAGTGTCACGAATCGTTCCTCGGGGCAACGATATCGATCAGGGTTTCCTGACGTGTGGGAAGGCAGGAGGACAGTATTCCAGGGCACAAGGGTAAGTCAGAACGAAAGCTATCAACGCGATGGTAACGTCTAGCTTGTGAACGAAGTTGACTACGAGAGACTATGAAATGCTATGGGAGATGGAAGACTATATAAACATATGAGACTCGTAGTGCTCTGTTGCTTTGCTGCCTTGCCCCAACGCAACAATGCAGCAGTGCATTCTGAGGTTGCCTCTTCTGGAAGTCACGTGATATCACGTGATCTCATATCCCATGACCCTCGGCAAGCCTTCCTAGTAAGTATGGTTGGATGTCATGCGTCCCTGATCGTGCATGAATCTTAACATCTGGGTAGGACTCGGAGCTATGTGTCCGTTTGGAAACTCGGTTGTGACGAGCTGATGCCAACGCCGACAGTGTCTACTAGAGCACGTTCTTCAACTTACCTGGTTCTTTGAAATTTGGTGGACGAACTAGACAGTTAGCTGAGGTTTGGTGGCTGGGAGAGAGAGGTCTGGCGAAAATGATCGCGGCAGGAGCACTCCCTCACTTACAATAGGAATGGACCTGTATTGCTTCTAGCATATTAATATCGCAGATAGTTAGTAGGTCTTGGCCAGTGATCCAAGCATCTATAAGACATTAAGAGCGTCAGAGCATACAGGAGGGACATAGGTAAGGTAGGTACAAAAATACCTAAGATGCCAGGTACATGAACCCATGGCCGGCAGCAGCATAAAAGTGCTGTGTAGGTGCCTCTTCACACTGCTGCTAGGCAGCTGGACTCCACTCCTGGCCTGCGCCTTTCCACTTTTACCTGCCACGGGCTAAAACTTCGCTCCCTGCCAATTCCTCCTTCTCTCCAGTAAGAGCATCGCCCTTGAGGCCTATGGCTCCTGACACTCAAGTTATTAGGCCTAGTTGCCTCCTTAGCTGCTGAGCTGCCTACTAGGAAGGTAGCTGCTTAGCACTGGTAAAATCTTCACTAAACAGTCACTCAGCATTTCATTTCGTTTGTTTCTCAAACGACGTCAAAATCCTCCAGCTTCAAAACCACCTCATCCTGCCCGCCTTCCACCCCCCAGCTCTGTCACGCATCCTTCTTCCACCCTGACCCGCTCTCTTCTTCCACCTTTGTCCCTTCCTTCATACTACCCAGTCACCCGTGGGCTATCTAAGCCTCTCGGATACGCTCTCGCCATCTCTCGACCACCTACCTATACCTGATTTCGTACCTCTCGTCCATCCCGCATCCCGCACATTGTCGAAATCGTCCGCCTCCGATTCCCTTAACCTCATTCCTACTTGACCGCGCCCTACTCAACAGTCTCTTCAACGTCGTACCCTGCGCAATGGCTTCTCCAGAGTCCCCTGTCAATGCAAACCATGTGGACGACAATGGCCTGGCCGAGTCCCTGAACCAACTCAATGTTGGGGATAGAGAAAACGAACCAGCCAAGACTGAGGAGGAATACGCGCAGTCCCAACTTACGCTCAGGGCTATCGTCTCCACCAAGGAAGCCGGTGTCATCATTGGCAAAGCCGGGAAGAATGTCGCCGACCTCAGAGAAGAGACTGGTGTCAAGGCCGGTGTCAGCAAGGTGGTCCAAGGTGTCCATGACCGAGTCTTGACCGTCACTGGCCCGCTCTCCGGCATTGCAAAGGCATATTCTCTCGTGGCCAAGGGCTTGCTCGAGGGCGCGCCCCAGATGGGCATGGGAGGAGTAGTCCAAAACAATGGCACCCATCGTAAGCATTCCTCTATTGCGCAGCGTGATCCTGGCTGATTTCCTCCTAGCAATTCGCCTTCTGATCTCTCATAATCAGATGGGCACCATCATCGGCCGACAAGGTCTCAAAATCAAACATATACAGGACGTTTCTGGTGTTCGGATGGTGGCACAGAAAGAGATGTTGCCACAATCCACCGAACGCATCGTCGAAGTTCAAGGTACACCAGAGGGCATCGACAAAGCTGTATGGGAAATCGGGAAGTGCTTGGTCGACGACTGGCAACGTGGTACCGGAACTGTCTTGTACAACCCGGCTGTCCGAGTCCAGGTCGGCTCTGGGCCTCTACCTCCCGTCGTGGCTGGCTTGACCAGTTCATTGCCCGGCAACACCTATGGTGGTGGTCGATCATACAACCGTACCGGTAACGGGGCTGACTTCAGCGAAGGCCGTGGCTACACTCGCGGTAACGATGTCCCACGCGGCGGCATTCCCATGGTCACAGAAGACGGGGAAGAAGTCCAGACCCAGAACATCAGCATCCCTGCCGATATGGTCGGCTGCATTATCGGACGCGGAGGCTCTAAGATCAGCGAAATTCGCAAGACCTCGGGTGCTCGCATCTCGATTGCAAAGGCTCCCCATGACGATACCGGCGAAAGGATGTTCACGATTATGGGAAGCGCCAGCGCGAACGAGAGAGCCCTGTATCTCCTATACGAAAACCTGGAAGCGGAAAAGGGACGTCGACAGCAGGTTTCTTCCGAATGAGGTCGACATGTCCCTCATGCCTGTCCCGTGTCTCAAGGCTCGTGGCACTCTTCACCGTTTTCAGCCCTACACGACCGCTCTATCCTCACACTCTTTCGAACCGTCACGTTTCTTTACCCGACCTGAAGTGAACGACACACTCGTGAAAAGCATATGGCATTGTTTTTCTCTTTGGCGTCCAATAGATCGGTGTCTTGCGCAAAGCGACTTGACGAAGCTATGATACCTCTTACTTCTCGCCTGGACAGCGAGTTGACGAATGATGACCAGAGCTTGTATGCACACAACCTCGATCCTTTCCTAATGCACCCCCGAACAAAAATCCACACAAATCCGGACCAGTCTCTGAAATTGTGGCGAGCCGTCACGGGACGGCCACAGAACGAGATTCTCACACATCCCGCTTGAGCCTCAGTGCCGTTCACCTGTTGCTCGCGATGCTGCATTTTCACAAGGAAGCCGACCCGGACAGCATGACGGCGCCAGATTCATTACTGCCATGGCATGTGCGTAGCCCAGCGTTCGTCAGTGTTGGCGGACATGCAAGAGAAGTCGCAAATACCCCGGCCGGCCACAAGGGGGCGCTTCAAATCGGAGGACAAGCGGACCTCTCTTACCTAGTCAATTGAAACTCATTCGAACTCGTTTGATGATTTCCATGCGACCCGCAGACCTCTTGTATACATTGTAGGCCGTGTAGCAAGTTTCTCCATCGCTAGCTCAAATGACCCCTTGTAGCAGCATGCACATTCGAGCTCCTTGTTCAGTGACGGGGTCTTGGTAGGTAGTCTTTGTGTGTGTCGTGATGGGTCAGTCACCGCATGTTGGCCGCGTGTGACAGGTGGGGTATGCAAAGAACAATATCGAATGAGCGGTATGTGAAGACGTTTGAAAAGCGGAAGATTACAGACAAGGCCTGCTCTATCAACAGATTCTCCCCTGGTTATAGGCTTGATGTATAGCCTTTGATCCACTGCTGATGCCCGACTGTGAACTCTCACCCCTCTGCCTCTGGCTGTCGGGCTGTCTAGGTGTCTGGCCCATGCATCCCCCTTGCCCTCGTCTGCGGCTTGGGGCTTTCGTAGGCCAATCTAGTGGATGCATCCCCTGCCTGTTCGGTTATAGGGCTGCGATGGGGAAAATGGTGCGTCCGGGATCACTCGCAAGCGTGGCAGAACAGAGTGGCAGCTGCGCACTGTGCTTGACATGCCAATTGTGAATGCCGAGTTCCCCGGCGGATCTAGTGTAAGATGGACACTTTTGTATTGCTCTAACGGCAGTATAATGGCACAGCTGAACGCAATCCAGGGTAAATTATCCATCAGGTCTCAGCCCCTCTGCTGCGAGGTATTTCAGGATCTCCTGGCCTGACTGCGATCACGGTCATAGCAAAGAGGGGTGCTCTACTGTGTCTTGGATGTTCAGTGTTGTGGTGTCCCGGCTGAATGTTTGCTCACTACTGGCGTTTCAAGTAGCCGCCTGTTGCAGATCAACTCCGTCGCAGATTAACGCTTGACGTCGCCCTCGTCGTCAGTCAGCAAACCATCTCGAAACCTTTCATGCGTGCGTACGGTCAACACGAGTTTTCCAGCAGCTGTGACCGCAACTCACCATACAAAGCTCCTGTACGGTCAGCAAGGCAGAGCTGCGTGCCGATATCGACCACACCCTGGGGTGACGACCATCTGGCCCTCCCCGCCGCAGAATCCCGCCACGGGGTTTTCGAGACACTGCCCGAAAGAACACAACCTCCACCTCAAAAGGTCCTTCTCCTGCCGTCTCGAGTCTCTTCCATCGGAACCCTGCCCGTCCTCTAAGATTAACATTGCGAACCTCTACGACCGAGCAGATCAACATGTCGTCCCCGGTGCCGCTGCTCCGGCCACCTGTGCCTGGCGGTCGAAGCCAAAGCGGGAGCCGGACTCCTCGTCTCACACTCGGTATTCCTCCTTCACCCAGTGCTCGTCCAGTAACTGGAGAAGCAGAAGTGGCTCCCGAGATCCCGCGGTTCAGTCTGGCTGCAAAAGGCCCGCCCAAATTGTCCCTAGCCACACCCATGGGAAGTCACGGTGCCATACAAGAAGGAGGAACAAACTTCAGACCGCAAATCCAGCCGCTCAACATATCTGCAATTACAGGCAACGATAATGTGAGTAGACCAAGAGGAGACAGTTTCCACAATGGCAGCGTCCCTGGCTCTGCGTCTTCCTCGACATACTCTGCCCTCTCTTTTGCTATGCATGCACGGCAAGGCGGTACGCCCGATCCCTCTTCAGCAATCAGCTCAATCTATTCGGAGGCGAGCATCGGTGGGGCCTCGATGGAGAGGGAATCCAGCGTGGGCGGACTGTCCATTGACTTCGACAAACTCAGCCTCGAGAAAGGAAGGCCGTTGGATGTAGAAGATTTGGATGACGAAGGATGGACAGCCGCAAGCGAGCAGAAGAAAATCATCGAACTTGGATCCTTAGGTGAAGGCGCCGGTGGAGCTGTGACGAGGTGTATGTTAGAAGGCGGCAAGACCATCTTTGCTCTCAAGGTCTGTATCGTTCCATGCCTGTTTCTGTTGCTCGTCATTAACGAAGTCCTAGATCATTACCACCAGTCCCGACCCAGACGTCAAGAAGCAGATCCTACGAGAGCTAAAGTTCAACAAGAACTGCACATCCGAGTACATTTGCCAATACTACGGTGCATTCATGGACAAGTCGTCGAGCACAATTTCAATAGCAATGGAGTTTTGCGAGGGCGGCAGTCTGGACAGTGTCTATCGCGAAGTGAAGAAGCTAGGTGGCCGGACTGGAGAGAAGGTCCTGGGCAAGATCGCTGAAGGTGTCCTCCATGGGCTGACCTATCTCAACAGCCGCAAAATCATACACAGAGGTAAGCACCTAAAGGCGTCAGTTGAGGAAGAGGCTAACAGCTGCAGACATCAAACCCTCTAATATCTTGCTCTGCCGTAATGGCCAAGTCAAGCTCTGCGACTTCGGCGTTAGCGGAGAATTCGGCACGAAAGGAGACGCCAACACATTTATCGGCACCTCATATTACATGGCGCCCGAACGAATACAGGGCCAGACTTATACCATCACCTCGGACGTGTGGTCCCTTGGTGTTACGTTGCTGGAGGTGGCTCAACATCGGTTCCCCTTCCCAGCCGACGGCACGGAAATGCAACCTCGGGCAGGTCTCATTGACCTCTTGACGTATATCGTTGCGCAGCCGATTCCCAAGTTGAAGGATGAGCCAGAGAACGGGATCAAGTGGAGCGACACGTTCAAGTACTTTATCGAAAGCTGTCTCGAGAAAGAGCCGACCCGGAGGGCCTCTCCATGGCGAATGCTAGACCATCCATGGATGGTGGAGATGAAGTCCAAGAAAGTCAGCATGTCGACCTTCCTCAAGCAAGTCTGGGACTGGAAGGACTGAGGAGCGATTCGAAAAATTGATCCGCACCCTTGACCAACAAGGTGCAATCGACGCAAGACCTGACTTGGTCGTGTATGGGGTGCGCCACGTCAACAGTGGAAGACAGCGACCGGCATCTTTGGCAATGAAGGAATACCCCTCTGCCTTGTGCGCGCCAGGCGACTCCGCCGCCACCACACCATCGATGGCTATGGGTAACGACTTAATGACTGATGGACGGTGACATGGAACTCCCAGCGAGGGGTTTGCCGACGATACTATGTCAAGGGTATTCCTCGTACGTGACACAGGACTGGATCTTGAAGCAGCGTCTTCGATTTGGCACCGCCATTGCAGCACCTGCTTGTCCACCTCGACATTTGGGGGCCCGTTGAGCCAAAGCTCCATGGATTTGGAGGGCCAATATTTGCTTTCCGAAGTGGGACGGTCCAGTTGCAGGCGACAAGTTGGTTCGCATGGCATTCAATGGACATATATGTCTTTGGATCGGCTCGGCTTGCAGAGCAGGGGCTTGGGACTTAATGAATGGGAGTCAAAGGTTGGACTAGGAATGACATACCGCACGCCAGATTTCGATCGGGAGCGACCACTTTAGGGTTCTAAGATGTTACCCTTATATCCACAGAGATATAGAGAATGATACGGAGCATATCATATCATATTATATCCATTGTCTGTCTTTGAGCCCTTCCATTCTTCCGTTCACTATGGTTACACGAGCATCCATATTTGATGTGATTTCGTTTGATTCATGAGCAAAATGATCGGTAGTTGTCACCGGGGTCAAGCGCCCAAAGTTGGCTGATGCCATGGTGGTAGCTGGAGCCTGTCTTGCTGCCATTCTTTGCAGTCCCTGTCGCTGTTGCAGGTGAAAATTGGGGTTTCAGAGCTTCGCCTTCTCCGCGATCAGGGTGTAGCTGCGCGGATAGCTCTCGAGCCGATCCTTCTTCATTTCGTCGATGTTGCGGAATCCGGCGGTGAGCATGGTAATGTCGAACTCGGCAAGCAGGCTCTTCATGACGTGTCGGACGCCTTCTTCGCCCATGATACTGGAAAGAGAGGGAAGAAGATTGGTGTTAGTCAATGCCTTTTGGTTCTCACGACACGTGTGCATAAGATGGGGGTAATTTGGATGAGTTTGGAACGGAATGGTATAAACTCGGACATGGGTTTTGCGATTGAGTGATCGACTGGAAACTCACCTCAAGCCATAAATCCACATTCTTCCCACCCAGACGAATTTGGCGCCCAGGCACAAGGCCTTGATGACGTCCGCGGCGCCACGGACGCCCGAGTCGAACATGACGGTGATTTTCTCGCCGATGCCGGCGTTGATGATGTTCTCGAGGGCATCGAGGCTGGCGATGGCCCCGTCGACTTGGCGGCCGGCGTGGTTGGAGACGACGATGCCGTCACAGCCTATGTCGACACATTGTTGGGCGTCTGCGACGGATTGGATCCTGTGTGGGGAAAAAAGGGAAGAGGTTAGCCTGCCATCCGACCTGGTCCGGTCTGGTATCTCTCCCTGGGGGTGGCAGGCAGGGACGGAAAACATCTTTTCTACTAGTCTGCTGCCACCGACTTTAACTCACCCTTTGATGCAGAAGGGCTTGCCGCCGCTGAGATCTTTCCATGTCTTGATCAGCCAAGGGATCTTTTCCCAGGTGAATGCACGGCCGTGCCAGACGTTGTCGATCCACATGGCACCAGCCTCTTCAGGTTGCTTCTTTGGATCGATGCCTGCTTCTCGCAGACGTTGTTGGAAGACGGGGTCCGCAAGGCCCATGTCGGCGCCGATGCCGCGGTAGAAAGCATAGTTGGACGTGGCGACGTCGTCGTGCCGCCAGCCCAGTTGCCATGTATCCTGTTGAGTGAATGGTCAGCACCCAAGATCTGAAATCAGTGCGGTTAAAAGGGTTACAATTCCGGGCAGGCGTACTGTAGTCAGGATACAAGCCGTGAAGCCGGAGGCCACGGCTCTCTTGAGTAGAGAGACGGTCAACTCGTCATCGTGAGGCATGTACAGCTGGAAGAAGCGGACGGGCTCGTCGTTGTTCGCTCCCTCCACCTGGACGGCGTCCTTGGAGTGTCTGCCTGCATCGTTGGCCGCCGCCACGTCTTCGATCGTGCTCGACCCGGCCGTGCTCAAGCCATACGGCAGTCGGAGCTCTCCCGCGACTTTGGCCACGGGCAGTTCGCCTTTCGGATGATAGATCTTGTTGATGCCGATGGGAGCAAAGCCGAAGGGGGCCGCGACTTTGTGGCCGAACAGCGTCGTGGTGGTGTCTCGCTCGTTAACGTCAACGAGCTGGTGTGGGATCAAGCGGTGTCGGTAGAACGCTTGTCGGTTGGCCAGGTGAGCTGGAGGGAAACGGTCAGCATAATTTGACTTGTGTGAGGCTCAGAGAGAGGGATCTATCTTATCGCATACTCCAGCTTTGGCCGGCATTGGACTGGGCGTACAGCCGGCCGTTGATGGACAGTGATTCTTCGGCATGGGCTTCGAGCTTGTCTGGTCTGGTATTGAAAGGCGAGGCTGGAAGAGAGAAGGGTATGGTCAGTCAAATCGAATATTCCACCCTTCCTACTACTGGAACCTGTTTCTCTTACTCTTGTTCTCGTTCAACTGCCAGAATGACTTGCGCTGCTCCTGCTGCCAATGCGGCGTCGATCTGTGGTATAGTTTCGGGATTTTCGGATCACTCATTTTGAAGGCGTGGAGGGAGTGGGTATATCTCAGGACAAGGCAAAGGGGGAATGGTACAGATGGATCGATAGATGCGTTCTTGACTACCAGAAGGTACAATACAGAGCAGGAGAGATGTGAAGTATTATATTAGTATTCAGAGCCTCATAAATCAATTCCCGTTGGTATTGTTGATGTTGGATCATCAGGCATGGTTATGGTGGTCAGGGACCAGACCGGTTAGAAGTCCATGCATGACATACAGAGTACGATGATCTGGATGCTCCGGCCTGGTGAGCGAGACACGATGGCAAACGATGAACATGACGTTCCGGTCATGATGATGATGATGTTAAACCGCAGTGTTTAATGGAGACAAGCTTCTTTGACAGGGGTTTAGCGCGTCACGGGATCGACTCCCCAGTTGCTTGTTTTCCCGACCTCTTCCTACAGGCAGAGTTGGAAGTCCATCTTCTCCATCTTCTCCATCTACAGAGTAATATTTTAGCCACCCTGTACAGACTCCAGAGTACTACTGATATTTGTCCCCTTCATGGCTGATGATACCATATCACCAATCATTGCCATGAACAGCTTCCATCCCCACGGTGGCCTCAACCGTCGCGACTGTCCATGATACCAACAGCTCCCGGCCGATCATACCTAGGTTCCTACGTCCCTCGCCTGATCCACGCTGAAACATTGTCAAGAACTCCGTCCTCTGACCTCTTTCTCACGTGAAATAGAAGAGCAGGGCATTCTGCAAACCTTGCACAAATTTGACTCTCGGGGGGTCATCGTCGTGATGAAAATGTCACCGCAGTGCAGGCTCTGGCTGTTGAGGGCAGCGGTCAAAAGCCAGCTGCCGTATACTCTGCCCAGCCCAGCTAGATACCGGCTCCTCACTTATGTGATGGATTCTTCTCGTGTCTGAACGAGCAAGATATTAGCGTTCATCGACAGATCACAGCTCAGATCAGTGGAGATCTCAACGGTGGCCTGCCTACCCCCGGCATTTGGGCCGAAATGGCTCAACTTTTCCCAAGGTCGATATGCTAACTCTGTCCAAACATTCAGTCACGGTTCGGTCATCTGTGGTACACTCAAACATCAAATTACGGAAATTGTCCGTGCTAGACGAGTTCTCCGGTCGGGCTTCTCAACCGGTCGATACACCCTGGGGAATCCCTTCAGCCGGCAGGCACCTTGAGAATGCTCCCCTTGGCAGGAGAGCAGTATTTGTAACTGCAATCTGCTTGCAACTGTCCATCCGCACCATTCATGCAGACTCTGTCTCACGCTCACGACTTCTTGGACACCTCCATGTTGATACTGATTGTCTTCGCATGCAGATAACCCCTCAGTCCCTCATATCCGCTTTCCCGGCCATAGCCGCTCTGCTTGACGCCTCCAAAAGGGACCTGCGGAGAGGTCTTGAACGCCTGGTTGATACCCACCGCGCCGGCCTCAATTTTCGAGGCGACTCGTAGTGCTCGGGGAATATCCGATGTGAAAATCGAGGCTGGTAATGTCAGTACAGGTGCGATGCAAGAACGTCATTACTTACATCCAAGGCCATAGGTGGTATCATTGGCAAGTCGGATCGCTTCCTCTTCGGTCTGGAAAGTCTTGACCGAAATGACTGGCCCAAAGATCTCGTCCGTATAGACGCGACTCTTGAGGTCCGGGTTCAGAAGGACTGTCGGTTGGACAAAAGCCCCTTTGTCACCGAGCCGCTCACCACCAGCCAGGATCTGGATGCCCTCAGCCTTGCCGGCCTCCAAGAAGCTCATGACTCTTTCAAACTGCTTTTTGTCGGCCAGTGGTCCAAATGCAGTCTCCGGTAAGGATGGATCACCCATTTTCTTGGCTGCATTTTCGAAAAATGTCTTGATGCCCGCGATGAACTCGGGAGCAATGCCCTCCTGCACCAACACCCTAGATGACGCGAAACAGATTTGACCCGAGTTCCGCAGGAAACTGTCTGAGCTATGGAGCAGCGCATTCTCCAAATCAGCATCATCAAAGATGAGGGCGGGCGACTTGCCGCCCAACTCCAATGATACGTGCTTCAAGTTGGATCTCGCCGCTGCAACTTGGACAGCTCGGCCCCCAGCCTCTGACCCAGTGAAGGCGATCTTCGCAATATCCATGTGCGAGGCAAGCATCGCCCCAACCGGTCCGGCGCCAGTGACTATGTTGATGACCCCGGGCGGAAAGCCTGCCTCCTTGATCAGGTCACCATAGGCCGCAGCTCCGAGGGGTGACTTCTCCGATGACTTGAAGACGAAGGTGTTGCCGGCGGCCAAAGCGGGCGCCATCTTCCACGCGGCCAACGTGTGAGTGGCGTTCCATGCTGCAATTCCAGCACATACACCCAGTGGCTCGTAGGCCACGATCTTGTAGCTTCCATCACCGTCAGGAGGATAGCTCTCGCCAGCGATCTTGCCGGCAAAACCTGCATAGTACCTCCAAATGGCGGCAGGGCCCTTGACGAACCCGGTTGCGACGGTAATGGGTTGGCCCATGCATATTGTCTCCAGCTTCCCGAGCTTTGCGGCATTGGTTTCAAGGAGGTCGGCGAACCTGAGCATGACGGCGGCACGCTGCAGACCTGGAGTGGCCGACCAGGCTGGGAAGGCGGCTTTCGCGGCCGCCACCGCCTGGTCGACATCTGCTTCGGCTGCTACTTGGACTTTGTCCGACACCAGAGTGTCATCGTTGGGATTGTAGATGGCCAGACTCTCCCCGGAAGAGGAGTCGACATACTGTTCAGTGGTCAGGGCACATATACAAGAGTACATCCCGACGAAGGATGGGTTGGGTAGACGAGACGAACCTGGTTGTTGATGAAAAGCCTTGTTTCGTATGACATGGTTTATGAATTCCTAGGATATGCTGATGATTTGACACTCTCTCCAGATACTTCGCTTCGAACTTGTCCACTCAGGCATGCTATCAGAAACCTTTAACTGCTCTTGATATACACGACCATCGCCTTGCCCTTCGATTGACCCCGCATCTTTCTCGGTTGTTGAGATTGAAGCTCAGCCGAGCTCGGAGTAACAGTCAGGCTCTCTCCAAGGTTTCTACTTCGTTACGAGGCACCGATTCCTGGCAATACACATCAACTCTGTCCAGGCGACCATCCGAGATTGGAACAGCATCTAGTAGCCTTCAAATAGCTCACTCTTGACAGCCCCAGTCTTTCCGTCTTGGTGAGTCTCCATCTTCCAGCTTATGGCGCCTGTCAAAGACGACCGTTCAGGCACGCGGTTGCCTGCGCCAATCACAATCTAAGATGGATATGTTCTCTCCAGAACGGCCTCTTCATAGACTCCCTACAATGCCTCATATTTTCCTCACCTTCTCTATAGGGAGTCACCACGTGGGCGACTTTTGCAGTATTCAAGGCATCGTTATTGGAACGTCCTATCCACTGTTCGACTAGCTATGGGTCACGACTTGGCCTCCTCCGCTGTCTTCCAGACATGATGGACACATAAAAAGCCTTGCGCCGTCTGCCTTGATGGCCAGGTCTTTTACCGACCTTTTCATCTTCATCCGTAATTTGATCGCACAGAATTGGCCGAGCACCATGTACACGAAGATCGAGAACCTATTGTTGTTAGGGTCGTTGTCATATGAGGCGACGGCAGCAGCTCATGGCCAGCAAGCCAGCAACAACGGGCCTGCCGACCTTGATTGGCATCCTCCCAGCAAGACCAGCATTAATGATCTCGGTAGCGTCATCAATGGCACGGGGATATACGGCTTCATTTTCAACAGCTCGACCACTCCGGCGACGTCTGGGTACGGCACGTACAACTGGTGCAATATGCCCCATGTACGAAGACAGGAGTATGTGGTGCCTCCCAAAGACTACAAGCTCGAATACGTGGAATTGGTAATTCTTGACACTCGTCGTCCCCTATTGCCGTGCCAAAGACAGGCTACTGGAGCTGGAGCTGATTCGAGAGACAGATCCACCGCCATCATAAGCGCACCCCATACGCATCCAACACTTTCCCTCGTGAGACCTATCCCTGGTACTGCGATGACGAGGCTCTGTTCTACTACGGTACACCGGACCCAGACGGCCACTCCGCCCAGACCAGCTGGCAAATCTTTACCTCAGACTCCAATCCGCTGGCGCCAGAGGGATTCAATGGGACCTGCCAATTCCCACAGATAACCGCCGGCGGCCTGAACGACTCTCGACAACACGGCAAGGATCTATTCGACGTGTATCATGACCTCCTTGGCTTCTTACCCGCCGAGTACGACAATCGGAGGGTAGGCTATCGCGTCACAAACAACGTGATTACGTCGCAAGTTGTGAGCCAGGTCGTCCTTGGCCAGTATGCGGGCCAGTTCACCGACAAACCTGTTGGCGTCGCAATCCAGCCTGACTCGATCGACTCTCTCGAACCCGGATATACGTGTGAGGCTGCCAGCGACATGTACTCCAGCTACGGCGTGGGTAGCGACGCGGCCAATTGGACATTACATCTGAACGAGTCGGCGCCGCTGTTCGCCAAACTCGACTCCGTCTCAGTGATCAACGCTTCTGACCCGGATTGGCATCAATGGTTTGACCATTATTTTGATAACCTATCAGCACGACTGTGTCATCAGAAACCGCTACCTTGTCAGGAGGGCAATTCGAGCAATTGCGTCACACAAGATGAGGCCGATGCCGTCTTCCGCAGGGGCCAGTACGAATATAGCTGGATCTATCGAGACTCGCCGCAGTCGCTGGCTGCTAGCACCGCCTCCTTTGGCATCTGGGTGGCGGAGCTTGCGAGCAACCTGCGCAGCGCAATGGGCGTCGAGAACACACCCAAAAGCTCCACGCTCTACCGACATAATGTGGCCCATGATGGCAGCGTGTCCCGGCTGCTCAGTATCTTACAGGTTGATGTCATGGTGTGGCCGGGGATGGGGTCCGAGATTGTCTTCGAACTCTACTCGCGCGAAGGCTGCTATTTCCTCCGAGTGCTCTGGGGCGGCCAGGTCTTGCACAGTTCGAATCCGAGTCTCGGTCGCATGGATCTGATTCCCATCCAGACTTTCCTCGATTATGTGGATGGCCTGGTTGGGGCCAAGGCAGCGAAAATCCCTGGCTTGTGCGAAGGGAAAGAGTAGCCCAGACTGTACGAACTGTGGTAAGCAAGAAGGTCTGCTTGTGGGTTGTGTTGAGTTGCGCGATACCAAGACAAGGCTGGCTAGAAAAGGGGAAATGTACCCCTCGAGCGTTTCTTCAGGTAGATTCGGCTTCGTTTCATCTCGAACGACTCCTGACCGCCAACTCAGGTAAGAGACAGGTGACATGAAAAAGCATGCGGGTCGAAATAGTGATACTGTATCTACAATGAATGGATGAGCTCAAATTGACTCTCTTTGGCATTGAATCGTGAGTGATTGAATCGACCCCGCCAGCAACGTTGCGCATGACGCCCTGTGAAACCAGCGTCCAACTTGAAGTGAGAGGGACCAGTCAAGTCTCTGCTTGCAAGAGTCAAATACCTGCAAGCAGCGTACAGTTCACAGACCTCCGCCACTAGAGACATAGAAGAAGCCTAAACTAAATATTGTGGAAGGAGTCGAAGTCGGCTATTCACACGGGAATTCCATCTCGTCGAGTGCGGCCGAGGCTCGTCGTGCTTTCCTCTTCACCGAGGATCCCTATTCCTCAGTCACGAAAGAGACGGCTAAACGTTCATTGGATGCCGCCAAACGACATGGGTATATAGTTTGCGCATAAGCGATATTTCAACAACCTGAACCCCAAGTACACTGCATCCAAGGGGTGTGAGAGCAGCCGTATGAACGCTCTATCTTCCAATCCAGCTGTAGCCGCCATGGACGATGCCAGCGGTCAGAAGCTGAATATTGTGATTGTCGGCGCAGGACTGGCAGGGCTAGCCGCCTCTATTTCGTGCGCACTCGCCAACCACAAAGTGCATGTTCTGGAGTCTGCCAAAGAATTGGCTGAGGTTGGCGCTGGGTTACAAATCACCCCGAACGCCTCGAGACTGTTGCGAGACTGGGGTCTAGGACACGAGATTGACAAGGTCGCGGCAGAGCCCACTCTACTCGCGGTCCACCGATACAGTGATGGAAAGATCCTAGCTGAGGAGAAGGAGTTCGATGAACAGATGCGACGCAAATACGGCGCACCCTTCATCGACATGCACCGCGTCGACCTGCAGCGGATTCTCTACCACAAAGCCCTATCGCTCGGCGTCACAGTAGAGTTGGGCTGTCGATTCTCTTCCATCGGCCGAACTCCGCCGGCGGGACCAGAAGTCATTCTGGAGTCTGGTCGAACGATCCAGGGCGACTTGGTAGTGGGAGCGGACGGTCTGTGGTCCAGATGCCGAGAATGTCTACTAAGCAGGACGGACGAGCCTCTTCCGACGGGCGACCTTGCTTACCGAATCGTCTTGGAGCTCGACAAAATCACCGACCCAGAGTTGAGACAATGGATGGCCAATCCACAGGTGCATTTCTGGATCGGCCCGCACGCACATGCAGTAGCATACTCCCTTCGCGCAGGGGCCATGTACAACATCGTCCTCCTCTGTCCGGATGACCTACCCACGGGATTGTCCAGGACCAAGGGCTCCATCAGCGAAATGAAGCGCCTCTTCTCCGACTGGGATCCCATCCTGACTCGATTCCTAGACCAGGTCGACCAAGTGGACAAATGGAAACTCATGCACCGCGAAGAACTCGAGTCGTGGACCAACCCCGAAAAGGACTTTGTCTTGATCGGCGACTCGTGCCATCCTATGCTCCCGTACCTCGCTCAAGGCGCCAACTCGTCGATCGAAGACGGCGGAGTCTTGGGGAGGGTGTTGTCACATGTGACTTCCAAACAGCAAATACCCTGGGCCATCCGGCTCTTTGAAAGCCTGCGCAAGTCCCGGAGCGAGATGATCGCCCGCGAGACCTTTCATCAACGAGACGCGTTCCATATGCCGGATGGTGAGGCTCAACGGGAGAGAGACATTCTCTTCGCTTCACAGCTGGGCAAGGAGATTTCTATCAAGTTTCCTAGTCGTTGGTGAGTAGAATTACCTCTTCTGTCAAGGCCTTCAACAATGCAGCAGCTTTATACTGACGCGAATGAAGGACGTGTCCGGAAGTCCAGCCTTGGCTGTATGGATACGATGCTCGCCGTGAGGCTGATGAAGCGGTCAAATCGCAGCCTTGCGACGCAAGGACGTGTCAGAGGAGCTAGACCTGTCTGCCTCTCCGGGTCTCGACGAACCTGAACGTGGCGAATCGCCTCGCTTTGCCAGGTCTATGAAATCCCTAGGCTCCATAAGCCTTTACGGGCTCGTGGCCTTCATCACAGGTAGCCGCGGGACAGAGAGGATGAAGCTCAGATCCGCGAAAGCTGATGATAAGACAAGTTCGGACAGCGGTCCAGCTTTCACACCTCAAAACTTATTGCTTCCTCTATCCGCTGCCATGTTGCCAGCCTCCGCACCATAGCGACCGTACAGAGACAGGTAAACTTTGATCAGTGGGAGAGGGAAGAACATGTTGGAAGCGGAACTGCGTCTTGATTATATGAAGTGGAGGTAAAAGTTGCTAAAAGCAGCGGCATGATCTCCCTACTGCTCCCAATTAGGTATCTTTAGGCACACCCTGCCTTGAAACCTATCCTTGACTTATCGGGTATCCCATGGCTACAGCTACCAATCCCAGATGATGCTCTTCTCTCTCTTTCCCCGTCCATCTTCTCCATCTTCCCCTTTGCCCCATCGTTACAGAGAACTTACCGTGTCAAACAGTTTTAGGCTCCCTGATGTGGATTTTATCCGGTGGACATGCCCTTCACGTGACCCCTTCCTGGTAAAATGGTAACCCCTGAGATCATACTGACTAGGTGGTGGGTGGCTTCTCCATCCTAACATTCCTTATACGGCTAAATTCGCACCGGCGCTTCCGTCATAGAAAGAGACAGAACTGTGGAACGGTGGGAAGAACAGAAGAGGGTGTTGCAAGTTGTGTCAGTTGTTGTGTCCGTTGTTGTGTCCGTTGTTGTGTTTGTCTTTTGCTTTTCCCATCCAGAGGTCATTTTCCTCTTCTCTAGAAGTTCTTCCTCCTTCTCGTCATCATCATCATCATTTCTGCTATTCAAAAGTGAACGAACACCACCGGTGCTTGTGCTGATACCATACTAATAACCAATCTAATCTATCACATCAACAATAATGGCTCCGTCTGTCGATACCGTGACTCTGGCCTCGGGCCATAAGATGCCTTTGGTCGGCTTTGGGTTGTGGAAAGTGCCTGCCGACAAGGCTGCCGATATCGTCTATAATGTGAGTCCCCCTGAAACCCCGTGCTTTCATTCCACATTGGTGATAAGAGTGGAGTTTGGGGGTCGGAAGTTCTGCTTCGTTGTGGGATGAGGAGAGGGAGTCATGCCTTGTGCAATGACAATGACAACGACAACGACAATGACTGGAGAGGAAGTCGTGCCTCCGGGGGGTTTCTGCTGGAGAGCTGTACGAACTTGACTGAATTCGTACCTTTTTGCTTTTCTTTCGGAGTCAACCCATAACTGACTGAACCCCTGCTGTACCTTGGTTGTAGGCCATCAAAGTCGGCTACCGTCTCTTCGACGGAGCATACGACTACCAGAACGAGCACGAGGCCGGGCTGGGCATCAAGCGCGCCATCCACGAGGGCCTGGTCAAGCGCGAGGACATCTTCGTCACGACCAAGCTGTGGAACAACTACCATGCCAAAGAACATGCCTTGGCCATGGCCAAGGCCCAGAACGACGCCTGGGGGCTGGGGTACATTGATCTGTATCTGATGCATTTCCCCATTGCTCTGAAATACATTGAGCCCGAGAAGCTACGGTATCCGGTACGTTTGGTTTTTTGCTTCTTGTTGTTGATGATGATGACGATGCCAACACCCCTTTCTTCTTATCCTATTAGCTTGCGTGTGTGTTTGAGCTAACAAACCTTTGGCATTTTTCAGGGCTGGTGGATGGACGCCGAACAAAAAACCATCGAACGCGCCAACGTGCCGCTCAAAGAAACGTGGGAGGCGCTCGAACAGGTCGTCGACGCAGGCATCGCCAAGTCGATCGGCATCTCCAACGCCCAGGCCCAGACCATCTACGACATACAGACGTACGCGCGTCACCCGATCTCCTCGCTGCAGATCGAACACCACCCGTACCTGGTGCAGCCGGACCTCGTGGAACTCGCCCGCGAAGAGAAGATCGTCATCACCGCCTACTCGTCCTTCGGCCCGCAGAGCTTCCTGGAACTGCCCCCGGCCTTCCGCAAACGCTCCGAGACCGTGCCGACTCTGTTCGAGGTCGACGTCGTCAAGAAGGCCGCCCAGCGCACGGGCAAGACCCCCGCCCAGGTCCTGTTGCGCTGGGCCACCCAGAGGAACATCGCCGTCATCCCCAAGTCGAACAATGTCAATCGGCTCCAGCAGAACCTCGAGGCCACGGACTTCGATCTGACCGATGCCGAAATCGAGGCCATCTCCGCGCTGGACAAGGGCCTGCGCTTCAATGATCCGGGTTTCTATCTCGACAAGCCACTGCGGATCTTTGCATAGATCAGAGGAGAAAAGAGGCCACAGACATCGGTCTCGCATTGTAGGCAGTGTGTTAGGTTAGGTAGACGGGAATAAAAAGCCTGAGAATTTCCAGCAGGATCCATCAAGGCTGTAGAATTGCTTTGGTGTTCCGATACTAGTACGGCTGTCGTCTCCAACAATGCTATGTGTGCAACCCACTCAGTAGTCCAAGTCTGGCTATCCAATGCCGGGTGTGCCCTCCCGCCCTACCCAATGATGCCAACGTATATCCGGCGTAACAGTGTATTGATTGACACAGTAGGACGCTTTCGCTCGTGCTCTTGCACGCCGAGAGATACCAAATCAATACTGCTGTTCAGCTATGGTATCGTCCTTCAGTGCTGGTTTCCATTCCTCAAAATCGTCTCTACCTTATCCAAGAGACGACGAATCACCGAAACTCAACTGATGGGAACCATTTCTTCAGTCCAACTCTTTCCTTGCAATTCACCCCGCCACATCCGCAGACACGGGCTCTCCCACCACCACCAAATGATCCGGTCGACGAATGTGCTGGGTAGGCCGCCTCCTCATTCCCGGATCCACTCCGGTTGACTAGCCCTCGCATCGAAGTCCCCTCGGGAACCATCCTGAGTGCCTGATAAGGCTGTGAGCCTGGATCGTAGTACAACCCATCGATTTCGCCCGTCAGACGGTTCAGCGCGATATAGTAAAATCCGGAGATGGTGAGGCCCCACGAGGTGCTGGCGGAATTGTTGTCGTTCGCAGTCGTGGAGGAGGATCCGGCGAGTGGCGTCGTGGTCGACGTCGTGAGTATGGTGGTTGGCGTGGCATCGGAAGCGGAAGCAGGTCCTGCCGCTTCAGGAGGCGTTACGAAGCACTGCTCTTTCCAGCGCATCAAGATCCATTCCCGTCCCAGCTTCTCTGCAATCCACTTGGCACTGCCCAAGCTGCGGGCCATGACCTCGTCTGCCTCGACCTCTCTGCTTTCTTCCGTCTCGGCGCCCGTCGTCCCGGTAGAGTCGGTGTTTGATGCCATCTCTGTCTCGGCGGGGTCGGTCGAAGGGCTGAAGTTGCTGTCAGACGGCCCAGGAGAGTCTTTGTTGTCGCCCTCAGCCCCGGCGGCTTTGCGGAACGCGTCCCACAGTCGACTGTCATGGTGGTATTCACTTCTTCTCTTGCCGCGCAGGTTGCGCACCTTTTCGATTTCTTTCCTAAATGGCCCGAGACGGGCCCAGTACCTCGCATCTGTGTCAAGGCCGCCAACTCGGTAATCGCGTCCCTCTGCCTCGGTCTCCAACGGCTGTTGTCGGAAATCGATGATCTCGCCTGTGAAGAATGAGGACATGCTGGTGGTGGCGGTATAGGGTTGAGAGACAGGCTGTTGTGACGACGAGAGTTTCTCCGGCATGTGGCTTGCCGACATTGTGCCTGTTAGCGCCATGTTACTATAGTCAACGGAATGGATGGTAACTCTGACGGGCCAATGGTCTGACTCTTGGCTTGGACTGGACGACGTGTGAGCAGGATGGGATGTCAAGGGTAGTGTTGAGAGCTGGGAAAACCCCCATCGACCATTGCCGTCTTGCAAGAGATCAGATAGATAGCGATCCGCATCGAGTAGTGATTCCGATGGAAGACGGTCAAGGTCGGCGTTGATGTTGCCCATGTCCATCTCCCTCCGTCGAGCAAAAGTTCGGCGGAGGAGGTCTCGCTGTCTCTCTCGCCGGATGTTCGATGCCACTGTCCCGGTATTGCGAGCTGGTTGCCTCTCGGTTGACTGCAGACCGTGCCAGACCATTCCTGGCTCCAACCACGAACTATATTGCGGTACAGGGAGACTGCCGATATGCATGGGAAGATCGCTGGGAATGTTGGCTTCTTCGGAGTCATACAATGAGTCCAGATCAAGTTGCGAGGCAAGTTCGAAACCACCTTCCACCCCAGTGTGTCGTAATTGCGACAAGTATCGAATCGTGTTCCGCACACGTACGAAGGCCTCGGACTTCTTACGTTCCGCTCTTGTGGTCAACCGGAAGTCAGACCCCAGCGTCCTGCGCTCGCGACCGCCGTATAATCGTACATATTCCGCATGCCGCCTTAGTGAATCATATCGGGACTGGCTGGGAACGTCCAAGGTAGTGGGGGTTCTGGTGGTGGCTGTATCAGCATTGGTGGGTGGTTCGTTCCAATATGCTCGAAGGGCGCTGGCTGTTGGGACAGCCCCCAAGTCCGATGACCGGCTTGATCTGAGAGCATCCCTTGCTGAGCGATAGTTTTGTAATGCGCTCTCGAGTCGTTGGAGATCCTGCCTTGCGTTGGGTTCGGCCTCCGGAGCGGTGATGCTCATGCCCTCCACGTCTCCATCGCTATCGTCGCTCGACTCCAAGTCCCGCATGTCTGGTCCCGGGGAAGCGGCAACAGCCCAGTCATAGAGGCTCTGACGGACAGGACCGCTGCCGGTAGTAGCATACCGTTGTCGTTGTGCTTCTCTGTCTGCTGTGCGCGGGTACCCCATTCGTAGTCGTGATCGCTGGCTCTGCATGGCTGTCCTTCTTCCGTTTTCGTCTGACCAGCTTTGGAATTCTCCTTCTGTCAGATAGTTCCTTCGGATACGGGTGCCCTCATCAGCTCGGTCGAGCCTTAGTCCTCGAATATCGTCCGCTCTAGCAGCAGACGAATGTCTGCTCCATGGTCTCTCAAGTTGTGAAGAGGTTTGCGAGTTGGGATGGTTTCGAGAGACCACCTGGAGTCGTTGGGCGCGATCGGAGGCCAACTCTAAAGGAATTGAATTCAGAGTAGAGGCAAGGTCAGGTACCGGGGTAGAGATGGCTTCTTCGAGTTGACGGAGATAGTTGGTTTCGCCCAACGAGCTGACAACAACTCCAGAAGTGGAAGAGCGAGGAGGCGTGGTCGGACGAGTGGCCTGTAAGACAAAAAGTGAGTCAAGATGGTCAAAATGCCAAACAACGAGACGAGATGGCGGGCGTCATTGGTACGTGGTATGACTGATTGTTTGCCAGTGTTGCGAAGAGGCTACCTTGCGCCGCCTGACGTTCAAGCTTTCCGAACGCAGCGCGTCGCCCGTGAGTTGCAAACAACAGCGTCTTCGTCACACTGTACTTTCGATTGGGCTGGTATACCTCAAGAGGAGTCCTTACATCAGGCGAGTTCGTGGGTGGCATCGAGATCAGAGACAGTGATGGGATCAGCGAGGCATCCGCAGCGAATTGGGCTTGGCTAGCTTCCTCGGTCGAGTTCAACTGCGGTCCACTTGGAGATGGACTTCGTACAAAGGTTGTAACTAAATGCGATGTGCACACTCCGGAGGAGATGGCCAACGAGGAGGATGTGGTTTGCCAGACAACTTGAAGACAACCGGTTCAATGTATGAATGATGCACTGCAGTGCCATGTTGCGATCTCAATCTCGGGTTTCTAGATGACGTCGGTGATGGTCCGACCAGCAAACAGCACAGCACATCCTCCCCGAAACCCTCATGAGTACCAACCTGCAGTGGAATACATCTTCACATTCGACCTGACAAGTCCAACCTTCTATAGCACACTGGAATCAATGCCTGCCTCCTTTATCGATGCAGCACGTCTTGCGAAGAACCCATTGAAGGATTCAAATCTAGCCTCGAGTTCCGGAGCCCACCTTGACGGACACCTCGAGGCCTCTGCACGTCGAAGACCGAACTCTGTAACATGTATAAGCAAGTGACGATGGCTTGTCGAGGATCGAGGACCAAAGAGCGGAAGAGGAGGAGATGCAGATACAAGATTACATGATGAAGCCGGCGGCCGCCGTAACTCTACAAGCCAGTGCAGTTGGTCGTAGTCTCTGTCCAGTCTCTCGAGTCTCTCGACGCCCTCGACGCCTGCACCTGCACAACAACCACCGTGTTTTAGGCGTGTTCCCGCGTAAAGTCGTGAAACCTTTGCACACCAGACCCCAAGTCCGCCACTTCAACTTCTCTTCAACCAACTGCGCACACCATACCCAGTATTCAAAGACTGACCGTCGATACCTCATCGCCACTGTCGTGTCGCAACTCACATCGGTTGATTCTACCTGTCGTCGCCCCGACTTTCCGCCGCGTAGGCGCTATTCACTCTAGGTGCTACCGCGCTACCCTGGTTCTTCAACCTACTGTGCCCGTTTCACTCTCACCCCAACCTCAGATCTTGTGTGGTCGCATCAAATGTGAATTGTCCTGCCGATACTCCTTCAATGTGCGTCTAACTACCTCCTATTACCTTTTGCTTACCGCTAATACATGACTCTCAGCATGGACGCGACCGATCCTTCTCTGAATTACTTCGCGCCAGAACTTTTCCACGACCAAGATGATGCGACAATGTCACAAGATCCGCTTACGCATTTGTCGCAAGATATTGATATGACAATGGGAGAAGAAGCCGCACTATTCAATACGGATGTCATTGATCCTAGCATCGCCATGGACAACGGACATCATGTAAAACAGGAGGACTACGACAGCGTATATCCGTCTTTGGACAATGACATGCCGATTGGTGATACGTTAAACCAAGATACGGCCACTGATGTTCACGGCGCCGATGATTATGCTTCAACACAAGGCTCCCCCGAGGCTTCAAGACGCCATTCCAAAGGTCCTGGCCGATCTAGAAAAGTTGATCCTGACGAGCCGCCCAAATCGCACGTACATTCCTCAAAGAATGAAGGACAACACACTGACCGAAGATTCCTCTGCTACATCTGTCACAAACTATTCACGCGACGCCGTTCTGTTCGAGATCACATCTCCAAAATCCACAATACCAAGACCTGGGAGCCGGTGCGCAGTTTGGAGGTCATCGTGGACCCGATCACTGGCGATCCGATCGAACCTTTGGAAGACATCATCGCTAGAGGGCCACCTCCTCCACCACCCAAGATGACCAAGGCTGAAAAGGCCGCGAAGCGTGAAGCTGACGAGGATGCGGAGCAAGACGAAGAGCAAGCAGTGGTCAACCATGATGAGACCTCCATGCAACAAGACATCACCACCATCCCTGCGCCTCTCCCCACGGAGCCGGCTCCCTCTCCTGCGGCGATGAGCCTCAAGAGAGAGTCATCGGTGGCAGGGTCGAGGGCATCTTCAGCCGAGCCATTTGCTACGCCTCAACCGGTGGCAGGCAGGAAGCGACCAGCGCCGGAAGACTCCAGCAAATCGACCTCGACCGCTGCTAAGAAAAAGGGCACCGCGAAGGTTAAGAGCTCCGTGGCGCCTCATAGAAAGTCTAAGCTCAGCGAGTCTGAACAGCATCCGTCTGCAGCACGTTCGCCTTTTCGTTCCCCCAGTGCCGCTCCAGGCTCAACTCACCTCAAGCCGGCACCATCCAAACTCAAGCACCACACCTCTGCTGCCAGTGTTAGGTCATCTCCCACACCAGCCGCCTCCTCGCGAGCCGGGTCTCTCGAGATAGATTCGGTCTCCAGCTCAGTCGCAGACACTCCGACCAGCTCAAACGATGATGGCGAGGTGTTCTGTATTTGTCGTAAAGGAGACAACCACACATGGATGATCGCTTGCGACGGTGGATGTGATGAATGGTTCCATGGAAACTGTGTGAACATCCGAGAACGAGACGGCGAACTCATTGACAAGTACATCTGTCCAACCTGTACGAAGCCCGGATTGCAGACGACCTGGAAACGCATGTGTCGACGAAAGGACTGCAGAAAGCCGGCAAGAGTGACCAGAGACCCTCCCAGCAAATATTGCTCGGACGAGTGTGGACGCATGTTCTTTGTGGAATTGCTTCAGAGAAGTGATCCCCGGGCTCAGGCATCAAAGGACGGACTGTCCATTGTCGAACCAGAGAAGGTCAAGAAGGTACGCAAGACGAAGAAGAAGAAGCTCGATATGCGAGGCAAGCCGCCAAAGCCTGTTTCCCACCTTCTCAATGGCGATCAAGGTGATCGGATGAGCATCGATAGTCGACTTGCAACACCAGCATACAGTGACAATGAGGGAACAGAATACGAGACAGACAGCAGTGTCGACGATCATGATCTGCCCAACAGAGGTGGTGCGCTTAGGGTAGGTGAGATCAGAGCCCTTCTTGACCAGTGCAAGACCGTCGAACAGTTCAGAGCGTTGGGAAGAAAGCCAGACACACCCCCTCTAGACCCGGATGTTGCAGACGCCAACGCGGTTGAACCAGTGTATGACGACTTGGAGACTGCAAAGGTGGCTAGCCTTGAGGAGGAGAAGCGACAGCTCAACGAACGCACCACCATGCTCTCCGCACGAGAAACATTCCTTGGATTACTCAAGGCCCGATCGACTGCCATTACTGAGGAAGTTCGAAAGGCAAACCCGAAGATGAAAGACATTTGCGGCTTCGATCCCCGAATCTCGTGGACTGATGGAGAGTTCCTGTCCTGGTATAACGGAATGGGCGGCAAAGAGATCCTCGACGCTGGCTCTGCTGCCAAGATCGGACCTCCAGACGAAATCGATGATGATCATGACCGAGACCACAAGCCAAATGGTGTGAACGCAGCACACGCTGCCTCTGATCCTGCAGTCGAAGAGGCCGACGATACAGACAGCATGTCCAAGAAAGGAGGTGTATGTATCAAGAATCGCTGTTCACGACACCGAAACTGGGCCAAAGGACAACTTGCCGAATTGCGCTTCGAACAGGACTTGGTGAGGAGAGCCTTGAGTAAATGCGAGGCGCAGGAGAACCGTATCAAGGAGAGAGCGGTTGTAAGAGGCTGGGAGACGCGAGGTGGAGTTGCAGCCACCTGATGGTACAGCTGCCAATGACCAGTGGCCACATTTCGTGTATGAGTCCGATGCTTTCGTGGTCTGCTGGCCACACAGCACCACAATATGTTGAGTCGAGATCAGATGTGAGCTAACAATTGCGGCTTATGCTGGGGACAACTGAGCCAACGACAGCTGGAAGGTGCTTTACCATCGATCGAAGAATCAGAGGTGGAAATATGACATGCAGTCCTTCACCAACAATTGGGGAATCAGAGCTGGAAGGGCACGACATGCTTCAGCAACTACTGTGCTTGTGTCGTCTACCTCACAAAGAGCTGGAGAGTGCTGTACGTCCGACACTGCGGATCGGCACGAAACGCAGAGCTGGACTCCGTTGAGGATGGCTACGAAGAGTCGAGAATCATTCTCCGGCACGAGCCATGAAGAGCTCGAAGGAATTCGAAACGCCCCACGGGTTCTCCTTGTTAGCTCAAGATCGCAAAGAGCTCGCTTTTCACCAAGCCCACTGCTCGCTTTTCACAAAGCTCTACCCACCATCCCCCCCGATCCGAAGAGCTAGTTGCATCACACCCCCAATCAACACAACATGTACGCGTCGCTTTGAGCCCGCATGAACACACTACGCACGAGCTGGCAGTCGAGGACAATTGGTTTTCATGAGCTATTGATCGCAGTCGAGGCGGCGAGGAAAGGCGGTTTTCTGATGGGCTGGGTGCCACAGGGAAAGGAAAACGGCATCTCAAGATCCCAGCGCATCGGCTCATCAATCAAAGCCCTCCTCTGCACACCCCTGCCCCTTGTTGCATGCCTCCCCTTACCCCCCAACATCAGAGAATCCGACCCTGCACGCCAGAAGAGGTTGAGTGCCACAAAGTGCAGCTCTGCTCAGAGCTTTCCTAGTCCTTGCCCAAAGAGCAGAGCTTTCATGTACAAGCACTGGAATACACAATCAAACTTCCACACTTCCAGTAGCCTACCTCAATGCATTGCTGATAAATGTACCTAGTTAGAGATGTAGTGCTAATACGGTGTCTACCTTACTAGACAACGAGGAGTAGAAGCATCGAAAACCTCAAGAGGGCGTCTTCTTCCCCTTTCCGCAGGACCTATCGTTCGAACGCATGCCGGATCTCGCCTACTAACTACTACGTACGTTCAACTTGAAGGTAGCTAAGTTGTCGATTGGAATGATCGTGATACAGAGACCTCGCTGCCCCGGCTCGTCAAGTTCCTCGAGTCAGTCCAGCTCAGCAACACTCCATCAATTGAAGTAACTATTGCCTATCTTTTTGGAAGACTGCAAGAAAGCACGAATGGCATGTTTTCTTTCATAATATTGAGGCAATGCTGTCTGACACGACCTTGAACGTTCAACGTCGGCTCTGTGAGTGCATTCAAGTTGGTGATTACAGCCAGCCAGCGCATTTCTCCTTAGCAACAACACACTGCAGCACAGCTCGCAAATCGCCGAGACTTTTTCGACAGCAATCTTTCCCAAGCCCACTTGTGGCATGAGGGAGACAAGACACTAAAATCACAATTGATGAGAGACGCCTTTGCCACCACCCCATTTCTTGCCTGCCATTGAACTCCTGCGAAAGCTCCCTATCCTGGAGCCAAGTGAAAACCCACCATTCCGATTCCGTACCGTGCCGTGCCGTTCCACTCCAGTCCCCTCATTCCGTCTTTGCAATGACACCCTTGAGAAGACCCCAGAAGGGGAAGAGAAAGAGAGAAGACTGCAGATCTGGTAGTCTGTCGCTTCGTCTCTAGTTCATCGCTTCCGCTGCATAACCTGAAAGACTATCTAAGCGTTCTCTGCAACAGCTTGAAGGACAGGGTAGAGTTGCTCCTCTTCCGTTTTCTCTTGCTTCTGGTCGCCGGTTCCAGTCATGTCATGGTCAAGTTCGCCTCCGTGCTGCGGTGAAGTGTGATTGGTGTCATTCTCATTTTCGTATTCGCCACTCTCCAACTTCTTCTTGATGAACTCACGCATCCATTCGATGAGGCGCATGTTCTGGACCCAGACTTGCTCTTGGTCGGCATCTCTGGGGTCGCCCTTGGGGGTGCTGGCAGCCTCGGCGGCAAGAGCAGGGTCAATGACACTTTCTTGGGGAGAATCCTTGTCCTTGCCCTTGTCTTGTTGATTCGAGCCCAAGGCCGGTGGGGTGGCAGAACCGTCGCTAACGGTGTCCATTTCATCTCTGCCCTTGGCAGGCGCGGCTCGTTGAAGCATTCCACCACTGTAGCGACGACGTTCCTCGCTCTCGTAGATACCACTGAGAGTGGCAGCATTGGCGGCAGCATAAGCCATGTCACTGGCACTGGATGGCAAGCTGGGATACATGGCGTTGCTGGTGGGTGCTGCATGACCTTGCATCGGACTCTGACCGGACGTGTAGCTCTGTGCAGACGAGGGAGGAGTGAGGCCTGGCGTACTGGCATCGGCGGTGCTTGCGACACTGGCTTGGTGTTGATGTTGAAGCAGCGCAATTGGGTTGCTCTGAGCAGCAGTAGATGCCATCTGGCCTGTGCTCGGGGGGCTGTTGCTGGTACGATACGCGACGTAGTTCGAACCAGACTGGCCAACACCAGTAGATCCCAGGTGGGTGTCGTTCTCGTAGATGGTGGCTTGCATCTGCTCGAGAATCTGATCAATGGAGGTCAAGTCTTCTCGGGTCTTGGCGTTGCCCATTGGCGGAAGGCTGTAAGCTTGGATTGGGTCAGACGTGTCAAAGGCTCCTCCAACCGAGACAGGCTGATAGGCAGGGGCCGGGACGCTGGATGGGATGATTTGAGGAAGCTGAAGCCCTTGGAGTTCAAACAGGCGACGGCTGATGTTGTGGAAATTAACCGGGTCGAGCTCTCTGCGCTTGACTTGACCAAAGAACTGATCGAGAGCATCATAGCCGCGCTTGCGAGCCTCGAAATCATAGGGACCTGCTGTTGTAGTGGTGCTGTAGTACGTCACGGGCCCATAGCCCGGATGCTGTCCTGTCTGGTTGTAGACGTAAGTATACAACTGATGCTGCTCTGACCGAGCCATGGTACTTACGGGAACCGAGGAATGCGGCTGGTAGTACTGGTTTGCATGATGTTGACCTGTGTAATCCTGAGGTCCCGGCATAGCAGGACCATAGTAGCTTTGGGCGACTTGTCCTGTCAGACCATGGCCATAGTATGAGGCGAAGTCCCCACCTTGAGGCATGCCGTTCTGGGATTGACGCTGTCCACCATTCGGTTCAAGATTGGGAGAGCGCATGATGACACTATCGTCGGCGTGGGTCTTGACATGTTTCTTGAGATCCTGAGGCCGCTTGAAGGCCTTGCCACAGAAATCACATTTGTGAGGTTTCAAGGGGACATGGACGCGGATGTGGGAGGTGATATGGTCACGCTTGACGGTGGTGGTTCTGCAGGTGCCCCAGGCGCAGGTCAAGTTGAGGTTGTTGGTGGATTTGCGGCCAACGTGACGCTCGCAGACGTGTTCCTGTAAATAAATTAGTTAGATGTCGTGACAACGAGAAGCCGAACACTGGGGGAGTCACTTACATAAAGAGCCTCAGGAGTGCTGCAGCGTTCGCCGCATCCTTGCCACTGGCACTGCAAATTCTCGCCAGCCGAGTTCACACTTGGCGCAGGCTGATTCTGGATCAAAGGCTGTTGGAGCTGGCCTTGCTGAAGCTGACCCTGCTGTTGAAGCGCATCTTGAGGAGTGCCAGGGGCGGACAGCGCGGCGACCGCTGCGGCAGTAGCAGCATCGTTGGCGGTGGCCGCGGTGCTGGTGTTGCCGAGATCAGACATCGTGGTGTCGATTTGCCAAGCACGCGTTCAAGTCGCGGAAAAGCCAAGAGATCGCAGACTCGACCTTGGCGACAAGAACGAGCAACGAGGCTGCGGAGCGGGATTTTAACGACTCCCGACGCTCTTGTCGAGAATCAACGAAAGGATGGAGTTGTTGGTGGATGATGGTTGATGAAAGAAAGAGTGGTAAGGTTGAAGCTGTGAAAGGCGAAAAAGGGCGATGCAGCTGTGCTTTCCGTGGGCGCGCCCAATCTTCAGGTGGTGCACAGGTGTGTTGATGCCACCTGGTTCTTCCGCGCACTTTGGCCGAGATGTTACAACTAAGGGTGCACAAATGGACGACAGATGTCGCAGCAGGGCTCTTGATGAAGAGGTAACTACAGGAAGACAGGAGGAAGGAGACAGGCGAAAGAAAGACTACTTTTGTCGGCGGGCGGATGGGACTGGTCGGGTTTATCTGGGAGAGCGCGGGAGGGCAAAAGGGAGCGAACACTACAAAGGGCCAAAGACGACATCTACCGTCTCCGTCGTCTGGACACGATTCACAAATGCCACTAACGGGCTGCTATGCTAATCATCAGGCGAAAAAGAGTCAAGTTGACCATAAAACGCTCGAGCGAAGGTGGATGGTATGGATGGGTGAGAGAGAGGGAGCGAGGGCGTGGATGAGTGGGCAGGAAGCAGCCCCAAACGACGTCTAGTTAGGGGCGCCCAATAATGGTGGCAGATTGGCCGCAATTCAGTTTGATGCCAGCCCAGCGCCAAGAAGTTTAGTCGTCAGCGGACTTGGCAATGATTCGTCTGCCAAGGCGCTACCGGTCACAAGTCGCAAGCAAGGGAGTGGGAAGGTGCGACCGTGCCAGGCCAGACTCCAGGAATTGTGATGTCTGTCCAGTAGTAAGTGCCTGATGGCACATGCTTGTGGGGCACCTGCCCTGGGTTAGGACGACCGAAGCGAATTTTCACAGTTGATTCTGTCCTGCCCAGGCAGTGCAGCACTCAGCTGTAGGTACCGAGCTGCAGAGGAAGCCATGCCCGATGCACCAAACTGTGAGGCGAAGCGATATTCTGAGGTGCTGACCACAAGTTGTTGAAGAAGGCGGTGTACTGGAAGTCTGTGACCCTCATGGTTAATCTACAGCATGCAGCGGAGGGCACTGCATCTTTCAACAATCATCGATCGTCGTTACGATTCTTACCTGTCCCATGTACATGGAGCGGCCCTGCCATCACGCTTGCGATTTGACCTCGTCCCCGACAATCACCGCCCTGTGTCCATGTCCCGGCCGTGGATGTCGGGTGGAGTGAGGTGAGAATAATGCTGGGCACTCCTGGGCACTGGGCACAACTCGGGAAATCTTGGAAGTTCTTGGGTTCTTGGACTCTTGGGACTTCTTGGAATTTCTTGGGGGCGGGACAAGAGAAATGAGAACAGGAGGCGCAGCATTACACTAGCAGTCCAACTTGACGGGAGATAAGGTACCTATCACTGTGTTGTGTGTGCCCCTAGATACTAATACCTATTCCTAATAAGTTACGCAGCAGTCTTCCATTACCCACTGCATGGTAAGGTAGGTACTTCTTGCTGGTGCTTGCTATCGCCTCTACTTCTCCTTCTGGTCATGCTCCGGGCGGAGGCAAGTGGCGAAAACTCTCCCTCAGCTGACGAGTGCAACTTTCCATGCTGTCTGATTACATGCGTTATAGATCTTACCTGGTAGGTAGGTACCTAAGGTAGGTAAGGTAGGTACCCTCTGTATACGTGCTGCAGGTATGGGTAAATGCTCCCGGTCCATCACATCGATAACTTATAACAATGTCGAAAACGAAGTCTGAGGGGAGGCCCCTGTGGCGGCAGGACCGAATTTTTCCTCTCTCATCCTCAAGTTAAATACATGTTACGTGTTACTAGTACAGAGAAGTGTGCACTACGTACTACCGACCATCATGGCAATCCTTGTCCACTGCAACACTGCACGTCCCACCGATCTGCCAAGTCACCATGAGGCCGGTGTTCATGGCAGATCCAGTTGAGTGCCCGATGCCAATTCTCTTGGAACACAGCGGAATCACTTGGACGGCGGAAATGCTTGGGACTATCAGAAGCATCCATGAATACAAGTCGTGAGCAACGCACTGCACGGCAATACCAATCCACCTCTTCATTCGGGAATTGATGTCCAGTGTGTTCAGAATATCTCAAGCTGTGGGCTATTTAATCCCAGGTGCCTAGGTACTATGAACACCTCTCATATCGTGATATCTGTAAATGCCAGTATTTGTGGTCTTTCCGCCCCTGGCCCTGATGTTGACCAGATAGGTAGGTCACCGTAGATTTGAAAGGTAAATCTGACCACCGTCTCTTATGAGCATACGAGATGCATGCCCCGGTTCTCGGACAGGGAGGGACGAACCCCCTCTGAAACTCACAAGGTTGGGGAACCCAACTGGGCCCTCTCAAATGCATGCCAGCCCTCCCAAAATCATCCCGTTTGTGTCCACGACACGCGCCTGTGGTATGTGGTATCGTTGCATCCAATCCATCCTTAAAAAGTCATTATAATGTAACGTGGGCCGTTTCTCTGGGGACATGAAGTCCCATATGGTCGGTCCCCTCAAAATGCAATGAACGCAACCGAGACGCCTGCCCATTCCAAAACATCAAGTCAAGTCGTTATTGCTGTGGGTGGTTGTATTGCTGGTCACCCCATTGTGACCACTGATCCGAGTTGAAGTATCCTTCAAGATTCGATGGTGCCCCGGATGTGGCCCCGTTTCTCACTCCAACGGGACCTTTGTAGTCCTGGTTGTTCCAGTATTCTTCGCGATGGCCGGCTCCATGCAGATCCGGAAGATTCATCGATGGGGCGAAATCGCCCATTCCTCCAAGGTGGAAATTTTCTCCTCCAATGGCATTGTGCATGAGGATATCTGTCAAGGGCGCGTTGAAATGTCCACCATTGCCCCCAAAGTCGTGGCCGCCACTAGGCGTTTCATTCGATGTGTGTCCGAATCCAAAGTCGAAGCCCAGATGTGATGGCTGGACCGATGCTACCGGGGCAGCCGATGTACTCGGCGTGCCGAACATGTTATTGTCATCCGGCGTGATGGCGTGGTCCTGAAAGGAGTATGACCCGTCTGTGGATTCCAGTGTGCTGATCGGTTGGTTGGGGTAGGCAAAGGGGTTGTCGCTGGGGAACATGACGTTCTTCAAATCCGGTATCTGCGCATTGCCCATGTGCGGTGTGAAGTCGAAGCTGCCGGAGAGGGGAGATGCAACAGGCGGGCTCTGAAATCCCAGCATCTGAGGCGTCTGTACCGAAGCAGCACCTTCAGAGAGACTTGACAGGGCATGGGGATCGGGCATTGAATTTCGTTTTGCCAGCTTGGCAAGAAACTCGGACGGGTGCGTTCGGGCTCGACTGGGTGTCGCCGAGCTTTCCCTGGCACTCCCTGGTGTCGAGACGTTGGGTGCCGTCTGTCTCGCCTGCAATGGTCCTGGCTCGTCACCTGGAGAAGGGCGTTTTCGAGAGTTGATGGAAGCGGAGTTCATAGAATTCCGCCGCTCCTTCAATTTTTGCGGTAAGACATCGAATAGACCCTATATCGCAAGAGATCAGCCGTCGAAGTCTTCTCCAACATGTGCAACAAGTTAAACTTACACTCAAGCTGACGGTGCACCTGTCTGCAGCCAGGCTGCGTTTGGCGAGACCAGCCAACGTATCTCTTCCCTCAACCGCGTCTTTGAGGATGTCTTTGCCTGTAGGGCTGTCCGGGTTCTCAATGACGAAAAACACGAGCGCTAGGATTGCAAAGTATGTGGTGTACATGACAAACCAGTACGATCCCACCAATAGTCCTCTCCTCTTCATCTCACTTGTGATATGCACAATGTTTCTGGCCACACTGATACACGCGGCTGCACAAGCAAAGCTCCGCTTATCCGGACTTTTAGTTTGACACGTCTGGGAGACGTAATGAATAAAAGGCCGGTACATCATCATCTGCACATGCGCGTAGGACATTCGAAGAAGTTGTTGGACCCTGTCGTGCGTCAACATCGCCGTAATATTCCACAAGCGACGAGTTTCGAAGATCTTACCTTGCCAGTTCTCGCCCTGCATTTTCTGATGGTCTCAACTCGGTCGGTAACTGGTCCATCCAGTTCTGCAGGTCACGCTCCAGTTCCCTTATCCGCCTGTGACTAATGGAATATCTCGCGTCCATTTGCGGTCCATCCAGGCCTTTGACGGGGTAGACATATCGAACCACTTTTCTCAAGATATTGGTAAGTCTGGTATGTGCATTGGTCGCTTTAAGCAAGGGGAATGCTCCGGCTGGCATGGGGTGGATGCCTTCTTCCGTGATGTATCGATCATCCACCTCGGTGGGGAATTCTTGGTCAACATCATCCTCACTTAGCATCTGAGGAAGGCCGAGGACCGCTCCCACGTACGAGTCCATCTTCCGAACCAACCAAAAAATGCGTTTCCGCTCCTCCAGTTCAATGGGGTTGAACTTGTGCGGGACGTTCCTGTGGAGACCCAGGCGACAACATGCCCTTAGTGCGATACCAATGTAAGCGTAACAGACCGGTAGTTTGGCGGTGGATTGGAGAAACAAGATCATGAAGACAATGGTCTGGATGGTCACTAAATCTCTGCAATCAGTTATGTCGAGCATCTGTTTCGCTGTGTTGAAATGTTGGTATCTAGCCCAAGTTAGCGACACTCTTCCTCCAGCACAGTCATACTTACCCTTGTTCAATGGCCTCTTTATAACCCTTGACGTCAAGCATGGTGTTGTCATTTTCCGTCTTAGAAAACAAGCATCCCACCGCCATCACGGTGTAGAGCAATGGCAGGAATTGAACGTGGCCATTATTATATTGCTCGGGGTCGGTGTCGTACACGTCATGGAGCCGACGGAAGAAGGTTGGTCGATGGATGGGTCGCATCAAAGCGCAACAGTCATCAAGGGTGTTTCGGCAAAGTTCTATAGCCACTTCTTTTGGGGGCAGATCAACGGTCGCGGCGAGGCTGACATCGTATGGAGAGGAATGTGCAGACTTTGGCGACTCGAGCATTTGTGATATCGTGCGGCTCTTACCGGCCTGTGCATACTCGTGCAAGAACTGATCACCGAACTGGGCGCGGAATTTTCGCATAAATACATAACCTGAAGAGTGGCCATGAAAATCCCAATTGCCATGATCGTCCAGATCCAGCGCGCCGGTGCGGTCGACCATGGATTGAAGTTGAGCGTCATCGTCTGGTTTCGACAGAGAATCTGCCGGCCGTGCTCCGACCCCATTGGAGCTTATACCCGGTTTCGAACTCTCAATTAGTTGCTCGACAGATTGTGCATCGAATTTGGGGTCATCAAGGTCCAGGCCGGGAAGGACAGAGCGCAAAATGGACTCGGCCTTCTGCAATCTCTGCTCCAAGGCTTCGATATATTGCGGTGCTGGGTTTCTTCGGCGATTCGAAGGCTGATCGTATGTACATTCTACATGACTAGGTCAATCGCGCTCACTCCGGCCGCTCCGCGCCAACAGAGATCAAGGGCGGTTTAAACATACCATAACTGTACACGGTACAATGGGTGCAAGGCTGCTTGCCATCACACTTGATCTTTTTGCGGCGACATTCGTCACACGCTCTGGTAACGCGACGCCGTTTTTGCATGGGCGGGGCCGGTCTACTCCCAGACTCGCTCATTGGAGTCTCGGCCGAAGGGGACTCCGGGCGCGAGTCCGAAGCGTTTGAATCATTCTTGGAATCTGAAGCAGCGATAAGAGGAGTAGCGGGCTCAGCCTTTCCAAGAACCTCGTCGGACGGGCGGTCAAGGGACTGAGGAGTTACCATGTCGTGGTCACCCATCGGATCGAATTATTTTGAGTCGGAAATGGTGAGGAGTGAAGGGTGGCGAGGGGTATAGCACCCATTCGGCTCATAAATGGAGGTGAACGTGGATGTTGACGTTGTCCGAACTTGCTGACGCATGGAAAAGATCGTTCGGACCAGTTAGAACTGATCAAGCGGTAATGTCTTTTCTCGATGATCAAGTCGGGCTCGCTGCCAAACAAGGGGTCCCCCGCAGCCTCAGCGTGGCGGATCCGACGTTTCAAAAGAAAAAGAGATGAGCGTTGGAAAGTCGAAAGATCATTGTGCGAGAAAGAGAGAGGCACTCAGTAGTAGTGTGCAAGAGTGATAAGTCCGTATTTTAGTACGAAGGACGTACGAGTCATCAGCCAGATAGAGAGCGCACCGATCTCGCGCTGGTCCTTGGGCCCTTTCTAGCAGCCGACTTATTATTAACCCACGACCTTTTGAAGGTGGGAGGTCGCCCAGATTCCGTCACGGGGCAATGAATAATTGAGCTTGGGCGGGGCCGGTGGCATCGAAACCAGGGTGTAGTGACCGGAAGTGGACACTGGTGCGAGCTTCTGGGGCATTCATATGTCTGGTCGTGATGGTGATGGTGAGAACCGTAGTGTAGCCGTCCAAATAGCAGAGAAACGGCCAGTCTAAAGCGCAACTCTGGCCCTTGTTTGATCCCAAGTGCTGGGTGTTGAGTGGGCGGCCATACGCCGATCGTGTGGGTTGTGCTGTGAATAACCAATATGCTTCTTCTCGGCTGGTCCAATTCCGCAAATTCAGGCTCAGGCTGGCTTGTTTAACGTTGAGGAAATGTCACGTTTAGCCCTGGGGCACCTCCACTGAAGCCGCCGAATGCGTGGGACCCCTGGCTCTAGACCTCGCCTATCGATGCAGAGCCCAGCGAACGGCGAACTCTGAGTCGCCCCCAGGGCTAAAGAGGCCCATGACTCGCGGGCTCAAGCAACCAGTAAGCTTAAAAAACCGTCGCGTCTAAGGGGTCGCATCGCTTGTGTCGGTGAAAGCTTGTCTCCTTTGGGTGCTGGTGTTGGACTTCCATGGTCCGTTCGACCAATGATTGCGAGCTGATAGAGTATCCTGGACGTATTCTCATTGCAGGATGCTGCTGGGTGGGCAGAGGGCTCATCGCATGGCTTCCCGCTAACCCAGCCCCTAAACGCCCCACGCCCTATGGCACAGACGATTGTTTTGACTTCGATCCTCGATTCACTTCTGGAGGTCAGTTTGACTGGTAATGGCAACCAGCTGCCCTTTCATTTAGACCATGATGTGCGTTGACTGTGTATACAATGAGTATATCGTGGCATTGCGAGGCCTTTGAGCTGTACTGGGTCAAATGGTCAATTCGTTCTTCGCCTTCGAACGGTCGCCGGTCTGCTCGATCCACTGCCAGTGCCTGACTGGGAAATATGTGCGGAACTTCTTCAGCAACTGATGAGCCGGCCTCTGCTAAGGGACCAGGGTATGCAATCCAGCCATACGGATGTTACCTTGGGAGCCTGCTAGATGTCACAACAGCGGTATGATGGTGTGCTACATATGTAATGTATATCGGTCAGCGACCGAGTGCCAGAACAGCATTTTTCGAATCGATTCAATATGCGAGCATCGACAACCCTCTTCCACACGAGAGGCTGATGGATTACGCAGTATTGGAGTAGCACCCGGAGCCGTGATATCTGAAGAAGAGCATTTCCACTCGTGCCAGTGAAAGGATTCATGTTGGCGGCCTAGACCGGCTCTTTGCGGAATGCCGTGGAGGAGGGCATCTGCAAATCACCGAACAATTCAGTGATTGCTTTAGGGTGTAGCCTTGAATTTCCGGACAAAACAGATATATAACCGCTGCTACTACCCAACGGAACGCCATGAGCACGTATGCGTATCGATATTCGATGCTCGGAAGAGCAAACGGCGAGCATTGAATGAATATCAAGTTGGTTTGATCAGTTTGTGAGCGTGGATAGGGACGTCCCTCTGGCTTGGATTGTTGTTGGAAAGAACTCGCTGGAAAAGATCCAAATGATACAGCCAAGGCTGGTGAAAAGGCTTGAGAAGATGAACTTCCTGGCCTTTGCCGATTTGCTTTGGCCGGCCTCGCCTAAATTCTGGTCGATGTAGAAATGTGCTGAAGTCGAGTTCACACAAAGGGGTGCTTACTTGCCTATCATGATTACGTGGACGTTATGAAGGGCTCACAGCACCCTACCTGGTTCATAAATACGATGCAGATGGTGTTGCAGACCGTAGCGAGGGCGTCGTAACTCAGAGGATAAGGATACTTTTTGTGATTCTGAAATCGAGGATGGTGTAGATCCTCCGCTCGCAATAGTTGAGACCATTGACCTGTGATGTTTGGATGAAGAGTTGGGTTCTGCACATGAGAAAAACTCGCCGTTGAAGCATATGATGCCAGAGTCTCGGAATCAGTCCTTGAGGTCAGCCGATGCCTCCCAATGATGCCACAAAATGTGCTTCCTTGTTCGAAGGGCGTGTACAATGTGCTGTACAATTGTACCATGGGATAGCACGGCACAGGCTCACACGGTAGTTGAAGGAAAGGTGCTGCAGGTGGGAAGAGCACCACTCACCATAGCTCCCACGCAAGCGAAAGCACAACAGAAGCCAACCAAGAGCCTTACGCTCAGGAGGCACGGTGCACCGTTGATGGCCTAGCCCCTATGGGTGATGGTGGCAGCAAACCGATTACATGGCTGTTTGACGCAAGAAAAACCCCCGTCTCGATTGCTGTCGCGAAGGCGAGAAAACTGAGGCTAGAGTCTGAAATTGTGTGCGACGCCCAGTTCAAAGCCTAGGTTATCAAGCTCAGGCGACTCTGAATGAAGTCCAATTGCAGTCCAAGATCTTGGATTACTGGAACGGTTGCATCGGATCGTAGATTGGGACGCCTTCGCTCTGTGCTTGATGGCCAAGAGGACGGCCCTTTGGCCCACGTTTACATGTTGGCAGTATGCACAAGGATCGTGTTTCTGAAAGTCCATAGTGCCCTGCATTGCCTCTGAGATGAAGAACGACAGGTACTGGTGGTGAGCATGTGAATTGCTCCTCTCAAATCCATATGAACACCTTCGAATGACGTGAGCATAAGAGTCGAACAACTCCTGACTCTGTAGGCTCAGATCATTGGAGGACAGTCGATTATATCGGTCCGGGATGCAATAAGGACTGAGGGTGGTGCCGGACTGTGTATGGCAGTCCCATGGCACCGGCCGAGTTCATGCGTTGCAAAATGCAGCAGAACCGCTAGCCGCAATGGTAGCAGTAGAAGAACAAGGTGCTTGAGGGTCATGTCGGCAACGTTCGACATAGACGCTGATTCCGATCGAACAGAGCTCATCAACCACACTCGACTGACGTTCTCCCTCTGACTGAGTTTCCATTTTCCGTATTAAGCGAATCGAGACCAACACATTCCTGGCCTTTCAAGTGTGCTTTGCTAGCTCGATCTTGTGATCCGTGACTGAACAGCTCTTCGTTGAGTTGGGGGAGCACTCTCAGGTTCCTTATCGACCTTAGACCGGGTCTCCTACCGTTTAACATATTGAGACCTTTCCGCAGGTTGCTTCGAGGTCGGGTACGATGTCTTTGGTGGAGGCGAATCGTGTATGATGTATGCTCGAGGGGATTACTTTCCATAAAGTACATTGCAGTTGTAAAGTAGCTTACCCCTAGGTCGGGGTAGGTATTGGTATTCATGCAATCAGAAGTCCGGGAAAAGCCTGAGGGATATTATCACTTGCCAGTAAACTTTTTAGACGGCTGCCAGCCGCAGTGGGGAGCCGCCTTGGCCAAGGTGGCCTAGGGTAGCCTATGTACTAAAGCGATCTCATCTCAGGTCAACCTCGACTTCGAAAGAGTCAAGAAGGGCCCTCTGGGCGAGGAGTGCTGCAACAATGAATGAGCTACTAGATTTCCATGTAGGAGTCAAGGTCTTGATTGGGCATCATGAATGGCCTACAGCCGAATGAGACACACTGCATATACCTGTTTACTATAGACAGGACATACAAAGCCGCGAGTCCCTCGCCATCATGCTTCAGAACAGGACAGAACTAATTGACCAACTCTGGTAGAGTTCGAATCTCAAACACGTCTCTAATGTGCCTCATCTTGGTCGTTCACATATCTGTCACAGGCTACTATGGCAGCATGGGAAGGACCCTAGGACCCTAGGAGGGTTTCATAAGGGGGCGCCACTTGTAGCTGTGTCATCTCTGGTTCCAAGCGTAAGAGCGCTCCAGAAACACCAACAACTTATACTACTGTTGTCGTTATTCAAGTGCCTCCAAGCCCTGTAGGTGGCAGATCTGGGCCTCTTGAAGGCGATGAGCTGAAGCAAGACCCCGTATGGAGCAAGCACCTTTTATTGCAGTGAAGCAGACTTCCTTGTGCCAAACATTGGTCACGTTGTCGCAGACCTAGGTCCCAACAGTCCAGTGTCTCAGGAAGTGCATGAGGCAGAAGAGTACGGGCTAATATTAATGATTGGCCTCCCTAATAGCCTCCGCATGCCACCAGTACTGTGATAAGGTCGTGCCTACCTTACCTAGGTACCTACCTACCTAACCTAAGGCAGGGTATGGAGCAGCCACTCTAGGCATCGCGCTGGCGCTGCAGCATCCCCCAAACCTCCCACGGACGCTCCCGACGGCAGGCTAGGGGAACCTACTACGTGATGGTCTTTGCTTCCCCTCCCCCCTGGACCCTGAAGCTCTCTCCTTGCCACAGCCATCCCATTCACTGCCGCCGCAGCAAACAGTAGCGCAGCTTTCACACCTGCACACCTGCACACCTGCACACCTGCACACCTGCACACGCTTTGTACTACAGCTCTGCGACTGCACTGCTCCGTACACTTGCATCCATATCTGCCAGATTACCTAGGTCGCCATCTGTGCCTCCTTGTCGCCCAGATTAATCGCGTTCAGGACTCAAGGACCTGCATACTCCTGTCGTGCAACATTGGGGCCCTGCGGGCTTGTCAACCTTGTTCAAGACGCGCCCAGCTGCTGGACACGCTTCGCGTCATTGAGTCAACACTTCGGCGGGTTTGGAACAGTGACCGAGAAATCATAGCCCTTTGATACTTTCCACACTGAGCGGCGATTCCCACGCAACAACTGAGCGGCTCAATAACAGATCGACCCATCTCGCAGACATGGCGCAAGCAACCCAGTCAATAAAGTGTGTGGTGACAGGGGATGGTGCCGTGGGAAAGACTTGTTTGCTCATATCATACACCACCAATGCATTTCCTGGAGAATACATTCCGACTGTGTTTGACAACTACTCTGCTAGCGTCATGGTAGATGGCAAACCCGTCTCTCTGGGACTGTGGGACACTGCTGGTCAGGAAGACTACGATAGATTACGCCCCCTGTCGTACCCGCAGACGGACGTCTTTCTGATATGCTTTTCTATTGTCTCTCCTCCCAGTTTCGACAATGTCAAGGCTAAGGTGCGCAGCAATCCCTCCTATGCAGATGCAGCGACCTGCAAACTGACACTTTTCACCTCAGTGGTACCCCGAAATCGAGCATCACGCCCCTGGAGTGCCCATCATCCTAGTCGGAACCAAATTGGACTTGAGAGAGGACAAAGCAACGGCCGACAGTCTCAGAGCGAAAAAGATGGAGCCGGTCTCGTACGAACAGGCTCTTGCCGTGGCCAAAGAAATCAAAGCGGTCAAATATCTCGAATGCTCCGCATTGACGCAACGAAATCTCAAAAGTGTTTTCGACGAAGCAATCAGGTAACAAGCCTCGTCTGCGTAAAAGGGGCAGGAGCATGCTGACAGGGGACCGCAGAGCCGTCCTCAATCCTCGACCGACGACTACCAAAAAGAAATCGAGGTGCACCATTCTCTAGAAGTGTTTTTCATGAAGCGCGGACCGGGGACCTTGGGACTGTCAGGGGTTATACGCACGCATTGCAAAAGGTGGACATAGACTCTTCCCAGCTTCGCTGCTTCCCCTTTTCTACATTTTTGCTCGAAGTCACTGTGACTGGATGGGTGGAGTTGCAGGGCGAAGAGTTTCTCTCATACGATTAATAAACGAGCAATCTACTTGGAAGGACGGGCGTTCAATTGTGACGGAGTTCAGAATGGCCTCAGATGTCCCATGGCCGCCCATGGAAGATTTCCGCTTGCCATGAAACTGCGTGAGATCACTGCATGACTCGCGAAAGTCGACTGGGATGTATAGCACCGCGGCCATCCTCCGCAGTCTCACTCGCTTCAGCAGCGTTTGCGCCAGTCACTGGGGCCTTCTTCGATTTAGCGGCGGCCTTGTCCTGGTCGATTTTCTCTTGGATGCTTCTTCTCTTGCGCTCCTCATTGAGCTTCTCATTTTTCGTCTTGATCTTGGACATCCGCTCCTGGCTCTTTTTCCCTCCGCCGCCGGCCGTCAGTTCGACATTGATCCGCCGCGGCTTCCTTTTTCCCTTTGCCGCTTTGGCCCCTGGGTCGCCGGCGTTTTCCTCGCCGTGGGGATCGAAGAGAGAGTGATGGTAGAGCTTTAAGCATGTTTTCATTTTGTCGTAGGCATCGAACTCGATGAAGGCAAATCCTTTGCCCTTCCCAGTCGCTTTGTCCGTGGACAGGCGTACGCTGCTTGGGACGAGTTTGGCAAAATGGTCTTTCACCTGAGACGCGGTCGCGTCGAAGGGGAGGTTTCCAACAAAAACGATGAATCTGCTCGATGCTGAGGTTGTTAACTTTTCGTCGTTGTTGTCTGCGCTCTTAGATTTCTTCGCCTTCTTGGGTAGACTTTGGCTGGATTCTCCATCGACTGTGTGCTGATCCTGGTCTGCAGCCTGCACTTTCATTTCCAAGTCCAAGTCGCCAGCAGCATTGTCGGGCGGCGACACTGTATCTCCTTGAGCGGTCGCATTCAACTTTTTGGCCTTTTTCGATCTGCGTTCTGATCTTTCCTGCCGCGACCGTCCTTTCTTCTTTTCTGATTTGATCTGCGCACTTGCGTCGTCGGGTTGCGTTGTAGTGGCCGTTTGGGCCTGTCCAGGAAGAGCTTCCGACTCTTCCTGATCTCGCTTTCGTTTCTTAGACATTGTGGCTGGACCAGGATGTATCTCTTTCATGAAATGGGTTCAAACAACAAGCAAGACAATGTTGTTGCAGATTATTCTTGGATGGCCTTAGGCGTACGGCGAAAAATTGACCTGCGGACAAACTCGTTGCTGCGTCATGGGGACCGACGATGCCGATGCGGGCTAAAGGGTCGCTAGGGACCTAGTACTACTATTAAGGTACCCAAGGTAAATAGAGCTGCGTAACGCCTACGGGTCCTTTTGGAAACAGTGCCCATCTGCGGTGGAACTGACCTTGTTGAAGTGGTTCCCTCTATTCTGTACACACCAGCCTCTATCACGGTTGCCTTGGGACCTCGACTTCAATTTGGCCTTGTCCCTCGTTTCCAGGCGCCTGAAGTCGTTCGCTGCCGCTTCTTTAGCTAATCCTCAGCATGATTGAAAGATAAAGCACGATCCCACCACAAGTCCTACAACTACCTTCACTTCCGGCCACCATGGCTGTATACGCCTCTCAATTGGGGGCCAAAGGGCCTTTCTCGAACACCGTTGCTCCTCCTCTGCCTGCACATGCGCCACCAGCAGGCACATTCTTACCTGGTACCAAGGTCCAGGTGGGACACCATCGGGTGGTCATCGAGCGCTTCCTTTCCGAAGGAGGGTTCGCCCATGTCTACGTCGTTCACCTGGCCCGGCCTGTCGATGGGAGCCACAAGGCTGTCCTCAAGCGGGTAGCTGTACCCGACAAGGATCACCTGGCACATATGAGAACCGAAGTTGAGACCATGAAGAGACTGCGAGGTCACAAACACATTGTCAAGTATATTGATTCTCATGCTTCGCAACTAAAGGGTGGCGGCTACGAGGTGTTCCTACTGATGGAATTCTGCGAGGGAGGAGGGCTCATTGACTTCATGAACACGCGCCTACAGAATAGGCTGACGGAGCCGGAGATCTTGCAAATATTCACAGATGTGGCCGAGGGGGTGGCATGCATGCATTATATGAAGCCGCCCCTAATGCACAGAGACTTGAAGGTTGAGAATGTACTCATATCCACGTCCGGTTCATCCAGGATATACAAGTTATGCGATTTCGGCTCTGCGGCCCCTGCGAGACCGCCCGCCACGACAGCAGCTGAAGGCCGGTTGATCGAGGACGATATCAACCGCCACACGACATTGCAATACCGGAGTCCCGAAATGATCGATGTGTATAGGAAACAACCGATCGACGAGAAGGCGGACATTTGGGCTTTAGGAGTGTTTTTATACAAGCTGTGTTATTACACCACTCCGTTCGAGGAAGTCGGCCAGATGGCCATTCTAAACGCCAGATTCAAATTTCCGGCCTACCCGCGGTTCTCAGATCAACTCAAGCTGCTGATCGCGTCTATGCTCCGTGAACAGCCTTCTGAACGGCCGAATATATATCAAGTCCTGCAGAAGGCGTGTCAAATGGATGGTCGAGAGCTGACGATCCCGGACATTTACACCCGCCGTACTCAGTCGGAGAGCGGGAAAGACAAAGCACTTCCCGCTCATCCGTCAGGCACCCATGCGAGGCCCGGCGCGACTTTGTCTCCTCCAAAACCACAAGCTCCCCAAAGCACCATCCCACAGGTCGAACCCATGCGGCGAGGTCGACCCACAAAGCCTGTATCGCATCATGGCTCAGCCAAACCCAGTCCCTCTCCTCTGCGCATGGTGGACAGCCCAGATCCTTTCGCAGCACTGGATGGAAACAAAGCTGCTCTCGAAGACGAATTGTCCGCCCGATTCCCGACCCTTGACCAGTTCTCCTTATTGACCGACAAAGGTAGCAAATTCGCCTTTGACCCTCAGACAGAGAAGAGACCAGACGGCGCGCCCCCGGCTTTGGCTCAACGAGTGACGAATGCCCTGGCAGATGAGGCATTTGGCAGAGCCCCCAGTCCTGCAACAGCGAAATCTCCACCAGAAGAGCCTCCTGTTACTGCCATGCCACACACCGTGTTGGGGCATAAAACATCTGTCGAGAATACCAACGCTCAGGTGCGAATCAACAGTGCCACCAGCGCACCACCAGGTCCAGCACCAAGATCGACGATGGTGTCCACTGGTACTATGACCTCCCCTTCTCCTCCACCAGATACACAAGCACCACCTATACACCGCTTCCCACCCAGCGATGTGCCACCGAAAGCTTCAGCTCTCAGCCAACCTCAGGCCAAGCAGGGGCCCGAAGTGAACAGCAATAGCTCAAGGCTCGCAAGGTTACTTAAAGAGGATGCCGTCAGATCTCAGCTTGCTCATGATTTGGAGCCGAAACCTTCCACTTCTTCACGGCCTTCTCTCGAAGGAGGTCGCCCTTTGATTCGGAATCTGGACACAGGTATGAGCCGATCAAGATCTTTAAATTTCAGGCAGCGACCGGCGAGTATCAACATAGGGAGCAGGTCTGGTCAGTTCAAAGACAGAGAGATCAAGGGCCTCGATTACAGAGCCACTTTCACCAGCGCGGAGCCTGAAATGGAGCCTTTAACTCATTCGGAGTCGGCGACAAACATCACATCCGACGTGGACTATTTGAAGGCGCGGGAGGAAGAAGAGAAAGACAGAAAACATCACCACATACGCTTAGGAAGCGGCACAAGACACCTTAAACGCTCCAGTGTGCCGTCTATGGGACTTTCAGGGACGACGAAGTTGTTGGCCGGTAGATTTGGTGATGCTTTCAAGAAGTTCGAAAACAACGACTCTAGTCATACGAAAGAAAGACCGGATTCTCCCTCGCAGGAGCCGAGCAGCGTTTTGACCCCAATTGCAGGGTCCGAAGCTACAGATCTGAGCGATGATCGACAACCGTGGGATGAGACGGAAGATCTGTCTCCGGAAATGCGCCGGGAGCTGGAAAAGCGGAAGTTAGAGGCGGAAGAGCGAAGGGTCGCCAACGCCGCTGCAGAGTACAGGCAGCGAGTCGCAGCAAGGGGCGGCAGTGGTACCGGCGGTGGAGGTACGGCCAAGGCGGCTTTCATCCAGGCGAGAGTGCAGTCTCTGCTTGGTGAAAATGATAGACCTGCTCAGAAGACGGCAACTGGCTATGGTCATTTCACTGACTCCGCCGAGTCGGATGACAGAAGGGAGGAGCGGAGGTCGACCCATCTGGCCAGACCTGCGCCACCCCAGGCATCTGTCAAGCCCGAGGGATACGGGGTTTCGAAAGCAGTGTCTGCCCCTGTGTCCTCCATCGACCTTACGAGGTCAGATACGCGGCCTCCGAGACCCACGGCGCCTCCTAAGCCCAAAACTCTCCGAGGCAGGACTGGTGATGCTCCGGCTGTGGGAACAAGTGGAGGGACTCTTAGTACGGGTGCTGAGGACGATTGGGAGGCGAGTTTTAGCAAGAAATATCCCAGCCTCGCCGGGCTCGAGATGGTAGAGACGTCGATAGATGGGGCCAAGTCCACGACCACGATACGGACGAAGGAAGTGTAGCGTAGAGTACCTAATGTTGCGCAATGAGCCCCGAAGTACGTTTACTTGGCCCAGCCGGTCACGAGAGAGCAGATGGCAAAGAAAGATAGAGTGAAGATGAAGATGCCGGCCGCGTGCGAGTTGATGAGTGAAAACGTTGGTCGCAGACTGCAACTTGGAAATTCTTTCAGTTTGTCTTCACTGCGCCCATTGCTCTATCTTGTCGGCTTCAAGTTAGTTATCACCAGGGACTGCACTGCTTCATGGTATTCCTAAGGCGTCTGACCCTGTCACCACCATCAACGTATCCAAAGCACATAGTGACACAACCACAAGAGGTTCAAGAATGGCTCCGAAGTTGACTCTGAAGATGAGCCGGGGTGTGCGTGGGGCAACCAGCGTGTCAGAGCCGACAAACACCAATGATCATTCCATCCTTGCGCCACCAGACAGCGATCGAACTCGAGCCCAGCGAGCCCGATCGGGGGCTGGAGAACCCATCCGAACCGCCGCAGGGGACACGGGAAGAACAAGAACACCTGAACTCGAAGAAGATGTAACAGAAGAGCACAGTCGCCCAGCGTCCACTTTCATCACTCTACGCATCCCGCCTGAAAGATTGCACCAGACCGATCGATCCATTCCGTCCACGGGTTCGTTCATCACTCGGAAGGTTTCAAAACGGAGTCGACGAGCTGCGGTACAAAATCCGTCAAGTCCTTCGGGAGTCTCGCATCCTTCACCACATTCTTTGCTATCCGACACAGCGTCGACTTTCGCCGGGACAGAAGTCGATTACGCCCAGGAAACTCCTGCTACGGTTGAGTCACCACCACAGCTATATCCGAACGACGATTATAGTCAAAGTGGCTTAACAGAGAGTGACATTCTCCAGCACCGGGCTCGTTCTGGCCCCTTTAATCAGATCGGCCTGTCACATACCACAACCACCACTGATCATAGGCCAGCCACGCCTACAGAAGTGTTTGATTCTGGTCAGATCGATCCTACCATCGACCCGGCACTGTATCAACTGCACGCCGAGTCCCAGACGATGGCTCCAGTCAAGGATACCACCAACGTCCACAACACGATCAAAGACATTATTCAAGATCTAACGGAGATACAAATCCAAACTCATGGCTATGTCCCTGAGACCCAAGATCTTCTGGTCGAGAAGATGACCGACCTGGCCGAATCCTTGTCCCGTTTACAGAATCTGACCTCTGCTACAGCATCGCCGAATAGCTACATCCATCAAGTGCAAATTGCGCCGGAGATTGTTGATTACGTCGATGATGGGCGCAACCCGGATATCTTCACCCGAGACTTTGTTGAAAATGTGCAACGCGGCAATGCTGTGATCAATGGCAAACAACAGGCCTTCAAGGATTTTAGTGAGATCTATGCAAAGGCTTTGAAAGAGGGCATTCCCGGTCTGGGGCGGCAGGTGGATCAAGTTCTGGAGAATGCTGGATTCGAGATCGATCACAAGCAGGAGGGTGAAGACGAGGTAGTGGATCACTCGAATCCAAATGGCCCTCAGATGTCTGATGGTGTTTGATTGTGGGGAAGTCTGGTCCTATTCACCTCGAGGTGTTGATCTATTTGATGGAGGTTTCGCGAACGAGTCATGTTATTGATTTCAAAGAGGTCCTCGGGGACGAGCGCTGAAAACTGATTCAGCATTACGGCTGCGACGGAGTTTGGTGAAGGGCCGATGAATGCCCACGATCTGGGAGGATCGTGCTTCTGATAGCGACAGGAAGGATTGATGACTACTGGACAGGTGGTTGCATAAGCAAAGTCACAAAGCTGCAATATCGATGTAATTTCGTGCAGGCAACGGATGCCGCAACAGAATGGACGCGGAGTTCTAATCCTACTGTATGCTTGTGTCGAGATCTTAATAGTAGTGCATCATCTGTTTGGAGTCGTAGTATGAAATAATGGAAAGGCTGGCGCAAGGCTGAACGAGGCTGAACGAGGCTCGGCCTAGGTACCACCGCAACTGCAGAGCTCCACGTCGGTCACTGGCACTTGGCGTCATACACTGCGCCTTGCATCTACTATTTGCAAGTAGTACCAGTATACTACCGCAGACATCCTCGATACTGTCCCTTCTGTCACACAGCCTTGTATTCGGATTCACAGTCATCATGAATCCATCGCCACTGCGGACAATGCTGTCTCGTCGTTTCTGCCGCTGCACGGCCTTGCACCTCCAACCTCAACGCTCTTCTGTCGCTCGATTCCTGTCTCACACCACCCGCTCCAATGCGTCTCATACCTCGCCCATGCCGACTTACGGGTCAGCGGAATTTCTCAAACGTCGCTACCAAAAAGACCCGCCAGCAGAAGACACCAAAGCCGAACGAGCACGAACCTTGAAGCGGATGAAATGGTCCGCATACGGCATCGCAGTCTGCACGCTGGCCATGTTTGGCACGGTCGCCCTCTATCCAACACCACGAAAGAGCAAGGCAAGACTGCTCGAAGAAGCTTCAGACAAGACGAAAGTCACGCAACTAGATGCTCCGCCATCGATATTAGGCGCAAGCACTGTCAATGACCGTGAAGGCGAACAACAAGTCCCTACCGGCACCTCGACGATCCCCTTCTTCCCTAAGTTCATCCACGTCACGACCGATGCACCGAGCTCGACTCCCGCCGCTGCAAATGAAGGAACACAAAAAGATGTCCAATACCAGCTAGTCGGGCTCGGGGTGCGGACTGTTTCTTTCCTCAGCATCCAGGTCTACGTGGTGGGACTTTACATCGCCGTCAGCGACATTGCAGCCCTGCAAGACCGCCTGGTGCATTCAGTAGCCGACCCAGTCGCGACGACCCTGGTGCCCGATGAGAAGTCGAAACTCCGCGATTTGCTACTCGACCCGGACCAGGGCGAAGAGATCTGGAACAAGATTGTCAAAGACGGCCAGGTGCGGACTGCTTTCCGGATCGTGCCCACACGTAACACGGACTTCATGCATCTCCGGGATGGATTTGTGCGAGGCATCACGGCGCGCAGCGCGCATTTCGCGAGCGACAAGAACGACAATTCATTCCAGGACGAATCGTTCGGCTCGGCACTCAATGATTTCAAACAGGCCTTTGGTGGCGGCGCGAGACGCAAGCTAGGCAAGGGTGAAGTCCTTCTTTTGGCTCGTGATGCTGAAGGCAAGATGTTGGTTTGGGCGGAGGACAATAAGGGAGATCGCGTGAAGATGGGCGAGATCCCAGACGAGAGGGTTGGCAGGCTGCTGTGGCTGAATTACCTGGCTGGTAAGAATGTCAGCAGCGAGCCGGCAAGACAGAGTGTCATTGAGGGTGTTATGGAATTCGTGGGACGGCCTGTGGGCACTGTGGCCACTCAAGTGGTTTGAAACGGAGGAGGTATGGTTAAGGATGGGCACCCAACGACTATCAGGGGCTTGGCTCGACGTGAGTTAAGATCTCCATTGTGCAAGAGTCGAGTGTGAGAGGTGACAAGGCAGGTCTTGTTCAGCCAAAGTCGCCATCGTTGATATTGTACTACGTCAAACCCTGGGGAAAATATCAGCAAACAAGAAACAAAAGAGATGACTATTACCAGTCTCTGCTCTTTGGGAGAGCCCTGGATTTGCTCGTGGTGAAGATTTGTCCAAACATCCAGATCTGCTTGCCGAACATGTGGCAGGAGACATCACTTCTTGAGGTTTGTGAGGCTTTCTCCCTCTTTCTCATGTGTTGGCCCGGACGCAGCCGGAAACTGAGTGCTTCCCGAGGCCCATATGCAATACCTTACGGAAGATCAAGACAGAACTCGGATCGCGAAAAGTATCTGATGCCGTTCCAGTGGCCTCCTTTCCCCCGTTCTCCTTTGCAAGCCACCGGTGATTGCGAACTGCTTGGTTGTTACCACCCTTCCTTTTTCACTGCACTTTACTTGCCTCAAATTCTATATGCCAGACACCTCGAAGATCGGTTCCTGTATACATATCTAGCTGACTGGCCGAGTTACCAAATTCTAACTCCTAGCATTCACGAGCAGGGGTCCTGTCGGAGAACCGGACGGCGGGTCTTGCAAACGCCAGGAAACAAGGGTAGGGTTTGTTTCTTGTCGTATTGACTCATGTCTTTCACGGACAGCTGAACGTCTGGGTGGGGAAATACGAGAAAATAAGTTGTTGATACGAGAACTCAGTCAGTGGACACGAAGACTCATCGACAACAGCGACACCCCTCGTCCTCAGTCTGGTGTTCGAACCGAGACTGAAGAGCTGCTCCCCTCCACCGCGCAAAAGCACGAATACGGACACCAATGCCTGAAGAGACACCAAGAGCGTCAAATGAATGTCGATGTCGATGTCGAAGATAGAGCTTCACCAGCTGGCTGGCAGCGCATAACCCCAATGCCTGTCAACTCCGCTCCTTCAATTCCTGACGAGGCTACTATTTGGAATATGGTCACACGTTTGCGTTCTCCCTGGTCTGACCATGACCTGAACGTCCCTTACCAAGCTTGGCTCTTGTCGGCTGCCACAAAGGTAGGTTTGTTCTGAATCAAGGTACAAGGACCAAGTTCCAAGAAACCGAGCACTCAATTCATGTCCCCGAAAACCCCCAGATATACGAAGACTCCTATCAGACCGCCCAGATGGAGAGACGCGTGAGGTGAAACGGAAGCTGAAGCTGAGATATCGATACGATATCCAAGCAATCAATCCGAGTCGATACGAACCATCCCTAAACATATCGTATTCTCAGGAGCTGAGGACTTATGACGGAATGGTTGGATTGGTGTTTCCCACAACCAGCACTCTTGAATGGTTATTCGATATCTCTTTATCCTTCCGCCCCTCAGACTGCGTAGGCTTCGGGATATATGAACCAGGGTCAGCTCAGCTCTCCCTGCCATCTGCAGACCACAGTGACCACCGAAGGGTATTTCTATCATCCTTACACACGACATCGAATATCAGATACCAGGAGACCCCCACCTCGAGAGGTGAGGCCCAGTTTGCGACCAGCCAGAGACCTATCAACCCTTTCCGTCGAGTGCTCATTGATCCTCCGATCTCTTGTGTATGCTCAAAAGGGTCCAGCAATGTCGACGGCACCATCCCTCCCGTCAAACCCACCGAACGTGATGGTGGTGGTATCTCCGAACAGAGGCCACGAAGACCGCGTCGCAGAACTGATCGCCGAGGTATCCGAGAATGTCAAGGCTCATGAACCGTGGATCACGTATTATCGGTGGTACGGCGGGCGGGGAGTCGGAGCCAGCGACTCCTCATCGGATGATGATGAATCAGGTGCTGTTACGGAGTATTACATTGTATTTCGGTAAGTCACTTTTCACGATATCGTGCTCTGATACTGCTTCAAGACAGAGTTATATTATCTTTCCATCCGCTACAAGACTCCATCAACTCCCAGAGATCTGACCTTTTATCTTTTCTTCTGTTTCATGTGACAGAATCGAAGACAGCTCCAAACTCTCCACGCGCCGTGAATTGCCGCATCACCAAGAAATTGCCAGACTGATTCGCGACGAGGGCTTGTTGAGAGAACCGTTGAAGTATGTCACGCTGGAGGACCGCGAGGTCTGGAGTCGATGAGCAGATCCAGGGCCTCCAATACGGGAAAAGATATCGTGTGGGTGTGGGTGTGGGTGTGGGTGTGGTGTGGTTGCGATTGGGCAAGTTGTGTGCCGAGGGCGAAGCCTTCTGGGGAAACGGTAAGGGAGAAGAGGAAGAGGACGAGAGAGATATCACAGGCTGGAAAGAGAACACGAAAAACGGCCAAGGGTGTTCGGACAACGTTGGACTTCTTCGGTTCATCACCTCACCTGCCGAGTGATCGATGTATGCTTGACTCCCCAAGGGAAGCGCTTTGTTCTTCTGCCTCGGTTTTGATATTGCTCTGTGGCCTCGGGGATGATGAAAGGGGAGAGAGAGCAGGAAGTCTGGTATCAGATAGGAGAAATATGAAGGATGACACGCTGCACAGGACAAAAGTGGCATCGGTTGTTCTTCTATCTCTTATTGGCGGTAGCAATCAGCCATTCTTTTTTTTCCGAAGCAGTCGCTGATGGCTATCG